ACCTAGTATTTAAAGCCAAAATAATAACAACATGCTATAAGTTTATATAGAAGAAAAACATGTCACAAGAGCACAAAGGCCAGGAAAGGACAAACGGAAGTATGTGCTATTGTAAAGTTCTTCATCTGAACATGAAGTAGTATTGCTTGAAAAAAACCAAAAACTGCAGTGAGTTAAATATGTATATCATGACCCTGAATGCAGCTGTTGAAATAATTCTTCAAAGAGTTAGGACTAATATAATTTTTAATAAAGGTGATTAAAAATAGAACCACAAGAAAAATCCATCTAAAGGAAGATATTTTTAAAAAGTGGGAGTGCTACTTGGGAGGTTGAGACAGGAGGATTGCAAGTTTGAGGCCAGCCTGATAGCTCAAGAGTAAAACACCTCTGGGTTGCTCAATCCTGCAAAATCAAAACCAAAAAACAACAATCACAACGAGAAACCATTATATACTCATAAGATGTCAAAATGAACTGGACACAATGCTGTTGGTCTAGAATAGGGGATATATCCTTAAACTTTCAAGGGTCTGATCCTTACTGGACATAAATGGAAGAGGCAATCCTCCTCCAGGTGGGGGCTTAACATTCTAGCTTGCTTCTCAGTCACCCTCTGCACCAAGCATGCAGAGGATGTGGGCGGAACTGGAACCACAGTGTGATCTCAGCCTCTGATGAGCCTCTTGAGATGCAGAGACAACAGGAAATGTTACAATTAACAATCTGTTCCAATGTTCAAGTGTTTTAGAAATTCAGAGGTGTTATGTGAGCACTGCAGTTAATAGCATCCTTAGTTAAGATCAGAAGGACCATCCTTGTCACCTAGGACCCTGAAGATTCGTAATCCTCCCTCAGAATTAAAGAGATCACTAAATCTAAGAAATAGAGTGGAATCAACCTGCAAACATTTACCCTGAATCTTTCAAACTAGTTTAAATTGGGAACATTTCTATTTGTCGAAAAAAATTTTTATAGAGGTTTTATTTTTATTTATGTATTTCTGTTTTAGTTATACATAACTGTAGAGTGTTTGTTTGTTTGTTTGTCTGAACAGTTTTAAGACTTAAAAAGAATGAAACTTAACAAGGGAAAGGAACAGAGGTGATCCTGTTTTACATTAGACAGCACATACCTACTACACCTCCCATAAGCTGGAAATTTCTTCATGGTCAGTATTCTGGGATTTTAATTAAACAGTCTAGGTTTTCTAATTTATTTGCCTTCAGTCAAGGAACTACATATCTTCATCCTTGGAACACATAGGAGGTGTCAGATCTGGGGCTTTGTGCTTCTCAGAATATCATCAAATGGGCCAGTGAGAGGGATGCGCAGCTGTCCCCAGAGGGGAGAGAAGACAGTGTCCTGGATTTTATTTTACTGTCTTTGATATGTGTAGAGCACTGTGCCAAGATCATCCTTTGTACTAGAACTCTTTAGTTTCACGAAAGGTGCTTCATGTAATTCTGTTCTATAATGAATTCTAGCTAATGTTCCCACCTTTTGGGGGGGTGGAGGGGTTTATTTTTGTCATTTCCTGTGTGTTTGACTGGTGGGGCTTCCACTCTGGTCCTTTGCTCCTGCCCAGGGCCTGCTCTTAGCAGTTATTGTCCCCAGGTGTTGGGTGAGCAAGAGGGTGCATGAATGGCCAAAGTGCAGGCGCTCCTGCCTGGGGAGGACATTGGCAGTGCAGTGGGCATTCTTCAGGCCACTGACTTCCCAGGATGGTTGTGTGCTAGTGGCAGTCTGTTGTCTCTATATTTCCCCATATGTAAAATTGGTGTGATCGATGCCTTGTTAAAACTCTGTCTAGAGGTAATCTTCCCCCCTTGCTCTCCCTCCCAACCCCATTTTGAGTCACCCCCCCTTATATCAGAGAAGACATTCGGCATTTGTTTTTTGATAAATTGTGGTATAAAGGTGTATTAAGAATTGCAATGCAAAAAAATTATGAATGTAATGCACTCCTCTATTGTGATGTAAGAAATAATAAAAAAAATAAAATTAAAAAACAAAACAAAACTCTGAAGCCTGCCCTCTGCAAACTGCTCTTTAATGATGGGCCCGAGGTACTATGTGGAACTGTGCTGCCCTGGCCTGCAGAAGGTCAGGGTCATCCTCAGGCTATGCTGCTGCTTCGGGTAGGGTGACCTAACACCTAGCATGTGTTCTCACACTGCCCAGGGCATTTATGTTACTATAATTTTGGTTCTGAGGTGTTATTTTTATTTAAATACATCTTGTGCCCTAATGCACATACCACACAATGAAGCCATTTAAGTATATAATTCAATGCTTTTATTATATTCACTATAGGTGGTGCAGTCATCACTATAATTAATTTTATCACCCCAAAAGAAATCTAATATTCTTTAGCCATCAACCTCCATTTTCCACCCAACCTATACCTCCAGGCAATGACAAATTGTTTTCAAGGTTCATACATGCTATAGTATTTGTCAGTACTTAATTCTTTTCGTGGCTGAGTAGTATTCCATTATATAAATAGACCACATTTTGTTTATTCATTCATTCGTTGATGGGCATCTGGCTTACTTCTACTTTTAGGCTATTTTTTTAAAAAATATGTTTTTAGTTGTCAGTGGACCTTTATTTTATTTATTTATATGTGGTGCTGAGAATCTAATCCATTGCCTCACATGTGCTAGGCAAGCACTTTGCCATGGAGCCACAAGCCTAGCCCCCACTTTTAGGCTATTATAAGTAGTGCTGCTGTGAGCCTTTGAATACAAGCTGTGATTCATTTTTATTATTTCAAATTTTGTCACTTTGGAATGAGATATGTACAGGTATACAATTTTGGTTCCTTTTAGAGTTTGAAGTCATATTTCTTTATGGCAGTAGAAACTCATAGAGCACGTCATGCAGCAGAACATATTAGATAACAGTTCAAAGAACTGTTTTTGCATCTGGGATCAATTTTAGGCAAAGCGAACTTAAAATAATTTTCTCTGTACTTTTAATTCATGATTTTCTGTTGTGTACCTAAAATATGTGTTGACATTTAAATGATGATGATGATGATGGGGCCGGGACTGTGGCTTAGTGGTAGAGCGCTTGCCTAGCATACATGAGGCACTGGGTTCAATCCTCAGCACCACATGAAAATAAATAAAATACAAAGGTATTGTGTCCATCTACAACTAAAAATAGTTTCTAAAAATTACGATGTATGTTTGGCTAAAAAAATGCAAAAACTTGAACCTATGTGATTTCAGTTAAATTCCTCCCATAGATGAATGTTTCCTCCACACCAGGCATTGTTCAAGGTGATGGGAATATAATGACAAGTAGGTTCTGTGCCCTCAGAGTGCATGTGTGCAGTCTTGGGGAGGACTGGAGGGTGGCTTTGGAGATGCAGGAGGACAAGGCAGATATCCAGCATATGGGGTTTTAGGGGAGAACTCAAGCCAAACTTAAGGTGGATGGTAGGCAGGACAGGGGAAGCTTCTAGAAGGAAATCCAAGAACAGGTTGGGATCTAAAGGAGGAATAGATAGAAACAAATAAGAGAAGGAAGGCTGGAGAAGGAGGGAGTTCCTAGGCAGGAGGTTGGGCATGTTTAGCACATCACCTGGGTCCCTCGACTGCTGCATCAGGTGGTTGGGACTGTACCCCAAGAGCGCAAGAGGGTGTGCCTTAGAGGGTGCTGGATGAGCAGATCTGCGTTTTGGCCATTCAGGGGATGCCCTGGATCAAGCGTGGGGTCTTGTTTCCTTTCCATTGAGAGGGCAGGTCACCACTGGAGGGCAGTGGCAGGCCAGAGGGTGCGAAGGGATTCAAAGAGCCACTATGGAGGACAAGGTGAGCAGGTGGGTTAGGGAAGCTGCTTCAGGGATGCTATAAAAGGTGGATATTTTAGATATGCATCACGAGACATTATGGCAGGCCCATAGGCATATGCCGAAGCTCTGCAGTTGGGTAGCTGTGCTTCTGTGTATCCTGTGCTGCAGGTGGGGTTGGGCGCATTTGAACTGAGTTGCCTCAATGTAACTAAAAATGTCAATAAGAACAAGAGCAAAAATTGCCAAAACAAATCCATCATTACAGTCAAATCTGCAGCTGTGGTTGATGTCACATAATTTTCTACTTATTATTACTTTGAAATTGAAAGCCTAGAAGAGAAGTCAATGTTTCAGGAATTGAGAAATTGTTTTGGGGGGGGGCAGAGAAGGGGGGAGATTTACCCGAGTTGTTATTTTGTTAATTTGCAACCATTGGGAAGCTGCAGCATCTTAGATCCCAAAGTCAGAGGGGAATTGAACCCAGGGTAGGGCAGGTTGGGGAGGCAACCCTGTTTTTCCGGGCCTAAGGAAATAATGTTCCTAATTAGGAATTGAGGTTGGAGCTGGAGAACTGGTTCAGGGTTCGAGAGCTAGAAATGGTAGACATAAGATAGGCAAAACCCGACTCCAAATGGATGGTTATGCTGTCCCAGCAAGGTGTCCCAGAAGTGAGATGCTGAGGACCTGGACAGGGTGACAGTGGTGCCATCTGTGTGGGACACACACATGGTGGTGGTGTGGGGGAGGCCCAAGCTTCATAGCATTGGCCATTGTTTCTTAAACTCCATTAGGTAAGGAGCTCTTCTTGGGCTCAGAGTAGAATCAATCTCCCTTTCTGACCTCCAGATATACTTGTCGCTGCAGATGAAAATGTCCCCTCATGATCTGGGGAGAATAGATACACCTACTGCTTGAGCAAGGCCACTGTTCTGGCCTGACAGATTGTTCGAGAGGTCATTTATCTGCCCTGCATTCAGCTGGGCTTCCCTTGCAGCTCAGGGATGGGGCTGGTTTTCAGGGAAGAACCCCTGGGAGGTAAAGTCAGGCTCTTGAGATCTCGCCTCAGATGCCCAAGCCAGAACAGCTCAGACCTAGGTGGGCTTCCTTCCCCGACAACGTGGGCACGCTTCATGGTGAGCACGTGACTTTGGTTTTTCTCAGAGCAATGACTTGGGGCTCTCATTGTCTCGTCCAGGTATGTACCCTTTGGCCGCAGCGAGCCAGGAGGCGGAGAGCAGCCGGAAGCTGACTCACCTGCTGAATGCTGTGACTGACGCTCTGGTCTGGGTGATCGCCAAGAGCGGCATCTCTTCCCAGCAGCAGTCCGTTCGCCTGGCTAATCTCTTGATGATCCTGTCTCACGTCAGGCACATCAGGTACCGGCCTGCAGGGGCTGCTCCACTGAGCGCATGCGCGGTGTACATGCTCAGAGCTTTGGGAAGTGTTTGCGAGTTTAAGGTGAATAGTGTAGGCTTGTCACCTTTAAGAGAAAACCCTTGAAAGGGAGTGGGGGAGTTCACTCACGTGTAACCGCAGATTGGCTCATAGTATTGAGTGAATGTCACAGGGCACCTTCCGGATTTTCATGGCATCGTGTGGTGGCCTGTTTTTTGGTTGCTAGGGTTTAGAGCTTGTTCATGGAGTCCTAAAAGGGGCAGTTCCTCCCCTGCAGTGAACCACCACCCTGAGTCATTTTTCTGAAGAAGCTAAGTCTGGCTCTCCTAGGGCATCCGTTAGGCCCGTGATTTGGGGAAGCACACAAAGCTTTCCTAAAATTTATTCTTTCCTTTTGATGACATCAAGATATTAAGAATGAGATCTTCCAAACAAGTTTGGGAAGGCAGGGTTGTGGATGGAGCACATTCCAGATCCACATGTAAAATTGTGTGCTGGTGAAGGGGGTGGCAGCAATGGCTTCTGCTGGTGCATGGTGTCACCCAGGAGGGTAGCCCTGCACCAGGGCTGGATGAAGGTGAAAGATAATGCCCGCTTGAGGAGTGAGGTGAGGGGTTGTGGGGAAGGATTTTAGCACAAGGGAGGAAAAAAGACCACTTGTCTCCGTTTTTTCTTTATTTCTGCTTTTTGAAACAGCATCTATTTTGTCCAGATTGTCCTCAAATTCATAATCCTCCTGCCTCAGCCTCCCAAGTAGCTGGGATTACAGGCATGTGCCATTGGGTCTGGCTCCTGTACACTATTCAGAGCCACATTTTTACATTTTTGGGGGGCAATTTCATTTAAAAACAGCTTCCTAATGTAGTGCAGAAATGCTCTCTATCTTAGAAAAGCTGTGATGTGCCTTTTGGAGAAAATAGGTAAGTTTGCTTCAGGCATGAGTTAGGGTGCCTTTTGTTGGCTGTGAGTTTGATGCTAATAAATTGACAATGTCTATTAAATAAGGCATCTTTATATAAACACACCTAAAACAAGATTGACCAGCTGATGAAAATGGGATGAGAAGTTTTTAGGAACCTGTGTATGTCCCTGAGGAGCAGTGACTCAGTATTTGCTAACTTGGTGTTTACAGTGACTTTATAAAACATGACTACGGTGAATAATTAGAATTGATTGTACCCTGTGCCATGTGCTGGGTGGGTGGTGGGACACAAAAGTCAAGACAATTTTGTTTTTGTCCTGAATATAAATTACTGAGAGCTGGGTGGTTGAGCTGTAGAGTAGGAGACTGGGGGAGTGCTGGGTGGGGGCAGTTTCGGACCTGCTCTGCGCAGGAGAATGGGGAAGATTTTGACATTCCCAACCCTACCCTCAGGGAAAAAAAACTCAGTATCTTTTTGTCCCATAGTAACAAGGGCATGGAACATCTGCTCAGCATGAAGTGCAAAAATGTGGTCCCCGTGTATGACCTGCTGCTGGAGATGCTGAATGCTCACACGCTCCGTGGGTATAAGTCCTCCGTCTCGGGGTCTGAGTGCAGCTCAGCAGAGGACAGAAAGAGCAAAGAGGGCTCCCAGAACCCACAAGCTCAGTGATGCCTGGCCTGGAGGTGAAAAGGCCCACATGAGGTCAAAGTCAGAAGCATGAACTTAAGCAGATCAGGAGCCTGGCCTTCACCGTATCTCCACAGAGTGGCCCCTCATCTGGGTATGGCTGCCTGTCATGTTTGGTCCTTCCCTACCTTCCACTTCTCAGGAGTCAGGGTGAGAAAATCAAGTTTTCCTTGTATTGGGGGCACATTTGAATACAGAGTCCCATGTTACATGGCTGTCTAGGATCTCAATGTGGTCCCTTTCTTACTTTCCATCTCCATTCCCCTCTTTGGGAAATATCCTAAAGGTCTTGGAATGAATGGTGTAAATCTGACATGGAAGTGTTGCAAATTAGAACATGACACATTGATAGGAAATGGACTAACCCTTAATGTGCACTCTGTAGTCCCTTTGGAGTTGGCCTTTGGATGCTCTCTTCTGGACCATTTGATTATAGGTTCGAAAACCGCAATGACAATCAGTTAACTAGTTTCACATACCTACCTCACAGGCCTGTGAGGACTGATGTCATGTTCTGAGGTTCTGTCAAAGACCAAGGGGACAGTGGTTAAACTGGCATGTGAGCCGTGATCTTCCTACCAGACTTTATCGCTCTCTTTGCACACATCTGTCCCTCAGTATGCATTCATGGAGCCCACTAATTCTTTTGGTGTGTGCGATCACTTTCATGGAGGATTGTGGCAGATTTAAATTTCTCTGCCCTTGGAGTTGGGCCTTCTTGAAACTATTGTCCCAGTGTGCTTAGCATGTGTGCTACAGAAAGACCTCATGTCTGCAGGAATGGGATTCTCTTGTGGGTGTAGGTTTTAGCCACAGTTTTTCCCAGGGTGCTGTGAATGCAGTTTCCATCTTACATGGCAGAAGTGGCAGCCATAAGTGCCACATCAGCCACCTGGGGCACATAGGGACACCATGGGTTATGGGTGCTTTTCTGTGGAAAGATGCTACATACACACACACTAGCATGTTAGCTCTGGGGCCATGCTGTCTAGACACCACTCGAACAAGACTTGGCTTGGAAACTCTCCTTAAAAAAGAGAACTATTTAGGGGTAAGTATTTATAGCAAAAAATAATCCTTTTAACCCCTGGGGAACTCTCTTAAAATATTTTCTTATCAGAAAATTTATATGGTGGTCTGGGCAATATAGAAATAGGAAAGGAAGACGAAGCACTTCTGAAATGACAATTTTAACTCACTTTTTTAAAAATGGAAATTTTCAGACCAATTTTTGGAGGACACAGCCAATGTGTAAAATGTATAACAGTCATTATTTTGGAAATGAGCAGTTAAATGATCATGTTGATTTTTGTAGTAATGTTTTTCAAAAGTTCCTTGGAATATGGCAGTAAATACATTTTCTTTTTGAAAATAAGTTTACTTTGGCTAGCATATCCTGTATTTACTATGTCATTAGGAAGACTAAATTTAATGTCATAAAGGTTAGTTTTTGCTAAGTGAAAAACCTTTAGTTCTTAATTTTGACCCTGGTGCAATTTTACTAAAAGTTGAGTTTAGCTGTCTTAGATACACGTGGACATTGGACACACCAAGCCTGGTAATCTGAGGCAGTTTAAAATTATTCTCAGTAACCTAAATGTGACAGGCTTAGAGAAATTCAGCACAGAAAACAAGCTTGATTTCATAAGGAAGCAGAGAAGGTCAGTTTTCTTTCTCTCTGACCAGCCTAAAGTTTCCTACTGTAAACACACAAGGCTTGGCAGTGGGGGCAAAGAAGGCAGCCTTGAAAAGTTATTTGCCAGTGAATTCTTCTATTTTACAGATTACCAGGCAAGAAATACAAGAATAAACAATAGAATGGGTTCCAGTCCATTGCCTAATTAGTACATAGCGGAGTGGATATTTTAGGTTGAGTTTTTTTTTAATCTTTATTTTTATGTGGTGCTGAGGATTGAACCAAGTGCTTCACATGTGCTAGGGAAGCCCTTTACCACCGAGCCACAACCTGGCCCCCTTAGGTGGAGTTTTGACACCTAAAGAAAGTACCATATTGGACTCAGGTGGCCAAGTGTCCTTTGTCCCAAGTCCTGTGTTTCCAGGTAAGTGGGCGTTTCCTGTGATTCTTGTCCAGTGGCCATTAGTTATTTTCCACAAATTCTTCTGTCTGTTTCTCAAGGATTTAGTCAGGATGTGAATCTTTCCAAGTCTTACCTGGGTGTGCTGGCTGCACAGGTTAGCACCTTCTCACCCCAGCGCTCTGACTGGGATCTGGGGCAACCAGACGATAGAGAAAACATACTTGGTACTCAAAGGGCTTGTTTTTCATTTTGAGTATCCCAGGGCCCTCTTCCTCTTCAGATGAAGTGTTTTGAATATCTCTGCCCATCTGATCCAAATATATCCTATAAGGATGGACTTTTTTTAAATGCTTCAGGCTGCCCTTTTGATGTGCTGGTCAAATCCTCTGTGTCCATTTTAAAGATAGTAGTTTGTCTAATTCACAGTGCTTTCTTTGAAATGCCTTCATTTTGGGGATGTCTACTCTTCTTAAATAGTCTATGTCCACATTCCTCTAGGGCAGTTCGAGTTCTCCCATAGCTAAGCAGGGATCACAGTGTTTTCCAAGTTCAGTTTTTAAAAGGAATTAATTAGAGCAAACAGAACCTGACAAGTATAAATAGGAATTCGATTATTGAATGAATACAAGACCTAACTACTTTCAACATATTTTGGAACCCTGATCCTCAGCTTTGCCTTGTACTGGTATCACAGGATTTCCTTCCTGTTTTAATTTGTAACTGATCATTTAATGTAAGAAACTTATTTACAGGAGATGAGTGAGATTTGGGCTTAATTTGAGTAGCTAACATGGGGTCATACAGACAAATGTTAATGGTCACCATGGAATGTCCTTCCCACCCAGAGTTCACTCAGATTCAGATAGTGACTGGCTGTCCCTAAAGAGGACCAGGGTGGACAACCTCAGGAGAGCATTGATTTTTCACAGTGGGTTTTCTAAGGGAAGTTCCCTCTGTTCTGACTCCCTCTTTTCCATCCTCAGGGCTGTCACGAACCAAGACCAACTAGAAAAGATTAAACCCCAGATAATCCTGAGATTTTCTTGAAAATTTGACATGAGAACAAAAGACAGAGTTGTCAGCCAAATAACAGATTTAGAGAATTCAGTTAGAACAAAAAAATCAATTGCCAACTCCTGGCAAAACTGTACTACATATTCATATGTACGTGAGCTAAATGGAAGCAATTCTAGAATTTTCTAGCAAGTGAAAATTGGTGTTGGTTCCTATTTTCATCTGCTGAGGGTCTTGAATATTTTGATACTTTTTCTAATTCAAGATGAATCTTCAGTTTCTAGTTCTATACACACATACGTACATATTTTTTGGTACTGCAGATTAAGCCCAAGGTTGCTTTACCACTGATCTACCTGCCTAACCATTTTAATTTGGAGATAGGGCCTCACTAAGTTGCTGAGGCTGGCCTGAAACCTATGATCCTCCTGTCTCAACCTCCCAAGTCCCTGGGATTATGGGTATATGCCACACCTGGCTTAAAACAAAATATTTTTATTAAGATTGGTACATTTTTTGCCAGTCACAGTAGTGCATGCCTGTAATCCCAGCAGCTGGGGAGGCTGAGGTGGGACAATCACAAGTTCAAAGCCAGCCTCAGCAAAAGCAAGGTGCAAAGCAACTCAGTGAGACCCTGTCTCTAAATAAGATTGGTACATATCTTTAAGCTGCCAAAACCCTTTCAAAAAACACAATAAAGGTTATGTAAAGTAAGCCTTTAGCACTTACTTACATTTAATCTTCATAATGATTACCATGATCATAACTTTCTGGCTGGAAACTAGAGAGTCTAAGCGAACTTGTTCCAGTCCACACAGGGCAAGTAACAGAGCTGAATATAGGCAGTCCAAGTCCAGTGCTGGAAGTGATCAAGCAGTTCAACTAGTTCAAAAACTATGAAAGGGCTGGGGATGCTGCTTAGTGGGACACACACACACACACACACGTACACGTGATATCTCTATCTATCATCTATCTATCTATCTATCGGGTCTCTACCACTCACATATCTCCAGCCCTAGCCCCATCCCAATAATTTTAAACTGCAGAATCCATTTATCAAAAGCACTCTGACATGCATGGCTACTGTGACTTAAGTGGGACTTACTGATGACACTGTATACTCCTAATGCCTACTACAACCCTGTAGACACAGTTAACAGCTTGGAAACCTCTGACACAGAAAGTTCCACCTTTTCTTTTTTTTGGGTATATGTGGGTTGGTACTGGGGATTGAACTCAGGGGCACTCTACCACTGAGCCACATTCCTGGCCCTCTTTTGTATTTTATTTAGAGACAGGGTCTCACTGAGTTGAGGCTGGCTTTGAACTCATGATCCTCCTGTCTCAGTCTCCAGAGCTGCTGGGTTTACAAGCATGTGCCAACAGCACCCAGCTCCAGTTCCATCATTTATACATGTGTAAATGAAATTCCCCAGGGGACAATGACCTGCTTGAGGTCATACTTACCATGGAGCCTGGAATGAAATTCCAGTCTGCTTGTCCAGCTAGCATTATTGCTGCAGGATTCTGCTTCTTGAGCTGAATCTCAGTAGGATGGAAAGATGGTTAGTCAGTTAGGGTTGCTTGTGTTGTACCTTCAGATCCTGCCTTCTCAGCTTGGATGGGGTCTGCGTGAATTCTTACAAGTGGCAGCAATGGCAGGCAGAAAAAAAAAAAAAGATGTACTATATTATTCCTCTCCTCTTCCTGGGCTCACAGGCCAGAGGGGACCATCATCACCACCACTATCTACCTATTACTGCTTTCCCCAAATGTGTCAAAGCTGAGTATATTCCTTGGAAATTTACCCATGTAGAAGTCTCACATCTCTTAGGCATGAATGCTTTCCTGTAGCTCTTTATACCATAGTGTGAAAATACAGGCTTCTTCATAGCTCTTGAGCTCACTGGAGTTTTGGCTCCATGTTTGTGGTCTCTGTGATACATAAATCTATCAGCCTTTTTGTTGTTCATGAGTCAAGGATTTTTTTTTTTTTTTTAATACTAAGGATTCTAATTCACTTATAGGACCAGCCAGTTGATGGTGGGTTTCCTCTCTGGGAAGGGCAGATGTCCAATGGTGTCTGAATGTCATATGAGTATTGGTCCTATAACTATATTCTTCAATGGTCCTGTGTACCTCAGAGTTTGTTGCTTGGCTCTAATTTGTCATTTTTGGGGGGTGATGTTTTGTGCCCTTGATTTGTTGACTCCCGTTCACAGGCTTTCAAATGTGGACTTTTCAAGAAATGAATGTGTGATGTTGTGTGGAAGCAGACTTGGAGATTTGCTTTCCATTCCTCTGAGAAGCGCTTTTTCCTTACTGTGTCCTTCCAATGTCTATGGAACCATCGCAGAGAAAAGTTCAATGTGACATAAATAAAGTGATTTCCTAATTTTTGTGCCGTATTTGTTGGGCATATAAGAACTAATAATTGGGCTAAATGGTGTCTACATTCTATTGTGAATTCTGAGTTTATAGAGCCCTCTGGAAATTTGATGACGACCATGGGCGCATTCTTCCTTTATGAGATCCATAAACACAAATGCCTCATTTCAGAAGAGTTCACCTCTGCCTTCATCTCCAGCTTCTTCAACAAGAAACATTTAATCTTTAGTCACTGAATCATTTGTGATCTGACCACAGGTGAGTGTGTATGAGTAAAATGAAGCCCACAAAATGTCAAAGTCCTGGTGTGCAGGGCATCAATTATCTGGGTAGATTTTCTGTAATGACCCCTTCTGAGTCATTTAGTATCATACCCTTCAGAAATGCAGGGGAAAATAATTCATTCATGTTGAAATTATCTTTGGGTCAATGGTCACTTGAAAATTTCCCCCACAAGTGGGGAAGGAAAGATGCAAATATATTTGCAGCAATATAAAACATTATCTCAGAGAAGTGTTTTGGGAATACACTGAGTTTGAGGTGAGGGAAGGCAGCAGTGGTTTCATCAGAGTTGGGGGTGACTAAACTCAAGACTTAAAGGTCTTTATCTTGAGGGAGTGTCCACAATTGATATGTATAGTTAGGCTTTGAAATGCAACCAGCACTTGACCAGCTTCAGGTCTCCCCCTTAGGGCAGAATGGAAGATGGAGAGGGAAATAAGAATTTTGTTCTTCCTTTCAGGCTAAAATGGAGCAGGAACTCTCTAAGCAACTCAGTGCCTTAAGGAAAGAGCTGTAACATTTTTACTTAAATTGATGTAATCCCAGAGAAATTTATGAAAAAGGTGAATTATTTGGTACTGGGAATTGAACCCAGGGCACTTTACCACTGAGCTTCATTCCCAGCCCTAATTTTTTGAGACAGGGTCTAAGTTGCAGAGGTTGGCCTTGAACTTGTGATCCTCTTGCCTCAGCCTCCAAAGGCAGAAAATGACCCATTTTCACATCTATCTCTAGATACTCGAGATGCAGGTGTGGAACTGGGTAACTTCAAGGCAGCAGAAATGCTGGGGTTTACCTTCTTTCTTTTGGCAGAAGGCAGACAGTGGTGCTGGAATTGTATGGAAGGCAGGTGGCTTTGCCTGAAACATTTGTTAAATATTTGATTACCTGTCACAGGTTGAGCATGCTTCACCCCAAAATCCAAAATCCAAAACTTTTTGAGCACTGAGAGCACTAACATAATGCTACAACTGGATTCTGCAGAGTGAAACTTTGTTTCATGTGCAAAATTACTTAAGATGTAGCATAAAATTACCATCAGCCTCTGTGGATAAGGTGTATACGAAACATAAAATACTTTTTTAGACTTGGTTCCCCCTCCCCTATATATCCCATTATGCACATGCAAATATTCCAATGCAAAAAAAGCTTCAAATCTAAAACATTTCTAGCTACAAGCATTTTGGATAAGGGATATTGAGTCTGCAATTCATTCCAGAAAGAGATGGGAATACAAAAACTGGGTCATATGGTCTTGATCTTTTGTGTCCACCTTCCCTTTGGGACTTTCTTCATCTACTCCCTATTAGCACCTGAGATCATAGAGTCATTTACACATATACAAGGGTCCTTCCTCCAGATAGGGTGAGGTTTCTAGATCTCAAACAATCCTGTACAAAGTTAAATAAGTAGAATATAAATTTTAGCTTAGAATAAAAAGCCCCTTATAATATTTTAAAAACAATTTTTGTTTAATAGAAGACTGCCACTGACCCACTTTGTGATATAATTCACTACAACAGTTTAGCTAATTTTTTTTTTTTTTAATGAGAAACATCTGAGTTGTACATACCACAGACAGCTTCAAGTTTCTGTACCAACCCCCGCCCCCCCTGGCAAAATGGTTCAACCAAACCTGAAGCATCTCTTTAAACATTGAAAATTTTTATAAAATTAACTTACAAAAACATCCCTATCAAGTTTGTAGTTTGGCGTTTACTGTACATTAGTCAAAAGCTCAAGCTAAAATCTGATTTTTAAAAAAATCCAAGTTTACATTATTCATAGATTCAGCATTGTTAAAAAATATGCACAAATAACCACATCCATGCAATAAAATTTCTTTAAAAATTTAAAGCAATATAAAAGAGCAGATCTAGGTACTGAGCTGAACATTTTGGTTTATATCTGGTAGCTCAAGATCACTAGCTGATTGGAAGAAAACTGATTCTAAACATTTAAAATATGATTGTTTCAGTCAATCAGCTCAGTGCATATGAATTTTGGAACCATTTCTAAGGTGGGATCTGCTTGTTTCTCTAATATGTATTCTGTGATGAACGCCACTGCTCATGGACCACGTTAGCTACGTTATAATAATGCTGTTTTACAAATAAGTCAGAATTTACAAAGTGCGAGACTCTTAGGAAAACTGCCCTTTCCAGAGTTCCCTCAACCAATCAACTAGCTTTGCCAAAATGCCCTGGGCAATTGCTGCAATAGTTCCCTGTCCACAAGGAAGGACTTCATTTGAAAGCTGCCCTGGAACCCTAAGAGCCCATTCTGGACAAGCCCAGAGGCGGGTGTCCACTGCAGATCCCTGGACATTCCCAGTGCTAAGAGTCACTCACACATTGGTCTGGGGCCACAGCTGGGCACCCACAGCAAAGAGGCTGGTGGTATGGCTGAGCCCTCTAGGTTGGGGGAGGCCCATTGGTGTACCGCAGCATGGGGTAGAAAGAGCGGGCGAAGTTGTTGGCCTGGGTGCAGCTGTAGTCCTCTTCAGAGGAGGGCAGCAGACAGGCCAGGAGCAGCAGCAGCAGCAGGAGCAGCTGGAGGGGCAGCGCTGCCCTGATCACCCTGGAGAGGAAGGAGCGCCGTGGCTGTGAGCTGCCGGGACCAGACATCCTGCCAACAGAGGAGAGCTGATCAGGAGGTTCCAGAGGACACACTCACCTGCTCCCCTGACCCTCTGCTACGTAAGTAAGAAAATCCAGGGTGAGAGAGCAAAAGGCAGCCAACAGCAGCGGTCCTGTTTTGGAAGAGAAACCCCAGAAGTTTCCAGGAGAAAGAAAACCAGACTTCTACAAGGACCTGCATAGTGGCACTGGCAGAGCTGGCACAGTGACTGTGAACCCTGGGGAGTCACTCCTGTGACTGTGAGGTCATTACCTGCTGTCTGTCTCATTCTCATCTTCTGTAGTTCTCTCTGCTCTGACCTGCTGGGAAAAAGAAACCAAAGAGTAAGTTGAAGACAGTTTGGTCCTAAAGTGATACACTTCTATAGCTCGTCTTCCTGCCACACTTGAGACTAGACTAAGACACCTGAGATTCAACAATACTAAGTAAGAAATAATTGGGTTTGTTAAACTATCATGTTTGTTGATCTGATTTGAGGGAGAAATCGGGAAACCCCTTTAACAAGGGCCCTCGTATTTTACAATCTACTATGATCCCAACCTAGTGTAACTGAGTAGGAGACAGTCTTTGAGTCAGGTCTTTTTAAAAAGTATATTTTAATATTAAAAAAAAATCTTTGAGGAAGCATTTCTTTTGATCAGAGTTAAAGCAGATCTGTGCTGTCAGGAACTGTCTTAAAGGAGTCTTGGAGTTCCAAGTTTCTGTCATCTCAGTGACTTTTAAAAATCACGAGTGTATGGGGCTGGGACTATGGCTCAGTGGTAAAGTGCTTGCCTAGCATTCGTGAGGCACTGGGTTCGATTCTCAGCACCCCATACAAATAAATAAATAAAATTAAAAATTTAAAAAAAAATCACGACTGTGGTTCTGACAGAAGGCAGGGGCTCTCACCTTCGCTTGGGGAGTTGCCATGGCTGCTGCAGAAGGCTGGTCCCCGGAGTCTACCTCATCAAAGTTGAGCAGAGATGGGTCTGAGCTCTGAAAGCCACACCCCAACAGTTCAGTTCAGAATGGTCACAAGAGCACAGAACCATGCTTCACACAGTCTTCTAGGCCCTGCTCCCTCCCCAAGCCTACAGCTCCTCCTGAGCAGGGACCTTCTCTTGCTCTCCGCCCTTGACTCGAAACCTTTCCAGACAAGAGAGAACATAACCAGGGCAAGGCCAGCCATGTGCACTGATTCCAGCTGACCAGGGGCTCACAAAGGTCACTGTGGCCATCGAGACATCAAGTCTTGGGTGTACAGGAGGAAGTAGACATTCTAGAGTGGAGGGACCTGTCCCAAGTTTGGGGAGCCCACAGCCTGGGTATGCCTTTGGTTCTGAATTATATCCCATTTTAAAGAGAAGGAAGTTAAATAAATTAGAGAAGTGGTGAGAACAAAGGGACCAGGACAATAAAGAGGACATGAAACCTCTGAAGTGAGTGGGGTGATGTGGGAAGACCAGGCCCTCATCCACTAAGGCAGATGTCAAGGGAAACTCTCAAGAAACAGCACTATTGAGATATAGGTGAGAGTGAAGCCTTGAGTCTGTTTCATTTGAAGGCAGAAATGATGATGGATGGCTGCTTTCCATAACCCCAGCCATGACAATTAAGGCAGTTACCTTGCTCTCTCCCTTTTCACATGACAGAACACATGTGAGGAGCTTATGCAATTTTTATGGCCACACTCCACTCAGTCCACCTGCTCTCTCCTGGCCTCCTCGCCACAGCAAGGCTACAAACCCTGCCTTCTGTCTGCCTCTACTGTGACATCTTAACCCATAAAAAAGCCACCAGGGGACTCACCTGGCTTCCCCGTAAGGACATTAAATCTTGGGATACTTGTTCTCGTAACTGTTTGAGTTTCTTCTGGATGACATGGACCTTCTCTTCAGCTTCAATGTAGTCTTCTCCATGCCCCTTAACGAGAAGGCTGGTGGAGAGCTCCTGTAGGGAGTTGACTTGAGGCTGACGTTCTACTAGTTCCTTTTTCAGTTGCTGAAATAAAAGTGTGTGAAATAGTTGTCCAAAGAGAAGCTGGTGTGGCCACCCGAGGCTTTCTCAGTTCCCGATGAATGCTGAGCCTTCTACTTTGCCTGTGTCCTCAGTCTAGCACTGTTTAGAGAGCAAGCAGGTTGCACCCTGCCCCTGCTTTTTATTCCTTTCCACTCTGCAGATAATTATGATGCTGGAGAAATCAGAGGAAAGGAATGAGTGGGGTGGGGTAGGAAGACTTGAGCATCCAAAATTTTGGTACCTACAGGAGTCCTGGAACTATGTCCCCAGGGCCTTATGTTTTTCAGGATGTTATTTATTTCGGAAGCACCTGGGATTGAACCCAAGGTCTTATACACACTAGGCAAGTGTGCACTAGGCTCTACCACTAAGCTCCACCCAGCCCTTCTGATATTTAGATGGTGTCTCGCTAAGTTGCCCAGGCTGGCCTAAAACTTGCAATCCTCTTGGCTCAGCCTCCTGAGTTGCTGAGATAACAGGCCTGTAACACCATGCCTGGCTTGTCAGGTATTATAAACACTCATGTCCCCAATTCCTGAGAGTCTGAAAGACTTCTTGCTCTATCTCTTCATCTCTGCAAGTCATTGTGCTTCAGGATTACAGAGGGCATGAGGGAACATGAGGGCCGAACTCCTGAGTCACAGCTCAGTCACAGTCACAGCTGCCTCTGGCACTGTCCGTGCACAGGAGCACTCTGACCAGCTGGAGCAGCCAGCAGCCAGTGAGTGATCTGCAGAAAACTGGAGAAGGGAACTTACCATTAGTTCTTTCTGGCACTCCTGGAGGACCTGGCGGTTTGCCTTTGGAGTGGTGACATGAGCCTTCTGCCTCCGGTTCTCAGCACTTGCCAGCCACAGGAGCAGGTTTTGACTTAATTCATGGAAATCCTTAAAAAACAACATAATCTAAGCACTGTGCCTTCTGGGCACCATGGGAGAGGAAGTGCCGGGAAGGCTGCAGGCTGCTTCTCAGCCATCAGTCACCCATTCGTCTAAGCCAGTGAATAAAAGGGCCACATCTCAATTACAGTACAAGGCCTCAAACCAAGCCAAGGGGAGAGCAGGGGGAAAGTGCTAGCAGAAAGGAGGGGCTTCGGGTCATCCTCAATGAAGAGACCACATGCATTCTTCAAAAAGTTCACTGGGCTCGATGGCTAAGGGAGCTGGCCCAGGCTGTGGTGGGCTCTGTTTCCTAAAATGGGGTCAGAGCTAAACAGCAATGCAGTGTTAATAAATGCTGAGCACTTATGTGTCAGGCACAGGGCTAAGATGACACACACCACCTCATTAGTTCTAAAAAGGACCTGGGAGACAGGTATTAAAACGATGCCCATTTTTCAGATGAGAAAACCAAGACTGGGAGAGTCAGTGATTTTGCCTAAAGTCCAAACCTATGAAGTCGGACAGCTGGATTAACTGTTCCTGTGTTCCATGACCAGGTCTGCCAATCACTCTGGCAGAAGGACAGAGATGGGGCAGTGTTGGGGCGGCATCCCCAACCTACAAGAATGTTTGCTGTGACCCTTACAGGTCACAGGGGGTGGGTGAGGCCAGGAGACTCAAGGAGAGGAGTGTGTGTGTGTGTGTGTGTGTGTGTGCGCGCGTGACGGGTGCATGACTCTTTGGAAACACACAGTAAAGCACACATTTCCTAGTACAAGCCACATTTGTGCCAAAGCAGTCTGATGATAGTAAAAATATCTGCTGCTCCCACCACATGGGCCTGGCCGCTGCCGGAGACAGGGCCTTGGGCTGAGTCAGCATACCTGGCACTGCATGAGCGACTGCCGCAGGTCCCCTCTCCAGCTGTCCACTGCGCCCTGGACCGCTTCCCAGCGCAGGCCCAGCTGGCGGAGTCTACTCTGGAGCTCTGTGGCTTCGGTGCTCTCAGTTGGGAGAGATTCCTTGCCGCTCACATTGACAGAGACCATTAATGCCTTGTAGTTGTCAAAAGCTTTTAATATCTCCTGCCACAGAGGGAAATGAGTGGGCTAAGTGCTCTGGAAAAGGAGGGGCTCCTTTGAACCTCAGTAGGGAGCAGGCCTTCCACACACTTCTCCGGGCAGTGGCTACTGAAACGCGAGTGACCTCGCTTGTGACTGGCTGGGAAGCATCAGGTGAGGGAACTGCCTTATAAGGCCAGGGAACCTGGCACGCTAGCCCACACGGCCCGACAGCAGAGGCTGGTCTCCTTGCTGGTGGACTCACTGGAGGCATGAAGCGATCCTGCTGACTGCCACAGCCCTTGCTCTGTGATTGACTTAATAAAATTTCTGGACCCAGATTAAAAGTCTTTTAGATAAAGTATATATCACTTTTCTATCTCCAGATATCCCAGAAATGTTATTTCTAAGATGAATGGAAATCCCTGATATACAAACGCACAAAGTAAAATAAAAGTACAAATATGAAGAGTGCTTGAATACCCCAGGACCCCTTGCCCAGGGCCTCTAGAGCTCAGGCTTGTGTTCAGAACACCTCCAAAGTACAGGGCTTGAACTGCCCCTACTCTGCTCCCTAGGCTGGTACAGGTGGGGCCCAGGCTGATTATGGGTGACAAATCCCAACAGTATAGTACGGTGACCAGATCAGGCCACAGGATCTACCAAACTGGAACTATACATATAGTTCAGACTTAAAGGTGCTGGACAGTGGCCACCAGCACCTCCACAGTCTCGAGGTAGCTGGGTACAGTGGTATCTGCCTGTAATCTGAAGTCTGAGGCAGGAGGATTACAAGTTTGAGGCCAGCCTTAGCAACTTAGTGAGACCCAGTCTCAAAAAAGAAAAAGGCCTAGGGACACGGCTCAATGGTTAAGTGCCCCTGGGGTCAATCCCCGATAACAAAAATGACAACAACAGAAAAGTCTAGAGGTGCCTGGGAAATCAGATCTGTCCATCCAGAAGTGACATGAAACAGGCTGACCTCTACCACGCTCCATCTGTGAGCTGCCACCTACCCAGCCCAGCAGTGCGTTCACGTGCCTGTTCTCAGCTCCTCTCCCTCCAGGCCTCCAGCTCACCTGCAATCTCTTCACTCTGGGTTCCATTTCCTGGATGTTGGAGGGAGGCTTTGCCATCTTTAAAGTTTCAAGCTCTGCTTCAGTTTTTCCCAGCCAAGCAGTGATGGCGCTGATATTAGAGTTCAGCTGCTGCATGTTTTGTTTCATTCTGAGTTTACTGTGAAGCTCTTGTGCCTGAATCAGTTCCCATCTGTCGAAGGCACCTGAAACAAAGCCACCAATCAAAAAAAAGCAATAATGCAGACAGACTTCTCTGGCTGAAGCTACTAGGGGTCAGCATGGTAAAAGTGTGTGGGACGCCCCTTGCAGGAGGATCTGGGTAGGGTTGTTCTCTCTTCCAGAATATGGCACAGCGCATTTCTCTGTGCCACACTCCCAAAGGCTGGAAAGAGGCGGGGACTTGGGGAGGAAACCCAGCATGGGACCGATGTGTACTCTGGTCGCCAGCTCAGCATCTCAGTTCTCCGTTTCCTCCTTTGGTCCACACACAATCACACAGAGCTATCAGCTTCACTTTAGATTTAGCTGAGCAAAAACTTTGACAGTTATTGGTCTGGTCTAATGAGGAGACACTTGAGAACACTTTATCATCTTTATTTTGATTTTTTTTTTTTTTTTTTTGGTACTGGGGATTGAACACACTGAGCCAAATCCCCAGCTCCTCCACCGCCCCCCCCCCCCCCCCGCCTTTTAAATTTAGAGACAGGGTGTTTAGAGACACCCTGTCTCTAAATAAAAAAACTAAGTGCCTCACTAAGTTGCTGAGGCTGGCTTTGAATTCAAAATCCTCCTGCCTCAGCCTCCCGAGACTTCACATTTGAGATATGTATATGAAGTCATTAAAAACTTCATCATAGGAGGCATATTTTGTCAATGTTTAAAGAACAGTTTCCAAATTAAAATGAATAGTTTAGGGACTCATAAATACAAGTCATTTAATCTGAAAATAATATTGGCTGTTGTAGAGTAAGTTTAATAGTTTCGGTGAATCATATGTTGGTCAATTCCTAATTTTGCGGGGGTGAGTGCTGGGGATTGAACCTTTACCACTGAGCTATATCTCCAACCCTTTTAATTTGTCCAGACTGGCCTCCAACTTGTGATACTCCTGCCTCAGCCTCTGGAACTCCTGGGATTATAGGTATTCACCACTGCACCCAGCTTAATTCCTAATTAATATTCTTTCAGGTGATGTTTCAAATGCTCAGCTAAGCCCAAATACCACACACAATCTCTCTGATAGCCGCCGGCATAGCAGTACCTGATGGCTGTCCTGTTAGGGTGGCCAGATGCTCGTCTTCCTGCTGAGGGCTGCCATTCAGGACTCTTGGACTTTCTTTGCCACCATCAGTGCCTGGATGTAATAGCAGCTTTCCCTAGAATGAGTCAAGAGGTCAGTTTAACAGGGGAAAGGGTCCTGGGAGGGAGAAAGGGAAGGAAAGCAGGGATATCAGGGAATGAAACAGATCAATTTATGTGTTGTGCAGGTATGAATGTATCACAATAGGTCCCATTATTATGTATAATTATAATGCATCAATTAAAAAAACAATAAAGAAGATAAACAACAAAAGCCATCAATAAAAGTTAAAAGTTTTCTGAAGAATGCCTGGGTTCAGACTAATAGGCAAGAAATAAGGGTACTGGGCCCTTTGCTTCGAAGGGCCACTCACTAGTAATATGGAGGTGGCTTCATACGTGGTTAGCATTTATAAGCAAGCAGAGCTGAGTGGAGAAACAAAGTCTCCGCAACAGGGGCTGGGGCTGGGGCTCAGTGGTAGAGCGCTTACCTAGCATGTGTGAGGCACTGTGTTTGATCCTCAGCAACATTAAAAAAAGTAAATAAATAAATAAAATAAAGGTATTGTGTCCATCTACAACTAAAAAAAAAAAAAAAATTAAAAAGCCTCTGCAGCAGCCCAGAAAAGGGCAAGATGGCAGCAATGGGAATAAAATTAAATTTTCATGCTTTAAGGTCCCCAGGAGAACCGTGGGAAGAAAACTAAAAACAATCTCTGTGCTTACCGTGTTGGCACGTTCACATTTCCACAGCATTTTCACTATTCCTCCCATTTCCCTACTGAGGTGGCTGGACAAACCGCCTCTGAGGGTGTGTGTCCTTCACGGCACACACTGGCTCTCTATTATCACAGAGCTGAATGGACTATGTTACTCAAGCCTTTGCAGAAATAAAAGTGTTTCTTTTAGGAAAACTATCCTTCCTTTCTTTGGATTGAGTCCATGTGGCCTATTTGTGTGGAATGAACAAATTTTAAAAATCCTTCAAATTTGTGGGGACATGCCTGCTTCAGACACAACAAAAAGGTTTGCGTTTTTGAAACTGGCCAGATGAAGGACACGAGAAGTGTAATGGCTGGGAGAAGCAAACCACATGGGCCCAGGGTATGTGAAGCACAGGTCAGGCGCTGGTCTCTTCCTCCCATCTTATTTCACACCAGAAGGTCAGATTAAGTGAGAGCTGCTTGCCAAGCAAAAGGAAGTATTTCTGAACTCTATGTGGCCAACCCATTGTCAAATGACTGGGATTGAATGTGTGAAGATGATCCATCTCCAAGTGGGTAGCCATAGTCACTCCTAGACAGAGGGCACTCTGACTAAATCTCCTGATGCTTACATTGCTGTTGGTTTCTCTAAAAGATGGTATTAAGATAAAAGGGATGCTTTAATTTTAACTCTCTTGTCGCTAATCCTCTGTACTAAGAATATTCTGTGGCCCATAGTTAACTCTAGGCTGTCCCCCACTTGCCCAGCCGGAGCATGCTAAGAACTCATGTAACTGAGAAGGGACAGATGCTGTGACTACCCCCCTCCCCCAATATGGCAGCAGTAATGATGACCTCCACTCCTGCGGGCCTTCTTTTACCTTTACACACATCAATCTTAGCAACAATTATGCAAGGCAGGGTTATCCTTGGGTGAGTCAAGCTCACAGAGGCAAGACAAAGTGCCTTAGGTTCTGCAGTCATGAACTGGCAGGGCTGGGAACCCAAGCCACCATCCACCATGGCCTGCCATCAAGTCTAAACATGAAGTCATGGTGTTTTGCTTAGGATGTGGTCAAGAGGTCAGTTTAACAGGGGAAAGGGTCCTGGGGAGGGAGAAAGGGAAGGAAAGCAGGGATACCAGGGAATGAAACATATTCATACCTGCATAACACATAAATTGATCTATCACAATAGGTCCCATTATTATGTATAATTACAATGCACCAATTAAAAAAATAATAAAAAAGATAAACAACAAAGGCTTGGGAGCTCAGGAGCAGTTCAGGAAGGCCCAGCAACTTGTCTCTTTAATTTTTACATGGAAAACTGACAAAACAGAAACAATTACTACTATATTATGTCAACATACACAAAGATAGTTTTGGCTAGAAACCTCTCTGGTCTGTTTGCCAGGGTCCTAATGGAGTGTGGATGGACAGTTTAGCAGAGATTTTTTTTGGTAGTGCTAGGAATCACCCAGACATTGGGACCTTGGGCCATGCTAGGCAAGTGTTCTACCACTGAACTTTATCCCCAATCCCTCAGTAGAGCAACTGTCCCATGAGAAAACCAATTCAAGATGTGCCTAGGGAGTGAGCACATGTAATTTGCACCAAAAATCTCTCTCTCTTAAATTTTAACTCTTACTCATACATTTGGGTTACATTCCCAGGAGAGTCAAGACTTACATAGGCTGATTTGTAAGGGGTGCTGGAACCCGAGGGGATGGGTGGTACATTCCTGTCACCTTCCATTTGTTTGTAGTGATGCTTGGGATGGGAAGGGCTGTCAGGAACATGCCACGAGTGGCCATCAGAAATGGATTTACCTGAAACAAAAAGTTGCAAGTGATGGTCTATTTTGCAAACAAAGGATTCCTCTTTAGTGACACAAAGCAGGTCATGGGGAATATGGCATCAGGTTATAGTGTCAAGATGAGTTCCTCAGCTCTCCTTGCAAAGCATGCATGTTTGCAAAACGTCAGTATGTCTCAGGAGGGGATGAGATGAGTCATGCAGCTGAGCGGCATCGTGCTGCACTAGATGGGATCACAGCGGAGCACAAGGAGCATGAGTGGCTGTGGGATGAGTGGCATTTTGAATGGAGCTGGTATCTTGAGTGGGGAGGGGAAACTGGGTGGCCAGGTTGGGTCTGGGGGCCAAGAAGACAGAAGGCCTCTTGGAATTGAGGGGAAGGGGTGACCTTGAAGATGGACTGGAGACCCCAAGGGCTGCTGCTCGTGGCTCTCCCCCACCACAGAGTGAAAGATAAAGGTTAGAGCTGCAAGTGGAAGAAAGGAGGTTGTTTTTCTCCTGCAGCAGAGGTAGGGGTACCCTCACCCCCACCCACCCAGCCCAGTCCCTGGAAATGGTCAGAAGCCAGGAAATAGTTCCAAACCAAGCCACCATGAAGAAAAGCTTGGTCCATGCCAAAGGACTTCAGTTAGATGGAGGAAATGAAAAAAAGGCATCATGAGAAAATTCCTCCTGCATAGCCCTGCGGGGAGGAGGGCTGGCATGGAGACGCTCTGGTGAGGGCAGGGAGCACGCAGCTATGGGTGAGTAAGGCAGTGTAAATACACCATGACACGAGGACCAAGGCGCATGGTGTCCACAGAAGGCACAGGGCAGACGGGACATGGGAGCAAGGGTTAGGATGCAATATGCGTCACGGGACTCTGCCATGTGGAGACGTGCACGGGCAGGGGCCTACCAGAAGATGCTTTCAAAGTTTTTGTGGTCATTTTAAGATAGGCCTCAGGATTTTCAGGGATTTCTACATCTGAAAAAGAATAATGTCATTTTCCTCACTGGACATGCCTGCAGATTAATGCCCAAGTAGTAAGTTAACAGTTTTGAAACATTGTCAGCTGAAAGGAGGAAACTAACTACTCTATCTTTTTTCTTAGAAGAGTTTTGAAACCAGGAGTTTTTTTTTTTTTTTCCCCCAGCTGACCTCTGATTGCCTGCTGTAGTGGTGGAAGGAGGGGAAGTTCTGTAGAAAGAACAGAGATGCTCAGTCTACTGAGGCTCCGAGAAACTCCACTGAAAAGTTAGCTGAGGAGTCTCCCCAACAGCGAGAGCCATCTGTGCGCGGCTTTAATGTCTGTATGTCAATTTCTTGCTTTTTCACCCTTTCACTGGTTCATAGGAATGAGCCAGTTCTCAGGTAAGTCAAAAGGTGGACAGAACAGAACCCAGGAAGCTATAGAAGTCTGTCTGGGTCGGCCACAAGCTAGACATCAAGAGCTGCCCGTGTCACTAGGGTGCTAGGAACACAGCCAAATGGGTCAATTTCTAGGACTCTGGGGATCTGCCATTACCTGAGAGTGCACTGTAGTATGGACCTTCCTCATCTTCTTCGTGAGAGGAGGAGCCCCCCACGTCACCTGTGTGATCCCACTCCAGAGGGATGGAGTCCACACTAACAGGGGTCTCACAGCCAGACCGCTCGTGGCTCAGAGCAGGGGGCACAAGATGGCACAGGGACTGGGGAGACGAGGGTTCCTCGCTCTCTCCCCTTTTATGCCAAGAGTCGGTCTGGATTTCTCTGGGGTCTTCCATGTCTGTTTCGGTCTCAGAGGCTTCCTTTTCATCTTCCAAACCCTAAAGGGGGGAGTATCCAGCTTTTAGAATTAACCAGTTCAAGGGCAATTCACCTAGAAGGAGCCCTGGAAGTCTGCCTGGCTAGCAGCCACCACTAGCATTTCTAAGGCTGATTCAAAAAGAACTGCACCCCCAGGCTCTGCTTATGGTTATTTAAGTTTAGCCAATCTAGAATGGGGCTAGAATCTGTATTTTGCAAAAATTCCAGCTGTTTCCAAGACAGAAAGCTGAGGTATATAATCAAACTTAAATAACTTTATCTGGAAGGTAGGGGAAAGGCTGAGCAAACTTTCGAGTTAGTAGCAAATTCCTCCAAGAATCAGAAAGTTTGAAAAACAAAACAAAAACAACTTCAAATCTGCCAACAAAACACCAGAAAGGCACAGATATTAAAAGCTTTCACACATTAAGAAACACATTCCCAAATTTGTAATGAAAAAACCATAACAGTTTTCAATGAATTCTCGGGGTACCGTCATGTGCCAGAGGAGCCCTGTACTGAGGAATACATTGAAAACAGGTCAGAGGAGCAGGAAGTTTTAGAAGTACCATCCTCTCCACTGGGTAGTGGGGACTTGGAAGTACTCACAGCTCTATTTAATAAAAGCAGAAATGAAAAATTTCAGCATAGTCTCAGTGATTTTTAACCATAAAATCAATCAGTTGAACCTCTACAAAACTGACATCCCAATTCTTTAAGCGGTTGGTGGAGCCCTGGGCAGGCGGCCTTGCCCTTACCGGAGCGTGGGAGGTCAGGCGCCGGTGGAAGCGAGAGACCCTGCCGAACACCTCCTGGCAGTACCGGTGCAGCTCCTCCAGCTCATCCTCAATCAGCACGGCATCTAGGGGTTCGCTCTTCTGAATCAGCTGCTCCCCAAACACGATGAGCTGGTCGATCTTGTTGGTATTTAACGTAATTTCCTGTTGGAAGCCCTATTTAGAGGATGAAAAAGAGACGACTTCAAAAGAAAGAAAATTGCACCCGGGGCGTCCAGTGCTATGTTCAAACAGGGCCTTAGGAAAAGGCGTGTCATTTTGGTTTTGTTCCTATTTTCATTTTGTCTTGTACCCAGGACTCCAGCTTCATCAATTTTTAACCAAGTGACAATGACGATTTAATAGTTTAAAAAGGCTGTATATGTATTTTTTTCCTCCTCCTTCTGGGCACCGATTTTTTCCAATTAATAAATTCTAAGGGTTTGACACAGATGGACGTTAATCATTCTTGGGTGTGAGGGAAGTAACTCCTCTGGTTGATACTGGGTGAACACAAGAACATTTCCCATAATAAGCAACCAATGGGCATCTGTTTGCCTCAGATGAAATAATAATGTTTATGGGTGCCATTAGGGGAGAAAAATTTTCATTTCTCATTTTCTTCTAAAGTCTAGCTAAGGAGAGAACAACCGTGAGATAAACCTAATGTAGATATTGGTTAAATCTGTTCTTGGCACCACCAATGATAGATTTCCCTTTCATTATACTCAATTTGAGTGCTAGAGAAACAGCATTGTATGACGTTTCTATTTGGAGCCTAAAGCAAATTCTCCCCTTGGATGATTTATAAGTGGCCATCAAAAAGGGGGAGGGGCCTCATTCCAATGACCCCTCAACTGCAAGGATTAGTGTCCTTGCTCATGAGAACCCAGTAATACATAGGTAAGATGCAACCTAGCTGCTCAAAGAATTCTGGAATTTGCTCTTAGAGCATCAGGTGAAATCTGTACTTGGCCAGGGCTCCTCCTCAAAGCTGCCATCTTTGAAGAGGAGCTGAGGAAGCAGCCCTTACATTCAGCTGGCGCATTTTGTCATCAGCATCGCTCTCGGAGAAGTGCTCCACATTGGTTAGCTGCAGGTCCATCTCTGTGAGCCACACCAGAATGCTCTCCCTGGTGCCCTCGAAGTCCTCCCTCTGGTTGGTGAAATGCTGCAAAGGGGAAGAAATCAGATCTGTACTGACCTTGGGAAAAAGTTCAGGTATTCATCACCTTTGGCTCAAAGGAAAGGGTGTCCGAGTGCTCGGGAAGACTTGTATCGGGGTGCCCAGGAAGCCTGAAAGCACTGTACACTGCAGCCTGGGTCTGGTCCTGGCTGTGATACCAAACAAGCCCCCAACCTCTGAGCCTTGGTTTCTACCCTAGCAAATGAGGGAGGTGTGGGAATGTTGATTATGATCTCAGAGGTCTTTTCAAACACTTGAAATTCTGTAATTCTTTAAGTCAGGGATTTTCCCCTGTCCACTGAGGAACCCCTTGGGAGGCCAGGCCAGGCATGGCAGATTTAGCAGCAGCTTCAAGATGGAAAAGTGCAGATTGCAGGGCTGAACCTGGCTAACTGACTGCCCCACTTGCCTTTGTGTAATTCTGAGCATGTTGGAGACCCAGAGGAGATGCATCACACCTCCAGTTTAGGAGGCTCTCAGATGGGCAGCCAATTTCCAGAGAAATGTGGCATTCAGAGCCAAATGACCATTCAGACTAGTAATAGTCCAATCAAGAAATTAACACAATGAGCCGGCTGTGGTGGCACACCCCTGTAATCCCAGCAACTCAGGAAGCTGAGGCAGGAGGATCACAAATTCAAAGCTAGCCTCAGCAAGTTAGCAAGGCCCTAAGCAACTCAGTGAGGACCTGTTGCCAAAAAAAAAAAAAAAAGGCTGGGGGATGCTCAGGGGCAAAAACAACAACAAAAACACAATGAAATTGTCTAGATTACTAGAAATGGTAGCCAATGTCCTCCTCAGAAGGTTAAAACCCAAACCAAACCAGAAACACCAAAACAAAACAAAACAAAATATTCTTATCTTTCTAAAAGAGTTTCAAAAGCATTCTGCCTTGAGAACAGAGTAGGGGTTAATATCACATTGGATAGCTCCTGACTATACTCCTTTAGGTTTAACTTATGAACTACAGAAATCCAGGGTGAGTACATACAGTTGGCTCTCTGTATCCTCAAGTTCTACACTGGAGGATTTGACCAACTGTGACAGAAAGTATTTGAAGAAAATTTGTCTGCATTGAACATCAGGACAAGACAAGACTTTTCTTGAGCAACATAGTGTAATAAGTATTTACTTATATTAGGGACAATTAATAATCCAGAGACAATTTAAAGTATAGGAGGAGAGGATGTGCATAGATTATTTGCAAATATCACACCATTTTGCACGAGGGACTTGAGCATCCAAAGAGTTTAGTCTCTGTTGGGGGAGGGGGAGTCCCCACTGTATTATTGAAACACCAGCCCCCAACCTCTGAGGTTAGTCACTGAGCTGTAAAGGAGAATAATGGCTGCCCCCCTACCTCTGCAATGCGGAGGGGCACATGCATGATGGGGTTTATGCATATTCCTGGGGGCACATAACAACACACAGACAGGCAAAGCAGGGCTCTTTCTGGAAGCTGTGTGTTGCCTCCACTGACCCAGGAAGCAGGGCCTGTGCTCTGCGGGCAGTCCCTGTGCTCACGTGCACACTGGAAGTTGTAGAGAGTTGTGTTTTGGTAACACAGATCACATCAATAGGCTTTACGAAGCCCCAACACAAATCCCTCTTTAAAAATGAACGCTGGCAGCTGAGGGCTCCTTGGTGCAAAGAGAACACTAAGACAGGTTAGTCCTGCAGTGAAATCTCCCTGCGCTGTTACAAGCCTGCCACTGCCTGTCCCATATCGCTTCTCCCCGAAAATCTACAAATAACCCCTGTGCTGCAGGAAAGGTTACCCTGAGTCTCCGCAGGATGGCTGTCACCCGCTTCTGGAGGTTGTCCCAGCGCTGGTTGCCCTCGTGGACCATCTGCTTCAGTTTGCTGGCAGTGTCGGTGCGGTTCTCCCGCGCCAGCCGCCGGTACTGCTTGTTGATGAGCTCCAGCTGAGTGAGCCGCTCGTGGATCTGCCGCTGGAAGGCCTGCAGCCCACGGAGGGGTCAGTGTCAAGGAGGCAGAGGGCTGGGACATGCCCCTCCCCGACCCCAATGGCTTGCTCTGTGTGGCCAGTCCCCAGTCAGCACAGGTAACAGAGGGTGACTTCACCAGTAGTTGTTGTTTCTGGTACTAGAGATGGAACCCAGGGGTGCTCTACCACTGAGTTACATCCCTAGCCCTTTTAAATTTTAATTTTGAGATAGGGTCTTGCTAAGTTGCTCAGGCTGGCCTTAGATTTTCCATCCTCCTACCTCACCCAGCCCAAGTTGCTGGGGATTTAGGTGTGCCACTGAGCCTGGCTATCCCCAGGTCTTTGATGCTAAAGCACAGGCTCCCAAGGCCAGCACATGGCTGTTGGCATACACCTTGCAAAGCTGCCTTAGCAGCTGGTGGCAGGCTGAGGATTGTGCTATCTCCTCCAGAGGTGGGGGAAGTAGGCCCTGGGAAGCCATTTAGTAGCTTCTGAGTGGCTGCTGTCTTGGTCATTAGCAGGAGAAAGGATGGGGAAGGCGTTTACCTCAAACCTCTTCAGCTCTTCTTTGGCATTTGTGTACAACACCTCAGAGGAATTGGGGCAGGCTGCTGTCCTCTCGGCAGACTTGAGCCAGTCCTCGAAGCGGGAATAATCATCTAAAAACTTCTGCCACAGGCGCCATGTCTCTTCGATTCTGATGGGAGGAAAGTGGCTTAGCCAGCCGCTCATTTCCACCCTGTGCCTTTTGGACTTGTTTTTGCCTCCTGACTGGGCTCATTCCCATCTGCCTTATGCTCATGCAGTTAGGGAGAGACCCTGCCACCCTTCCTGGGAAATATCTGAGGATGCTGCCTCCTGGTCTGTGCACCTTCCTTCTGGAAGGGCCGAGCATCTCAGAGCTCCTGCCTCACAGGGCTGAAAAACAGGAGACAAGCTCAGCAGTGCTTCATGGCCCAGTAAACAGCAGCCACAAAAGAGCTGGGGGAAGATGGCACCACACTATGTTTTTTTCCAATAAGTCCTTGGTAAACACTGGTCACCCCTACTGGGTCCTCTCTGCCAATACCTGGCACATTTCTAAGTGACGTGAATAGAGCAATTACTATGACTAAAGGCAGAGGGTGCACAGGGTTCTGTAGGCCACAGCTCGATGTTTGGGGCCAGCAGGGTCCTTACTTCATGCGCCGCTCCATTGACATGGCACAAATGTTCCTCCAGCGCCTGTCAAGGCTTCTGGTGGTCTGCTGGATGGAGTCGCACTCGGTCTCGTTGGCACAGGCGTCAGAGTCATGCAAAAGGACATCACAAATGTTGAACACGGACTCCACCCCTGCGCTGTGCTGTTCGATATCTCGCTGCAGATCCTAGGGTTGCAACAGGGTACGAAAGCCTTTGAGACAGTGGCAATGGATGGAAGGTTGGCATCAAAGGTTCACCGCTCATCCCTCCCCTAGTCTAGGGACACAGCCCTGGGTGCACTTGGGACCAACAATACAGGCTCAGCCTGTATTTGTACAGCCCTGTGCCATTGCACCTGACCCGAAGCCTAGGTGGTGGCAACAGGTGGGATTTATGTGTTGAACTGAGTGAGGGTGGGAATGGTATGGGGCCTGCTGCGCACTGACAGGTGGCCCTGCTGACCCTGAGAGGCCACTGTTCCACAGACCTTGGGCATGCTTGCAATCTAATCCAAATGACCTACCCCAAAGGCCTCCAATTTAGATTTGGTTTCTGAACTGTCCAAATCTCTTCAGCAGGAGCTGAGATTTAGCAACAGAATTGAGCTTTTATGGGTCACAGAACTCTGGAACCTACAAAGAGCCCTGTGCTGTCTCTCTACATACGTCCTCCTGTGTGGGTAGCTGTAAGGGTGTGCATGGCCTCTCCATGAGCCCATCAGCGGCTCCACAGGTCCCAGGGAAGAATCCTGGGACTCCTCTACCCAGAGAGTGGGGCTGTGACCTGGGGAGGGGGGAAGGATCTCTGGATTCTTCTCCCATGATAGTGACAGTGATGCCGTTTCCCAATTTGGAAAAAAGAATACTTATGAAAATGCATGGTCACAGGAAAAAGATAAAAAATTTCATAAGAGGAAACATGGGGCTAGAGATATAGCTCAGTGATAAAGCACCTGCCCAGCATGCATGAGGACAACACACACACACACACACACACACACATTTTTTCAGTCATTGTGAGAGAATAATTCTTTCACATTCCATGGGTGGGCTGGGGAGTAGGGAGACAGATGAGGAGCCTGTTTGTTTTGCCATTCTGGATGGGATAGGCTTCCCCTGACATCCAAATTATGTGATACATGACAGGAGACTACACTGTTAATCCTAAAGCTGAATTATGTTGTAAAGTAGCCAGGACCAAGTTAAATTCTATTTCAATTGTTTGATAATACCACCATTTCTGAAATTGCACAATGGTTTAAGTAAGCCACTATCAATTCTACTAAGCTATAAACCAGTTTTCAAGAGGATTACTTTACAAACAGTGGCTGCCACCAGCTGCAGAGAGGCAGCTCAAGGTCATTCCAGGTCAGCTCAGTATTTAAATAATTTTGGAGACAACTACTATATGCCTAGGTAGGCCTAATATTTTTTTACATTTCTTCTTTCAAATGCACAATTTGGATCATTGTGTGTTTGGGTGGATTTGAGAGAACAAATTCGAACACTCCACCTGAATTCTAAATCAGCCAGCTGCTAGCACAGATCCCGAGTAGACATGGGCACCAAGTTAAACTCAGAAGAAACATCTCTTCCACTCGGTCACCCTGTGAGCCCAGGGAGAGATGTGCAGGGTGGGTTTTTGAAGCTCTACAGCTCAGGAAGAGTATCAGAAATGCTATAAGGGTGGCAGTATCCCCAGGGCCAATACCAGGACTAGCTTTAAAATTATTACATTTAAGTTGAATTCCAGTTTTTAAGAATTCTTACTGGTTTATAGAATTAGAACAGGTTTTTCTGAAATTTACTGATATTGATACATATCCTTTGAATTATTAAAGTAATAACAGTAATTTAGCACAGTAGTGCTAATTGAGTAATTCTGACAAATTAATTGAAAAATTCCCTCGATCTCACCTGGCTCCAACTGGGTAGAATTTGATGAAGATGCTCAGAGAAAGTCTAGTCTATGGATAAACATGAATGCCATGTTTTTTTTGTTTTTTGTTTTTTTAAACCAGGGATTGAACTCAGGGCACTCAACCACTGAGCCACATCATCAGTCCTATTTTGTATTTTATTTAGACAGGGTCTCACTGAGTTGCTAAGCACCTCATTGCTGAGGCTGGCTTTGAACTTTCGATTCTCCTATCTCAGCCTCCCGAGCTGCTGCGATTACAAGTGTGCACCACCACACCTGGCCGAATGCCATGTATTTTAATAGATTCTTTGCAGTTAGCTTACATTAGTTATCTAGCTTATATTGAATAAATGTTTAAAGAAAATTTAATAAAATTTAATAAGTGACAGAAATGAGGTTCTAAACCAAGTTAAAAAAAAGATCATCCACATTTTGGCTGAATAAAAGCAAAAGCCCTACATTTTCAACCACAACCACCCCCCAAATACCTAAAACACCAGAGTGGCCTACTGATGTTGGAGTTTCATGCATAAAATCAAGTTGTAAATTATATTTTTAAATGTAGATCTTCCAAGTCCTAGACAAGTATTATTTTGCAAATTAAATAAAATAATCCTGTTGCTATGCCCACTGAGGCATGAGGCTGAACAATAATTGCATTTCAGAGACTATCCAAACTTGGAGATGAACTGAGTTTAAGGAAAGGCAGAAGACAATGGGAAAGACTTTTGCCAAGGGTTTTGGAAAGGGGCTCCTCTTCACTCTGTTTTCCTGAGCAGTTGACAGTGAAGTTAGGAAAGAGCAGAGGAGGAGGAGGAAGAGGGGGCTCAGCAAGAGGTGATGGGGGGAGACATAAAACCAGAGAAGAGATGCAGTCAGGAAGGAGGAGGATAAAAAGAAACCAGAAAAATAAGATAAAGAAGAAAATCACAGAGAGGAACCCATGGTGTGGTGGCTCCAGGAAGTCTCCATGGGAGGGGCTTGGGTGGCAAGCCAGCCAACCAGGGTAGTGTTGGGGGACGGTTAGGGGGCTTGGAGTGAAGCTGATTGGGCCTTTGGGGGAAGAGGCTATTGGTCATTACAGAATGAGAGGGCAACTAAAAATGTCCCCAAGTGCCATCTGGCATCCTCAGGGATTCAACAAACAAACAAACAAAAAATCAGGAGAGAAATGTTTAAGACTCAGTGAAAGTGGCTCATGATTTGTCACTAATGGGCGCCATTTCCTTTGCATTTTGAAAGAATGACCCCATCACCAACTATCTAAAGAAGTTCTACCAAAGAAAGAAGAAACCCAGAGGACTCTCATAGAGTCTAATCCTTCCTCACCAGGTCCCTAAGGACATTACAAAGAGGACCCAGGGACATCATGGCTCTTTAGGGAGCTGGGGGCATTTGCAGGAGGCAATACTAGGCAATCCCAAGCTTTTGGGTCCTTTACCAGAGGCAATCGAGCAACTTATTATATTTATTAGGGATGAAAAAGTAAGGTTTTTAAAAAAGTGACTCATAAGTTCATTTGTGTGCCACTTCTGTTTTTAGTGTTTTGGATGGTCTAGGTTTAGTATAAGAAACACATGCCTGTTCATTCTATTCAACAAAAGTACTAAAACTTTGCTCAGGTGGCAGAACAATGAAATGAATCCCCTCCCTTCCAAAGATGCCTAAATCCTAATTCTAGAACCCATGAATATATTAGGTTACAAGGTAAAGGAGAATTTAGTTTGCTGATCATTTGACTTAATATAGATCATTTTAGATTATCTGGGTGGGTGCAATGTGTTCCTGAGAGTCCTTAAAAGTAGAAGACTTAGAGGAAGATGCAACTATGGAAGAATGGCCCATAGAGACAATGTTGATTGATGTCTTAGAAGGTGGAAGAAGTGGGCCAGAAGCCCAGAGATGTGGGAGGCCTCTAGAAGCCAGAGGGCAAAGACATGGATTCTCCTGTGGAGCCCTCAGAAGGGCAAGCTCCAGGTTGGTGCCTGGTCAGAACTGTAAGATTAATACATTTGCATTTTTAATCTGTAAACAACAGCAATAGAAAATTAATATATCTAATTTATTTGCTGTAATGGTAGTCCTAAATACTAACTCCACAACTATTTTGATAACCAAAAGGGATAAGACTTCCATTATGGTAACTTTGAATTCTATAAAGAGGGAAACCTCGAATCCATCAGATGGAAATTATGTATCATTTCAGTATGGGAACAAATAGGTCAAGAGAATGGCAGTTCTAAATTGTACACTTTAGGAATAAATATCCTGCAATTTAGTGTGTCATATTTCAGATTTATAAAAAGTTAACACAGTTTTGAGCCTGTACTAAATTCAGCCAATCATTCTTTAAGAGCAAAGATACTGCCATCTTTCTTACTATATATCTGAAAAAACTCACCACTCAGGATTGATAGTTGTTTGCAATGCCTTATCTATTAAGAGACTAGAAATTAAGAAATTTGTCCAACAGATTACATTTGTAAATGAAGCTGATGATGTTCCACTGAGAAGTGCATCAAAATCTCTAGACTGTCCACTAAAGTTCTTTGAAATTTATGTCATATTCTTTCTCCACAAAGCAAAGACAGAATTTAGATGACCTTAATAAAAAGACACCCTTAGATATCTGAAGTAGTAAAACCAGTACTAATTTGTAGCAATATTAAATCATACTAATTTGAAAGCCAGAATAGGCATAATTTGAATAGTAAAGGTAATAGTAATATCAAATACTTGGCTCTGTTTATAGAAGCATGAAATGACACTTGTAATCATTAAAAGGATGGACTGAATGTCATAGAACAGGCAGCCTTCTGGCCTTGAATCTGGGGGAAATGTGCCAACCCAAACTGTCTCTAAGCACCTATGATAGATAGGATGAGCACAGGGGAGGTTAAATGGGACAAAACCAGATTCAAATCTAAGAATCATACGCCTTGCATGGTTGGAATAATCTGCCTATAGCTCTGAAAGAAAACGGAGATGAACAAAAGCCACAGAAAGAACAATATAAACTTGGTCATTTAAAAAATAAAGACAAACTTGGGCAGTGCATTATGAAAATGGCATGTGAGTAAAATTTATAGAAGGCAGCAAAGTGGATTCAATAAACTAGTGATGTCAGAGAGCACCTGCCAGTGGGCACAGTGGCCAATGCTAGTGGAACTCAGTGATTTTTCAAAATGCAGATTTCCAAGGTTAGCTCAGAGCATGCATATATATAACTGATGACAAAATGCAAAGTGTGGTAAACTCTGCAAACCTGAACTTCTTGGCCCGAGTATGTTCCTTTGCTTGTATAAAAGAATTTTCTTTTGAGACAGGGTCTCACTAAGTTGCCCAGGCTGGCTGGAACTTGTGATCCTCCTGCCTCAGTCTCCTGAGTAGTTGGACTGTAGGCATGCATATCTTATAATTTTTGTTTTTTAAAAAAATGTCTATCAGACACAAATAGCATGACCCCATGAAAACTTTCCTTCATAAAAAGAGTTATTTCTTTTCCAACTTGTTGCCTTTCAAAACTGTTAGCAAAACACAACAAAGATCAAAGTTAAAAAAAAAAATGACTAAACTAAACCCCCTAATTTCTCACTAAGATTAAGGTCTACATCTTACACACTATTTAAACTGTTTCATAAAGAGCTATGTGAATGGGTGGGCATTCAAGAGATGGACGCCTCACACATATAAAAATGCAGACAGGCAATCAGGGTTTTTTTCCTGGAAAAAAACAAACCGATATTATGAAATGCAAACATGCTGAAACACAGCAGATGATGTGGGCAGGTCTGTGTTCGTTATCAGACTTGCATCTTAGACACCTCTGCTGGGACACAGCTCACTTCCCATGGCCCCACCTGCTGCTCAGCGAGCCTCTTCTGGATTTCCTGATCGTCACAGACGTCGTAAACAACCGGCTTCGAAAGCTCAGACTCGATGCGAGCCAACCAGGTGCGAAGATTGCTCATGTTTTTGTCTAACTGCTGAATAAAAGCAAATGTCTCCTTCAGCTTCTTCACCCTGAACATATTTGCAGAAAAAAAAAAAAAAGATGGAAGACAAAAACTCAGCATTTAGTGACAAGAAAAAGGGACCAGCCAATAAGGGTGTTGGTGGGTAAAGGATCAAAACTTGCTCTGATCTTCTAACAGGAACGACTCTCATGTCACCAGAGTTCTCACAGAATACATGCCACTTTGCAAAACTGTCACCTCAGTTGATTTTTTCATATGGACTTAGTCTACCCATGCAAACAAGGATGTCCTATCATTCCCAAAGTGGGGGCCCCCTGAAGTCCTATCCATCTTGCTGGGCCTCCAGAGGTGAGATGTCACTTCTCTACAATAACCACTTTTGGCTTCTTTTGCCCCGTTTCTGTCTTGGGTATGCCTGAGACAATTGTCTTCCCGAGAGATTAAAGATGTCACACGCCTGGCTAGTTGGTAGTTAGCCCACAATGCCTCTCATGGGACCTTGCTCTGAGCAAGAGAAGGACACATGCCAAACCCACCACTTCAGCCAGGATCGATGGTGCCACTGAACCAGCCCATGTGGGTACTAGAGGGTCGCCTGTCAGTCAGAGGGTGGGGGCAGAGGTGAACGGTGCCCTCCAGCGCAGTTCTAAGTGCCTGCTACCTGGCCAGTCTGCCTCAGATCCTGCCCAGGCTGACTCCACATTGAGCATATTTGAAAAGACGCATGTGGCGCTGGTGTAAAGTGGTGCACTCACCAAAACCAAGTGCCACCGAGGGACAACCACCATAATTTTATGTAAATACTGAAATAAAATGTGTCAATAAACCCTTTCATGAAAGTCCTAAAAGGAGCGTGAGTGAGGGTGACCTGGGGGATTTTCAGTTAATCCCAGCGACTTCAACTAGTAGCTACAGTTGAAATTTCCCACTTACCAATCCTCAAGCTGGAAGATACTGTCAGAACTACATCCCATGGCTGGGAGCGCTAAAGAGAGAAACTGGGGTACTGACCCTAACTCACTGGACCACACTGACCTCCATGCCACCACCACCTCTTACTTAACTGGACAACTTCCTACCTAGAGGCCTCCTTGCCCTCCTACCCACCTTTGGTTCTGAAGCTGAAGGATACATCCTGGAAGGCGGGTCTGATCCATGGCCACAACACAACAGTTGCTGCCTTTCCTGGACAAACCAGTTTAATCACGTGATCTCCTCCAGCGTTTAGTGGCCTCTGCCTCTAGCCCTTCAGTTTGCAAAGTAACTCCTCTTTCCTTCTGGAGCTTCTCTCCACTGCCCCTCCCCCACAGGCTCCCACAGTATCTGGGCCTCCCACCTGGCGCCCTAACAGTGAGTCTCTGCACCTATCAACACAGAGACTAGCTGCCAGGCAGCACTCCCACACCGCCTGGTGGGCCAAAGGTGTCCACAAACATTTGCTGAATGGATAAATATAGCTAAAGCCCTTCTACAGCTTAGGAATTGGGCAGACCACAGAGGTGTGCATGTGTATTTTGTTTTTGTTCCTTACAAGGGACCAAGTCAACCAGCTCTATTGTCAGGGTGACCTGTTATGTTCTCCCTTATCCCCAGTAGGCCTCTGAAGTCTCCCAATTCAGAAAGGCAACAGGATCCAAGTGAGGTTAAGGCCAGAGCTTCGGAGGTGAGCTGCCCAGGGTCAAGTCCATTTCACTATCTATAAGCTATAAATCCCTGCAAGACCCTCAGTTTCTGACTCCTTGTTTCTTTGTTATCTGTAAAATTAAACACCTTGCAGTGGTTGTGGGACCAAAATAACAGAATGCATGCATGTAGAGCCACTGGGGCATAATAAATGCTTAATAACACTAGCTCTTCTTATGCTGACTGGGTTTACAGGAGACTGTGAAAATAATAATGCCTTTTCTATTCAGCACTGGACCTCACCAAGTTCTTTCATAGGTGTTTTAATCTTATTAGCACCATAGACTGTTCAGGCTTGTAAGCTGTGGAGTCTGGTGGTGAAGGACACAGACAGGCCCTGACCACAGGGTTTCAGTCCTGTTTAATCTCATGTGAAAAATGGTGCTAACAGTAGCACCTTCCTTCCTGGGTAGCTGAGAGGACCACAGGAGACACAATGCATGAAGGGCACCGGGGACACTGTCTGATGTGATGGGCAGATGCCCAGGGACTGCGTGCATGATCAGTTTCAAGGAGGAATATTCTCCAAATTGCACTCTTACTGCTAACAAGTTGCCTTCAAAGTCACTAAGAGGATTCATTGAAAAAAAAGTAACAGAAGCCCAAGCCAGGCCTGGATACATTGTAACCTGGTTGAAGCAGGGGCTTCATTTCCACCAAGTTAGCATTATGCCCTCCTCACCCAAACATTCTGCCACCCTGCCTGTCCAGGGACCAAAAGTCTTCCACACAGTTGGGAAGGGCTGTCCTCCTTGGAGGCTCTGCTGGAGAAGAGGCCTGGGCAGGTTCAGGTTCAGTTCAGCAGCCTCCTCTTCCCTTTTCCCAGGATGGCAGCCATTCACTGCCTTCATCCAGCATCTGACCCTATTTCACCATAAGAATCCCGGCCTCTTTCTTATTGTAAAAAGAAAGAGGGCTGGAATGCAAGTTTTTTATATGAAGGTGACAAGCAGCAAAATAATCTGGGTGTAAGAATACGGGGGTGCAGTGGTCTTGATTGACTTCAGCCCTAGGGGTTAGCCATGCCATGCATGATAACTCCTACAGGAGGGGGATGAATAATTTGCTCGGCTTCCCAGGACTGTGGTTTCTAAGGGGTGCTTCAGACATATCAATGGGACATAGGTATAACATACAGGCTGAGCATCCCTGTTCTGAAAAAATCTAAAATCTAAAATACTCCAAAATCAGACACTTTTTTTTTTTAAGCACAATCATGATGCCACAAGTGGGGAATGCCACTCCTGATCTCGTGTGATGGTTTACATCAGGACACAGGCAACACTGAAAGTTACTATGTGAAACTATGTCTGGGGTATATATGAGAATCCTAAATGAATTTTGTGTTTAGACCCAGGTCCCATCTTTAAGGTATTTCATTATGTACATATGAAATTATTCCCAAATCTGAAATCCAAAATACTTCTGTTCCTAAGCATTTTGGATAAAGGACACTCAGTCTAATAGACTTTATTCTGCTAACCCATTCTTTTAAAGTATCTACATTGGATATGACTTTTAATACATAAACCTTATTACTAAAATGGAATATCTGTGTAACATAGCATCTAACAGGCTGACCCGTGCCAGGCCTGCAGTGGTTCACATGTTAGCAACTCATTTAATCCTTATGACAATGCTAAGAGATGGGTATTATCATCATTCCTATTTGACAGTTGAAGAAATGGAAGTCTGGACTCATGGCTCCAGGATACACTACTGCATTACTGGGGATAGAAGCCAGTCCACACAGCGCTAGGCTATAAGCTAGTGTGTGGGGAAGAGGTCAGAAGGCTCAGATATGCTGTCCCCATTTCCTTCCCATGATTTTCTTTCAATGCATTTAACTATTTGCTTAATCTTGGTTGCTGTGCACATTCTGGAAATCCAAAGATAACTGGAAGATAGGTCTTATTCCCACAGAGCTCATGACCTTGCAATTTAGACGTTATGATAGGGGAGATGCACAATAAAGATCTATTGAATGAGGTTCACTTATACCTTCATGTTTGTTTTTTTTCTATAAAAGAGGTGGTCACATTATATTTGAAAGGAGAGAAATGAAGACCAGAGCACATCAAAGCCCTTTTGCCAGAAAACAACATGGTGCCCTCCAGTGAGCCACATGTGCCCCTAAACTCAATTTCCAAATGAAGTGGAACAGGCACACAAATCAGGTGCACACTTAGGGTAAATTCAAGAAGAGAAGGCAGAGGGAAGGCAAGAAGGTTGCCAAGAAGCTATATAGCATTCATCAGTCAGAATTGAACCTATTCCATGTATCAACCTCTGTCTGGAAGCACAACACCCCAAATGTATGAGAATCAAAATGTTGCTCCTTGGATAATCATGTTACAACTCACTCCAGGAACATCAGATGCATTGCTGAGTTTGTAATGTTCTGTTCTCTACAGATACTGTAACCCAAATCACATTTCCCAGGTCAGTAACTTATGTGCCATTTGCCAGCCCCAGCAACTGGCCTCCACATTAGGACTCCTTAAAGTTGCTCTTGGAAAACATCTGAATTTCAAGTTAATATGGAGAAAAAAGGAAATCTATTCAGAAGCCAGTCCGTTGGCACAACCCTGCATTACATCAACCACCTAAACAGTTTGTTTATGTGGCTCCCATCTCTGTACTTGCCCACATTTTGACCCAGGTGCTCTTGGCTAACACTTCTCACATATATGCCAACAAATATTTATTCAGAAAAATGCAGCATGATTTCCTGAGCTGAATTCTGAGGTCTGATGATCAGAACAATAAAAATTTTTTTAGATGCAAAGGGGGAGCTGTCTGCCTATACAGATATTTTCCATGAAACCAAACAAAAGAATTATACCCAAGAGTAGCTATAAAACAGAACAGTTCTTTTGCAAGGATTATGGGTAGAAATGCAGAAAAGAATTAAGGTGAACAAAGTTTTTCTTTTATCTTGACTAGTGATGGATCAGAATGTAACACTGACAAATACTGCTCTCCTTCCAGAATGAACAGTCAAAATCAAGGTGAGTTGGTTAGTAGCAGTCTCTGCATCTAGCCCAGGTCTTACAATGCAATGGAGGCTTTAAATAATACCTGCATATACATTTAGAATAATTAATAGTTGTGCATAGGGAATAATTTACCTTTCAGTCCAGTTCTCCTCATGCTAAGGAGTCTACTCTGAAATTACTAAAGCCCTAGATTAGCATAAATTAACAAAAAATTCCTATGCCAATGTGGACAGCAGAACAAAAATCACAAGGAAAAACTGAGATGGTTGAAAGCACCCAAATTTGTGCAGAAATCAACACTCCAACATGGGGGCAGCTGTCAGCTGCTAAAAACGCTGTATGGATCCTGTATAACTCTGATCTTTTTCAAGAGCTAAACATCTTTATAGCAAAATAATCAATTGCTCCAAGATCCCAAAGCCCTGATGTGAGGACACGGACATGACAACACATTCTGGAGCTAATCGCCTGGCTGGAGCATTTCTGAGGCCGGAAGACTCCCATCTTCCACACAGCACAGTCGCTGTCTCTCTGCCCTGTTTGTCGGAGGCAGCCTGCAGACACCGCTCGCCTGCTGACGCCGGAGAACCCATCCCCCGATGGCTGAGCGCATATCCTCCACCGCCACCATCTCATCGGTGATCTCTATTGTCACCAAAATGAGAGAGCAGAGACACAAGAGACAGCTACCGTGTCGCCATAGGCAGAGCTGATGGCTGAAATGGCACTTACTGTATATGAGAAAAAGTCATTCCTTAGGTTGAAGCGAAAGCTCCAAGTTCCCGGCTGCACCTCCACCTCCCAGGGCCGGGGCGGCCCCTCCCCCTGCCCAGCGTGCCCTCTTCATTCACTGGTTCAGCATCTTGCAGAGCAGCGGAGGCAGCCCTCCCCAAGGCTCCTCACGGAGGTGAGGCGGCAGGGCTGGCTCAAGGGCCCGGAGTGAGGCCAGTAGCAAAGGAAGACACCTTCTCTGCCCACTGCAATTTTTAATCTCTGTTTTCTCCCTTCCAATAAACAAACATCTCCAGCTCTTCCCTCAGACACTCCGTCTTTGTTCTGACGCTACAGGATTGCAATGCTGGGGGAAGAAAGTCCCAGTGTTATCTTGGCTCTGGGTTATTTACCAAGTGCTTTAAACCCAGGGAAGAAGCAGATTGGAGACATGGCAAAAAAAGGATTTCTGTTCTCAAATTAATTTTTCTGTTTCAAGTTTTTGGAAAGGGACGATGAAATATCTGAAGCCCCTGAGTCTAACAGGGATGCCTTCCTCCTGTATTCCTAAGGGGGACATTTCCCAGTGGGGATTTTCTGCCCTCCCTTTTGAGTCCTGTGCATCTTGGTTTAGGAAGATCAGAGAGTTCATATAATCCATTCCATTGCTTTTTGCAGAAAAATTCCATCTTGCTGTACAAATGGTGCTCAAGATTTTGCAGGGGAAGAAATTGTGTACTTTTCCTTGCTAGCTCCTTCCTTACTATAATGTGGGCACCTGGCAATTCCTCCTTATCCCTAGCCTCAGTTTCTCTGGATGATCTGAAGTGGCTCTGTTTACCAGACCATTGCTTGGTTTGTGTTAAGCTCACTTCCAGCCCTTATTTTGTGACTCCATAATATTAATCCATTCTCTTGGGTTCCTAAAGCCCAACATTGGATCATTATGACATCCCCACCTTGAAACACAGCAAACATTCTAAACCAGTGGAATTAGGAATACGGATTTGGTAGCATTTCTCCCCAAATGCAGCATCCAATTAACTTATGCTCACATACTTGGCTACTCCTGTGACCTGCTAAACATGAACCTCAGAGAGTCAGTGCCCTGTATCATCCCATTGATGGCTGCTCTCTTCTGGGGAGTGGGAGTCCCTTGACTCCCCAGGAAGGTATTGGGAGCAGCAGTCACCTGTTCTAGAGCTGCAATGATCAGATGATGGAAAAGAAAATGGAAGTGGGGAGGCCTATCTCATAACTTGCTTCCTTTATGCTAAAATATCTCAATTCTTCCTGCTCCCCTGCACCAGACAACCTACTAAGACCAGAGCAAGTCAGTTTTGTGACTAACAGAATTGTTTGGTCTTTCCCAATAACCTTGAGAAAATATAGATAAAAGGAGAGCAGTGAAAAGCGTTATCAGTTTAAAAAGGCATGTCTGCCTGCCCATTCTGCAAGGGAAGGAAAAACAATCTTAACACATGGTTGCCATGGTAATAACTGCTGAGTTATGACAACATTTTAATTGTTACTATTATAAATTAGGCGGGCTTTTCATATGGGTAGGTAAAATGTGAAAATTATGCTTAATTTCTTTCCATGGACTTGATACTTCTGAAAGCAAGAGAGCAAGCCATTGTAAATAGGAAAGGATCAAGACTGTGAGTAATGTTCTTACTTCATTGATTCCTAGGACTCAACATTGGTTAAGAATGCCAAGCCTGTTAATGAAGATACCACAGAAGAGAAATTAAGAAGGGCAACATTGCTTTCCTTAGAAAATACAGACAAGGTGGGGCTGGGTGTAGCTCAGTAACAGAGTGCCCCTCTAGCATGCATGAGGCCCCAGGTTCCATCCCTGTTACTTCAAGGAAAAAAGTACAGATAAACAAAAAGAAAAATTCAAATCTCTAATGATCCAACATGGAAAGATAACTAACATAAAAATTCTGGAGGTACCTCTTTTAGGCACTGAAAGTTTTCATCAGATCATTCCAGTATGTTGCTAGAAAGAGTCTTTAAAGAATTCCCATACCTGAAGAGGCTCCATCACAATGCGTAAGCAGCAAGGCACGATAAGGCATGCCTATAATCCTAGCTAGTCTGGAGGCTGAGACAGGAGGATCGCAAATTCAAGGCCAGCCTCAGCAATTTAACAAGGCCCTTAGCAACTTAGTGAGAACTAATCTCAAAAATAAAAATAAAAAAATAAAAAGGGCTGGGGATGTAGCTCAGTAGTTAAATGCTCCTGGGGGTTAATCCCTAATCCTGAAATAACAAAAAACACACAACCACATACACCATTAACCAGAGTGACTCACTAAAGACACAGACACCTGTGGTCACAGAACTCCTGCTTCATTAGGATTTGGTCATGCTTTCCCATCTATGAAATGGGAAGGGGCTCTGGGAAACAAAGCTAGATGGATTTTTTTTTTTTTTTAGGTGTTTCATGAATACTGTTTTTTTTTTTCTTCTTTTTTCTTTTTAAATAAAACAATAGTAGGTCAGATTATGAATCCTTCTCTGGCTTCAGTCCCATTAAGGAGATGAAATCCCAGACTCCCCTGGTGTGGTGGCACGTGCGTATAATCCTTAGCAATTTGTGAGGCTGAGGCAGGAGGACGGCCAGTTCAAAGCCAGCCTGAGCAACTTAGCAAGCCCCTGAGCAACTTAGTGAGACTCTGTCTCAAAATTCAAATTACAATTAAAAAATAAAAAAGGAGGCTAGACATGTGGCTCAGTGATTAAGCACTCCTAGGTTCAAACCCAGGTACCTACTGCCCAAAAAATCCCAGACTCCTTTGGGAGCTTTAGTCTGTGCTGGCTAAAGCATGTTAACTTTGCATCTTTTCATCCATCACCTGGCATTTTTTTTTTTTTTAGAGAGAGAGAGAAAGAGAATTTCAATATTTATTTTTAGTTTTCGGCGGACACAACATCTTTGTATGTGGTGCTGAGGATCGAACCCGGGACGCACGCATGCCAGGAGAGCGCGCTACCGCTTGAGCCACATCCCCAGCCCCATCACTTGGCATTTTGTACTTAATCTGTTCCATGGTAATATAGTGCCCTCTAATCCAGAATATTGTATGTATTGATGGGGTTTTTTTTTGGGGGGGAGGGGAACTTCTGTAATTTAGTAATCTTTCCTTCATTCAGGTTTTGCTGAGTCACTTTTCAGAGATATTATCTAAGAAAACTGAGGAGGAGCTAATAGCTACAATAAAAAATTAAATTCATTCAATCTATTACATGTACACAGTAGCATAGAACTAATATTTCTTGTCATCAATCAGATTGGATTCTAGATGACCACACCATCATCAAAAAATATGCTTTCGGTGTTTTTCAGTAATGAAACTGATAGCATGTTTCCTAAGAATTTAAGAGGACACAAATATAAGATACTATAAATATAAGGGCCCTTGATGACAGCTAAATTTCCCAATCCCGCCACGACACAGAGCCAGCTCTGTGAATTCTAATTGCCACGTCAGGGCCTGTTTAATCTTATGTGTCAGGACTTGGGCTCCCTGACTCTTTGATAAAGTTATTTCAGGACACCAGACTTCAGGTTCTTGAAGGATTTTACAGAAGCGGAATACTTTATCAGTAGAGAAAAGATAGTCGTTTTGGGGTGAGTCTCTTCTCCCAGCTATGGTTATCATGGCCACGCTGAATGGACATCATGTGTGTGTGGATGGACCCAGGATCATCATCTGGCATTTTAGTCCTCACTTTTGAGTGCCATTTCAAACCTCAGAGTTAAAGACTTCTAGTGAAAAATTTTAAAGTTATGAGGCCAAACACCTATGTGGGGTTCCCAACTCTTTCCTTCCCCCACAGCAATGCCCCCGTCCAACGCCCAGGATGCAGTCAGTGCTGGGGATCAGATGAGCTGATTCTATGTGAGGATGGCTCACCGCAGGTCCAAGCTTGCTGTCTGGATCCTTGACTCACTTGAAGGGTTCGCTCAGCTAAAAGCTCCTTACACTCCACCTGGCCCTTCTTTAATGGTAAAAGATGTTACTGTTCCCAAGTCCCTCAGCACCAGGCTCTCGATGTGTCCCACACATTTCAGTGTTTCCAACTGGAAGGGTCTGGGATGGCAGGGAAGCAACACAACTGCCAGAATTGAAATCCTGGTTTTGTCATGAGCTGGCTATATAACTAACTATGGGTAAATTCTTTAACTTCAGCCCTCGGTTTCCTTATCTGTAAAATGGGATAATGATACCTACCCTTCAGAATTACAATGAAGTTTAAGTGAAATCATACAAAAAAGAACATACTGTTAAGAATATAACCACAGCCAATATATTTGATATTATTTCAGTTCTTTAAGTTTCCCAATTGCTGTTTCCAAAAAGATCAAAGAAACTTATCCCACTGTATTCTTTCTTTCCCACCAAGCAATTGGTTGAAGACAGGCAGCCAAAGAAGCAGGGAGGACAGTAAAGAGCCTGTGAAAACTCCAAAGTGATATATCAGGAACGATTAAGAATCTTCAGGACCCTCTCTCCTGCTGGTCTCTTGTGTCAGGTAGCTCGAAGCAGGAGCCAGGAAGGGCCGACTCTTAGCTGGGCAAGAAAAAGATGCGACATTCCAAACGAACACACTGCCCTGATTGGGATAGCAGAGAAAGCTGGGGTCATGAAAGCTACAGTGGAAGTCACAAACGGAAGAGGAGATCTCACAGTAGTACACAAGAGAATAGGCATTGTAAACCGCATCACCAGTTTAAAGAATCTGATTGTCATTATTTAGAAGCAAGGTCCTTGAATGAGAGAGATTATAGGGACCGGAGATACGTTGATGAATACAGAAATGACTACTGTGAAGGATATATTCCTAGACATTATCACAGAGACATTGAAAGCGCTTATCGAATCCACTGCAGTAAATCCTCAGTCCGAAGCAGGAGAAGCAGTCCTAAAAGGAAGCGTAATAGACACTGTTCAAGTCATCAGTCACGTTCGAAGAGCCACCGAAGGAAAAGATCCAGGAGTATAGAGGATGATGAGGAGGGTCACCTGATCTGTCAAAGTGGAGACGTTCTAAGAGCAAGATATGAAATCGTGGACACTTTGGGTGAAGGGGCCTTTGGCAAAGTTGTAGAATGCATTGATCATGGCATGGATGGCTTACATGTAGCAGTGAAAATAGTAAAAAATGTAGGCCGTTACCGTGAAGCAGCTCGTTCAGAAATCCAAGTATTGGAGCATTTAAATAGTACAGATCCTAATAGTGTCTTCCGATGTGTCCAGATGCTAGAATGGTTTGATCATCATGGTCATGTTTGTATTGTGTTTGAACTGCTGGGACTTAGTACCTATGATTTCATTAAAGAAAACAGCTTTCTGCCATTTCAGATTGATCACATCAGGCAGATGGCGTATCAGATCTGCCAATCAATAAATTTTTTGCATCATAATAAATTAACACATACAGATCTGAAACCTGAAAATATTTTATTTGTGAAGTCTGACTATGTAGTCAAATATAATTCTAAAATGAAACGTGATGAACGCACACTAAAAAACACAGATATTAAAGTTGTTGACTTTGGAAGTGCAACATATGATGATGAACATCACAGTACTTTGGTGTCCACACGGCACTACAGAGCTCCAGAGGTCATTTTGGCTTTAGGTTGGTCTCAGCCTTGTGATGTTTGGAGTATAGGTTGCATTCTTATTGAATATTACCTTGGGTTCACAGTCTTTCAGACTCATGATAGTAAAGAGCATCTGGCCATGATGGAACGAATATTAGGACCCATACCAGCACACATGATTCAGAAAACAAGGAAACGCAAGTATTTTCACCATAACCAGCTAGATTGGGATGAACATAGTTCTGCTGGTAGATATGTTAGGAGACGCTGCAAACCATTAAAGGAATTTATGCTCAGTCATGATGAAGAACATGAGAAGCTTTTTGACCTTGTTCGAAGAATGTTAGAATATGATCCAACTAAAAGAATCACCCTGGACGAAGCATTGCAGCATCCTTTCTTTGACTTATTAAAAAAGAAATGAAATGGAAATCAGTGGTCTTACTATATACTTCTCTAGAAGAGATTACTTTAAGACTGTGTCAGTCAACTAAACATTCTAATATTTTTGTAAACATTAAATTATTTTGTACAGTTAAGTGTATATACTGTATGTTTTGTATCTATAGCAAATTTACCTTGTTAAGCAGTATGGTCTTGATAATGAATGAAATATAAAAGTTGAAATTAAAAAAAAAAAAAAAAAAAAAAAAAAAAAAAGAATCTTCAGGAGGCATTAGCTAGACTTTGCTCCTGAATGACCCATGAACAGGGACAACGTCATCACACCCTTGACTAATGCCAGGTGTCCAGGACAACTTAGGACATGAAGATGATGATGGTAAAGAACATTCCTTCATTTCAACAAATATGTAAAGCACCATTCTTGATTCTGGGTCAGACCCCTGGCCTCACAGAGGAAAGACCTCTTATTACTAGACATAACCACAGGAATCCTCTTCCACTCCTCTTCCAATGTGCTATTGAATCTCAGAGTTTTCAGAGGGGTAAACAGTGAAAACCACCAGTCAATCATTGTTGGTTCCTGCATGCTACACCAGTCCTCTGCCAAAGGCGGGACACACCATCACTCATCCACACAGCAGGGAGTGGCCTCTGACATAAGGAGTGCCACTGGACACATGTGCAGATTTGGAAACTTCAAGTTTCCATGGTAAATAAGTAAGAAAGTCAGGAGTGGCTCAAAACCAAAGCCTTACCTAGGTTACAGCAATGGATTTCAGTAGGTGTATTTTTCAACAAGCTGTAGAAAGAAGTGAAATTCAGCCCAGCCTATGCTAGCAGCCAAATCACCCCGAGATACACCTTTAGGAGAGCCACTATGGCTAAAAAATTCTTAAGTGACCCAGACCTTATTTAGCAGGCCAAGTCTTCAGATGAGATTTAAAGTCTGTTCAGACTTAGCCTCATTGGAGCTTTCCAGCTTCATTTCCTGTGGGGCTTCTTGTCATCTCTCAGGTGGCGTCTGTGCTGCTGTACCCTGTACCTGTTGGCTCACAATGTCTCCCTCACTGCCTCTAGTCATGGTCAAGAGTCAACCCTTCCTCAGGACCGTCTGGGATCTCAGTCCTTCCGTAAGATTCTTCCTAATCCCCACCCCCAGGAAGATGTGATCCCAGCTCTCGAACCCGCTGGGCTTTATAGCTGCTCAGATATCCACTCCCATTAAAGTAATTGACACATCTTACTTCCTGTCTGTAATTCTCATACCACTTAGCCCGGTGGCTCTGCTGATTGAATCAGGCTTACTTATGACTTCCTGTAAACAGCGAGGTAAAGGATATGCCACATTATTAACAGCATCTTATTTTTATCACCCCTCACTTCTTCATGCACCTTCTAGGTTCTCCTGTATATTCCAGATTATATATGTGTTCAAAACACCTAAGCACACTGTTACACAAAACCCATGGCTGAGTGACTGTTCTCTGTATAACAGGCTGTAAAGGAATCTGGTTGGGATTGATCTTTAAGAGAGAATTTAAAGATGGAGAGAAGACATTTAAAAACTCTGGGCATCACCATTTTGTGAGGGGAGAAATGATCAATTCTGTTTCTGATGAAATTGTACTGAAGAATATACTTTTTTTTAAATAAATATTCTTCAGATGTTAATGAACCTTTATTTTATTCATTTACTTATATGTGGTGCTGAGAATCGAACCCAGTGCCTCACACATGCCAGGCAAGTACGCTACCACTAAGCCCCAGCCCCAGCCCTGGAGAATATACTTTGATTTGTGGTCACAGCTGTGACTTCATCTGTACCTGAGGACAAGATGCTGTCCATAATCCAAAGCTGCGTTCCCCAATGGACAAGATGCCCATTAGGAACTTGGCACACCCAGTATGTATCCTTACAGAGGGTCCCTGCTATGGGGACAGTCAAGGGCCCCAGCCCAGTTTCTAGAAACCAGGCCTGTGTCCTGTCCTCTGATATTTGCCACAGTGAGGCAGGAACAGTCATAATTTCATCTGGGGGAAACACAAATGCTAAAGCAGAGTTACAATTTCTGAATAATAGTTCCTCATGGGTCCCTTCCCAAATTAAGTTTCCAGCTCTCATTTAAAACTAACATGGCCTCACAGTGCATGCCTATAGTCCCCGCTACTTGGGAAACTGAGGTGGGAGGATCACTTGAGTCCACAGGTTCAAAACCAGTCTAGGCAACATAGTGAGACCTCCATCTCAAAACAACAAAAAGGGGCTGGAATTGTGGCTCAGTGATAGAGAGCTTGCCTAGCACGTGTAAGGCACTGGGTTCGATCCTTAGCATCACATACAAATAAATAAATAAAATAAAGGTATTGTGTCCATCTATAAATAAAAATAAAATAAAATAAATAAAGGGGGGCTGGGGGTGCAAATCAATGGTAGAACACGTGCTTAGCATGTGTGAAGCTCTGGGTTCAATTCAGCACCAGAGAAAAATAAAAATTAAGAATAAGTAAAATAGCCAGGCGTGGTGGTGCATGCCTATAATCCCAGCAGCTTGGAGACTGAGGCAGGAGGATTGTGAGTTCAAAGCCAGCCTCAGCAAAGGCAAGGCTCTAAGCAACTCAGTGAGACCCGGTCACTAAATAAAATACAAAAAAAGGGCTGGGGATGTGGCTCAGTGGTTGAGTGCACCTGCTGAATTCAATCTCCGTACCCCTCCCTACCAAGAAAAAAGAATAAGTAAAATAAAACTAATCTAATTTAAGTGAAAATTTACTAAAATCACTTTTTTTTTAATGCTGAAACTGGAATTTCTACTCATTCTTACCAAATGTCAATCTGTACATTTATAAATCTGCTAGATTACCTTAGAGGAAGATAGCACCCAGTTTTCCAGCTCTTTGAAGTAACCCCAGAACCTTTTTAAGCCATTCTCACCTTGATCCAATAACATCAAAAAGATGTTGCCAGCGATCGTTGATTTTGTTGAGCTTGTCATCGATCTCAGCTGCTCTTGTCTTGCTGCTGGCCTTGATCAACTGGTCACCCATCTGCTTTAGCTGTAACTTGTTTTCACTGAACAAGTTTATTTCTTCCATGCAGTCCTGGCAAAAGCACCAAAAAAGTCTGCATTATCCCTGCAAACTCATTTCTGCTCCAGTCATAAACACACAGTTGCTGCTTAGAATCCTTTTAAAAATCAAAAAATTCTCAGGCCTGTTAACATAACTCAGCTGTGAAAGGCTAAAAACAAACCCGGCCCACCAGGCAAATGTGAAATGTATAAAGCAGCAGTTAGTTTGTCAATTCAATAGTCCCTAGGGTTGCTCTGCGGGGATTAGTGATCATTTCAAAATCATGGGCTTCACTGCTGTTGGTCTCTCCCCTTTGGCAAGGTGATCACCTTATAATAACCCCTGGAGAGGGCTGGGGGTGTGGCTCAATGGGAGAGTGCTTATCTAGCATGAGTGAGGTCCTGGGTTCCATCCCTAGTGTTGCAGCAAAACAAAACAACCTCCAAAAACCCCTGAGAAACCAGCCCTGGTTTAGGGCCTGAAGGATGCTCGTGAGCTCCTTCTCTGGCCAAACTTCCTAACCAAGGGCAAGCAACTCCCCTCAGTACCATGTCCACCTATGATAGTCTCACACTCCCATCTCTCTGGAATCTTCTTTCTGTCAACTTTTCCCTCCAAAGGATCAAAAAAAAATGTTACTGGAAACACACCCTAATGAAGCCAGATTTAAAGTTAGGTAGTCAGTGTAGTTAGGTAAATCGGGTCTAATATCGAGTAAGATCTAAAATGGAGGCCATGTTGAGAATGAATTCCGGAAAAAGTTGAACAACTCTTGGAATGTTAATGAAGTCCAGGAAAAAGCCCAAGGCCAAAGCCCATCCCAAAGAAGTGTTAATGAATAGTAAACTTGAAGATGCTGACTCAGAAGTGCCCAGATTACTTCTTTGGCCCACATGTGTCCCAACCCTTTGGGCCTTCCCACCTACATTCCATCACTGAGAACTATAAAAATGGGAAACAACCGCACTTCCACAGATTCCATCTCTTGGGTCCCCTTCTTCCTCCGGGAGAAGTCTTTTCTGCTGTCCTTTAATAAACTTCTAATTTCCACTCTGACCTTGCCTCTGCGTGCTTCTCTGGTGTTATTCTTCAACATTGGGGAAGCAAGGACTCACCGGTCAACAGCGGTAACACTAATACATTTTACCTCTCTGAGCCTGGCATCAGGAGGGCACAGCAGTCCAAGGTCATCATAACAGCACTCACCTGGGCACCCCTGCTTACTTACCTTCTGCAACTTTTCAATCATTTCTTCAATGCTAATATCTGCGGTCTGTAGAACCTTGTTTTCCATCTGGACCAGCCACGCACACAACTCTTTATTTTTTTCATTGAACACGATCCATGAATTGAGTCTGTCTTCAATCTCCTGTTTGCGTGTAGCCACCTGGGTATAAAAATGCATCTGGCAGCCGAGGAGAGCCAGGAAAGCCCTCCCTGCTCTCTCCTCATCAAAAGGACTATGAATTTCATTCCTTCTAATCAGCATCTCTACACACTTAAATCTATTTCTTCCTTTTAAAACCTAGAGTTTAACAGCAACAGAAGTGTTTTACACCTTTCATAGCTAAAGTAACCAAATACTGCATTGCACCTGACTGAAAGGATTAAGCTGTATGCAATGCCTCTCTATTATTATCAGGTTATATGAAAAATTAGAAATCAGAAAAGTTAGATAAATATCTTAAGCATCACCCGATTTCCACTGTTTCCTATTTTTCAATATGCATTTATTAACTACTTACTATAACTACTTACTTTAGCTATAGTAACTTTATGACCCAAATCCTTTCCTTCTAAAAAACCGAGCAAGTCCTTATGCCTATAAGGCCAATGTCCTATTTAATTTGAAAATTAATTATAATCCAGATCATGATATAAATTACACATCTGTAATGCAAATGGACTAGAAAAATTGCAGTCCCTGAAATGTTCAAATGTTTAAACAAAGCAAAACAACACACGGAACGGTGCACGTCGTTCTTCATTTAATCCACCGTCCCATTATACACTGTAATTTTGGGATGGAAACCATGGAAATATCACCAAAAACTGGTTTGCCACAGGCTGACCTCCCAACAGCCACTGCTCCATTATGAATAAGTGGCCCCTAAACTGACATCAGCAAAAGGTCCTTCTCCTTACACCGAAATTTATTACCTAAATAAATTTACATTTAGATAATGAAAATTAGCTTCATTAAATGGTCAGAAGTATTTCTTTTTTAGGTCTTCAAAAAATCTTTAAAATCTTAAGAGTTAAAAGGAGATAGCTAAGTTCTTTTAGCAAAGTTTTAACACCTTGCTTTATAGACCAGGAAATGAAGGTTGAACTCTCTGGGATTTTCTTACTATGTACAAAAAAACCCCTGCTCTTTTCAGACAGAGGGAGGCAAAAATACCAAATGCTGGACATCCTACCCAGACTAACCTGTTAAAAAGGCTTGAAAATCTACACTTTAAAAAAGCAAGCTTTTGGTTTCCATTCCTCAGGGCATCTATTTATCTTAGCTTTTAAAACTCTTGGCATTTTGAGCAGTGTCCCGATTGACTTCATAATGGTAACAATTAAGAACATCTGGACCCCAGTCTTTGTGTCTAACTTTTCAAATACTTTTCACATATTCTAAACATTCTTTTACAGAAAACCTAAATTAAAAAAAAAAAACAACTTACAAGAACATTTGAAATTAGGGCACATAGTGATTATCAAACACTAAAATCAAGGAGTTTTTGATATTTAATTCACAAAAAAATGAGATTAAAGATTTTCTTTTCCTTAGAATTACATGTTCTTAAAACAAAGATCTTTAAAGTCTATTTGAACACTTTAACCCCATTCCTGTCACAATGGTAAACTGTACTACCCCAACGACAGTCCTCTTCCTGATAAGTAGAAGGGGGCCCCCCTGAGAGACAGAACAGCAGTTGGCCACTTCTGTAACAGTGGCCCCTTCACCTCTGAATATAGCCCTCATTACTCTAAGATTTTTTTTTAATGTTTTTTTTTTCTCACTTCTCCTCTCTCCCCCTCCCTAACAATATTGGGGAGACAGTGTTCTCCTTTCTTTCCTCTACTTAATTTCCTTTGAATACACCTATTAGAGGAAGGAGATGCCAGCGGTGGATCTGGGAAGTGAATATCTCCCAAATTAACAAGTAAATCTTAACAGGCCAACAGGGCGCCCTGGGACCCCCTACCAGAGCACACCTGGAATGTAACCTTTGAAGAGTTCCTTTAAAAGGACCCTGTCCCTCCAAATCGAGAGGGTCACAGCCTTTGGGACAAGAGTCCCCTGTGTTTCTTCTTTGCTAGCAAAGCAATAAACCTTTTTTTCTTTTTCTCAAAACCGTGTCCTCATTAAATTGGTATTGATTGGCATTGGGGACAGGGACCAAGCTTTTGATTACACTTCTTTTAGAGAGTTTAAAAAAACTAACTCCTTGAAATAAATCTGCGATTGCTTGTGAATGCAGAGTTCTCCAATGAACACTCCCACGCCTGCAGACACTAGGTGAGACTCCTCTGTTAGGCCCAGAAGGGACACTGCAGTAAGACACTGAAGGGACACTGCAGTAAGAGAGACCTCTTCTAATACACCAAATTAGAAGTGCTGGGACACCAAGCAGAGGGCAGAGGCTGCACATCTGCTCATGGCTGCAATTCTCCCTGCTTAAGGTGATTAAAAACAAAACAAAACAAAACAAAACTCTTAAACAGTGAGCAAACTTGCAGCATTTAGTCTGCTGAAACAAAAGGGTCAAATCTGTTAAACCCTGCTGCTGCCTTCTAAAGGAACAGCAGCCGGCCAGGGGACCCGCTGAAAAAGGGCCTCTCGTTCAATGAAAATTAACCTCCTTTCTACTTTGGCCTTCAGGACATTTCGATCAACTCCCAAGCAGCCGTACCCTGCAGTTGACTGACTTACTCTGAGGCAGAGGTCCTCCCATTGTCTGTGCAAATGCTCTATCTGCTCCTTCAAAACCATCACGTCCTCCGAGAGAATGTGCCGGGTTAAGTCGCCCTTCATGGTGTGAAGTTCTTGCAAGTTCTGAGTCCAGTTAGTCAGAGACTTCTCTAGTTCCTGCATTTAAACACAAGAGGGTGTGTGTGTGTGTGTGTGTGTGTGTGTGTGTGTGTGTGTTGGTGGGGGGAGCCTTCAACTCAAGCTGCTGTTGTTTCCAAACCTGTAGGCTAATCCTTTGATTAGACTCTGGGGGAGGGGAGGCCGGGGAAGGGGAGGGACCGGCAGAATTAGAAACAGCCCTGCGGGCTCCGCAGTCCTGGTTGGCCAGCCCTTCACCACCTTTCTCTCAAAGGAATGCTCTCTCTGGCCTTCCTTCTCAATTCCTCAGGTAGTTCAGATTTTTATATCATGCATCCTATTTTAAAGTCATGCAAGTCTTTATCCTTATTTAGAGAGCAGTATATTGGAGTCTAATAACAATGTTGCACACATTTTTAATTCGGAAACTGTTACAGATAGGTAACAGTGTGATTTCCTGCTTTTAGATTGCTGCTTACTGTTGTTGTCAAATAATGACAATTTCTGTTCAAAGGAAATTATTTCTGGCTAACTTTCTAAATGAATATAAAATGGAAGAAAACATGAATTCTTTGCTAATAACTGACAGAGATTAGTTAGATAATTTCCTCTGGCCATAGAAACTTCTACTCTTTATATCTCTATTTACCTTTTATTTTATATCTATGTTATTATTTTTATGGTTCTGGGGATCAAAACCAGGCCTCACACATGCTAGGCAAGCACTCTACCACTGAGCTGTACCTTCAGCCGGTATCTATCTCTGAAAATGAAGGGTTTTTCAAATTAAAACTCTGAATTCTAGAATTGAATCAAGAAAATTACTTTCATCACAAAGAAGGTCAAAGGAAACAGTAAGCCCATTCAAGAGTCTTTTAGGTTTTTCTTGTGCAGGGCACATTTTAAGGGTCTCCATTCCTATCACTAGGAGTCTGAAAGAAGGTCCTATGTCATTTACACCAGAAATCAGTCTGAAGGGTGGCCACCATAAAATTGTCTTAATTCTGATTGACTTTTAGAATTCTAGAAGTTACACTGGCATGCTTTCGTAACTCGCCAATAAAAATTACATTTAGTAAAATGCCCTGGGGAATTCTTTTTAATGACTGTGTGCAGATGAAGAAATGGTACCTTCATCAGAGAGAATAAATGTTTTAGATTCATGATTCTGCAGTGGAACACTACAAATGGCTTGCGCAACATAAAAGGGGCGACTCACTCACTGAGGTGCACCACTTACCAAGTTAAAGGGCTTCACTGAGTTTCCCAATTGGGTGCTAGGAAGCTCAGTCTGTCCAGTCCCCTGCTCAGAGGCCCAGCTCTGATGCCTGCACAGTAGGCAAGTGTTTTTTTATCCACCCACGTTTAAATCAATTCTTGTGATACCTACAATTGAAAGGTATACCCAGCGGCTCAGGAGGCTAAGGCTGGAGGATCAGGAGTTGAAAGCCATCCTCAGCAATTTAAGGAAGCCCTAACCAACTCAGAGAGACCTGTCTCTAAATAAAACATAGAAAAGGGCTGTGGATGTGGCTTAGTAGTTAAGTGCCCCTGGGATCAAACTCTGGTACCAAAAAAAAAAAAAAAAAAAAAAAAAAAAAGGATTGGACTCCCCCCCCACAATCCACACACTTTGGGTAGTGCTGGGAATTGAGCCCAGAGCCTCTTTCACACTAACGAAGGGCTCTACCACTGAGCTATACTCCCAGCTCAAGATATAGGACTTTTGAATATGGACAATTCTATGATTTTAAATAAGTATTGCCAAATTGTGTCACAAATGGATGATTATATCTGTTTCTCCACATACTTTTTGGTGTTGAGTTTTATATAGTTGGGGGGCAAGTTTAATATGCAGGAATGATAACTAATGATTCTTTCACTTTTCCCCCTCCCCCGGTAGGGATTGAACCTAGGGGCACATATTATTGAGCTACATCCTCAGCCTTTTTTCCTTTCAAACAGGGTCTCCTAAATTGCTGAGGCTGGCCTTAAACTTGCCTCCTGAGTTGCTGGGATTATAGTTGTGTGCCACCACGCCCAGCATAAATTCTGAATTTCAAACCATGTGACTATATTACATATTCAAAAATAATTTAAAAATTAAAATCACTCCTAGCACTAAAATTTTATAAACACAGATATCTAGCAATTTTCATAATAGTATGATTAGACTATATGAAAAACTTATAAAGAAATCTTATATAGGTTGAGTATCCCTTATTCAAAATGCTTGAGACCAAGAAGTATCTCAGACTTTAGAGTGATTTGGATTTTGGAACATTTGCACAGCCTTTACTGGTTGAATATCCATCCCTAATCTGAAATGCTCTGGTAAACATCAACATGGCTCTCAAAGTTTTCAATTTGGGGGTATATTTGGCTATTTGGATCAGAGATGCTCGAACTGTGTGTGTATGTGTGTGTGTGTGTGTGTGTGTTTACGAGTATATGGTCATATAAATTATTCTGTACATCAACAAATGTAGCTATAATGAGAATGCAATTTTATGAGGAAGAAAGTAAAGCTCAGAGTGGTCAAGTAGCTAATGTATCTCCCATGAGACAGTCAGGGATGGCACACACTGTCCTAGACAGGCTTCAGGTTATTTGGAACCTTTTTGGAATATGGTCAGGGGTTGAATGAATTCAATACTTTTTGCCTCTGCCTGATTCTTTCCTTTGATAAATAGGATGCTGAAGGTAGGGACACTGAAAAGATTCTGCTGGAAGATGAGCAGTGTGGTACTTAGGAAAAAGGGTTTTCATTTTCCATTCTGCATAGGTTTCTAGACTTTATGGAATCAATTTCCTGTGTATCAACTAAGAAAGTGATTCTGAGTTCTTTCATTTGTTACTAATTTGTTCTCTCATTTTGGGTCTAAACCTAATGTAAAGATGGCAAAAACTTTGAAAATTAGGTATATATATATATATATATATATATATATATATATATACACACTTTATAGAAGTATGGGTGAACAGCAAATATACTTAATGGTGAAAGATTAGAATTGTTTTCTTTTGGTGAGCATGGTGGCACCCACATGTAATCCCAGTGGCTCAGGAAGGAGTCTGAGGCAGGAGGATTGCGAGTTCAAAGGCAGCCTCAGCAACTTATCGAGGCACTTAGCAAATAAGCAAGACCCTGTCTCTAAATAATATGTTAAAAAAAGGGATGGGGATGTTGCTCAGTGGTGGAGCACCCCTGGGTTCAATCCTCATTTCAAAAAAAAAAAAATTTTTTTTTTTTAAACATCAGGACTGACACAAAGGAGCCAGCTATCAGTGCTTCTCTTCAATATTATTCCAGAGCCACTGGCTAGGAAAGGAAGTAGAAACACAATATGAGAATTAGAAGAAACAGCTGGGCATGGTGGCACATGCCTGTAATCCCACCAGCTTGGGAGGCCGAGGCAGGAAGATCACAAGTTCAAAGCCAGCCTCAGCAATGGTGAGATGCCAAGCAACTCAGTGAGACCCTGTCTCTAAATGAAATATGAAATAGGGCTGGGGATGTGGCTCAATGGTCAAGTGCCCCCAAGTCCAATCCCCAGTACAAAAAAAAAAAAAGAAGAAGAATTAAAAGAAACAAAAAAAAAATTGTCATTATTCATAGATAATGATTATCTTTAGAGAGAATCAAAAGACTATGTGGGCTAATTATTGGAATTAACAAGAAAATTTAATAAGGTGGTTGAACATTAGGTAAATATACAAAGATTATATTTCTGCACTCCATCAATGATCATGGAGGGACTGGGAATGTAACTTGGTGGTAGAGCATTTGCCTATCATATGTGAAGCCCTGGGTTCAATCCCCAATACCTCAAAAAGGAAAAAAAAATCAGAAAATAGAGAAAGGCAGTATTTAATAGCTTTAAAAATACCAAGAAATATATCTAGCAAAAGGTATACAATACTGCATAAAGAAAATTAAAAAACATTATTGAAAAATCATTAAATATGAGCAAAAAAGGGGACAAATATGCCATATTCATAAACAGGAATGCTCAATGGCAAAATGATATTATTTGCTACAAATTAATCTATTTACTCATTGCAATTCCATTGAAACCCTTATCAAAAATTTTCAGTTTGACAAGCTGCTTCTGAAAGTCATATGACAGGGCTGCGGGTATGGGTATAGCTAAGTGGTAGTGAAGTACTTGTTTAGCATGCTTGAGGGCCCTAGATTTGATCCCCAGCACTCTGTATCCACCTCACACACACAAAAAAAGCTATGAAAGATCAAAGGCCCACAGACATCCATTCATATGAATGGGGAAGAACAGGTGTGGGTATACGTCTCACCTAAAATGAAGATTTTTTTTTAATTATAAAACACAGCAATCAAGATAGATTGATATTAAATACAAAGAAATAGACCATAAAACATAGTAGAGAAGTGGAAAACAAATCACACATATATGTAGTAAATTTGATTTTTAACACTGGACCATTCAATAAACAGGTGCCAGGATAATACAGATATATGAAAAAATAAATCCTCACTTAAAACATATGCCCAAATCAAGTCTTCAACAAATAAAGAGGTGAATGTATAAAGCAAAATTTGAAAAATTTCAGAAGGAAATATATTTTATGACATAAGTATAGAGATTTCCCAAAGGAGAAAAGAACATAAATCACATAGGAAAATATTAATAAATTCATCTACAGTTAAAATAACACAAAATCTTTTGTTCAGCCAATGACACAAGAAAAAGTAGAAAACCAAGCTCCTTGACAGAAGAAGACATTTATAATGCATGTACTCAACAGAGGAGTAGTGTATTAAGAATAAAAAAGCAGCTGGGTGCTGGGGCGCACGCCTATAATCCCAGCAGCTTGGGAGGCTGAGAGGAAAGAATCACAAGTTCAAAGCCAGCCTCAGCAAAAGCAAGGTGCTAAGCAACTCAGTGAGACCCTGTCTATAAATAAAATGCAAAATAGGGCTGGGGATGTGGCTCAGTGGTTGAGTGTTTTTGAGTTCAATCCCTGATATCACCCCCCACCCCCCCCAAAAAAAAGAATAAAAACGCAGCTTGTTCAAATCAATAAGATGAGGATAAATAACCTAACACAAAAATGAGTAAAAATATAAATAGGTCAGGCATGGTGGTGCATGCCTGTCATCCCAGCATTTTGGGAGGCTGAGACAGGAGGATTGAAAGTTTGAGGTCAGCCTCAGCAATTCAGCAAGACCCTAAACAACATAGTGTCTCAATGTAAAAAATAAAATGGGCTAATAAACTATAAAGAGATGCAATCTCACACCTATCAGACTATCAAAAGTTAAAAATAAAAATCTGACAATCCCTAATGATTGGAGAAGGAAAACACAAATTCATACTATACAGTAGGGAGAAGGAGGGAGCTATAGTTATCATACTGGTGACTTAAAAAAAATCATAAGGGAAAAAAACTGTATTTATGTTATATACTATGGTGCCACTTATTGAAACCCAGAGAGCCGTACTTCTGTATTTCATTGAGAAGGACAACTATGTATTAAAATGATAGAGGAATGAATAAGAATGACAAATGCCAAAATTAGGATTGGGATGGATACCTTTGAGGCAGGAAAGTACATGGGAGCTTAAACTGTATTGGTAATGTTTTAATTTTTAGCTGAGTAATAGTCATATGGAAGGAGGATCCTTATTTCTGGCACAGTTTCAAGTAATAAACAGCTCATGCCAGAAGTGGTGGTGCACACCTGTAATCCCAGCAACTCTGGAGGCTGAGGCAGGAGGATTGAGAGTTTGAGGTCAGCCTCAGCAACTTAGCAAGACTGTCTCAAAATAAAAAATGAAAAGGGCGGGAGATGTGACCTAGTGATTAAGTGCCCCTGGGTTCAATCCCCAGTACCAAAAACAAAAATGGCAACCCATTAATGCCTATTTTTTTTCAGCTTAAAACATTAAAAGGCACTGATTCTGGTAGGCACTCCATGTTTTTTAAACACCAAACCTGCAGAGAAGAAAGAGATGCAGGGGCTGGGGATATAGCTCAGTTGGTAGAGCACTTGTCTTGCATGCACAAGGCCCTGGGTTCAATCCCTAGCATCAAAGGGTGGGGGGCGGGGGAGAGAGAGATGCAGGAAGTTCCTGACTTGGGAATTTTATGGTCCAAATTCCTATGCTTGTGCCTTGCCTTCTGCAAAGACTTAAAATATCCAGGAATGTGGATATTTGCCAGTGTGGTCAATTAGGCATAGTAGCACAATTTGGTTTAGAAGAATTTTAGGAAAATGTTATACTTGAGTAAAAAACTCAACATACTGGTTTTAAAAATGAATTCTTCAGTTGTACTAATTTCAAAGACAAGGACATTTGATAAGGGAATAGCTTTTAAAGTAATCCCAGGGGCCACATCTTATATTACAGAGGAGCAACAACAGAAAGAGGATCTGGAAGAGAAAATCCCTAAGATCCCAAGAATAGATTTTCCTTGTCTTCATATGACGATTGCAAAAATCACCAATTTTAATACCTTCAGAGCCCAGAATGTGATGTTAGAAGATAGGGAAAATCTTCTTTGACTGAATGTGAAACTTAGTTTCAACATAGAAATAAAGTCAAGCAAACACCCCAGGAGCTCTGAGAACAGCTAAATGATTATCCCAACCACTGTTAGACTTCAGTACCTTAGTCAGCTCTCTTTCTCTGTGGAGGTCCTCATGAAGTTCTGGAAGAGGATCTTTACTTTGTGCTTTTAAAACTTGCAGCCTGCTTTTCAGCTCCTTGATTTTCTTTTCACACTGGTCCCAGGTCTATTTAAAAACAGTAATTAAATTGGATAAGTACTTGGTTCTTAAGAAACAATTGTACAAATAAAATAGCTCATTTAATCCACATAGTCTTTCTTTGTGTGTGTGTGTGTGTGTGTGTGTATGTTTTGGTACCAGGGATTGAACCCAGAGGTCTTTAACCACTGAGCCACATCCCCAGCCCTGTTTAAAATTTTATTTAGAGACAGGGTCTTGCTGATTTGCTTAGGGCCTCGCTAGGTGGCTGAAGCTGGCTTTGAACTCGCAATCCTCCTGGCTCAGCCTCCCAAGCCTCTGGGATTGTAGGTGTGCACCACCATGCCTGGTTCTTGTGTGTTTTTTATAAATCACATTGCAGCCTGGTTCCTTGTCTTGAGTAGACTGATATAAAGGAGCAGAGGGGACATCAATATGACTTGACATGGCCTTTGTAGTTTTACCAGTGGCTCATTTGGATTGAAATCTCTCTTCCTCCCTGCTTGTCTTTGTCATCTACCTAACCTTCCTTTTGAGTTTTGGAGAAGTCTAGATCTAAAAAGCTACTGTAAGGATGAACTTTTAGCATCCAGTCTTAGGCATATGCTGTTGATGGCACCACCAAGCAAAAAAAAAAAAAAAAAAAAAACTCAGCCCTTTCCTTGTCTTCTTTTCTAATGTCACCCCTCTGCTGGCTCTCTGCTTCTTCCAATGCCTGGTTGTAGCAACCCCTTTACATTCAACTTCCCTTTTCTGTTCTCATTACTGCCCTGATTGCCACTTTCTCTACAGTGCTTTGCAGTTTTACAAAGCTTTTCAAACTTCAGCAACTCATGGGAGTTATGACCTTAGGACACAGGGTAAATATTAACACACTTAAAATGAGACTCAGAGAATACCGACTGACCCACGGAGAGGGGGTTAAAAGCCTAGCCTAGTACTGACCATCTCTTTTCCTTAGATCTCACATTACTGAGCAAATAGAAACTTGCATTTTCAAGTTCAGGGTATTTATACTGGGCTCTTTAGCTTAAGTTTCTATTTCTTAGGTTAGTAAAAGTAGACAAACATACAATGAAACACCATTCCGTTTCTCAGTACAACTGCTACCTAAACATACTCAGGGTGACCCAAATCTAGGGAACCCTCCCACCTAAGGGGAGGCCATTTGTCTAGCAGCATCTACTTCCTGGTACTCAACTAGGAAGAAAGCAAAGAGAGAAGCAGAACTGTGAGTCCCAGCTGCTCCCACCAAACCTTTATTTTCCCTTACCATCATGCTTTACAAATAAAGCAGATGGTCAACCAGAGATTGCTAGCTCATGAATTTCATATAAAATCCACATAACCACATAAAATTCAGACACTTCATTCACAGGAGAAATGCTTAGGCCCAAACTCAGCACAGTTATACTTAATTTGAAAAGGTGCCCCTGACCAGCTTGGTTATCTAGTATCAATGCACACAACTGATTAGAGGAGAGTGGGCCATATGGAGTAGGGAAACTCAGAGATGGGAATAATAAAAAAAATAGCTTACTATTCAGAAAAGAGAAAGAAAAATCATAAAAATTATATCAGAACTTAAAGAGCATCTAAGTTTTGGGTCATAGGTTCAAATCAGCTCAAGTCCTTTAGAATACCATGGTATTTTGGCAAAACAACAATTTTCCTACTAAAGATTCAAAATAAAATATTTTGGAACAGGGAGTGGTGGCATATGCCTATAATTGCAGTTATTTGAGAGGCTGAGGCAGGATGAACACAAATTGGGGTCAGCCTGGACAACTTAGAGAAAAGGGTTGGTGGGGAACATTTCAATTCTTTTTTTTTTTTTGTACCAGGGAATGAACCCAGAGGCACTTAACCATTGAATCACATCCCAGCCCCTTTTATATTTTATTTAGAGACAGAGTCTAGCTAAGTGGCTTAGGGCCTTGCTAAATTGCTGAGGCTGACTTTGCAATCCTCCTGCCTCAGCCTCCTGTGCCATTTGGGATTATCGGCATGTGCCACGGTGCCCGGCTGGAACATTTCAATTCTTAAGTGTACAGTCATAAATTATCTGGTATCTGGAAAATTCACTTATGTGGAAAAGAGTATTCTCTGATCATATCAGAAAAATGTAGTGTTAGCCAGGTGTGGTGGTACATGCCTATAATCCCAGCGGTTTGGGAGGCTGAGGCAGGAGGATCATGAGCTCAAAGCCAGCCCCAGGAAAAGCAAGGCACTAAGCAACTCGGTGAAACCCTGTCTGTAAATAAAATACAAATCAGGGCTAGGGGCTGGGATTGTGGCTCAGTGGTAGAGTGCTTTCCTAGCATATGTGAGGCACTGGGTTCAATCCTCAGCACCACATAAATAAATAAATAAAATAATTATGTTGATCTACAACTAAAAATAAAAAAGCAACAACTACAAAAAAAAAAAAAAAAAAGGCTGGGGATGTGGCTCAGTAGTTGAGTGCCCGAGTTTAATCCTCAGGACTCAAAAAAAAAAAAAAAAAAAAAAAGTACAGTTTTTGTGTTTATTTCATATATTTTACCCCAGGATAGACCATTGTATGGAATGTTAGCTTTGTGTGTTAAATTTCTACCAAAAATGATTGTTTCATACTTCAAAAATGTAAATATCTTACTAGAGCCTTAACTAATTATATACTTGTCACTGAGCTTTTTCGGTGTTATATTATTATTTTACTATTATGAAATAACTAGTATAACTCACAGGTGAGTAGAATTTGAGTTCCATTGGAAAACTCACAATATTAGATTTCCTAGAGTCGCTCCCATCTTCACACGGCAAATAAAAATCATATATAGAGTACTTGAACACCATGAATGTATGAATAAATGGTGGTTTACCTCTATGATGCTTTGGAGATGCTTAATCATCTGTGCTAGATGGAGCTCCGTGTCCTTCCAGTTGTTCTGAAGCTGTCTGATTCTCTTGTTCATGGACTCTTTTGCTTCCAGGTTAGGTGTGTTCAGTAATTTCTCCCCAGCTTCCAAGGTTAGTGCATAGGTGGTTTGCCATCTCTGAAAATGGATTTCCTTATTCTAAAAAGAAAAAAAAATATTGATTTCAATCACTGATGTGATACAAATGTGATGGTATGTGTTTGTCTAGATTTCCTTCAAAGCACTTCTTTTCTTCCTTCCTTCTCCTCCTCCTCTCTCCTGCTCTCCCTTCCTCTGTCACTCCCCACTCCTCTTGCTGGTACCAGAGATTGAACCCAGAGGCACTTTACCACTGAGTACATTCCCAGCCCTTTTTATTTTTTTAATTTTCAGATAGGGTCTTACTAAGTTGCTTAGGTCCTTACTAAGGTGCTTATTAGGTCCTTACTAAGTTGTTGAGACTGGTCTTGAACTTGCAATTTTCCTGTCTCAGCTTTCTGGGTACCTGGGATTATAGGTGTGCATCGTGGTGCTTGACTTGAAAGCTTTTCTTAAATGTTAAATTAGACATAGACCAAACAAATCTGGTCAGAACGGGCAGCATGCACGAGCACTTTACACATGTATACATGGGCTCTTAGTCACTTCCAAAGCTAATGTTTTACTTTGAGTAGACAGCACACTACCAAGGAAGAAGTTCTTAAAATAATTTTCAAGGTTTAGTAAGAGATAACATTCTTAGTGTAATGATGGAAAGGGAAGTTTAAAATATATGCTTCATAGAATAAAAGCTTATAAAGGTAAATGGATCTAAGTGTATTAAGAAAATGATTTAGTATTAGACCTGAAATTATCATTTGTACTATTTATCACCATGGCAATCCAGAAGAGTAGAATGGTCATATCATCCTGAACAAATGTAAAAGAGGACAGAATAAAAGAGGTTAAAAAAAAACCTTCAAATTATTATACAAACATGTATATTAATATACATGTATATTAATGCACTAAAAGGACACTTTAAAACAATTCTACCTGAACATCACAAAGGCTTTTCTTTAGTGAAGATGTAAATTAGCTATTTATAAATACAAAAATGAAGTAAAAATTTTTAATTGATTCATGGTTCTGAAAGAATTTGCTTTCATGGGAAAAATTTCAATAGCTTTTATCTTTCCAAATATGACTTCCATCATCTTCAAATTTCTCATCTAGGACATAAAGTAGACATTTCCAAGACAGAAGCTGATAAACAACAATGAGCACTGATTTACGTACAAAGGTGTTTCTGGGAAGACTTGAGATCATTCGAACCCAAAGGAGCAGAGGAAATAAGAGAAACTGACTCCAGGAACACACCCAGTCCCCCCGCATCTTCCAGCCACTCAGCCACCTGGTCTTCCTCTTCCCTGGCTTGGTCTCCAGCCCCAAACCAGAGTCATCCTGGACTGCATTTTTCTTTACTTGCCACATTCAAACTGTTAGTGAATTTTGTAAACTCTATCTACAAAAATAGCCCTTAAAAAAAAAAATCTCCACTCAGATGGCTCTTGTCTTAGCTATCATAACAACTCTCCAAGACTACAGGAACAGCTTCCAACTGGTATGTCAAACTGTTTTTTTCTCATAAAATAATCACAACACTCTCAGTCCCACAAGTTCTTTTGGAACCTTGCCACTGTTCATCACATGGTGGTTCCTTTGTCCCCTCCTCTTGAACCTGTGTGGGTGTGTCTAATGGCCTTGATTAATAGAATATGGCAGATGGGACATGTGTAACTTCTGAGTTTGGCTCTAACCCATCTCCCACACCTACCCCTGTACTAGGGATGGAACCAGGGGCACTCTACCACTGAGCTATATCCCTGGCCCTTTTTATTTTCTATTTTGAGATAGGATCTCACTAAGTTGTCTAGGCTGGCCTTGAACTTGCAATACTCCTGCCTCAGCCTCCCTAGTTGCTCAGATAACAGGTGTGTGCCACTGTGTCAGGCACTATCCACTCATCTTTGCTTCCAGCTTCATCCCATGGCCCAAGAAAGCCTTCTATTTCTATGGTTATTATTACTGTTTTTTGGTGCTGAAGATTAAACCCAAGGGTGCTCTACCTCTAAAGCACATTCTCAGCCATTTTTATTTCTTAATTTGAGGAAGAGTCCAATTAAGTTGCTTAGGTCCTTGCAAAGTTGGTAAGACTGGCTTTGAACTTGAGGTCCTCCTACTTCAGCCTCCCAAATCGCTGGGACTATAGGTATGTACCACTGCCCCTGGATGAGCCTTGCTATTCTAGATGAACAGGTATATTGGAGTCTAATCCTATAAGGCTAGACCAGGCGGTAGACTGTGGTGACTACATCCAGCTGGCTTCCCATCGAGCAGAGCACACTTGGACTGTGACATTGGAGAAAATACAAAACTTTAGGTGAATGAACATTTAGCAAATGCTGACTACCTCATGCTTCTCACACTGCTGCTGCATGCATTACCTTTAGCTCATGGATCAGACTTCTGATTTGGTAGAGGCTGTAGCAATCCTGATCCTTTACTGCGGACAGCATGTGGCTAGTGTTGGTGAGGAAGTGGAACAAGTCCTCCATGGAGGAGGTGAAGTATAGCCACTGCCTCACCAGCTGGTCAATGTCACTCTTCCTCTGCCGAATGCCTTGGGCAGCACTCTGCCAGTGGTCCGTCAGATTTGAGAATTCCAAAACAAATTCTGGTCTGGGAAAAATAGATGGTTAGAGATTCTTGACATGATCACACAAGAAAGAATAACTGTCAGTGAGTCATAGAAACTCAGATTTGCTATTTGTATGTACAATTTGCATCAAACAACTTGTTAAAATTTGAGACCCATTCCACTTAAACCTAAGGGGAAGCTTTGGAAGAGGCAATGTGTGGTTGGCAAAAAGTGTTTAGCAGAAGATAATTTGCATATAATTGGTGTTTTGCCAGCATACACAACTATTTCCTTAAACAAACTGAGCAGTGTTAACATATATTATGCCACATGCTGCCTAGAAATCTTGGAGTTGGCATCGAAAGGAAACAAATGAACAGGCAGGTACCTTGTGGTGTTACTGATTACTGGAAATTGTTCTTAAATTTTAAGAATAAAGAGCCTGCCACGTGAGCCAGCTACAGGAAGAGTTCAGTTATGGTCAGCAGACTGGCCATGGGGGCTCTGCTCAGCTAGACCAGCACTGGCCCTAACCCCAGGCGGTCAGCCTGGAGAGAAGTCCCTTCTTTAACAACTATGACATGGTTTCTTATTAGGAACAGAAGCATTTAAAAACTTATTTTGAAATAACAAACCATCATGAGGGTGATGAAACATATTACAGAAGAACCATTCTGGATTAAAATTTACTATACCTGGGGAATGGGTATTTTCAAAAGCTTCTGTGCTACTGACCCCATCCATCTACCATAGGGAAAAGAGCCACCGGTGTTTTTATGGCCACACAGCAAGACCCTGTCCTAATGTACTGCCAGAAGATTGGACTCATAGTGATCTATCAGCTAACCTGGCTTCAGGGCATGGACACGGGCAGAATAATGTGCTGGCAGTTAAAAGAAGTAAGTTCTAGTTTTCTGTAGCAAAGTGGGTGACTATGAGTCACAACCTTCTTCATATTTTAAGAAGAACTGGAAGAGAGGTGTTTGGGGGTTCTAATAATAAAGAAAGGGTGAGGAGATGGAAAACTAATTACTCTGACTTGGTCAGTGCACAAAAAAAAAAAAAAAAAAAAAAAAAGAAGAGAGAGAGAGAGAGAGAGAGAGAGAGAGAGAGAGAAAGGAAGAAAGATAGATCTGCATGTCAGAGGTCTGTCTCAATCAACTGCATTATTTCTGTAAGTCCTAGAGGGCTTACCTCTTCTCTATTTCTGTTGTGTCCAGGAGTTGTAGGGACTGGGTGACATAAGAATCAGCAATTGTCTGGTTTATAGAAACTTCAGCTTCTAACATCTGCATGGGTCAAAACATAAAATTCTCAGCTAGAATTCGTTTTTATGAATGTGGAGAGCCCTTCTTTTACAACTACAACATAGCTTCCTGCTACAAATTTCTTATTAAAATCTATGATGGCAGGGGATATAGAAATGATTTGTTTTCAAGTTATTTGAGTTCAACTGGAAATGCTCAACTATCACCCCAACATTTCCTTAGAGCAAATAGGTCTAATCATAATTATGCCTAAATGCTCATTTCCATTGGATTTTTTTTTTTGTACTGGGTTTTAATCTAAGGGTGCTTTACCACTGAGGCACACCCCCCAGCCTTTTTCAATTTTTATTTTGAGACAGGGTCTCGCTAAGTTGCTGAGGCTGGCCTTAAAGTTGTGATCCTCCTGTGTCAGCCTCCCAAGTTGCTGGGATTTCAGGTGTGTGAGCGCCATCCTGCCAGGCTCCATTGGATGATCTTAGTAACAATATAGACTAAAATCAGTTATGTTAAAAAGTAACAGTGAAATAATCAGGCACACTTTGCAGGATTTGCCACCAGGAGGATTTTGAATATACATCAGTATAGCAAGGGGGAATACTTCTGTGAACTACTAAACGTTGCAATTATTACTGCACAGGGTACTTCACTCCTATAGCGAATTAGTGAAAATGCAAAAATGAGCTGAAGTAATTTAATATGCTCTTGGTATATTATTTGATGGGTATATTTGTATTCTGTAGAAGCAAAGTTATGCTAGAAGCTTCCATGCACTGCAGGAAATCTAGGAGTGCTGTCACTTATAAAACATTGTAACAAAATGTTAAAACATATGAAATGTGTGAGAAGTTTACAAATGATCAGTTAATTACTGAATTTGCTTAAAGATGTACACTCTGTAGTTAGAGAGTGATAGGTACTTATTGTATTTGGAACTATCTTTCCCAGACTCCTGCTCCAGAGAGCACAGGTTTACCTCATAAGCTTTCTGCTGTTCCAGGAGAGCAGGGAGGCTGTTGGCAATATTCGCTTTGAGCATCTCTTCTATCTTTTCCAAAAGTTGGACCCACTTTTCACAACAATGAAGAAAATTTTCATTTAACCCACTTTCCTGCAGCTCGCTACAAAGGTTTAAAAACAAACAAAACAGTACCACGTGATGACGACTTTCCCAAACTTGAGCTGTTCATTTTACCCGAATTGGAACAATGGCACAGATGGGATGTTCTGACCTGCAGCGGTCCAGCGCTGTGGCAGTGGTGCGAATCCATTGCCGGTTCATATTCTGTAATGTCTTCAGGGGCATGTCACTGAGTGGGAGCATGAGGCTGTCTTCATTCAGACGTTCAATGTCAGGAGACTGGGCTATCAATGCTAGCACATGATTCTATTAAAAAATAAAGACTAGATTTTTGGATGCCAATAAGAATACTTAGATGATGAAATGGCCTCCTTATCTTAAAGACGAGGGAAAACTGGGGCCTGAACAGGTAAATGACTTGCCCACAGTTAATTAGCTAGACATTGAAATAGCCCAGGAAGTAGGAAGGGAAATCAATTTTTTGTCTGAGCAAGACTGAAAATAGGCTCAAACAAAATATACCCCCCAGCAAAGCATGATAACTTAAACCATACTTTAAGAAAATATTATTCCCATATTTTGATAGCATATAAAATCACAAGAAAGCAAATTCATTAACATTTTATCTGTAAAAAGATATTCTAGGTACAGCCTGTAAGTAGGTCAATAATATGTTAAGCAAACATGTCTCACAATATCCATATTATCACCATAGAACTCTGCTGTAATAGTTTAGGTCAGGGTCAGCGAACATTTTCTGCAAAGGGCCAGATCATACATATTTTATGCTTGAACTGAACATGGTGTTGAGCACCGGGAGTCCCACCTGCTTGGCATCCTGGGGCAGGAAGACTGCTTGAAGCTACAAGTTCTAAGTCTGAGCAACATAGGAAGACCCCATCTCAACAAACAAAAACCATAAATAAGTAAATAAATAAATGCTTTAGGTTTCTGTAGGCCATATGATCTCTATAGCAACTCTTCAACTCTATCCTTACAGTATGAAAAGTCTCATAGAAGATGTGTTAATGGAGGGGCATGTCTGGCTTCAAATAAAACTTTATAATAATAGCAGGTTGACTTGAATTTGGATAAGGTACCTCATTTGCTGCTCCTCATCTAAGGTTATAAATATCAATCCTTAAGAGTTGCAAGATCCAGAATTCCTAAATTCTTTCATTCACTTATGCTAACTGTACAAAATTTATTAAGGTAATTTTTAAAAAGGAAAAAAAATACACAATTTTTTCTTTCTTTGCAGTATTGGGGATTGAACCCATGGTCTCATGCATGCTAGGTAAGTGCTTACCACTGAGTTACACCTCCAGTTCCCTTTTTAAAACTTTGAGACAGAATATCACTAAGTTGGCCAGGCTGGCATCACAGTTGCAATCCTACTGCCTCAGCCTCCTAAAGACTCTGGGGTTACAGGCATGTGTTACCATTCCTGATAAAAAACATACCATTCAGATAGAATGTTTTACACTTGATCTTCAACCAACCAGAAAAAATAATCACAGTAGCTGATTCTGGTTCACATAAGTTAATTAATAAGAACCACAAGATAACAGAAAATCTAGGAAAAGTTACTATGACATATTACTAAAATAGATCTCCATGTGTTCTACTTTTCTAGACCCTAGAAAAAATAGGGCAGGAATAAATGGTTAGCAAATAACTGTGCTCAAGCGTTAATTAGGGTGGAAACTGATTCTATAGTGCAACAGTAATTAGCTTATTTTTTTCATCCTATGGTGAGTGTAAGCCCTGAGGAAAGACAAATATTGCCAATACCAGGAACAAGCCAGGATTTTCTTCTTTATCTTGTTGGTAAAGTTTATCCAAATTCTCTTCCTCGTGTATAATGAGGCCTTTTAAAGATTCCAGCCGGTCCTCAAAATCCTTAAACTGTGAGAGAACAAACTAGAAGGAGAGATTTTCATTACAAACAGTTTCCATGAGCATATATCACAGAGTTTAGCATAGCCTTGGGGAAGGATAACAGTTCAAGTTATTTTCCACCCCTAGCATCTCATTACTGTCTGAAAAGTTCATAGATGACTAATCTGAAGACCGTAGATTTTCACCCGGTGCGTCTGACCTTCACAGAGGGAACGCTCACCTGTTGAGGGGACCACACAGAGGAGAGCCAGCCCTTAGGCCTGCTAGTTTTACTTCTTGTTGCTATTGAGACTTGAGACTGGCACTCCAAGGCCTCTATATAGCTCACACATTAAAAGCTTTTCAGAAAGCGAATAAAGAATATAGCAACTGGCCATCCAGCAGCTACTTCTATGACTCAACTACCCTTCTAAGAAATCTAAATAAAATATCACATTTTTAAACTAACACATTCCATTAAAATCTTCCCATGCCCATGTGATTGAAGCCAGAATCACACGGGGTGATGTCATTCTGCTCCTTCCCTTACTTGCTGTCCAAAAAGCACTCTTAAGAGGGATTGAGATTAGCACATCAATGTCCACGACTACAATTTGAATGGAAAAGTAAGATGAACCTCAAATTCATTTGCTTTCACAAGCAGCATCTCTTCCAAATAAATAGCTCTCCGGAGGGAATACAGTTGACCAGAAAAGAGCCCCGAGGCGTTGGACTCTGCAGGTTGTGGGAATCGGTCCAGGAGGATAGAATTTTGGAGAAAGACTTCTTTTGTCTTCTGCACATCCTGCTTCAGCTCCTGGAGAAGAAAGAGGAATCATACTTCTCCCTCCTTTCACATCAGTCCCTAGCCCCTGCCACTCCATCAACGTCAAAAAAAATCTAGAAGAACTTTTGCCTTGAACTTGTGGGCTTACCTTTTAGTTACTGTTCCTTTTAAGTAGCTGAAAAAGCTAAGATCTCTTCAAATGAGGTGTCTCACTGAACTGTTCTGAAATTTGTCAGTTCACAGCTAAAACTGACCACCGTCCAAAAGAGTTGAGAGATCTAGTTTATGGAAGCTGCAGACCAACTGGGTAGACTCGTGTGTTTAGAGATTGCACACCATTTCAAGAATCATTGTGATCTGGACCCCTTGTCCTCAGACTTCCTGACATAAATGTGGACTCACTTTGCAGAGGCTATAGAATCTCAATCAAGCTGATTTTAGGACTACATTTGGTGATGTTTTGTGTTTGAAATTTCAGGATTTTTGTTTTGTTTTAAAACAACCAATCAGGTAGAAGTAGATTAGAAATATGGCTCTGCTGCATTCCTATGTCTTTAATTCAACTATTTACTTTGTTTTGATTTGAACATCAGAAGATCCAAAATACACCTGGTCACTAAGTTTAAAACTAAAAATTATTCACTTTCAGGACATTTCATAACTCTAATATGAAAAACACCACATAGGAGACTGTACTGCTCTTAAAATCCTCTAAAAATCACTACTCCCACAGAAAAGTCATACTAACATGGCACCAAGTTCATGATTATTTCTAAAACAAGAGATTCCTCAATGGCCCCACTCTGGGGAGACACTTTTCCTTTTTTTAAAAATATTTTTAGTTGTAAATGGACACAATACCTTTATTTTTTGTGGTGCTAAGATCAAACCCAGTGAGAAGCAAGCGCTTCACCACTGAGCGACAACCCCAGCCCACACTTTTGCTTTTATCTCAGACTTTATATAAGGCTTTTGCTTTAGAGATTTAACTGCCAGAGTCAAAGTGTTGACTTAGAACATGGTGCTACCAGGTCCCTCCTGGCTGCTGCTGGAACCTCTGCTCTGAGCTGCCAGCTGCTCTGTTCCTCCCAACCCCACACATTCCGCCTCACTGCAGGCTACACAACTTGTCAGCTTGGGCACCTGGTGCCTCGGGGCACTTGTCCTGACAGATATCTCTGAGGTCTGTCTTATTTCAAGGTTGAGGCTGTCCCTCACTGGCCCTGTCAGCTGGGCTGACTTGGCTTTGGTTTCCCATTGGGCTCTGTACCCACCTTTATGTCCTGCAGGGCCACTGGCAGGATCTCTGCCAGGTTGTTTCCAGACATGTTGATGTTTGCAAGCTGTTGAAATTTGGCTTCCTGCTGCTCCAGCCTTGCTGTGGCTTCCACATGAGCACTGCGATAAGCTTTCCAGAGCTGGAGCAGAGTCTGGGCCTCCTGCAACTGGTCTGCAAGATCTTGGTTTACCTGGGTCCACCTGTCAGTGCAATGTGACAACAGGACCCTCATTCCATCCTTTTTCTTGTAGCAAAAGTATAATATACACACTCAACCATGAAGTTAACAGTAGGTGGATAAGACACTGCCAAATGCTTTTTAAAATGAATGGCATCACCATTTAATAAACCGCAATATAAAAAGATCCAAATCAGGATATTTACTTGACTATAGTATTAAACAAAAGTGACAACATTGGTGATTAGCAAGAAATATCCACTGTATTATGAATGTCTCTTAGGCAAAGAGGGAGAAAGCACTGAATTGTACACCTGATGAAGCTTCTCCATGTGGGAGATACTTCCAATCCACAGAGAGTTTCTTTAAACAAGTCTTAAAATGTGTTTATGTCAAGTAAGTTTATTTTCCAATTATATAAGTAAAATATCACTTTTATAAAAGTAAATGGGAATTGTTTTATTCCATATACAGTCTATATCTTGCGTTTACTTCCTATGTGACTTTAAAAAATATATTTTCACATTATTAATAAAAAATAAGAAAAATGTAATTTTAAACAACTGTACAAAATGGTATGCAAATAGTACAAGTTGAACTTGTACATGCGGTGGTGACCAGGACTCTTTAAATAGCAACCGTACTACCTTATGTTGAGGGTGGCCCTGATAACTCTATGTGGAGCTGAATATATTTCTATGCTCCTGCTTACTCCCTTTTCCAATATGGACTGGATCAAGACCTGAGGACATCACTGCAGGGTATAGAGTTTGATTTCCTTTGTTCAGTACTTGTTCAAAGTTGATTTACTGGAGTGGCTGCATCTGCGTGGAGGAGGAGTGGAGAAGGACCCTCAAGGCGGCTTGACCTCTTTGTCCTTGTCTCCAGCACATTAGCTTTCATATATCATGCCCCAAACCAAAGTCTTGCAATTAATGAGGGCCACATACTTTAGAAAGACTTTCATATGCCACAAGCAGCAATTCTTCAAAGAATTCCTTCCAGCCACAAATATTCCTTCCTTTCCACCAGAAACGGCTTCCCCAAGAGATACAATGTTTTTTTTTCCAGCTTACAATGTTTATGGTGATGTTTGATGGACTCCTGCAATCCACCCATCCGGCCCACCCCTTAGTGTGTTTCTGCCACTGCCTCTGATGTTCCTGAGATGGCTCCTGACATTCAGTGCATGCTCTCTGTAAGTGGCTATCCTGGGGCTGTAATTAGGGCATTTTTAGATTCATGTCCAATTACTACAGGAGGCACATGCCAGCCCTCACGGCATCTAATTGTACATGAACTAGACCATTCAAAGCAGAGGCCAGAATAAGATGGAACCAGTCATCTCAGAGGACCAGGAAGACCTTACAAGACCTTAGGTTTATCATGCTGATTGCATCTTAAAGTGTACCTTGCATGAGTGTCTTGGCATTTCTCTTCAATTATTTCAGCAACTGAGGGGCAGGAATCTTTGAGTCTATGAATAACCTCCCGGAGTTTCTCCCAACTCCCTTCGCTGATCTCAGCTTCATCTTGAAGAGACTAAGAACAGAGCAGGAGGGTCAGTTTCAGATGGCCTCCCCACCCACGGAAGACAGCAGTTCTTGCTTCTCAATGCTACACAATGAGAGCAGTCACACAGTAAAACTTTTTTTTTTTTTTTTTTTTTGCAATGCTAGGGTTGGAACCCAGGACCTTGCATGTCATAGGCAACTGCTATACCTCTAAAGTACACCTCTAGCCCCACAGTAAAACTTTTAAATTGCAAAATAATATGGACATGGAAAATGAAGGAAAATTCAACATATGGTTTGATAGTTTTACTCTTTTGCTCACATGACTCACTTTAGAATTTAAAGGTGTACTTTATGTTTTTGATACTGGGGATTGCTCCTAGAGGCCCTCTACCACTGAGCTACATTCTCAGCCCTTTTTCTTTTTTGATACACAGTTTTGCTAAGTTGCTGAGGCTGGCATTGAACTCACAATCCTCTTGCCTCAGCCACCCTAGTCCCTGGGATTACAGGTATGTGCTACCATGCCCATGCCTGGCTTTAAGGTATACTTTTTTTTTTTTTTTTAAGTTGTAGATGGACACAATACCTTTATTTTTTATTTTAATTTCTTTTTTATGTGGTGCTGAGGATTGAACCCAGTACCTCACACATGCTAGGCAAGCACTCTACCACTGAGCTACAACCCAGCCCCCCAAGGTATACTTTTATTTAATATATTTTTTGGGGGTGCTACGGATTGAACTCGGGGGCACTTGACCACCGAGCCACATCCCCAGTCCTATTTTTTATTTTATTTAGAGTCAGGGTCTCATTGAGTTGCTTAGCACCTGGCTTTTGCTGAAGCTGGCTTTGAACTACTAATCCTCCTGCCTCCACCTCCCAAGCCACTGGGATTCCAGGTGTGTGCCACCAAGCCCGGCTCAAGGTATACTTTTGATATTGCATTAACACACTGTTTGGGGCTTCTCTGTGGAGGTATAAACCCACATGCATCCTTTATTGTTCTTGCTTCCATTTGGAATTTCCTGCCAATAATGCACTGCACCACACTCTGGCTAATTTACCTGAAGGTTCTGCACCTGGCACCTCAAGGCCTCCAGTGACAACACCACAGGCTTGCTGTGTTCCATGCAGTACCCAAATTGGATCGCCAGCATGTTCACTTCATCATAGAGTTTATCATACAACTTCCACTCCTGCAGCACCGACTGCATGAAGCTTTTGAGCTCACTGACCTATATGAAAAAAGGAAACAGAACTCATTTAGAAAATCCTTGACAAGACATGGAAAAGGACAGGGAGCAAGGAATGGAATCTGAGTGCACTGCTCAGGTATACTGTATTAGTTTTCTGTCCTTGGGTAAATTATTTAACCCTACTGTTGTCTTCCTCATCCACAAAAACAGAGATTAATAAAATAAAAAACAAACAACCCCCGCCCCAATAGGATCTGTGAAAATGCTCTAATAACCGTAAAGCATTGCAAATATGATACCTGGCACTTGGGTCTGATTATTGCAAAGCAGTTACAAGCTGGAGAGGATGCTGCCCTAGCCAAAGGATGGGAAAGAGCAAAGTTGGACAAAAGGCAAACGGTGGGTCCATTTTATCCATTGGTGTGTTTTGATAGTGATGAAAGGGGTTGAGCATTTTGTTGCCAATCAAAATGACTTTAGATACGACTGTGAGTAAAAGAATACAATTCAACGATAAAAGGCAATAACCAAACTGAAGAATAGAAGAAGGACTTGAGAAGACATTTCTCCAAAAGGTACACCAATGGTCCATAAGCACTTGAAAAGATGCTCCACTCCACAGTCATCAGGGAAATGTCAATCAAAACCACACGGAGATATCAATTTATATCTACTTTGATGGCTACGATCAAAAAGTCAGGTAACAACAGGTGAGGACGTGGCAAGAATCCTCACACACTGTGGGTGTGGATGTAAAAGGATGTAGCCACTGTTAAAAACCATTCCATGGTTCCCCATAAAAGACAAACAGAAGCTGGCTGTGGAGGCACACACCTATAACCCCAGCTACTTGGGTGGCTGAGGCAGGAGGATTACAAGTGTGAAGCCAGCCTGGGCAATTTAGCAAGACCCTGTCTCAAAATAGAAAAAAAGAAGGGAGTGGGGAGCTGGGAACATAGCTCAGGACTTGCCTAGCATGTACAAGGCCCTGAGTTCAATTTCCCAGAGCCACCAAAAAGAAAAAGTCAAATTACCACTAGACCTAATAATGGTATTTGTAGATATAGATTCAAGAGTACTAAAAACATGTTTGCACAAATGTTCATGGCAGTGTGGTTCCTAAGAGCTAAAAAGTGAAACTAACCCACACATTCATCAACTGGTGAACAGATTAACTGTGTCTTATCTATACAATGAAATATTCAGTCATAAAAAGAAATGAACTACTGATATAAACTACAATATTGATAACCTTGAAATCATGCTAGGGAGTGGGGGGTGTAGCTGAGAGACAGAGCAAATGCTTGGTATGCTGGGGCCCTGAGGATCCTCAGTGCAAAAAGAAAGAAGAGTTGTATGGTGAGGGGGGAAATCCTTGCCAGGGTAGTTTTCTCTCAGAAACTGGGACCTGCATGGGTGGAAGTTGCCCAAGGTATCCATGGGGTAGTGGTTCCAGGACATCCCATCAGAAAACAAAATCTAAGGATGCTCAAATCCCTTATGTAAAGGGATGTAGTATTTGCACATAAGCTCTGCACATCCTCCTATACAATTTACACTATTTCTTGATTACAGATGATACCTAACACAATGTAAATGGTTATCTAGGGAATAATAACAGGGGGAAAAGTCTGTACATCTTAAGTACAGACACAATTTGTCCCCCAAATATTTTCAGTCTGTAGTTGGTTGACTGTGTGGATGCAGAGGCCACAGGTGCACCGTTCTACAAGGATGGCCAGGTGCATGCCGCGCAAGGTGCTCACAGCTTCCACATAGAGAGGTGGTGCAACTTCTAGCACCCTCCCAGGGGCCCCTTTTAATACTGCAACTTCATGGAGAAAACATGGTATGTGTGGTTTGAAGGAAAAGAAGAAATTTATTAAGAAAAACTCACTACAGCAGAAAGAAGAAGGAGAAATGTTTTCAAAATGTGAAAACTGGGATCAGCCGTAGAGTAGCATTTATTGAGCACTGATAGGCATTGCTTTTGAGGTAAGAAGAAATGATTAGGTCTTATCATGCCCAATCTGTAGATCAGGAAACAAAGGCTTAGAGAAACAACCTCCCCAAGGATACAGACAGACAATGATGTTATGAGGATCTCTTTAAAACTGTGACCAGAGTCCTTGCTCTTAACACAAGGCTATATTGACTCTGAACATCTTACGGATGGATGATTCCAACTCATACCCTCTGTATTTTAAAAACAATACTTTACTGAGATACAATTAACATACCGCACAATTCACCTATTTTAAAAGCACAATCTTCATAACTAATTTTAGAACATTTTTCTTTCCTTTGGTATTGGGGATTGAACACAAAGGTGTTTCCCTGTGAGTGACATCCCCACTTTTTTTTTATTTTAAGACAAGGTCCCTCACTAAGTTGCTGAGGCTGGCTTCAGACTTGCAATCCTCTTGCCTCAGCTTCCAGATTCTCTGGGATTGCAGGTGTGTGCCATCATGAAGAACATCTTCTGTCACTTCAAAGCCAAAAGCCCATGCCTATTGGCTGTCACTTTTCCCAGCCACTAATCTACTTTCCACTTCTACAGATTTGCCTATGCTGGATTATTTCATATAAGTGGAATCATACAATATGTAGTCTTTTATGACCAACTTTTGTCACTTAACATAGTGCTTTTAAGGCCCTCAATGCTGTAAAATACACTGGTACTTCACTCCTTCTTATAGCTGCATATTCCATTACATAGATATATCACATTTTATATATACATTCATACATTGATAGACAATCAGTTATTTCTCCTCTTTGGCTATTATGAATCATAGTTATGAATATTCATTTACAAGTTTTTTGTTTTAATTTCTTTTGAATTATCTAAATCTGATGAAATTGCTGAGCAGATGTCAATCTACCTAACCATTAAAGGAGCCATCAGGCTATTTGCCTATGTAGCTGCACCATTTGACATCTCTGTGAACTGTGTATCAGGGTTAGTTTCTTCCCATCTTTTCTAACACTTGCTGTTGCCTTTGTTATCGTTATCCTAACAGATGTGAACTGGCATTTCATTGTGGTTTTGATTTTCATTTCCTTGATGGTTAACGTCATTAAGCATGTTTTCATGTACTTATGGCTATTTGTATTATATTCTTTTTGTGGTACTGGGGACTGAATCCAGGGATTTGTGCAAGCACTCTATCACTGAGCTATATTCCCAGTCCTTTTTTTTAAAAATTTATTTTCAGACAGGCCTTGGTAAATTGCCCAGGCTAGCATTGAACTTGTAATTCTCCTGCCCCATCAATTTATCTATCTTTTCATATCATATCTAGAAAACCAGTCATGAATTGGGTATAGTGGTGCATGCCTGTACTCCCTGATACTCCAGAGGCTGAGGCAGGAGGATCACAAATTGAGACCAGCCTAGGCAAGGCAAGACCCTGTCTCAAAATTAATAATAATAATAATAAAATAAAATAAAAAGAGACTAGGGATATAGCTCAGTGGTAGAGCACCTGTGGATTCAATCCCCAATACTGAAGAAAAAAAATAAACAAAGATTATTTTAAAAAGTCATGAAGATTGATACCTGTTCTAAAAGTTTTACAGCATTAGCTTTTACTATGTCCTTGATTCATTTTAGGTTAACTTGTGTATATGGTGTGAATGTGGGTGTCTGGTGGTGCCAGTGCCTTTTTGAAGATTTTTCCCATCAATGAATCATCTTGACACCCTTGTTAAAAAAATTATAAATGAACTGTACGGCGAGGGTTTTGAACTCTCAATTCTATTCCATTTACTTATCTGTCCTGATAGCACTATTATCTGCATATTTGTCATATTACCTCATTTCATTTTCCCCCTCTATATTTTTATATTGTAATTCACAGTATTATGATTATGTTTCCTCCGCTGCCTGTGAGATCTTGGAGGGCAGGATTTATTTTTTTCTTATCTTACTCCTGGTAGTGAGCACAGGGACTCACACAAGATAAGTTTAACAAACGACTGAGCAAACTCTTCCCTATTTTCCTGCTGGAGTCCTGGGAAGGGAAGGAGGCCGGAGGCTGCTACAGGTCTCTTTCACGCAGCTTCTTCCCAATTCCCTCGTGGAACTCATGGTTGAAAGTCAGTTTTAGTAGACGACAAATAACCTACCCTGAGGATTGTGGGAGACACATGGACACACCTGCAAGAGGTTAGTATTTACAGTTTGTCCCTCAGTTGCTAGGAAGTGCAGGCAGCCAGGTTTGGAGTTGCCTGGTCTTTCCCTCTACTGGGGACTTTGACATGCCTTTCATAAGATTACCAGGTGTCCAGCACACTCTTTCCCTCTGTTCTTTTTTTTTGGGGGGGGGTGGGTGGGTGGTGGTGATACCAAGGGCACTCGACCACTGAGCCACATCCCCAGCCCTATTTTGTTTTTTATTTAGAGACAGGGCCTCACTGAGTTGCTTCATGCCTCACTTTTGCTGAGGCTGGCTTTGAATTTGGGATCCTCTTGCCTCAGCCTCCTGCATCACCATGCCTGGCTTCCTCTGTTCTTACTCTTCACTACTGTGCTGTGTTTTTGCCCTCCTCCAGAGTTCTCTTTAGGCTGACCATGCTCCTAGCCTACAGAGGCTACATGACAAGATCAGTTCCCGAGGCACTGCCCTGTGTGTGGGGAGCCTGAGCTGCTGCTTCATAGCTGCTCCCGTGTATCTGTCTGGGAAACAATGCCAGATGCTCTGTTGGGTTTGGGGGATAGAGACATTTGTGTCTGCATGAGTACATTAGACAAAACAAGGACAGGCAAGTAGATTTTCTGCCTGTCAGTGATGTCAGGAGCAGTGGCTTTGCCTCAGATTATTCAGCATATAAAATAGGATTCGAAAGGCTTTTCTCCATTTCAATCTTTTTCTCAGAAACTTTTTGCTTTTTAGTATAGAGCATGTCTTCATTAAAGAATAACAACAACAACATATAAGGTATAAGAAGACTATGTGGCGAGAAATAGCACACTAAATGAATCTAGCACCTGACGAATCACACTGTCCCGCTTTTGAAGCAACTTGTTGATTCCAGATGCTGCATCTTCTAACAATGGAATTGCCCCACTTTCCAGAGTCAGGTAGCTTTGTCTCAGCTCATCCAGTACTTTGGATTTAATTGCAAGTTGATTTTCTATATCCTGGAAGGGCAAGAGGAGAAGGTTTTCAATGCACAATACACAAAAGAGTAAGGTATAGGAGGAATTTAATCTTATCAAGTAAAAAAAAAATGCCAGTATAGTATATAATTACACGACATTACATCAAAGATGTTTTAATCACAGCACACTCAATTCAATTTTATATTCCATGGTTCTACACATAGGAGAGTCTAGGCAACAAGTCCTTATCCTAGAAAGAACCTAGAAAAGCAGGTCCTCGCTGCACACCTGCCCTTGGCTGGCTTTTTGGCTGGGTCAATATCATCAGCCCCCTAGTCCATTTCCATTTTCTCATCTGGATAAGCGATTCTCCATGCTGTGCACATCTGAGAGAGCAGGTGACACCACAGGCAGGAACGTGCTTTCCAATCACAAAGCATCGTGTAAGTGAAGGTCATAGAATTTACTGGTAGTTCAGTCAGTAATAGCTTTACTATCTACTTAATACCTTTTAGTCTATTAATTCACTCATAACGGCACCCCTGACCTTGTCCACTATTTTATTTCTTTGTGTGTGTGTGTGTGTGTGTGCACGCATGCTGCAGACTGAACCCAGAGCCTTGTGTAGGATAAGCACATTCTCTACCACTGAGCTCCACCCCGCCCCTTGGTCTATTCTTTACAAACATAATTCCAGAAACCATCAGGAGCCCTCTGCTACAAAGGAGATCATGGACCCAGCAGTCTGAAAACAGCTAAAGGGGGAGTCCTCTCAGGACTGGGGTTAAAGACCAATTTGGAAAAAGTTTAAACTTTTTATTTATTATTATTAGAGAATTACAAACTTGCTATACAACATTAGGAAAATACAAAAGTCCTTTGGCATTCATAGCTCTTATTCTGAGTTCCTTTCAATTCTCCAAATGTACAAATCTGGGATGTACACGGGCTCACTTTCTTCAGCATTGTCCTGGATTTCCACCCAGGTATGTGTGATTTGAATGCATGGCCTCCAGTTAGTGACCCTTTGTTCAAGTTTTCTCTCTTGAAGACTGTTTTTAGCAAGAAATAGGGCTTTATAAAATCTTAATCCTTTAAAAGACTCACGGGTGGGTCCATAAGGAAAGAGGAACCTGAGCTCCTAGCAGCACATGGGTGCTGGGCAGGCGTGGCTGTGTTTGTACCCTGGTGAGGGATTAGTACCCTGGACTAGTCTCACAGAGTGGTACTGAAATTCAGCCCCCACAAAGCTGCCACCTGCCAGAGCCTTCAGCTTATTCTTGAAACACTGAAATCACAAACTTTTTTTTTTTTTTTTTTTTTCAGGACCAGGGATTAAACCCAGGGGCAGCCAAACACCAAGCCACATTCCCAGGCCATTTTTTATTTGGAGACAGGGTCTCGCTAAGTTGCTCAGGGCCTCACTAAGGGCTGAGTCTGGCTTTGGACTTAGCAATCCTCCTGCCTCAGCCTCCGAGCTGCATTTGTTTGTTTGTTTGTTTTAAATCACAAACTTTGAATCTATGAATGTCAGGAGGCTTGTGTACTGAAAAATAGAATAAAGAGGGAGAAAAATCTGTTCTATAAGAAACTGATTACTATAGTTGGGAGTGGGACTGGATGATCAGAAGACAGAGTGAGAGGAACCTTCCTTCCACTGTGTGACCCTCTTCCCTTCTCCACTTGGAGCCCCATGAATATACAACATATTACTAGAAAACCTCATTGTGACGACAGCCCTTCTACCAGCGCAGCCCTGAGAGGGACTAGTACCATGGGGGCATACTTCCGGGCATACTGTTTAGGGACTAGTTGTGAAAGCACTCAACAAACCAAGCGGCTTCTCTGAAACAGCTTTGCCAGGCTGACTCACTGAGACAGTACCTCTAGCTCTGCCAGCCTCTCCATCACCAAGCATCCTCTATCACCAACGTGGAGCTGACTTCTTTCTTAGCACAGGGGTAGCTTGAAACATTTTTAAAATACCAACTTGCCCTCCTCCTTAAAAGCTCAACTAACTAAAGATTTTATAAAAATACTCACATTTGCTATTAAGTTGTTATATTTCCTCCATAACATAAGTTAATGAAGAGGATGACTATTGAGTAGAAACAGAGAGAAAAAACACAGAGACACACGAGAACACCAAAAAGGTAGTATAAACAATAACTGTGGTAACAATAGCACATGGAGACACACACACACACACACACACACACACACACACAAAGCTGTTCTTGTTTGTTTTTCTCCTCAGAACAATCTGGATTTAGCTGAGTGATCCTATAGTCTGACCTTGCAACACAGAGGCCTACCAGGACTTTTCAAGTTTGCCAGTTCCCTGCTCCACTGGTAAATAAGTCCATTTTACTTTAAGTCCTAAGTTGCTACACACAAAATAGGGTGGCATAAAGATATCTGTTGATAATCGTAGAGATTCACTAGAATTTAAAAGTCCAGCCGTGCTTGTATCTGTTCCTGGAGAATTGATGTTAAATATTTTTTAAATATCTAAATTCCTTTGAAATGATCAGGAATGAACTTCTGTGAATGCTGGGTACTTATGGTACAGCAGCATCAAACTTGAGAGATTAATAATCGTATCTCAGACTGCCTCATTCTAAACAATTACGCAGTTTTCCTCGCTAATATAATATGCCAAACTCGGCCTCTTCCTATTCATCTAGAACTATTAGGAGCCCTTCAGAATGTTTCAACACTAACTTAAATCTTAACACTTCATAAACACCATTCTAAGTTTTCTAGAGTGAAGCTACTTTAGCAACAAGCTTCCTGAACTGAAAGATTCTACCCTGGGATCAGTCATGAAATTATTTTCATTTTATTTCCTATAATCAATGAATAGCGAAGAAAAGCAAAAATGACTTTTGCATGAAGCACTCTTTTAGGTCTACTAATACATGGGCTCAAGCAACTCCTAAGCACCCATGAGTTTCCCAGGCAGTGACAGGCTTAACCGGCATGCTAAGTAGCAAGCCTGCCCTGTGAAACCCCCAGTCTAGTTGAGGACAGACAAGTAGACAGATGAGTTCAGTATGGCCTCAGAAACAGGGTGCTATCACAGGCCAGGGAAGCTGATTTCATTCATGCACTTCCATCTCTACCTTGTTTTACAGACTTTTATAAAGATGCACCTAAGAAAGCGAGGTAAGGAAATTAAAATAGGAAAACAGAATCTAATGGAAAGTGTGAGGGCCTGTGGGAAGGTGTATAATTGGTGGGCCTAAGGTGAGGTCAGGGTGTTTTGGCTGAGTTCTAACAAAGACAGAGGAGAGCTTGTGTGTGGATGGTAGTAGGAGAGCCTTTGAGGGAGTGTCCAGAGTCCGACAGTGAGCAGCAACATAGTGCAACAGCACTGGGGCCCAAACTGCCCATAGTTCAATGCCACATTCAGGTGGGGACTGACAATGGATACTGCTGGCCAGGCACGTGTGCAAATTACATGTAAGAGAAACCATTTCTGATGCAACCAAATACAACTAGATATGCACACGCCAGGTGGTCAAAGTGCATTTGAATTAGGAAACCCTCATTTCAGAGAGGGCCATCAGAGTGCTCTGAGTTCAACGTCTCAATCAACATGAGTCATTTTGCCAAGGAGCACAACGAATGTTAGAAATGCTTTTTACTGGTAAAATTAATGGGTTATCAAAAAGCATGATGAATATTAGAAATGGGTTCTCACTGAGATTTACTTAATTACAACTTGGTGGTGGGGTTGCAGGGAGAACAGCTAAACTGAACACAAACTTGTTCAGAGGTCAGTGTTATCAAAACAAAACAAAACAAGAAGACTAAGAATTTCTTAAGGCTTGTTTACTGTTAGGTCTGTAGAGTGAGGGAAGGTCAGAGAGGGGCCAGAATGCCACCTGAAGCATTTGAACTTCATTCTATGGGTAACACGGAGTCAATGAAGGACTTTTCAGTGGGGCATTGCTGTGGCCTTCTGCATTTCATAAGTATCGCTCCACCTTGGTGTGAAGAACGAATCAGAGAGAAACAGAAGAGGTAGCTATGGTAGGACAGGCCTGTGACAAGAGGGGTCTGGACTAGACCAGTCTGGACAGATGTGGACCGACTAGATAGTAGGGGTAAACTGGGAGGACCTAAAGAGTTACTGGAGATAGAGGCAAGGATGAGAGCTGCTGCTGGGCGTCTGGAAAGGAAGACCAGCAATAGGCTGAGGAACAGAAGCTTCCCATGGAGGAAAGGTGTGGAATCCAAGATGGCTACAAGAAGACTAATGTGGAGATGGAGGGTAGAGGTTGAGAACAGGATTAAGATAATTTGGAGGGCTGGGGCTGTGTAGCCCAGTGGGAGAGTGCCTGCCTCGCATATGTGAGGCACTGGGTTCAATCCTTAGCACCACATAAAAATAAATAAAGATATTGTGTCCAATTACAATTAAAAAAATTAAAAAAAATAAGATAATTTGGAAAGACCTCCTCAGGTGTTCCCTTCCCTCATTTTACATATGCACCATTCTGTAACCTTCTCAGATTTGGGATCTGACCCAACTCTCCAGCTCCATAGTGACGAATGCAGTACTTTCACATAGTAGGTACAGAAGCAGCATAGTGTGTGCCATCCCCAGCCACGGCAACAGTGGAAATGGTGAGTGTCCCAATAGGGTGGTGCTAAAGGAGAATGAGTCCACCCTGGGGAGAGGGCCCCTCAAGGACTGTGTGACTTGGCAGATAGACAAAACCCTTACACCCAAAAGTGACTCAGACACTGGTTCCAAGGACAAGTAGTCCTTTTAAGACACAAAGACACAATAGGTAGAAGAAAATTTTCTTCTGATGAAACACAGAATAAAATACTAAGAATAATAGAAAATTCAGAGTCATTTTGCTAATGTTGGACAAAATAACAAAACCCACAAAAACTGAAAAGGGAGCACCTAAATCAAAATTCCCTGTCAATATATGCCCCCCCGCCCAAGAGTAATATTGCAACCTCTTGGAAGCAATAATAACCATGAAAATACCTTCTTCTGATTATGTAAAAATGGTACTTGGCCATTATGTAAAACCTATAACTAATTATCTAGTTTATGAAAAAAGTAAGTTATGCCATACACACAATGGCAGTCCCATACAGCCAGACGTTTGGGGTCTAACCATTCCGGGTTTGCAGAAGGACACTCTGTGTTCCTAAGCACAAGCTGTACAACAGAATCTTCTAACATGCCTCTCTCAGAAAGCTACCTGTCACTAAGCAACACCCAACTGTAAACACAGGGGAGCTTGCAGGAGTGTCCAGAAACTACAGCACTATCCTTCACGGACAAGCTTAAGACCCTACAGCCCAACCCTGCCATGTGGAGGGTGCTCTGCCCCTCCTTACCTGACAGTCCAGGAGCACCTTCTCGATGGAGATCACACTTTCGGGTTTTTGTAAAGTTTTCAGCTTCTCTTCTTGTGCTTCCAACCAGTTTTTCAAAATCTGTATTTTATTTTCATTCTCAGTGATACTTTCCAAAAATTGTTCTAAATGTTGTATCTATAAATGATAAATAAAATTATTATGAAGGGCTGGAGTTGTAGTTCAGTGGTAGAGTACTTGCCTCGTATCCATGAGGCACTGGGTTTGATCCTCAGCACCACATAAAAATAAATAAAGATATTGTGTCCATCTACAACTTTAAAAAAAAAAAAAATATATATATATATATAAAATGAAAATTATTATGAAAACATTTCTTATTTTAAGTCCCATGCTTAAAATGTATATGGCATGATATTATTTTATTTTTATTTTTTAAATTGATTTTATTATTATTATTTAATACACGACAACAGTGGAATGCATTACAATCCTTATAATGGCATGATATTTTAAAAGGATATTTTTTTCTTCTCAAATTTCTAATATTTCACACATTAAGATGTATGAATAATTTTGGAATAAAGATTCATCAGTCAGGAAATTGGATTTAAATTCCTCTTTTAGAAATTTCATATTTAAAGTAAAAGTTAATCTGCTGAGATAACTGGCTGTTTCAGAGTTTCATAACAACTATACAAAATAAAATTAGGTTGCTAACATTCAATATTTTTTTCTTTGCATTCTCTATAAATATACAAACTGTTTATGGCAATTTTCTTATTCTGGAGTCTCTTGGAGTTGTTTAAAAATTTCTACCAATATCAACAATATCACAATTCAACAATGTGATTAAAAAATCAGTTTTTATTTAACTAAAAATATTTATTGGTGCATTATAATTATACTTAACAGTAGGGTTTGTTGTTACGAACATATAACAACAAATAGATAGAACAATATAACTTGCACATGGTAGAACAATATAACTTGGTCCCCAGAACCTACTCTTTCAATAATTATTTTCTGTTTTGTTTTATGGTACTTGGGATTGAACCTAAGGGGACTCTACCATTGAGCTACATCCCCAGCTCTTTTTATTTTTTATTTTGAGGTAGGGTCTTGTTAAATTGCTGTTTAAATTTTGGCTGGCTTCAAATTTTCGATCCTCTTGCCTCAGCCTCCCAAGTACCTGGGATTACAGGCATGTGCTACTGTGCCTGGCAATAATTAGTTTTGAATTTTGTAATTCTTCTCATTTCTAATATTTACAATTTTTGTTGCTGTTGTTGGTACTGGGGATTGAATCCAGGCCAGATCTACCACTGAATTATACTCCCAGCCCTTTTTATTTTTGAGACAGGGTCTCACTAAGTTGGTGAGGCTAGCCTCAAATTTGGGATCCTCCTGCCTCAGACTCCCAATTTTGCTGGGATTATAGGCATGTGCTGCTGCACCCAGCTTAATATTCACATTTTTTAAATTAGCTTTTAATCATAGTATATATGAAGTTTCATATTGCTTTTCCTATGTTTGAAGGCCTTGCTGAGTTATGACATATGCTTATATTACTTTTAAAGACTGCTCAGTATTTTATCAAATGGACATAGTATCTTTTGATTAATTATTCTCCTAGAGTTTGAAATTAAGGCATTCTGCATTTTTGCAAGTATAAGTAATGTTGAGCACTTCATGCACACTTTTTTTAAATACCTACTTTAAATAAATAGAGCTGGAATGCTGGGTTAAGAGAAAAGATGGTTTTTAAAATTTCCCAATGCTTTCCAAAAAAGTAATGAAGCCATTACAGTATCAGCAACATATAAATGTTCACTTTGGGCTTATATTCTTGTTTTATTAACATTTCCTAAGTCGGGCAAGGTGGCACACACCTATAGTCCCAGCTACTCAGGAGGCTGAGGCAGGAGGATTGCAAGTTTAAGGCCAGCCTTGGCAAATTAGCAAGAACCTGTCTCAATGTAAGAAAACAAAAGGGCAGGGGATGTACCTCAGTGTTCAAGTGCTCCTGGGTTCAATTCCCAGCACCAAAACAAAAAACAAAACAAATTTTCTAATTTAATAAGTGTATGTTACATCATTTAGTTTAAATATCTGATAATAAAAGTTGACATATTTCAGTGGCACCTGAATTAATGGGTGGGAGCTTGGTTCCTATTTTGTGAAATGTCTGCTCATGTTCTATGTCCATTCATGTATTTGAATCTTAATTGCATAAATCTATTCTCTATACAAAAAAGAGATCACACACACTTTATACTATATATTTTTAGTGTATATATACACTACATATATATATATATATATATATACTAAATATATGTATACTATATATATACTATATATAAATATATACACATACTATACATACGTATATATGTATATATATAATATTTTTCAGGAATAAGTTTTTTTCATCTTTTCAAGAATCATGGAGTAAAAAGCCTACCAAAAAGCCATAGGCAATTTTTTTTTCCTTTTCATAATCTTTTCAAGGCTGAAATAGCTTTGGGTCCCTTTTGAACATCTGCTTTCACAGAAAATGTCAAATTCTCTGACCTTTTAGTAGCCTGACATAATATTGACATCTTTTTAAATGAAAGTTTTCCTCTTTACTGCCTAACTCAATTTCCCGCTAAGAAATCTCAACAGGAATATAAGAATTATTTTCATATTCCATTACATGTACCCATAAAGAATGCTAAAACATAGGGTCTATAAAGAGGCTATGATTATTAGGTTCAACTGTAAATCAACCATCTGGATGCCTTTTTTTGGGAGAGGTGACTGGGGGTGAACCTAGGGACACTTAACCCCTGAGCCACATCCCCAGTTCTTTTTATTTTTTTATTTTGAGGCACTAAGTTGCTTAGGGCCTCACTAAATTACTGAGATTGGCTTTGAACTTGAGATCCTCCTGCCTCAGCCTCCTGAGTCACTGTGATTACAGGATAGGCCACTGTGCCTGGCCTGAATATCTATTTTAATTTTTTGGAATGTGGTGTTTTATAAAGGCCAAAACATGTCTCCAACCGTGACCCTGGAGCATACCTTTTTATTCAGGGTTCCATGCACTCGGTGCCATTGGCGGTTCATCTCCCCCAGGTGCTCTGCAAACTCCGTCCTTTCATAGCGCTTGCTTTCTACATCACAGGTGCTTAACTGAAGCAATGACTGGTTAACAAAGTCAACGATCCACTGTTTATAGTCCATTTCCATTCTGAACTCCTAAAACACAAAGAAGTGGAATTAAACACGCAAAGTCTGAATGAAGTCCATTAGATGAACTGGATTTCCCCTTGGCTGGACTCTAGGGGGCGCCAACCTCCCACCCATTAATTTAGGGTGCCCTTGTCAGGAGTTACCTTCTACCTTCCCCAAGTCTTATCAGGAGGCTGCTTTATTTGAGTAGGGATTCTTCTTGGGGATTACATATTCCTGGGAACAGAGAGACTCATTACTTTCAGACTGACTGGAAAGTCCAAGGAAGCACCATACATGGTAGCTACTGTCATCAGAATGTATATCAGGTCCCTGGAATCTTGTGAGAGAATATGGGAGAGCTATACTGGATTCTGAGTTTCCCTGAGGGCTCATGGAGACAATAGGCTGGAAACAGAAGTTGAAGCTTTCCCAGAAAACCCAGAACACCTTTAAGGAATTTAGGCTGCTTCTTTGTTCCTTGGGCGACAGACTCTGCCACCCAGAGTAGCTTGGATGACTTCACATTCTATAGCAGTCCTAAACCCACTGAAAGGCCAACCAGGTTCTTGTCAAGCCTTGGGTTTTATCTGGGAAGGTTCTAACACATCCTATGGAGACAATCCAGGGGGGTCATCACGTGGCATGGGCTAGGTTACTGCAGCCTGAGTAGCCCTTTTATAGACTCTGCTACCCACTGAGGTTAGGAAGTGTCGGTATGTAAAAACATTTTCTGCTAATATTATACTTGGTGATCAAGGCATTCATCTCCTCCCTATCAGAGACCAGCTCCAGCAACTTGCAAGGTCTTTGAAAGTAACAGCCAGCCTTGTCATTCATCTTTGCATTCCCAGTGATTAGCACACACTGCCTGGCACTTCTTTTTTATGGGTATGAGAGAAAAATTTAATTGTTGTTGCAAAAAACATCTGTATGAAGTAGAAACTGGTTTCAATAATATTAGTAGAGAATATGTTCTAGAAAGTAGTGGAGGTAACTGGATGTAAAATTCTGGCAGTAATTTAATAGAACAGGCCCAGATGGTTAGGCGAAGGCCAAAAGCCTTTCTGTGGGGAATTTGGGACGATAACTGCAGGAATGGTACACTGTGCATAAAGCAAATTGGATTGTTTTGACAAGTGTTGTAAAGTTTCATATAGTAAAAGGCTTCTCCTACATGCACTTCAGTTTCACAGCAAGAGTGGCCCTGAACACCCCAACACAGAGGAAAGCATTCATGCAAGATATCTAACTCCTGATACAAAGCATACACTTCAATATGATCACATGATCATTACATCTAGGGCCCTGTGCCCTAGATGGTGGTGGTTATGGACAGCATGGCCCTGGTAAGGACATCTAGAAAGCAGCTATCACCTTCTATCTGTGTTCTCTTTTTAAGTTTTTTTTTTTCCTTCATTTTTCTTAATTCTGCTGTTGTTGCAAGCTTCTTAGCAAAACTGGTAAAAACAAAACTGTAATCATTGAACACAGCACTCTTGCAATCAAGACTTTCAAACCTTCAGTCTTCTGGGGTGAAGAAAGCACAGTACGAAATTTAGAACTCTGATTAACAAACAAGGTGGTCACAATGTTTTCCTGGCTTCAAGACTTCCACAACTTTCCCAAGAGGTTATCATAAGAGGGCTGACTTAAGTTTGTTTCAAAGGTAACATAAGAAACTACTGGTTCTGGAGTGATGGGAACAGTCCTGTAAGTTCCATCTGATTTCATTCCATTCATTGAATACCCATCAGGATTGAACAGTGTGGCATTGATGACAAGAACCTGGTATCAATCAGGTCACAAATTCTACTCTCCTGAGTGACATTCTTTGCAGTAACACAATCTTTCGTGTAGAACTGGTCCATAACTGCTGGGTCAAGCTCACTCATCAAAATTTCTATCTGACTGTTAGACTATTACCCGACTCTCTGGGAAATCCAGAGTACACAAGTACCAAATAGTCAGAATTCATAACATCCCATACACTATGTGGCTCCACTTGGAAAAACTGCATTAAGAAGCTCTATTTCTTCCTGGAAATTCTGGTTTGGGTATCATTGGTGAGAAGGCTTCATGAAGCTTTGAAATGAGTCAAATTTATTGTAATCCCTAGCAAACTTCAACAGGGGAACCAGTGCTTTCAGTAAAAGGGTGGCACCATGTCTTCAAATGAACCATCAATTGGAGACAAACACTCTACTCTCACTGAATACATGAGCTTCCTGCTTGCCAGTTTTTATCACATTTATGACTGAACATTGCACATCCTTCAAAAGTACATCACACTCAGATCTTGGGAGAGTGTGAAGATCCCAAGACCCTTGGCTTGCATTGGGCTGCTGCTGGGAGCACCAAACCTCTAGCAGCTTCTCGGGTCCTTGGAAAAAATGTGTAGAGATGGCAAACAACCAACACCCACAGAAAATCAACTAAATTAAATCTCTTCTCCAGCCGCTGGGGATTGTTCCAGCTGTTACTGAAGTTCAGGTTACTTTTTTTTGTTTTTTGGTATAACTTTACATTACATTTTTAAAAAAGGGATTAATAAAAATTTCCCAGCTTTGCGTGTGTGTGTGTGTGTGTGTGTGTGTGTGTGTGAGAGAGAGAGAGAGAGAGAGAGAGAGAGAGAGAGAGAGAGAGAGAGAGAATACCAAAGTTGAATGTGAATCTGTTGGAAATAGAGGCAGATATAGTTCATTCTCTTGTTGTCTGCCGCTTTCCTGTCACAGAGAGTAGAGTGAGCACTAGCTAGTGTCACTGGCCATATTGTGTAAACCTAATGTGCCTTCTTTAAATGTTAATTAAATCTACACGAAATGAAGTACACAGAGAGGGTCACATTCATATCTGTAGCAGGATATCAGCTTTTTCTTCCTCATTCTCTTGCTGTCAGAATTTTTATTTCTTTATTTATTTTGATACCAGGGAGTAAACTCAGGGACCCTTAACCACTGAGCCACATCCCCAGCCATTTATTATATTTTATTTAGAGATAGGGTTTTGTTGAGTTGCTAAATGCCTCTCTAATCTGCTCAAGCTGGCTTTGAACTCATGATCCTCCTGCCTCAGCCTCCTGAGTTGCTGGGATTACAGGTGTGAGCCACTGCATCCAGCCAGAATATTTATTTATTTTTCTTTCTTTCTTTTTTAACTTATTTTTTACATACATGACAATAGTGGAGTGCATTATATTCATAATTATGTATTCACAGCACAATTTTTCATAACTCTATCTATAAAGTATGTTCATGCCAAATTATGCCATTATACATGAGCTCTTATTTTTTTGCATACAATTCTTAATACACTTTTATACCAAAATTTATCATATCTCTGTTTGTACAGTATTTATTAAAACCCACTGGAGGCCAGCTGTTGGGCTAGGTGTGCTATTCTTGGGAGGTGAAGGATAGCCCCTGCTCTCGAGAAGCTCAGTCAAGTTAGAGAAGCAGTTGAGTAAATAAATGATAATTTATAAATAAAAACTAGAGAGCAACATGGAGACATTAACTCAGCACTGTCCGTTAATCCGGCTGGGAGAGCCAGAGTGGATTTGTCAATGAGGAGAACCTTGAGCTGGCTCTTGCAGGATGATTAAGAGGATGTCTGCAGCTAAGTGGCAGTCCAGGTCAGAGGTATAGCATATTGACTGGGGAGGTAAAGGAAGACCTGAGTCCATTAAAAGCTTGGATGGTCCTGCAGGGTTCAGAGCTATAAAGAAATGCAAGTGAAATAAAAGCCAGTGGACTACCCCATCATTTCTAGAATCATCTACCACCCTATTCTCTACTCTCCAAGTCAGTGTTCCTACATTATTTCCCACATGGTTCTTGGTTCAGCATTTCCCTTCCAAGTGATATGACTTCTTATTGAAAAGACTGTGGCTCCTTGCGTAATTACCTTGAGCTTCTGAAGAAGATTCTTCACTTGAGACTCAGAACTAGGGAAGTGCACCGAGTCTCCACCTGCAGCCTGATACTCCACGCTGTTCATCCAGCTAATCATTTCTGTGATGGCTTTACGAGATGGCAATTTCTCCATCTGAAGCTGCAAGGACAAAATGATTTCCATTTAATTATCTACTGTTAACGAAATGATTCAGGGCATCACTAAAGACGGTATCTGGTTTGATATAAGGTCTTGCTTCATAATGATGCTGGTTACTCACAAAAACAAACCCAGTATTCAAGCTCAGAAAATGTGACACCTACAAACAACGGTGAAGACCTTCACATAAACGAACAGAGTGGCACAGATAAACTGAGAAATAAAGTAATTAAGCCCAATTTTTCTGTGAAGAAAGATCTCATTGGAGGACAGTCCAGTAATGAAGACCTCTATATTCAGTGGTGCCAGAGAAAAATAGGTAATGTCAATGAAAATTATTGAGTCAGAAAAATAATTTAAAAAGAGTTGTGAGCTAACAAGTGAATGCTAATTTAAATGTTGGGTGTCTAAACACTTACCTGGTGAAGCTTTTCTTGAATATCTGGAAGCTGAGTTATGAGCATGGTCCACTTTTGTTCAAACTGTGCTAGGGAGGCTCTCAGCGTGGCTGTGTCAGTTTCCTTCAGGTGCAGAAGCTGGTTCCCAGTGCTTAAAACTGCAGTCTTCAGAGAGGACTTTCCATCCACTTCCTTGGAAAATTCCTAAGGAAACAGTTGTAAAGAATAGAAACGTTTAAAATTTAAATACAGTCAGAGCAACTGGCCAGAGTGCAAAACTAAATAGAATAAGAGTTTGAATGTCTGTGTACACACACACCCGGCTTTGCCTACCAAGTGTTGGCACTACTCCGTATATTAGATCCACATGGGAGAACAAAAGAGATGGAAATCCTGCCCCTCCAGAAATTTAGAACCTAGTGGGTTTTTAGAAATAGACAAGTTATTTCAGTTTCAAAAGAAACCATGGAACTCAACTTCAAGTTCAGATTACATGAACCACTTGCAATGAATTTTTAACTAAAATATTTGAAAAATTTCCCATGTATATTCCCAAGTATTTAAAAAATTATTTACATTTTAATACCAAAGTGAAGTGAGTAACCATAGCTACAAAATGTATTTTAAAAATAAAGGAAAAAAGATAGGAATAACTAAGGGCAAAGATTAAGGGGTCTCAGGAGTGCATTTTACATTACAAAAGTAATCCTCTTTTCCAGAAAAATCCTCAAAACCATAGAACAAAATCTTTTTAGTAGAAATGCCAGTTCTGTATCCAATAATTTAAAACTGTGTATTTATTAACTTAAAACATTTATGAATTAATAAAGGATAGCCTTTAGTTTGAAGGATAGCCCCTGCTCTCGAGAAGCTCAAAGTTAGAGAAGCAGTTGAGTAAATAAATGATAATTTATAAATAAAAACTAGAGAGCAACATGGAGACATTAACTCAGCACTGTCCGTTAATCCGGCTGGGAGAGCCAGAGTGGATTAGTCAATGAGGATTAGTCAACTATCTTACATAGTTGTTTTTAAATTTTTTGGGGAGGTATTTTCTGTATTTGTAAAGCATGTCCTATGTCAAAGCAAAATATTTATACATAGTATATATTTTAGTGTAATAGACATTTTAAAATAGTCAATTAAAGATACATTCTATCATTATAAATACATAAATAAATAGTATAAGCAAATAATTATAAGTTTGAAGACCATAGATACAATAACCTCAAATCTTACTCCTTACCCACAAATGAAGGGAGATTATCACAACAATCCTGAACCTGTTCCTCTGATAATTTATTTCTGGCCAAACATTATTTGAACATATTCTATTGCAACTTACAAAAAATTTATTTATGTTGCTTCTGATTGCATCCAAGTCCTGAGACGCATTGAGGGACTGTTCTTTCCAGTGATTCAAAGTTTGCTGAGAAGATTCCAACCACTTGGTTAACTCATCTGAATCTCTGTTGTAACTAACAGGAGCAAAGTGGGAGAAAGGAAATTAGAAAGGTACTCTGATGATGAGGTGTACCACTAACATATTTCTTCTTATTTTATTTTGTATTTGCCTGTGTTGATCAGCCCTATATTTCAGAAAATCAAAACAATTATAAGGATTATATGATGGATTATTTCATGCCTCAAATGCAAATATCTCTTAATAAATAAAAATAAAATAAAATATTCTTTATTTCTTATTACAGCTACACAAAAGTATACTCCTGTGTAAAAAAGAGATTATTTTTTAATCCATCAAATGTCTTCTATAAATGCATTTAAGTAAACATACAACAAGCATTTGTGCAAGATGTATAATAACAAACTGCTGTTGCCTGGATTCAAAAATTTTTTCTCTGATATCTGATAAAAATGTCCAAACAAAGTGCTGCTCTTCTTGTCACTTCCAAAACTTGTTTAGGTTAGACAGCCCTCGAGAGGCAGGGATGAGAATGAGGCTTCAATATTCTGTTTTCTGCCGTCCTTGAATGCTTCAAGGTTATCCCAACTGAGCAAAACAAACCCTCTGATGAACTCAAAAGACTTTTCCAAATCATTGTTTTAGCCAAAATCATTTAATTTTGTTTAAATTTTAGAACTTAACAAAGAGGATAGAAAAACTGCAACAGCATAGGGTAAAGGGAACATGAACTATTTTATAATACAGTTCCTAGTTTCCATAAATCTATATCAATGTTCTCCAGCCAACTGATTCCTGAGTCTAGCACACCAATATCAGAGGCCTGTATCAGATCCCATTAATCCAGAAGTGGACCCAGGTGCTTTAGATTGTCAAAAAGAACAGCACAGCATAACCGGGAGACTGCATGCAAAATTTAGTTGACTGCAGAATCCCTCTGAAATCTTTCTTCACAGCAAAATTTAAAGCCAATCATTTCCAAAGAAAAAAACATACCTGAGTAGATGCTTGAGAAGTGTTTGCAGTCTGTGCAGTTCAAGGTCAATCTTCTTGTTCAGGGACAACCACTGCTCTTCCAGTTTGGCAATCTGTCCCTCCAGTTCAGGACAGTTCACAGATGCCACCAGCTGTTTGCCTTCATTTAGAGTTTGGTAGAGCCGGGCATGCTTTCCATCAATGTTTCTTTTTATTTGCTAATAAGTCATGGAGTGAATGATTTTTTTAAAAACCATCAAGTCTACCAATCTATTCACAAACACAAAAACCTACGTTCCAGGCTACTGAAGAAATGAGAATACTTAAGCAACATTCAGGACTGCAGTCTGGCTGGACAGATGTGATTAATGGGCCCCTTTCATAAGAGGGCCTGATTAATGTGTTTCTATAGAGCAGCTCTGTAACTTAGTACAGGTAAACAAGAAACATGAAATTTGTTGATTAAGTTCTGATAGTTAATTCTTCCAACTAAAAACAAAAGAAAAAAACAAAACAAGGTGGCAGTCTATTGGCTGCTTTCAGCTTGCAGATGGATTTCTTTCTTTTTCAAACAAGGCTGGCCTGGACACAAGGGGTCCTCCTGCCTCAGTCACCCAAGTAGCTGGGACTATGAGCATAGGCTACTGTGCCTCGTTTTTCAGTCAGGTTTTGATTGACCTCAAGATTATTTTGAAAATCAGGATATTTTACATAGAATTGACATAAAGTACAGAAATTAGGATTTCCAGAGCCCTGGGGGAAATCCAGAAGGTGTAGGGATTGCAGTTCTGCATTGTCCTGTGGCAAAGCCTGGCTGGAAACAAGCAGCCACAGCTTCCTTTAAAAGGGTCTGCTCCATTCAGTTCTTTCCCACCTCAGTCCTCACAACCCTGACTGCAGACCCAGCCAGGATTCCTCATTCCTGTTCCTGCCCCTGGGGACACTGCAGACTGAGACCCACATATGAAAGTGATAAATATAAAAGATGCAAATACCAGGGGAAAATCATTTCTACAGTTTTCAGAATAAAAGGATCCAGGAGAGAGAAAGAGAACTTCAGAAGAATAAATTAAATCAGCACATCATTCAACTCAAGTCATGAAAAGAAAAAGAAAAAAATCTTCAAAACTGCAAATACAATGACCCCCTGAAGAGAACTGTCTTAAGGCAATTATCTTCCACAAGCTGGGTTCAGCTAATCTCACTTATCCTGATAGCTGTTTAACCTTTAAAATACAAATTATTATCAAAATAGAACTTTTGCGATTTTCCAATTCACTTAAACCTTTTTTAAAAATTACCCGAATATTTCATTCCAACTCCCTTTCCTCCTTTTATAATCCTTTCTCCTCCTTCCTGAGCTTAAAGGCTAGAAAAAAAAATCCAACATCAATTTTTTAAAAAACGTCCTAGTTTTCTAAGCCTAAGTGCCAGACGTTTCACCGTTACAATATCTTGGAGAAGTTTCATTCCTCCATTTCATACCTGGGAGACAGACTTGATACCCATAAACCTCTCCATGATTATAAGGACCAAGATTGGCCTCAGGAAGCTTATTTGTGTGAAGGGTTTTATGGGATGTCTTCTTTTAGTATAGCAAATTTATTTAAAAGACTTAGAACAATGATTTCTTTAAAAAAAAATACTTTAAACTTAAGGGAACCATACTCACATTTTAAGAGATGTGGTCACTTTTTGGGGAGGTTGAGAACAGATAATGAGGCTCATTAAATGGCTAATATTACTTCTTACTATGGTATGGTTTAAAATACTGTTTTCGACTGTGTTCTTTCAGCTGTGAGATGGCATGCTCTGTATCCCCAGGCCTGCACCCACTCACCCCCTGGGAAGACCCAGATTCATCTACTCCAGGCTCTCTGGGATGCTGGAGGGTATAAACAGTGCCCTGACCTCTGAAAAGTGTTATCAGCAGGGCACTGCCAAGCATCTTGCTTTCACTTCCCATCCTGCCTCATCAGGCACAAAGCTGACTTTTGAAGCTTTCATATTCATCGTTGGTGATTTTCTCTAGCAGCACAACTCAAATTCTGACTATGTATTTTCAGGTAAAATTGAGTATTTTAAGCTTCTGATGGAAGAATTTGAAACTTGTTTTTGTCTTAGTCTTGTTCTCAATGCCACCAGAAATCATATTAATGTTTTATCTTTTCTATGACATCAAAATTGGAGACACAGACCCTTCGATAATAACTGGACCAAAAATGACACAAGAAATGCTTAAAAGTTTGAAGTCTTTTTAAAAACATTGCAGGAGGCAACAGATTCTGCCTGTCTCATGGGCTAGATGCCATCAGGGCTTCATTGCAGTAAGAAAACTAAATATATGTTTATTCCATTCTCAGCGGGTTTCTATACTAGTAGTATATTGCTATTCACCTCTTGAGACAGGTGGGACTGGCTTACTTCTCTGTTCTCAACAAAAAAACTAAGGTTTCGGAGGCAGTAAGGTCACAAAAGTGACCAGTGATGGAACAGGATTTGAATTAGTCTTCAACCCAAGCCCAACAGGTGGCTATGCTGAGGAGCCCACATGGAGCCTGCCGTATCCCTACACTTGTCTACCTGTGGGCTGGGTGACAAACAATATTTCATTTCAATCCAAACCATTCAGCTTCAAAAGCAAGCAACTTAGTCAAAACAAGACACCAAGTGCTACGGACCATGTCATTGGCAACTTAAATTAGGAAGCAAAAATACCTGATAAAATGATATCCTTTCCACTAATCTCTCCTCTGTTTCTTCCACCAAACTCACAGAAGGCAATGTAGAGACAAGAATTTCCAGGTCCTTTTCCAGAGATCCAAAGTTTTCATCGAATTCTTCCCATTTCTAGAGAATCAACATAAAATCAGAGATGTAACCCACCCTAAAGAACGAATGTATTAGGCAATTCAGGTAAAATGATTAGATTATGAACATTGTAACTTCAAGAGGATTAATCCATCTGATGAATAATTTGAATGGACTAGTTGGAGGTAATTATAAGCAAGTGAGTAGTTGGTCACTGGGTATGACCTTGGACTACATCTTGTCGCTGGCTCCTCTCTCCGTTTTCCAGTTGCCATGAGCTAAGCAGTTTCCTTCTGCCATGCCCTACTGCCATAACGTTTTCTGTCATGGACTGAACCTCTGAAAGTGTGAGCCCAAAATAAATGTTTTTCTTCTCTTAAGTTGTTCTTATCAGGTGTTTTCGTCACAATGACAAAAAAAAAAAAAAAAACCTAATGCATATTGTTTCCATAAAAGAGAGCTACTTAGGGTCCCAGCACACCAGAGAGTTGAGTTATTGTCACCAAAAATGATCTCTTGGAAAAATCACCACCTAATTCTCATCTCTCTTCAAGTAGTGGGTTACCTGGCTTTTCTAAGGCATTCACTGGGCCCATGCAATGTCTTCTAAATATGATGAAATAGTAGTATAAATATAAACTTGGCATACTAGAAAGATAAGTGTTACCATAAAATGCTATATCACATTACCAAATTCAATATTCCTTTCCCTTTTAAAAATTTCCTTTATGTGCTAGCTAACATTGGTTGTGAATGGTTTAATATGCTAGAGAGGGAAACCTTAAAGCTGAAAAGAAACTTTATACATGCTCAATTTTCCCCTTGGAATTGAGACAGCATGGTTATGAATTTGGCAACAGAACGTCTGGGCCAGGGGTGCAGTTTCTGAACCACTAACTGTCATTCAAATGATCTGGCTCACAGTCTCAACGTGCTTTCAAGTTGGTTTATTCATACACAAACCTAAAAGGTAGAGACGCCATATCATCCCAGATGTGTGCATGATGGAACAGGACTAAAGAAAAGCTAGGGAGGAGCCTCAGAATTAGACCTGGGTTCACATTCCTCACTGTTATTTCCCATTTAACTTTTGCTTAATAACCGGATACTTGATTCTGACACCTGAAGAGTGGTTGAGAATCAGGAATTCTCAACTAAGGGTAAAGTTCAAGTAAGCCAAATACCTGCAACAAACTCTGCAGCTTCATGCCAAACTGCTGTGCCTTTCCTTCCAGGGATTTAACTTCGGTTACTTGTTCTGCCCAAAATCTCTCTCTCTTTGGCAACACGGAAGGAAACATTTTGTCATAGTATGTTTGGATCAACAACATGTTGGCAACAAGCTTCTTGAAAAATACCTATAATACAGAAAAAGGTTTTAAATATTTATTTTTAAATTGTGAAAATCATATAAGCCAAGTTACCTTAACTTTTTTTTTCCCCCATGGAGAGGTGGGTACCAGGGATTGAATTCAGAGGCACTCAACCACTGAGCCATATCCCCAGCCCTCACTTGTATTTTATTTAGACACAGGGTCTCACTGAGTTGCTTAGCACCTCACTTTTGCTGAGGTTGGCTTTTAACTCATGATTCTCCTGCCTCAGGCTCCTGAACTGTGGGGAAGTTACCTTAACTTTTTATCCAGTTATTTTTGTTTTTTAATTCAAAACCCTTGGATATCAGGGACAGTCAAATGTATCAAAAGATAAAAAGTAAACTGAAGTGGATCTCTTAATCTTAAAAATTAATGGACACTGAACAAATTATAAAGAAATATTATCCTAGGGGCTGGAGGTATAACTCAGTGGTATGTATGAGGGACTGGGTTTGATCCTCAGCACCGTATAAAAATAAAAAAATAAAATAATATGAGGGACTGGGTTTGATCCTCAGCACCGTATAAAAATAAAAAAATAAACTAAAGGTACTCTGTCCATCTACAACTAAAAAAAAAATATGTGTGAGAGACACACACACATATACACATATATATGAGAAATATTATTCTTAAGTAATATTTTCCACAAAATATTCTATTCCATTATTGTTAGTCAACTTCAATTTCAGGCAGCTCTTCCTCAATCAGTTGTTTTGAGTTGTAAAACATTATGAGAAGGTGGCTGAATCATTTGAAGACAGTAAGTACAAATGCTTGCAGCCCACATGCTTAGCAGACAAGGTTCCTAAAGCCTGTCTCCTTCTAAAACTCTGGCTTCTACTCACCAAAATGGCTAAGTGAAGGGAATTTCCTAATGGAAGCTGATAGGGATCCCTATCCACAAAATGGACCATATTTGTACCTCAAGCATCTTCAAGGTTCCTCTCATTTGCAGCCTGCTACCTCTGCTGGTTGTTCGGAGGGACCCCTGTATTAGGCAAATCCCTTCTCCTGTTCCTTGAGAAGGACACATACAAGGAAGGGTTTGTAAAAGCATCTAGCAAAGGGTCTGGAACTCTGTAGATACCAATTTTCTCCTCTTCCCTTCCATCCTACATTCAATATTTAATTTTCTATTTTTCTTAGACTAAGGCATCCTTTCCAAAGGCCCTAGACTGGCAGCTTGTTCAAGGTAGGGACGATGCCTTATCTATTTCTTATCAGGAGACTTAGATTACTGCACCTCTTTAGCCGGTGATGATAAGAGGTTTTTATTTAATAAAATGAATGGAAGATGGAAGAATTTATTGTGGTATTATTCTATATAAAAGTACCTCTTCCTTGTAATTCCAGTTCTCAGAAAGCTAACCCCCTTAGGTCCATTTCTCCTACGCTCTCATTGAATGATTCCTAATTTTTAGTGGAAATTTGTTTGAAGACTCGTTGATAAAAGTCCATCTTCTCAATCAGCTGAATGCTCTATCAACATAATGAGCTGTGTCTGTTTTCACTGAAATATATTCCTAGGGGTCCCCTGATATCAGTCTGCTACACACTAAGAGGCTAAGCGATGTTTTTTTTTTTAATATTTATTTTATAGTTGGACACAATACCTTTACTTCACTCATTTATTTTTTACGTGGTGCTGAGGATTGAACCCAGGGTCCTGCACGTGCGAGACGAGCATTCTACCGCTGAGCCACAACCCCAGCCCTAAGAGATATTTATTAGAGGAATAAATGCTGCATGTTTCACTAAGAAGAAAATGAATCGTTTCCATTCAAAGTCAGAAGAGCCTTAAGGTTTCAGTCCAGGACAAGGGGATCCGACCTGGGTATCTTACCTTGTGATTTTGTATTTGAGTCTGTAAGGCAACTTTACTTTTGGCTTGTTTTAAGTGGCCATGAGCAAGCATTTCCTTTCCAATATTTACTAGTTCCACTGTGCCTTGTAGAAGGGCATGTTGCTGGCTCTCAGTGATGAACGGGCTACTGAACCCAGAGTACCTCGCTCTCAGGATCCCCCACATACTGTCAAGTACATCCTGAGAAGGAAAGAGCAGGTGTGCACAAGCAGTTTCATCCAACCAGAAAAAAAAGTTCAAATGCAGGTCAACATTCACTAGGTGGAAGACCAAAGCCTTCTCCTGTACAATCATCGCACTGAGTGAATGTGTTCTGCCCAGACATACCTCTAACTTGTAAACCTCCTGGAGTAAAACACAGGGTAAGCGAAGCCTCTCCCCTTCGTCTCTTAGTTTGGCCACTCGGCTCTCAGAATTCTGCAGCTCTGCTGTATATAAATCTGCTTTCTAAGGGAGAGATGATACAAAAAAGGAACACCCTTTAATAAACCTGAAAAGTCTATATATTATTTTAAAAAGAATTAAATAGTACAGAAAGGAATTAGGAAAAAAAATGGATCATATTTACCTCTTCCTCACCTCCAGTTCTCCTTGTCAATCTGCCTGGAGGTCACACAATTTGTTCCTAACACATTCTAAGCACATACCAGTGCAGGTACACGTGCACATCCTTAAACCCACTGAACTATCCTATAGTCATTCCTCACTTATCAGCCCTTTAGCATCTCTTCATATCATGTATCTGGCTCTTTTTTTTTTTTTTAATGAACCCAGGAGCACTTTACCACTGAGCTATATCCCCAGTGATTTTTTATTTTTTATTATGAGACAAGGTCAGGCTAAGTTGCTGAGGGCCTCACTAAGTTGCTGAGGCTGGCCCTGAACTAGTGATCCTCCTGCTTCAGCCTCCTGAATCGATAATATTGCAGACATTGTACCGGTCATCACACCAGTTGGCTCCTTTTAAACAGATACATAGTGTGCCATTGTAAGGATGCACCCTGCTGTAGTATTAGGCAGCTCTTCATGGACTTTTGGGCTATTTACAGTACTGCTAGGTCCATCTCCAGATATTTATGATATTTATGTTTATGCATTTATTTTGTGTCCTCAGAAAGAGTACAAATAAGCCCCTACTACAATAACTGAACATAGTAGGTTCTCAGTATTTGCTCAGTTAATTAATGAAGTCAAATTGCTTGTGAATGGAAGAGCATTCTAGATTCTGTCATACAGCCAAATGGTTCCCAGAGGCTGAACTAATTAGTGTTCTGACCAAGAGAGTGAGGGCCTCGTTTTCCATCACCCTTACCAACACTGGACACATTTAACATTCTGCCACGCTGATAGGTAAAAATGGTCTCATACTGTTAAGTTGTTCTTCAGAAAGGACTACTTGGGAGATATTTTTAAAAGTCAAAAATCAATAGTTTCATCTTCTTGCTCTCCTCAAGCCTGGCCACCGCTCACAAAGGGTAGTGGTTCAGAAGTACCATCTGGTGCACAAGACTCTCTGGCCCGAGGTTTAGGTTAACTTGAAGTATTTCACTGATTACCTGAAGCTGTTCACCAATACTCTGGCCACGCATTTCATTCAAGGACTGTTGTAAAGCTGTCTTATTCTTAATGAGTTGATCATACAGTCGCTTTATTTCATTCTGTATAAAAAAGATAAGTGCAGGAAACTGAGCAATCTCATTTAGGCCTTCTTTGTCTTTTTTATTATATTTATAAATTTGCAGAATTTGTATAAATTTATATATACATTTTCTGAAAATTAATTAAAAAAATCTGGAAACTTAAAACACATACAAAAATAGAGTAATCCCCGCCTTATCATCACTGAGCTTCAACAATTATTGGCTCATTACTGACCTTCTTTCCTCTATAGCCTCCTCCAGTTCTCCTGGCTGTTCCTACCACCTCCCCCCTTGTTATTTTGAAGCAAATACCAGAAATCAAGTTATTTCATCACTATGTTTCAGTAGGTATCTCTAGGTGACGAAGCTCCCTCCTTTAAAAATACACTTCCTCCAAAATAAAAAATAATTCCTTAGTATGGTTAACCATCCAGACAGGGCTCATGTTTCTGAGAGCCTACAGCTTTTCTTTTTGGTTTGTTTCAATTGGGATCCAAATGAGGTTCGTATGTCCCAATGGAGTAGTATGTCTTTAAGTATCTCTGCACCTGCTGACTCTCATACCACCTTTCTTTTTTGTTCCTTGGATTTGCCCCACAGTGCTGTTTAACGTGTTCTTCTGCCCGTCTGTCAGTTTGACTTAGGTTTTAGAAGCTTGATTGGATTCAGGTTTGATTTGTATGGGCCACACTCCTTCATAAGTGGTGTTATGCTTCATTTCTTTCTCACTAGCCATTCCGAACTAGTTTCCCTGCCTCAGCTCCCCCCCTTCAATTCACACCAGACAACTGCCACACAAATCCACCCGAAACCTACATGGATTGTTGTTCCTTTGCTGAAAAAGCTTAATGGCTTCCCATTGCCTAGAAATTTAACTACAAATCCTCCCAGTGTAATCATTAAATGGATAAATGTAACATAAGAAAGAAAACACCATGGTAGCTCATGCTAATAAATTCCCACCCAAGATTTCGGAAAGGTCTTTTTTTTTTTTTTTTTTGGTACTGGGGATTGAACTCGGGGCACTCAACTACTGAGCCACATCCCCAGCTCTAGTTTTCTATTTTATTTAGAGACAGGGTCTCACTGAGTTGCTTAGTGCCTCACTTTTGCTGAGGCTGGCTTTGAATTTGCAATCCTCCTGCCTCAGCCTCCTGAGCCGTTGGTGTGCCCCACTGCGCCCAGCTGGGCCTCACTTTTAAATGGTCTCCAACCACGAGGACTAGTGGGCCTCACCTTCTACCTTAGCAATTTCTATTAACAAATGCCACCAAGAACATGGTGCATGGGAACGAGGAGTCCATGCTGTGCAAAGTCACCCGTGAGCTCAGAGTCCTACCTGGTAACTGTGCTTGTAGTCCAGGCCAGCTTTCAGGGACTTGCTTCTAGAGGCAGCGCTGGCCTGAGTGTGCTCCAGGCAGACCTGGAGGCTACCGAAACATTCAAGGAGCAAAGTGGTGTTCCTGCCAGACCAAGCCATGGCTTTCAAAAGATCATTCTTCTTGTCACACAGAGCTAAATAAAGTTTCTTCAACTCGAGAGCCAGTTTCTGCAAGGCGGAGGAAGTAGACAGAATGAGCTCTGACCTCAAGAGGCTTCAGTGCTGGCCTAATAAGTGGGGCTGTTGGAATGGCTGACCATACGGGCCCTACCTCGTAGTGCTCCTGCTGGGCAGAGACATCCTCCCTGAAGAGCCCCGGTGTCTGCAGCATCTCCTCCACACTGCCGAGGCACCGATTGAGGCTCAGGAAGAGCTCAAATAATTTTTTATCCAAATCGTTATATGTTTCTTCTGTCATGTTTTCCTGAATCAAGAAAAAGTAATCATTAGGATTCCTCGTCTTCCTAAACCTACATTTTTTTTTCCTGGTTTCCATTAAAACTTAAAATTGATATCATACTTTTTTTTTTTTTTAAATAATAAGCCATTTCAAACAAATGATCTCCAGAAACTGAACTAAGTAGTACTCGCACTAATTAGTGAACTAGTCTTTTCTATGAAGTAGGTCATAGAATAAATAAATAAAATTAAATTTTTAACTTTGAGAAAGACAGGTTTAAGAAACTCAATGTTCGGTTGTTACTTGACTATTGAATGGAATGAAAAGGTAAGTCGTGAGATAAAGGGCTTCCTTAGCAGGACCATTCAGGTACAGTTGTGGTCCCAGGCCAACCACACTGTCCCTCTTCCCCCTGCTTCATGCCCCACACATTTTAATGTAGGAGAAAGTGGGTTAACGAAATCAAGTACAGCCAGGAAAAAGAAAAGAAGTCACATCAGAGAAGCTCAAAAGGGTTGATGAGGAAAAGGAGGTATGGTATCTTAAAGACAGGGATGGATGGTGGAGTGGGGAGAAGTCAGGAGTGTCATTTATGGGCTGACTGCAAGAATTAAGGACATCCTGAGAGGTAACATCTCCAAAGAGGTCCACGGGTAGTGTCATCACATTCTGGTGATTTGGGGAGCACAGATCTGTTTCAGCAGAAGCTGTTGGAACCACCTTCTTTTCTTCACCCATGGTCACCTTGAATTCCTGACTAGTTACAATTAGTTAGGAGCATGCCCATGCTCAGAATCACTCCAACTTGAGCTGTTTCCTGCGGTCTTCTCTGATGGATACCTAGCATACACTGAGCATTTGGCATTAAGCCTACTCAAGTTTGGAAACCATACCTGTTCTTCTGCTCTACCCTCCTTCCCTGCCCTTCCAGACGAGCACGGCAGACAGAACTAATCCATCATCATCCTCTTTCCTATTGATCTTGGGCTCAGACCCATAATTCTTTGAACACTGCACTCTAGGCAGTCACCACAAAATTTATCAGAGTTGGCAAACAAGATGAATTCTATTTGTTCTATTTGTTCAGTGAAGAAAATTATGACCAATTTAAATGAGGACATCCTATCTCCCTCTTTTTTTGCATTCAGGTAATGAGGAAAATAAGCAACAGGCAGTTTCTACCTGTGTCTGAAGGTTATTTGCTTCTTGACGCAGGTCTTCGAGTTGGGTGGTGTACATTTTCAGCTCTTCCGTTGTAGGGTATCTAAAGTTATATACACTCACACTGGGTAGAATACTCATATTGGTGGTAACCTATTTGAAAAAGGGAAACCTTATTAGTGACAATTGGAGACCCTGCTGATGCTACTTTAAACAGAAAAACTGCCTCAGATGCTGTCTTTGGAGTTCCCTTCTCGGTAAGCTTTTGTACCTTGGCATTTATAAGGAAGAATAAATAAGATTATTTAATTACTTATAATTTATTTATTTAGCAGTACTTGGGGTTGAACCCAGGGTTGCTCTACCACTGAGCTACATCTCTAGCCCTTTTTATTTTTTACTTTGAGGCAGGGTCTCACTAAATTGCTGGGGCAGTCTTGAATGTGCACTCCTCCTGCCTGAACCTCCCAAGTAGCTGGAATTACAGGCATGTACCACCATACCTGCCCAGCACTGTATCATTTTTAAAGTGTTTTTTAAAGGTTAACTTATATTATTCATTCCTTTACTCATTCAACAGAGAGTAACTGAGATTATCTGATGTCCAGGTACTATGCTAGAGACTCCTGGGTGAATCACACAGATAGGGTCTTTCTTTTCAGACCTTCTGATGGGGGAATTCAAACACATAGGTGGAGAGTTTAGGAAGAGCTATGATCAGGGAAGCCCACGGTGCTGGAGGAGCACCTGAGGCAGAGTTCCAGAATTGAGAAAAAGTATTGAACAAGTGAAGAACCCAGATGGCACACCTTTGCTATCTGAAAAGAAACTCTACATGATGCAGAGCCTATGTGTTTATTTAATGAGGGCTTGCTGGGTTCCAAGGACGCGAGGGCTGCTTGCAGTGTGTGCAGAATGCAGACTGACCTGAGGCCCCACGAGCTGAGGAGGAGGTAGCTTTATTTTTGAGGACAGTTCATGATGAAGATATTGCCATTTATCACCATTTTGACCCTGAGGTGAAAAGATCAAGTCTGGAGCTTCATTTTCAGGGCCAGATGCCTTGTTGCTTTTAAGGAAGCGAAAAAGGTAAAAAGAATAATCAGCATGAAGAAATTTAGGAATTACCTTTAGATAATGTTTTGTGAGTGGCTTGTAAAACAAACAAACAAACAAAAAAACCAAAACGGTTCTCCCAGCCAAAAATCTACTTAATGTCCAACTATTTAAAAATCACCTCACAGATGATCCCTGAGTAGTATCTTTATCCTGTTGGCAATACTGCAGCCATGTTTTCTTAGCATTAAATTCTATAAACTTGAGTAAATCTTTCTGTTCCATTGGTTTTAACTCCAGAACCTAAAATTGAATAAGATTGAAAAGGTCTAGTCAATCCAGTTTTTTATTTAGTACCTAAGGATTTAAGTCATTGTTGACCATTTCTCTTTCTTGATTGCCTATTCTTGTTAATCTTTTTTTAAAATTTTTTTTTAGATGTTGATGGACCTTTATTTTTTATTATTTATTTACATGTGGTGCTGAGAATCAAACCCAGTGCCTCACACATGCCAGGCAAGTGCTCTACCACTGAGCCACAACCCCAGCCCCTATTGTTGTTAATCTTAACTTTTCAAAAAATCCATTCAAAATATTCACACAATAATCAAATGTTAAACTATTAGACACATGGGGAAAAAATCACCCAAAACATATCAGCATGTTTTGAAATAAGCAAAGCAGTGTTGTAGACACAGAGGTACTAAGTTTACCCTTCAGGTTTCTACTTAGTTTAATATAAGATACAACTTAATAAAGGAATAAAGTTAGAGTGTCCCCAGTGGTAGCAGATGGAAGCAAACCAGTAAACATCCAAAAATCGGCATTGCTGCACACGCACAAACACTCACACCTGACATTCTGCACCTGGTCACACATGCAGACCCTCCAATGGCAGTTCAAAGTTTTGCCCAAAGAGAAATTGCATCTAGAAAGTTTTACTCTTGTCCTTACAATGGCCAGTGGCCAAAATTACCTGTTGCACGGGGACATCTCTTTGTCTGCTAAATTGTGGCTTTTCAGTTACAATAGGTACCAATTCAGGAAGGTTAATAGGCTGGAGGACTTGTTGAAGTTCTGAAGGTTTCCTTAGAATGGTAGGGTACTGCAGAAAAATGTAACAATGGCAGACTGTTTAAAAATTAAGACCCACTTTATCTAAGAACTCTAAAAATGGGATTACCTAATAGAAAAGTGTTACAGCAAGTAAATGATAGTACTTTGTTAGGTAATATAATCGTATGCTATGTTTTAATGTACTTATTTCTAACATCGTGAAAAATCACTCCATTTGACGAAACGATCTTCTTTCCTCCATCTAGTTCATCCCATGAATTACTAAAAGCCAGGCTTTATTTATTTATTCCTTTTTTCCTTAAGAACAAAGTAAGTCAATCAATCAATCAAACAAACAGGGAAATGGTACAACATTTATGAACTCAGATTTTCCCCATGTCTCAACTATCTATTTTTTAAAAAAGGAGGATGAAAGGGGCACCATATGGCCTATGTCTCTGCAGCCAGCCTCATTTCTGTGAGTGTGAAGTCCCCAAGCAGGAATCACTTATGAGTTTGGATGCAAATCTTACAGAGTAAGATCTTATGCATGATATGAGCGTTTTCATTTATAAAAACAGAATGCTTTTAAAAATCATGAAAGCACTCTAAATGTAGTCTACTACACTGTGAGAGTATATATAAACATTAATAATGAAGAACAAAAGTACCCTGGAAGCAGGTTTTGTTTTTCTCATGTTAAATTTTCAACTTATCTATAAAGGCTTCATTGTCTGGTCAACAGGAGTCACAAAATTGTGTTAAAATATACACTTATGAAGAAACCTTACCTGAAAGCTTATTATCAGCAAGTACACTCTACCCCATCAAACCAACCCAAACCAAACCACCACCAACAACCTCGTTAAGACACTTGCACCGCAGTAAAATGAAATAAAAACAACAAAAGCCAGTGTCCCCATCGCTTCCCGTTTACAGATTCCTGCTTACTGTGTATAGTTTCTCTGTAGTTGGTGCATCATTTCCACCCAGGGTTCTCCTCTGGCTGGCTCTGGCCTATGGAGATATATGTCTACACATAACCATATTTTACCTGATCCTCGCTGTATTTCTCCTGCAGCATCATCTGGACTTTTTCCAAATTGCACTTCACAGTTTTGAGTTTCAGGGAGAGTGCTTCGGCCTCCTGTTGAGTGGCTCCACTATCTCCCAGGCCCTGATCTTTGCAAGTGTCCAAGAGAGAGGCAACCTTGTGCTCAATCTCGGTCAGCATAGCCTAAGGAAGAAAATCAGGAATTATTCACAGGGTTGGTCTTTGTTTTCATGCTGGGTACTTGCACCCAAAGTATTATTCTTCCAATAAGTGAAGCTTCCTCTCTTTATCTAAAGGTATACAAGAAATCCCAGAAAGACAGGATGGAAGCGACCTCGGGCAAACAAAACTTCCACTGAATTCCTATGCTTTTCAGCAGGAATGCAACCAAAACAATCCCAATTGCAGATATCACTCTCTGCCTTAATCTAAAAGAAATAATTTCATAATCACTTTAGAAAACACTGAAGAATGTACACAGTAGAGCACAGTGGTTAAGAACAAGATGCTAGAACCAGCCTGACTGCTGCCTGGACCCTTACCCTGCCACTTGGTACCTGTGTGTGCTTAGGCACTGTGCTTTAGATGTAGGTACATGCTTGCAGTAATCTGTAAAATGGGGATAATAACAGAATTTACCTCATAGGGTGATTTTAATGAGTTAAATCCATGTGATTTGGCCTCAATCCATGTACTTTGGATTTAATGAGTTAATATCATGTACATAGTCCATGCTTAAAAAAGTGGTAAGCAAAAAGTGTTGACTACTCTTAATTTCCCCTGCCTTCTTTATTCTTTCTTTATTCATTTTTCACGATTCCTATTTTAATAGTTCTACTCCATGGTTCCCTTCTTTGTTACTACTTTAAGTTATTACCAGTTGTTCACTTTTGTAATTAATGCTGCCATAATTATTTTTCTCATTTCAGATTATCTGCACAGGTAAATTTAGGTAAAAAAAGATGGACATGTTATATGCTCACAGATCTTCAAAACACTGAACCAATTAGAGCTACCACACATTAGTGAGTCTGTTTTGCTAGAGTTTTGCCAGGATGATAAAATCATTATGAATGTAATACAACGCAAAACAATAGCTAGTTTAATTCAAATGTCTTTAATTATCAAGGTTGAACAGCTCCTTTCAAATTTAAATTACCAAACACAATGTTTCTTGTTTGTTCCTGTCCTTTGGCCATTTTCCTACTGGGAATGTAGTATTTATAGATAACTTTAAGGTGTTTTTATGTTTCAATGTGAAATCATAGGTGTCATGTTATTATATAAATGATCCAGAGATGGCCCTTGTATATTGGCCCCTATGTTATTTATTTCTTTCCAGTAAGTCAGAACCATTAGCTCAAACCTCATTTTTTATATATGTAGTGGCTTTAAATACAATCCTATGAGCATATATTCAGCCATACAGAGCCTGCCTGCTTTGTATACTCCCAAAACTACACCTGACATCTGCCAGCCATGGATAAGACAAACCCTGGGGCTTTAGAAAGTCCCAAGCTTCTGCTGCCCTGTGAAACTCTCTGACCTGGACACAACATTGCTCAGGGATATGACACAGACACATAAAGCCCCTCACTGATTTCCCTCTCCTCCTCCCCCCTATAGTGCCCACCTGCCTCATCCCAGGCTTCTGCAAGAACTTTTGTGACTCTAAGAATCAATCCTGTCAAAGTCCTGCCCACATAAAGCCTGTTGGGCGCTACTGCTACCTGGTGGTCATGTCTTTTCTTTGGGCAACCCCCACATCCTCAAAGTAGGTACAAGAGGTGAGGCGAGGATTCCAGTGATGATCAAGGAGTTGACATGAAGCCTCCCTAGTCAGTAGACAATCAGTTTGCAAATGATATGGGACGGCCTTAAATGATTGAGAATCAAAATCTGAACTGGCTTGGATTCAGTTTAAGCAAGGCTTTATCCTGTGCTAGTTGGACTTATTTTTTTTTTTTTTTTTTGGTACCGGGAATGGAACCAGAGGCACTCAACTACTAAGCCACATCCCTAGTCCTATTTTGTGTTTTATTTAGAGACAGGGTCTCATCCTTACTGTTGCTGAGGCTGGCTTTGAACTTGTGATCCTCCTGCCTCAGCCTCCCAAGCCATTGGGATTATAGGCGTGTGCTACAGTGCTCAGCTGGACTCTGTCAGTGAACTGACCATTCAGAACTGACCACTGGGGTCAGAGGTGCTGGGCTGCCCTGAGAAGCAGATCAGGGCAGCTGCCTGTCCTCTCCCCTGCAGGCAGATCTGGATGCGGTAAGGCTGTGGGCCTGAGCAGCAGGGGAGAATGCCCCTGGATGAAGGGCAGGCCATTCCCATCACACGACAAGTGACTGCAGGAAGAGCTCCCTGTGGCCAGGCTGGTGGTGTGGGGTACTCTGAGAAAAGAGAGTGTCCTAATCCCTGGCAGATAAACAAGGCAACAAGGCAGACATCAAGTCGCAGCTGGTCTCCTGAGTGCAGAGGGAGAGAGGCTCTGGAAGCAGCCAGCAGGTCTCTGCTGTTGTGACATGCAATTATGCTGCTGCGATGTCATCATTCTAGCCCCTCCCTTGTGGGACAGAGAGCCAACCTTTGGGCTGAGCTGGCAAGTTTTGCTTAAAGTGACTAAAGTCAAGGAAGTCCATGTCCTTGCTCCTCCCAAGCAAGATGGGGAGCATTCCTGGTCAAATGGCTGTAAAGCCCTTTCATGCTGTATTTGCAATCTTGGAAATCAGAACAGTCAGTTTCATTTCTGAAGAATAAATATTCCAAGTACTTAGAATTATTAAATTTTGAGCACTTTTTTTTGTGGGGGTACTGGGGATTGAACCCAGGGACACTTAACCATTGCATCCCCAACCCCCCATTTTTTTTTTTTTTAATTTTGAGACAAAGTCTTGCTAAGTTGCTTAAGGCTAAATTGCTGAGACTGGCCTTGAACTTGTAATCCTTCTGCTTCAGGCTCCCAAATTGCTGGGATTACAGGCATGCGCCATCGAACCTGGCATTGAGCACCTTTTATATACTTTATATAACAGACACTGTTTTTTGTTTTTGTCTCATTTAATCCTAACAAAAATCCTATGAGCTAATCTACTATAATAGGAGATTTAGGGCTGAGAAGTTAACTTCTCTAAGTTCATAGTTAATGTGACAGAACTGGCTTTGGACTCCATATTCTGAGCTCTTGTCCTCCCAAATATGCTGTTTACATAAAACATTTCAAAGAACTACAAGTTAAGGCGAAGATAAATGTGAGAGTCAGAGCGAGAGAAGAAACATACTGTTGCTTTAAGTGAAATCAGCCCTGCGTTGGCTGGTGATTGGTGAAGAGGCAAACTACGAACTGGCCCAAAGGTCTTACCTGGCACCCGACCAGTTCCTGTTCCACCACCTGCTGCATGTCTGCGTTTAATGTTTCCGGCTCAAATGCCACGCTGGCTTGTTGCAGCCACAGCTCCAGCTCGGCCACCTGGGTCTTGCAGACATGGAGGACTTCTACAGGCCGGGCCCTAGTTCTCTTCACTGAGGTCTCAAAATCTCCTGGCTTATCAGAAAAGTCCAGAGCTGCAGCCTTGATAGGAGGAGTGGGACCCTAAGATAAACCCAAAGATAATCCAGCAGTGAAGAGCCAGGAGTCCAAAGATTTCAGACTTGGGCTGGCAAAGACCTGTGGACCCACAACCTTTCTCCCCAGTTAAAAGAAACAAAATAAGAACAGAAGAAGGAAGAAAGAAAAGAAAAATGCACCTCCACACTCATAGCAACAATCACGTGACCTGGTGGCACAGGTTTCTAAGCAGCCGATCTGCATGTACACAGGTACAGTATTCCTGGGCACAGAGGAAGCGAATGGGCTTTCAGTTCATTGAGCGGTGAGCCCCAGGAGAGAGGTGAGAGAGTGAGAGAGAGTGTGGGCATGTGGGTGTGTGTGTCCCAAACACTACAGGAACTGGCCAGTGTTTAAAGTTTCATGACCCAGGATTAAGCAATGCTTACATTACTCTGCACTCTATTCAAACAGGAAAAAACAAGAAAACAAAACAAAAAAACGACCTATATATATTGCAGGCATACAATGAAATAAGCCAAGTAATGAGATTATAAAGGATTTTAGCTTTTCTTTCAACATACATGCTATTACTCATCTCAACTTCTCCCCGGTAAAAATTGCTTGAGTCAAGTTATGAACTTGAGCAGAGGAATCTGAAAACTTTCCTCCTCTTCCTCAGAACAAATCTCTAAAATAACTTTCACCTTCGAGATCCTCAAATATTATTGAGTTAGAGACCAAGTAATTAACATAGAAAAAAATGATATATTCCATTCTACTGTCATGTATAACTGACTGTAGAACAAATAAAAAAGAAAAGAATGATGTGTTCTTTTCATATTGAAACAACTGGGCTGCTAATCAATGCAATAGCAAAATTTCTCCAGTTAGCAAATGAAAGTTTTTTAATAATTATATCAGATGTTTTCAATTTGGAGGGGAAAAAAAGATTTCATACAAAGAAATATTTGCCTTCCACCATATTAATTATCCTTCTCTATAATATTAAAAAAGTATATCAGCCCTTGGAGAGAAATTCCTTTAGTTTAATAAAGATTTGTTTTGCTGAATGAAAGTATTGTTCCCTATAAATATTTTATTGTGATTTTGATAAATTATTATGTTATCCATAGAAGACTTTTTTAGCAAGTAATAAAGCACAATCTGGGTCAGGTGACAAATTTCTAACGAGAACTGCTCACAAATGCATACCCTAATTCAATGCAAATGCACATTTCTGAATATTTGTGAAATTTTATTTAAACACAAAACTTTCAATGCAATTGAGTGAAGAAAACTGGTAGGTGGTAATAAAATCACGCCAAGTACGAAAATATCATTCATTTACACACTGATGAGTGTTACGAAAGCTGGTTTGGAAGAAGTGTCTCTGGGTTGAATTTCTTCCCTCTGACCATCCATTAACTTCATGCATATTGCTCTTTTCTGCAAATCCCTATTTCTCCTCTGCCTTCATCGATCTGTTTTTATAATTTAATTCAAGAATCACCCTCTTAAGGACATTTTCCCCTGACTTGTGTTTTCCTCTGAACTTCATATACAGTCAGGTTAATACCTGGATTCACTTACTTCAATTTTCTTTTTTAATCTTGATTTTTTTAAAAAAGCAACAATTGAGTGATATTACTGCAAATCACCAATTTCTAGCCACTTGATAAATTCCCTTCTTTTCTTCCTTCGTATTGGGGATTAAACCCAGGGATGCTTTACCACTGGGCTACTTCCACAGCCCGTTTTATTTTTTGAGACAAGATCTTGTTAAACTGATCAGGCTGGCCTTGAACTTGTGATCCTCCTGCCTCAGCAAAACCACACCTAGCTGATTAATTATTTTCTACTTTTCAGTTATTACTTATATCTTACTGGAAAAGACTTGGGGATCCCCTTTCTTTGCCACCTGACATAGCAACCTGTGAATATTAATTAATTGATAATAAATGATTTGCCATCTGGCTTCTTAATGTATCCAGACTTTTTGGAGCCCCTCCTATATGCCACACACATTTTTAAAAGACATTTTGTTTCTTTGCTTTCTCACTAATAAAATTACTGAGGAAATAAGTAAGCTGGATGATTAATCTGGGCTTTATTTGCTGGTAATTTGAACCTGAAGAGAATCTAAGGGGTGTGGGGTAGGAGAAAAAAGATTATTTGCAACCATAGAACTTGCAAAGCTGAAAGTGGCCTCAGGAACCTGCCAGTGAGCAGTTTGCCCATGTCTTTTTTTTTAAACAGTCAAAGACAACTGAGCCTGTGCGTCATCAGTTCACATGCCTCTCACCTCACCAACTTGCTTCCAGTTGTCCAAGGCCAACAGCTCTGTGATCTTTAAATTATGAGTCCCTAGTTGTTTCCCTAATAGCATCTCAGTAAAACAGCTTCCCTGGAAAATAGCCCCAGATTCTAAAGGCAGAAATCATATAAACGAAGGTCTTCTAATTGTACACTGTGGGAGGCTTCAAAGCATTAGCCACAATTGTCACGTCTATGACATAACTAAACTAATAACACTAACCTTTACTGAGCTCTTATTATGCGTCAGGCACTGTGCTAAACATGTAATAAAGACTACCTCATTCCTTCACACTGCAAGCCTGTGTTTATTCCCAGTATACAGCTGAGGAAATCGAGGCTTTGGGAGGCTATTCAAACGGCCTGTGGTCACCCAATTAATTAGTAAGTAGAACCAGAATTCATGCCCTGATTTCACCTTGCTGTGGAATCTACAAATCCACCTTTTGGACACAATTTTACTAGCTCTCTAGTGTCCAGGTTAACCCCTCAGGGAGTCACACTGTTGGATTTCTGTATAAACACATCACATATCTAAACAACAGGACTGTGGTTAAAAGGCAAGTGAATTTACTGGCTACAGTCACTCTTCGTGCCAAGATATCAAGCCTTCAAGTTTACTCCCTCTATTGAGTCAATTCTACAAATACCTGTGCATCCTCCTCACTTTGCACAGAATGAGAGCTTGCCTGCCTGAAGGGCCACGTCCACCTGCACAAGCACAGATGTTGCGACACGCTGCTGGAAAGGCATGGCAGTCTTTATTCTGTGAGGTCAAGCCCACTTTGGTTTCACTTTCTGTATTAAATATTTATTCTTCAATGCAATCTGGGTCACAGATGACTCTGAATTTTACTAAAAATTGCACAATTCGCGTTTGGTCAGTGCCCTTGATCTCTAAACCAAAAAGTCTGCAGAGGCTAATGCTTGGCTGATGACACAGGTGGCCTGGTCTCTGGAGCTCCCCCTTTCCCTCTCTGGCTGTTGGGTCAACGAAACGGAAATGACCAAAGGCAGGAGGTGAAGGGACCCTGACTGATCAAAAGAGGGCTTCAAGAATCCACGAGGCACCCCCAGGACAAAAGTTCTATTAGGAAGAAAATATGAATGTACATACACAGACAGCAGTTTAAGAGAGTCACTGGGGCCTTACAGTGGAAAGCTCAAGTTCTAAACCTGGAGGGAGAAGTTCTGGGTTTCAGTCTTAACTCTGCCACTCAGGAGCTGCGTGGCCTTGGACAACCGAACGTCTAAGTCTCCTTCTGTCAACTGGGGCAACAGCAGTAACTACCTTACAGATCTGACGTGAGGATTAAGAGAGAACACATGTAAAACCCCAGTGCCTGGCCCATAGGAAGCGTTCAGTGGATTTTTGTTACTTTCCCCTCACCTCTTTCTCTTATCATCACCATTATGTGCTGTTGACACTGCCAGGGCAGAACAACCTGCCGATCACCCACCCCCGGAGAAATACACTGCGCAGAATGCCCGCTGCAGCCAAAGCACAACTGAAGCTACGTCTGATTTTTAATTAGGTGTCAAAAGAAACATTAATTCTGGCCAGCAAAAGACAAAAACAAACAAAACTATGGGTGAGGTCAGCAACTTTCTTAGACATAAGTACTGCCAGCGAGTGTTAAGCTGCGACATTTGTCTGCCTTGCTGGGCACATACTGTTAAGAGAGACAGAGAATGAAAGGGAAGAAGGGCAAAGAGGAATAACAATTTGACAACTTTATACATATATATATATATATATATATATATATATATATATATATATACATACAAGGGCAAACAATTGGGAGAAAAGACTGAAAAGGAGAAGGAGGGGAGAAAGCAGGTCAGGATCTTTTTTGGGGAGCTACTCGGTGAGACCCATGGAGCTTTATTTCCACCAAAACCAACCTGGGAAACGGCTCCCCAGAGGGCCTTCTTGAGAAACAATGTGCACCACAAAAATATCTCAAATGAAGAAGAGTAGACTGGAAAATTCTGCAATTGATTCCTTACTCTCCCAGTGACTGCCAGTGTTTTACTCTCTGAATTTTTATTTTCTCTTTTGTAAACTTGTGGGCAGGCATTAACCCGCTTCATCTAATCCAAAGATTAAAAAAAAATACAAATAAATGCCTTTTATGAGGTAGGCCGTTAGTCAACCTTAGCTCTTCTCCACTTTCGTTGTCCCCAGATGCTATGTGTAGAGGTGCAAGAAATCACTAACGGGAAGACTACTTCACACCACAAAGGGTGACCAAGTGGAGAAAGGTCTCCCTGCTTCATGCCATGCTTATTTTCTATGTGAATGATGGCGAATCTTCCATTTCAATAGCTTGAAAGCACACATACAGACATGAAAGTTCACAAAGAACACTTGGCTTGGCACACAAAGGATTGCAGAACCCAGAAACCTGGTCACCTCTGGCGACAGTCCAGGTAGCCAAGCAGTTGGCTTGTTACTGACAGGGACTTACCTCTTCTGTTTGGTTGAGCTTTGGGGAAAATGCTAGGCTTTGCTCAGTGTTTAGTGAGTCTGGTGCCAGAATTTGTACCATGGAACTATCACAGGTGCTTATTTTCCCATCTGCTTCCTACAAAGAAAAGAATCAGACATCCAGGAAAGGTCTTTCCCTGCTGCCAGAGTAGCCCCTCTTCCTTGCCTGCTCATTTACAATTTGACTGCTTGCAAAAATGTCCAGAGAATTCAGGTGCATTTAGAAAAGAGTTAGCTTGTTTTGGTGGGGAAAAAAAAATCAGCTTCCTTTGATTTGTCTTTATTTATATGACTTAAATACTCAAAAACTCTCTTCTTAATGAGCACATAAAGGATCCACAGAATTAAGTATTTAAGCAGATCACTTTGAGAGTTTAAATGAGGTTCTATGATAGGGGCTACATTTCAAATAATGGGAGAAAAGATGAACTTATTAGATATAAGAATAACTATTGAGATATTTTATGAAAAATATAACAAAAGTCTTTGTCTCACTCCTGACAATGAATTCTAATTGTATCTAATATTGAAATGTAAAAGCTATACCATAGAAATTGTAGAGGTGGGGAAGGGCTTTGACAACATAGGAAAAGAATGTTAGTAGAGACAACATTAAAAAAAAATAACATAATGTGCACCACAGAAGAAATATAGTCTAAGTTAAAAGAGAAAAACTAACTGGGATGAAATGTTATGCTCTTAATATATTAATCTTATAAATTAATAAGTTAAACATCAACTCCTACAGAGAAAAAAAAATGCAATGCTATGCACTAGCAATTCATGACAGAATTACAAAATCCGACAGACTTCCAAAGGGAGATACTCAACATTCTTACAATATAAATTCAATTTAAACCGCTGATTAAGGGGACTAAAACCCACTTCACTAAAGCTTTTGATTATTAAACAAGATGATATATTTAAAGTATTTAGTAGCTTTTAACAAAATGTTAGCTCCTCTTTACTGGGCATGATAATTGCTATCAAACACTAAGAACTGAACCAAAACTAAAGGCAGAACTTTAGATAAAATTGCAAAGGTAGGTAAGGATCATGAAAAACTTGGCATGCCAATAAGTTTGCATTTTACTAAGTTGATAATCAGAATCCATAAAGGATATTAAGATGGGATTTATTTAGCGCAATAGGTTTTAGAAAAAGCCATCTGTGTTGTGTAAGATATACCAGAAAAAAAAAAAATAACTGGAGGTTGTAAAACCAATTAGGATGCTATTCCAACAGCCAAAGGAGAAATAAAATTGCCTCACACAGGATGAGGAAACAAAGAATAGGAAGAGAGGGAGATGAAGCTTCAGTGGGTGTTGCTTGGCTACTGACTGAATATGAAGATGATCCTGAAGTTTATTCACCTTGGACTGAGAAAACAGTGGGTGCCACTAGCAGGCGCTGAGAAATTAGGAGGAAGAGCAAACTTTGAAATCCATTTGGTCAAATGGATTTGAGAATATTTATCCAAAATGAGAAGTCTATCAGGAGGGTAGACATGTGGAACAGCCTTAAGATAAAAGCCATGATGGGCGATTTGAGGTGGGAATCACTGGCACAGAGATGCCAAGCACAGGGGATGAAATCACCAGGAGACAAAACAGAGGGAAGGAAGAGGAGGAACCTCCGGGGAATACCTAGCATCACAGATAGAAGAGAGGGGCAAGGAAGGGACAGAGAGTTTACAGGTAGAAGAGACAGGAAGTGAAGAATTAGAAGGACACTTCAAGAGGACGAGGTGGCCCATAACGTCGGACTCTGGCAAGATCAATAAGGATTAGGACTAACAAAAGGCTAAAGTTGCATTCTGGAAGTCAATCACAGCATACACACAGCCAGAGGCAGAGAAAAGATCTCAAAGGGACCCAGGGAGCCCCAAGGACAAACATTTAGTGGGATATGAACGAGGAAGTACAGTAACTGATGTGGGAAGCAGGATTCAAACAGTCCATGAATCCAAGTGCCATAGTTGGCCATGGACGGGACATCTGCTCTTGGAACAGAACTGTGTCACATATAGGCCTAAGGATGTGGTAAGCCACACCTGGGGAGAGCTAGGGGCAACAGAGGGAAAGGACCAGCAATTTCCCCTGTAGGATCTCGAGAGGTTCCACGGAGGAGGCAGAAGTTGAGATGGGTCTTAGGGATGGGGAGGACACCTCGGGCAGCATGGAGGAAAGGCAGGCCAGGGATGCCAAGCAAAGAGCCACTCAAGGTGCAGACAGATTGGGATGATCGGTTTGTTTGAGGGAAGGGGGTTAAGAGGGAAGAAATGCACCACGAGGCAGAAACTGAAGTTGCAGGTGTAAGCAGAGCATGGTGCCAATGACTAATGAAGGGTTGGTGTGGGAGCTGAGGGACAGGAGGTGGGAGGAAGAGGTGGGAGTCACGATGATGATGATACGGTAGCAGGCATGCTTCAGAAGCAAAGGAAAGACATTACTGCTGTGCCAGGTGAGGATGGTCTTCTAAAGAGAGGATATCACCTTTTATTTTGAAAGATTAGAGAAGATTCAGAATGTTGTAAGGAGAAAAAGGCTTACTGCATTAATTTATCCTACATTATTTTTTTTAAAGAAATTATGGAAAGACCCTCACCCCTCTCTCCTCCCCTGACACACACACACATTTTAACTACTCCCAAAAGAGAGGCGTGATAAATGCCTTGGCAAAACAATGTGATTTAGGTGAATTTTGAAGTGACTTTTTCCTCAGAAAAAGTACTCTCTTACTATCTGTTGAGTGAACAACAGAAATGCAAAACATTAGCCGGTATTTACTAAGTTGCATTGCATTTGTGCAGATGTAATGGTGAGAAGCTTTTTAAACATTCACAACAGCCAAAATGAGGAACCAACTTAAGTTTCCATCATGGATGAATGGATAAAGAATATGTGGTCTGTATATATTACAGAATACTATTCACCCTTAACAATGAAAAAAAAATCCTGCCATTTGCAATGACACAGATGGCCCTGAACAAGAATATGTTAAATGCAATAAGCTGGACACAGAATGCTAAATATCACATTATTTCATTTACAAATAGAATCTAAAAAACTTGAAGCAGAGGGTAGAATTGTGGTTACCAGGGACTGTGGGGAAGCACTGGGAGACACTGATCAAAGGATCCAAAATTTCAGTTAGGTGAGAGGAATAAGTTCAAGAGACATTACCATAAAAAATGACTATAGTTAATAGCAATGTATCATAGACCTAGAGAATACAGAAAGAATAGATTTTAAGTGTTCTTAATGCACACACACACAATAATAAAATGATAATTACGCAAATCAATGCATATGCTAATTAGCTCAATTTAGTCATTCCACACGGTATATATGTTTCAAAGCATCCTACGATCCACAATAAATACATGCAATTTTCATTTGTCAACAGTGACAAAAAATGCAGCACAGTTCTAAGCATTCTTTCAAATAAGAACTTTTCTTAAAAAAAAAAAAAAGAACTTCTTTTCTTTGACTTACTATCCCTTATTTTATTCCTCATTTGGGACACGTCTGTATTTTAAAGTGGAGGTGCTGAATGAAAGCAGAACAAAGGAAGAGGGGAAAGGGAACACAAATTGGGGCAAAAAACAGCTCCCTGTCCCCACACCCCACCTCTGAACATGATATGCCCAAGATTACCGGAATGATGGTTGCTGAGGAGGAGGATTCTCCATCTTCCTCCAAGCCCAGGTCATGCTTCCAAAGTAAAGGCAAAGACCTCGAAGACGGCTCCGCTTTCTTATATTCATTCTAAGACAGTGATGGGTTGGTTAGCAGAAGGAAGTGATACCCTACTCTCCTAGACAGCACCCTCCTTGTCTCTCTCATGCAAGGTTCAATTTGCTGGGCATTTTGACTGTATGCCTTGATTCCACACCTTCTCCTATATTCCATTCACTTATTTTGCTAACTAAGTCATATTTCAAATGTGGTTGCAAATTCCTGAAGCCTAAAGAATATTTTTTTAAAGTCAGAGTAAGCTCAAGTCACAGAAAGGAGATCTTTCAAACAATACTTAGGTACTTAATTTGTTTTGGTAAATGCAATCTTAAATGCTGTATTTAAAATAACATTCCAATAGGTATAAAAATGCTTAAAATCACTAATTATCAGAGAAATGCAAACTAAAACTATAATGAGAGGCCGGGGGTGCAGTTCAGTGATAGAGCTCTTGTCTAACATGGATGAAGCTCTGGGTTTGATCCCCAGCACCACTAAATAAATAAATAAAACAGTGAAGATATCATTTCATACCTATCAGAATGGCATTTATTAAAAAAATGATGAAAAATAACAAGTGTTGGCAAGGATGTGGAGGAAAGGAAACTTAAATACTGTTGAGGGCTAGTAAATTAGCTATTAGGGAAAACAGTATACAGGTTCCTCAAAAAATTAAATGAGAAAGCCACCATATGATCCAGCAATACTACTATTGGGTATATATCCAAAGGAAGTGAAATCAATCCATTGAAGAGATATCTGCACTTCTGTATTTATTACAGCATTATTCATAACAGCCAAGATGTGGAATCAACCTGAGTGTCTATCAATGGACCAATGGATAAAGAATGTAATGTGTAATATGTATCTAAGTGTGTGTGTGTGTGTGTGTGTGTGTGTGTGTATATATATATATATATATATATATATATATATATATATATATATATATATGAATGACAGAATACTACTCAGCCATAAACAGAAGCAAATCCTGTCATTTGTAACAACATGGAGGAACTAAAGGGATATTTTATTAAATGAAGTAAATAAGCCAGGCACAGAAAGACAAATACTGTAGAATCTTGCTTATGTGTGAAGTGTCAAAAAGTTAAACTTGTAGAAACAGAGAGTAGAATGGTGTTTATTGGGGTGGAGGGGATGGAGGGGGTTGGGGAGATGTTGGTCAAAGGATGAAACATTTCAGTTAGACAGGAAGAAGATTAAGAGATGAACTGTATGCCAATAACAATATAGTGTGTCCTTGCAAACTGCTTAGAGAGATTTTAAGTGTTCTCCCACAAAAAGAAAACGGTATGTGAGATAATGCATACATGCATTAGATGGATTTAGCCATTCATAACATCCTGAGAGAGAGAGCACACTAAAGTAAATACCTATCTGAAATTAAATCATACTGAAGTGTCTGAAGTCCCCTCTGTTTTGGCCTTTGGTACTGCCTCTATTTTCCTGATTCTCTCTGCCACAAGGGACATAAGCAGATTGTGAAGCTGTCGATGGTCAGAGGACATGGTAAACCTACATTCTTCTTTATCCTAACTCTCAGCCACACTGAGTCCTAGGGACAACTAAAGGACAAGAGATCTGTTCTGCATGACAATGGACTAATAATTGGAATAATAATAATATAATCTATAAAACGAGCATTAAAAACTGTCTAGTGGTCATATCTGAGCGATAGAAACTGTAAGAAGCTGCAATTTTCTACCTTTTAGCTTAAGACACATGATAACTTTAGTTTTTAAAGTATGGAATGGAAATTGGTGTCCAGAAGTTCAAGTGTGAATGTCTCTTTCAACCAGTTGTAATGAAGTAGTAACAATTAGCTGTATTCGTCACTGACATAGCACATGACCTTGACAACACTGTTTTAGACCCCAAAAAATAACTCAAATATGGAAAAATAAAGTTGTAAAAGTCACATGGGAATGCCAACCCAACAGCATACTCTTAAAACTTCAGAGAATTTATTCAGAAGTCAGGACATGAGAGAGGACTTCATCTTCTCCCTCTGCCAACAAGTGCGTCTGAATTACATTTCTCTCCCTTGTACGTGGTGAAGTAGGTTGAGATGCGTTTAATGTTAATAACATGAGAACTACTTCAATCATCCTTTAACAATATCAATATTTTTAAAGAAATAAACATTCTTTTTAAGATCTTTTCTACCACCTTTTTAGAGATCTGGTTCTAACAAACTTTCATGAGAAAATCGTTTTCCTTACTTCACTCTTCAGGGAGCCTTCCTCTGCCTCTTCCTTGACGGCTGGCAAGAATGACATGGAGCCTGGTCTGTCCAGCTGAAAGGGGCACAGCACAAGGACACCTGCAGTCAGCTTGCACATCAACATCGCCAGGATCCTGGCCTGGCTGCATTTTTATGGAGCTAATTTTTTACTTACTTTATCCACGATGCCCACCCAGCCTCTGGGCCCTGTACCTTTCCGCTCATCCAGCCCGACAGGCTGGCACAGTCCAGTTCCCTCTCGTTTGCGTGGCTTCCTGGGGCCCTTCATCAAACAACTGAAGATTGTTATTCACTGATGTGGATTTGGAGAGGGCCGAGAGAAGGTGCCAGGCCACTTCTGAGTCTACCATGGGCTGACTATTCCATAGGATGATACTTCAAAGACGGCTCCCTACCCATCTGCCCGTGGAATTTCATAAGCACATCCTTAAATAACTCAAGCATAAGAATTCTGGGTTGAGCCCAGAACAAACACACCCTGAGGATTTATGTTCATTAGTAAACAACCTCAAGTGAAGTACTTCCACTTCAAAAAATTCCTTTACTATGGGCCATAGACCGAGATACAACAAGTTGTTCAGGTGAAAAATATTACCCATTTAACACTCTTGTGGAATGTGGGACCAGTATTCACGTAAAGGGGTTCCTACCTTCCACTCAGACACATCCAGCTCAGCCGCTCCACCGTCCTCCAATGCTCTGGCTGACAGCATGTCTCCTTCTTGCTGTTCTTGCTTCAAATGCTGGTGAAGGTTTAGTACGGCAGCCTTCAAGTCCACCAATAGGTCTTCTTTTTTCTGGTTTAAATGCAGAATCTGCTGTTCCATACTTTTGATGTCTTCCTGTACAAAAAGAATATCTGCATTGTTTAGAAGTCTGAAGTCTTTGGATGTGCACAGGAGCCAGCTCCCTTCAGTAAGAGATGATAAATGGTTCTAGGCTGTTTGGTTGGCAAAGCCAGGAACCACTCTCTGGTACAGTATAGTTCCTTCCCAATCTGGCTGCATTTCCAAAGGATGTGGGTAGGTTACCTTAGCTCCTCTGTAGACCTTGCAAATCAGAATATCTGGAGGTGGAGCCAAAGCATAAAAACTTGCAACAGGCTCTATGGGTGACTGTGCAGAACAGCTGGGGTGGAGAGCCACTGCCCTAGTGGCTAGCAACAGGACTGGTGGACCCAGAATGCAAAAGGCCAGGACCCAGGGTCTGCACTTTAACACAGAAGGGCTGTCTGCCTACTTCCCATTTTGTCACATAAAGTATTACAAATGCATGTTTTTAGGAGATATGTTCTCATGTCTGCCCCAGAGATTCTTAAGCAGACTAACATTTGAGAATGGCTAAGTGAAAATAGGCTTAGAAGTTTCATTCTTTTATTATTGCCTTTGAAAACTTCTTCAGTATTACTATATCATTTACTCTTTCCACATCCAAGCTTACTATCAAATGGGAGTAATAGTTACCTTGCAGTACAACTTACTATGGGAATGATGGAGAGATGAGTCCAAATTTCATACTGTCGCTTTTTAACATCTGGGTTGGTATATGCAAATAAATTTTTTATATATGGTAGATATGCAAATACTATCTGTCTATGAGAATTATAGAATTAATTATAGAATCCTAGTTTTGGAAGGAATAGCAGATGTTGTCTAGGCTAACAACCTCCTCTCTAGCACCTAAGAGTTATCCAACCCGTGCCTGAACTCCTGCAATGAGTGCTGATCAGAAAGTAGCCTGTTCTTTTTAGGAAACTTTCATGTGTTTAAAATTCGTTTTATAGCAGGAGGTATATCTGGGTGGTAGAGCATTTGCTTAGCATGCACCAGGTCCTGGATTCAATCCCCAGCACTGTCAAAAGAAAAAATATATATAAAATAAAATTGTTCCTAATATTTTCCTTAAACCCTTATTTTTTCTATGCATTACTTATCTATCTAGCTCCATTGTCTTAAAGATATTTATGGTTATTAATTTTTTTTTATTTTTTTACAGATGGAAAAGTTGCACGTCTCTACCTACAAGTAAGTTCTGGAGTCTGCTTCTAGAGGAAGCAGGTGATGTTTCTAAAGCTGCAGCATGTGCCAGAGCAGAGCTGGGCTTCCCCAGGACTCATGTGTGATTGCACACATTCCTACATCAATGTCCCCATTCTGTTTGAAGTCAAAGTTCCCATTATCGCTAGTAGCAAATGATAACTGTCAGAATTAAATCTGGGTTGGAGTGGATTGTGTCCTATTTTCAATAAACACTAAGCTTCCAAGGTCAAGTGCCCCCCCACCCCCAAGTTCTGACAGTCTTTAGAATAACATTTGGGGAACAGAGCAGGAGGTGCTCAACCTCTCCCACTGTAGAGACACAAAGGGCCCTGAGTAGCCAGTTGCAGGTGGCGCCTGCAGACCTCTGGGATCACAGTGCCTGAGGTGGAGATAATTTCCATAATGCTACTAAAATTACTTGCCTTTTTGCTGTGTTCACATTTTTTTGTTCCGATGGCACCAAAACAATGGTGGGTAAAACTACTGTTACCTTATATGAATCAAGACAGACATCAACTATATCAATTAAATTCTTCACTATGGTAGACTTATAGTAGGGGAAAAAAAAAAAAAGAAAAGTGCCAGTCTCACTTTAGATCATGCTTGATAAAGATAGATACCTTTAATATTCTGGTGACAAAATAGGAAATATGCCCAAAGTACTTTTGCTACCTACCAAAGTATGATGGTTGAGGGAAAGGATTTGTATGAATGTTTGGTTCTGATTGTGAGCTGAACTACCTACCACCCTGCCCCAGTCACATGAAATAAAATAGCTGAGAAACTATACTTTTACTTAAATGCTATACTTAAAGCCTCTTCTGAAAACATAGGTGTTTTATATTGATCACTGCTAACATTTGGAAGATCTGGGCTCCTACAATGAGTACTGATCAGAAAGTAGACTGCTCTTTTTAGGAAACTCTCATGTGTTCAAAATTTAGTTTTAGACTGGGAGGTACAGCTGGGTGGTACAGCATTTGCTATACTGTCAATATTTGGAAGATCTACATCATTTAGTGAAATAATATTTTCTAAATGATCAAATATGGTATTTCAAAGTTACACATAGTAGAAGATCCATTCAAAGTGTAAGAAAAACCAATAGATTTTAATGTAAAAATATAGAAAGTTCATTAATGTGGCTACAGATCCCATTTATAACTAGCCTATGAGTGACTTTCATTTGTTGGGTTTAATGCAGTTTCAAAGAATATCCACAGTTATTCAAAAGGGCTGTTATTGCTCCCTTTTCCGAGTACACCGTCTTTGAGAGGTTGGATTGTCTTTATATACTTTGAACAAAATTAATAAAATAGCCGGGTATGGTGGCACACACCTGTAATCCCAGCAGCTCAGGAGGCTGAGGCAGTAGGATCATGAGTTCAGACCCAGCCTCAGCAACTTAGCAAGGTACTAAGGCAACTCAGTGAGACCCTGTCTCTAAATAAAATACAAAAAAAGGGCTGGGGATGTAGCTTAGTGAGTGAGTGCCCCTGACTTCAAACCCCTGTACTATTAAAAAAAAAAAATTGACAAAATAGAATACAGAAGTAGATGAGAATCTGTCTTCTATTAAGCCAGACATTAAAGAAATTTACAAAAATGTAAAACAGAGTCACTCTTTTCATAGTGTTTTGAGTGACATAATTATATTCATAAAAATGTTATTTCTATTAACATGGGTTTATGATTGCTATTTTAAAATAAACTAAACAAATATTTTTACTTTTCTGAGTTTCAATCCCTATGTCCTCAGATATACAAACAAAAGCTATTTGTAGTCCTCAAATTTTCTCATGAACACAGAACTTGACATTTTCACAGTATTGAATCTTTAACACTAAGTCTGTGTCATTGGTTCCACCCCTTAATGACTATGTCACCTTGACTATGTCACTAATGACTATGTCACCTCTCTGTACTTTACCTTGCATGTTAAGTAACTTGCTTCTGTCTCGCACCTAGTAAATGGTATAACCTTGCTTTGTAGTGCCACATTAACTACCTGCCTGCATCAATTGGATCACAGGACAAAAAACACAGCTCTATAGAATCCTTGGTATATAATCATGTTTTTAAATACAGAAGTACTGACTTAAAAATCAAGACTGAAACAGTGGAGGATTGACAGGCAAACCACTGTAACTGTGTGCTCTGGACATTATTAATTATGGCAAATGGAAATACAGCCTGGCATATGAAATCCTTCATTATAATGGTGTCCAGAGTTTTATTACCTCTAAAGCCCAGCCTGCCCACACTGCCTAACTACCATCCCAAAAAACTAGTCAGAGAGCCAGGTTGTCCAAATAACCAATGCCACACGAGTCTCTTTGGGATCAGAGCAAATGCAGATCAAAATATACCATGTTGAGGCTGTGAGCACTTGAAAAGCTCCCCATTAAGGAAGAGATGTGGAAGCTCCAGTCCAGTTTCTGGGGCTAGAACTGCCCAGCCTACGATTTTATCATGCTTCAATAATGACATTATACAATCCTCTATTTTATGAAACAGGAATGGAAAGTAAAGGCACACAATAAATAGCTTTAATTGGAAAAAAGAAGTCAGACATAATACTGTAGCACTACAAAGGCTACTAAATACCAAGGGCTTAAACACTACTTATTACTACTGAATGAATTGATGAATAAATGAATGAAAGAAACATACCTGTACTTCTGGAAAGTCAACAGCTTGGTCTGGTGAAATTTGTTCAAGGGAGAACTCCGTTGAATAATTATTTAAGATCTGTTTCAAACTTTCTATTTCTTCATTGCATTCATTAGTCTGTCTTATGACTACCTACAAAATAACCCCCCCCCCAAAAAAGAAAAACTGTTGTCATATCTAAGGACTAGATTAATGGGCTATTTTCATTATCAATCCCCACGATAAGTTCCAATCAAATGCAGAAAATATGCACTTATACAGATTTCAACAAGAAATACAGAATATTTTATATTTATATTCTAAATATATTGTAGATATATCCTAAATATCATCTGCATTCTAAATATTAAGAACGTTTGCAAAACTGGCCTGACCTTCCTGCTCTACTAGGTGTCAGGTCACCTTGGGCAGTGCTTAGAGTACAAATCTAAGTAGACACACCTTTTCTCCAAAGTATTTCCAATCTAGTGGGCTTACTCTGGGAAGCCTTTTATGGCATATTAACATAAAGTTGCTAAGATTTATGACATTACTGCTATATCATATTCACCATTTTAATACACAATCCACATGGAGCTTTCCAAAAGAACGCTGACATTACTGATTCAGAATGAACAGGGCATGAGATTGGAGTGATGACGATGAATTTTCCTGGTTCAGACCTATCCTCCCCAGTACACCTTAGGAGCAAGGAAGTGCATTTTGTAAGTAAAAAGCTGAAGGTTCAAGAGCAGTCTGAATTTGTAAAACTCACCAGAACAGCACATGGAACCTGATGTTAAGGGAACAGAGCTCAGACCTATTTGTGAGCGAAATGGTATGATTCAAGAACGATGAAAGATAAATGGACTTCAAAAACCAAGTCTAGATACTTCTTTGGTATGCTTCGTTGTGAAGCAGAATATCTTTTGAAACTATGAAGTTTCTGGCCAACATATAATGCTTCCTTGTATTTTCTTTAATATTTAACCATAATTTTAGCTGCAGGCTGGAAATGAATAACTACGTTCACTGCACACACCTGTTCCCAGTCTTCAACAGTGAACTACATCTCATTACTCTCCCCAAAAGCAATTTGACTTATTTTCCACAAGGAAGGCACTTGTAATATCTATAGTAGAATTAAAGGAAATGTCTTATATTCTAATGGTTTTCATTTTCACTAGCTTACTTAGCTTTGAAAGATAGGAGGGGACATTTGATTTCCACCAACACAATAAGATGGAAAATTTTAGCAGCATAGTTGGATACCGAACTTGGCAAAAAAATAAATAAATAAAAATAATAAATAAATAGCATCTTCCATCATCCCCTTTTCATCTTGTGAGGAAGCATAGTTAAGAATTGTTATTTTCTTTTCCTGTCCAAGAGACCAATAAAGCACCAAAAGATTAAAAACACTACATCAAGTTTGATGTTCTTTTCTTCTCTTACATTATTAAAAAAATAGAACATTGAGTGCTATGTCTTTTTTCTCTCTGTGAGTGTTAGAAAATGACACCAGCAGATCACTAGCCAGGCCAAGAGGGACTGTGTGAGGTAAGACTCAAACCAGGGAATACAGGATGAAACCTTAGGATGATCGAGTGGCAGCCACAGGCACATGAAACTTAAGAAGGAACAAGCTATTGTGATGGTCAAAGGTAGGATGCAGATATCTACTAAGAGGATCTGTAGAATTCAAGATCTTTCAGCAAAGAAAGTGGTTGTTGATCTAGGAATACATGCTAAAGAAAAAAGGTCATTTCTGACCAATGATGATTCCTGTCTTGAGAATGGTGATCTAACAAAATTTAAGTGGGAGAAAAACATTCTCTGGAGAGAGGATGAAAGATATTATCAGCTAGAAGGAAGAGACCCTTAATAGTGAAAAATGAAACCAAGGGTCCAGAAACTCAAACTTGTGTTATATTTGTACACAAATTAACCTCTATGCAGGTTAACTCTGTAGCTGCTCAGCAAATCACTTAACACCCTGACACCAGACTCCATGAAAACTGTAAAGTGCCTACCCTCTATCTACTCACACGCTGGGTAATAAGATAATAAGATGAGCTGATTGCTAGAAATGAGCAAGATGGATACAGACAGACCTGTTGGCTTCCAGAGACTGCAAATGCCTGGTTTAGGTTCAAATCTCTTCCCACAGCATTTACCAACATAGGTTTTTAACAGGTGTGGAATGGAATTAAATAGACCCGGACTATGCTTTAATGTCTTCAACCAGAGTAAGGGCAAGAATGAAGGAAAACAACCTTAGCCCCATCTGGGCAAGAAATTAAGCTCTTCTATCAAATGCCACCTTCTTGATCATAATTATTTTCAATTAAAATTGAGAACAAAACCAGCTTTTGCTGAACATTTTTATCCAATAGATTGGTTGCCATTGTAAACTGCTCACCTTTAATAACTCATTTTGTTCCTGAGTCACGTTTTCCAATAGTTTTACAGCTTGCAAAAGCTGATTTGTCCGCTGAAACACAGGCAGAGGTTTTGTTCCTGCCTGGGGTAGCCTCAGTTCCACTTGGTAAGACACTATCTCAGCAATGGTTTTCTTCATGGGGCGTATATTTTCAAGTATGACCTTAATAACACAAGAAAAGCATGGTACATAAATGGAGAAAAAGACCACTGCTGAGTTTAATTATTCAAAATTAAAATACTGAATACTTTAGTCTCTACAGTTTCAATATTTAAAACATTTCCTTAACTCAGATTGAAAAGAACCATTGCATCACTTGGGATGTGAGAGTTAAGGGTCTCAGGAAAGAATGCCTGGGCTAAGTGCAATTTGCCAGTATTTACTTGTTTACTTGGACGGCCCTTTGCTTTCTTCTCTCCCTCCCCTCTCTGTGTGAAATTGTTGTTTAGCCCTGCATATTATCACTAAGCAGTGGGCTATCAAAGGGCAAATTCTGTATTTTACCTTCAGAGCAACTGCACAGAGCTTCCTACATAGCTCTCAAAAATGCTTATTAAATTGAACAAAATTGTCCAGAAAATTTTTAATTCCCAGGAGTATAATTATATTTGGCTTTAATCAATTTCTGATCCATAGAATCTGGATCAATCTGCCTACCTACCTACATATCTACCTAGGTAACTTGCAGGGGAACTGAATCCCAGTGCCTCACATATACTAGGTAAGCATCCTATCACTGAGCTACATATACAGGCCTTTATATTTTATTTGGAGACAGAGTCTCACAAAGTTGCCCAGGCTGGCCTTGAACTTGAGATCTTTCTGCCTCAGCCTCCTGAGTAGCTGGATCACAGCATGTACCACCATACCTGGCTCCTAACTAGTAAATTAGGAGAAATTAATCACTTGACTAAATACTTCTTCATTTAATCTTCACAATCCTCTTGGGAAAGAATCCTAACCTCCATTACAGAGGTGTCTGGAAGTTAGAAGATTCAAATAAGGTGAGATTGTAAGAGGCAGGGGTGGGATTAATACCCAGGCCTGCCTGATCCCAAAACACAAGTTTTTGATCATCAGGCTAAGGAGGAATCAGTCTGTCTCAGTTCCTGTGCTAGGAGCTCCATATGCACTGTAACTAGAATGTAATGACTTCAATCCTAGTGCACAGATATGACAAGGTAGGTACACACACACTCAAGTTCACGCAGCTAAGGAAGCAGTGTTATAGTGCTAGAACCCATTTGAGCCTGGCTTAGGTGCTCAAGTTCTTTAGACTTGAAGGCAAACTTACCTATACAATAATTATCTTTACACAGGTAGCATTATGAGTATAATTTAAAGCATTTATATTCATTCATATCTATTTCCAAACCTTATTTTTGCTATTATTCTAGCAAGATGAACACTTTGGGGGCTAGGGGTTTAGCTTAGTGTTAGAGTACTGTCCAAGGCATCAGGAGGCCCTGAGTTCAATTACCAGGATCATAAGACAAAACAAAACAAAACAAGACAAATACTTGGTTCAAATCACATTATTACATATTTTTAAACAGACATAGCAGGTATTATGAGAATACTTTTTATAATGATCTATGCTTACCTCTCCATGCTTAAGATGTTCTTCAGGTGAAAAATCAAATATTTCTTTTGATAACAGGATAGTTCTGATTTTGGAAACTTTTTTCTCCATTGATTTTACTTCGGATTCAATAGCAACCACATCCTAGAATTTCAGAAACAGAACCAACTTATGCAGTATATGCTGTAAACTAATAATATATAAAACACAATGTATTGCCATTAATTCTATTTTACACTTAGCCAAAGAATTTGCTACTTATATCTCTTAAAAACTAGCCAAGTGCTACAAAGATAATATTCACTACTTTCAATAAAAATGTCATTTTACTAATAGCATATTCCACTACAGAGCATTGCCCTACACCTTGATATTGAATTAAAATAATCATAGAGCTAATTTTCGTTTTCTCATGAGAACAAAGGTAATATGCATCCAAACCATTTTTTAAAAAAACTCTTGTTATCTACAGACTCTTTAACTTTATCTTTGGAACTGTTTAAACACTTGAAAATAGGTGGGTCTGATATTTTAAAAATTTCCACCACTTTAAGTAAAATGATAAAATTACCCTTGAAAAACTACACACAAAGATTAGAAAGCTGACCAGATTTTTTTAAATCAACCCTTGATAAAATATTTTTTAAAACATTTTTTATTACTCTATTACTTTATTTATTATGTGGTGCTAAGGATTGAACCCAGTGCCTCACATGTGCTAGGCAAGCCCTCTACCACTGAGTCACAACCCCCACCCTTTTGATAAAATATTGCCAAGCAATATTATAAATGACTTTATAATCTACTCAGATTTATTTAAATAATAGATCATTTGTCCAGTGGTTATTTCTCTAGTTAGTGTCAACGTCCAGAACCTGGCCGAGAACCTTAAATGCTACAAAAATAAGTTAAAATATGCGCTATAAAATCTAGATACGAAATGCATATCACTGTACAAGACCCCTCAAACTGACTTTGGAGATCAATACAGATCCCTATAGCAGTAAGATGGTATGGTTAATAATGGAGATTTTTAAAATCCCATAAAAATAGCCTAACGGTTTCCAATTCTAGCAGTTTGGAATCACTCAACATAGGGTAAAACAGACCTTCATTAGCATGAAGCAGACAGACAGAAAGTACAGTGACTGTCTATAGTAGTCCCCCCAAATTATGAGAAAATGTTAAAGTACACTGAAATAATTTTCTGTACCTACTGTTTGAGAAGGTACATAAAATTTTTCTATGTATTCCATGGTAATTTCTATCAGAAGTTGCAGATGCACTCTAAAACTTTGGATTAGGTTTCAGTAACCAAGAATTTACTTCAACAGCTACTATTCCCAGAAGTTACAGGAGTATGGACTGACACAGAGAAATGCAAGGTAAATAACAGAACTAACTATAAAGGCCTTTATCAGGTGACTTTAAGTAAATGCCTCATGTATTTTCAAAATTACTTAAAAATTCTATGATGGTGTGTGTAGCTCAGTTGTAGAGCACCTGCATGCACGAGGCCCTGGGTTGGATCCCCAGCACCACATAAACAAATACATAAAAAAGAAAAAAAAAAGGGCTGGGGTTACAGCTCAATGGTAGAGCATTTGCCTAGCATGTGTGAGGTACTGGATTCAATTCTCAACACTGCATATAAATAAATGAATAAAATAAAGGTCCGTCTATCAACAACTAAAAAAATATATTAAAAAGAAAGAAAAAAAAGAAAAAGGAACAATTCAGTGGCTGATATAGCAACCTCTCAACAAATGTTTGCTATTGGTGAAAGAAGTCTTGGAAGGCTGCCTGTTTTAATTCCTTCTTTCCATATGGGTATTTTAATTAATTAACTAATTAATTCATTAACATTTTTGTGGTTCTCCAGCGCCTTATGCATGTTAGGCAAGCACTCTACCACTGAGCTATATACCAAGCACCTGCAAACCCATTCTTTTCTTAGTGCTTTAAAAATCAACAATAGCCCATTTGGACAAAGAGAAAACAATGAGCTTATCTGATCAGAATCCTTCACTCTTTAGATAGAATAATTCTGGATTAAGAATGGGGATATGCTTTTCTGTTATGGTTGCACTCAAGGTTTCAAAGTAAAGTAAAAAGAGCATAAGAGAAAATTTTACCAGTTCATTGTGGGTTTCTATAACTAAGACATGATTAGTAGTACAACAAATTTGCCAGATGAAATACAAACCAAAAACAGGAAGTCACATCTTTAGGGTGTCAACTTACATCTGCCATCCGCTGAATGTGGGGAAGGCTTTCCATTATTTGTTGCTGTAGATCTACTACTTGACTGCTTAGGTCTTGTACGGACTGTACTAAGTCATCTGTTTCGAAAATGTCTGACAAATCCTCTAGATCTGTGAAAACTGAATGTAAAAGATTGTGCTTCTGCTCAGAATCTTCCAAAGCCCTCTAGATAGAGAAAAAAAGAAAAGAGAAAAACAAGTTGATTAAAATTTAAATCAGAGAAAATTAAAATTTGTCAGTGTTTCAAACTCCTGGTCCTTTCCATTTCCATAGTGAAAACACTGAATGCTCCCTATTGCCAATGGCCAGGGATGACTTTATAGAGTGTGTGCTATGATATGGTGCCATCCAAGTTTTGTATTCCTTATCCAAAATGCTTGGGACCTAAAGTGTTTTGGTTTTCAGAATTTTTTTTTCAGATTTTAAAACATATGCATATACATAATAAAATGTCTTAAGGATGGGACTCCAGTCTAAACACAAAATTCACTTACACAATGTATACACCCTTCAGGATATATACATATCCAGAAGGTAATTTTACACACTATTTTTAGTGTGTCTGCATTTTGATTAAGACCCATCATATATTTCAGATTCTGGAGCAATTTTAGATTTCAGATTTTCAGGTTAGGGATGCTCTACTTATAACAAGAATTATATTTATTTGACCTTCATCCTGAGTTCCTAGCAGAGAGTTTCTAAAATCCTTGGAATTTCCTGAGTGACAGAGGTGAGAAGAGTGTCATTAATTATTCATAGGTTTCTTTAAAACATGTACTAACTTTCAAACTCAATATTTCCTTTTTGTTTGTTTTTGTGATGCCGAGGATCAAACCCAGGGCCTTATGCATGCTAGGCAAGTGCTCTACCACTGCACACTTAAGATTTCAAAATATCTCAAAATGTTCAGCCTGCTAATGTAGTCTTCAGGTAATTCCATAAAAATCTAAGTGATACGAGAAAGAATATTTACTTATTCAGGTAGAAATCTAACTATAAGTCTCAAAAATTAATCAGATTATTCAGAATTTTCTATTGATCTTATTCAAATCCTAGTTAAGAGAAACAAAACTTAAAACCAATGCCTTTGACCAATAATACAATAACATTAAAAACCATGAAATACTTAAATTTAACTTTACACATACAAGAAACCAGTACATTGACAACTACAAAACATTGCTGCAAGAAGTAAAAGACTAAAATAAATGAAGAGATATACATGTTCCTAGATTGAACAGTCAATATGGCTAAGACATAAATTCTACCCAAATTGATCAACAGATTTAATGTAATCCCACTCAAAATTCCAACAGACCTCTAAATAGACATTGACAAGCTGATTCTAAGATTTATATGGAAATGCAAAAGAATAAGATTAACCAAAACAAATTGGAAAAAGTTATAGAATTTATGATACTTGATTTCAAGATTTACTATGAAGCTATAGTAATTAGGACTGTTACAATGGTAAAAGAACTGAGCAGATCAATGAAACAGAAGAGAAAACCTAGAAATAGAACCATATGTATGAGGTTAACAGATTTTCAAGAAGGTACCAAAATAATTCAAAGTTGAGAGTCCTTTTAATAAATGGTGTTGGAACAATAAGATATCCTTAGGGAAAAAGATGAACCTTGACCTTTGACACTGTTTTCCTTGATTCACCTGTATATAACAATTAACATTAAGTAGATCACAGACCTAAAAGTAAGAGTTAATACTATCAATTTTCTGGAAAATAACATAGGAGGATAGCTTGTGATCTTGGATTAGGTAAAGATTTCTTAGATATAGCACAAAAGAATAATCTATAAAAGAAAATATTGCTAAATTAGACTTTATCAAATTGGTAACTTCTGTGATAAAAGAATGGAAAGACAATAAAATAAACTCCTTTCTTCCCTTGTCCCTATTCCCTCTGTTCAGTTCACAAACTGGGGAAAATATGTGTAAATCACATATCATATGATACAGAAATCATTTTTAGAATGTTTTATAAATAACTCCTACAACTTAATAAGGTAACAATCCAATTTAAAATTGGGGGTGGGGGTGGGAAATGAACAGACATTTCACAAAGGAAGTATATAAATGACAAGGACATGAATAAATGCTAAAAACATGAGTCATTAGAGAAATGCCAATTAAACCAGAATACTGCCTTATATCACTAGAATGGCCAAAATTTAAAAGATAATACCAAGTGCTAACAAAAAGATGGAGGGGAGTCAAAAAGTTATACCACCATCTCAGAAAACAACTTGGCAGTTTTTCATTTAGTTGAACATTTACCATAAAAGCCAGCAATCATACTCTTAGATATTTATTCATTGAAATGAAATTAAAAATATATGTCCACATCAAGATTTGTACAGAAATACCTTCACAGCAGCTTTGCTCATAATGGCCTGTGGCAAGCAGCCTTCAATATGGCGCCCACGATCCTCGCTTCACAGTACTCATGCCTGTATAATCAGTTCCCTGGATTCATGATTTACTCTAATGAAATATGACTGAAGTAATAAGATGCCACTTCCCAGATTAGGTCACAAGAAGACTACAGCTTCTGACTAAGGAGTTACCTTCTCTTGTTTACACTGGGGGAAGCCAGCTGCCATGCTATGAGGTGGCCTTGTGAAGAGGCCGTGTCCCTGTGTACGGATGTGGATCTTTCGTGGCCTGTTGTGTGTGAATGCATGTGGAAGTGGATCCTGTCTCTCGTTCCCTCACAAACCAAGACTTCAGAGGAGCCCAAAGCCTCTGTTGATACCATGACTGAATTCATGAGAGACTTTGTGCCAGACACACTCCCCTAAGCTGAGCCTGGATTCTAGACCCACAGAAACAGTGAGATAATAACAACATGGTGTTTCAAGCTGCCAATCAGGGGTGTTACATTGCTAACACATAGCTCAGAATCAGGAACGACCCAAACCCTACTCACTGGTGTATGGCAGATGATTCATTCACTTCCCTAAATGGAACACAGCAATTAAAATAATGAACTCTGGATAGATGTTAAGTGAAAGAAGTCAGACATAATAAACTATGCAGTTCCATTTACATGACAGTCCAGAAAGGACAGAACTCTAGTAATAGCAAGCAACGAGGGAGGGAAAGGTTGCCTAGATAAGAGGATGAGCAAAAAGAGACAGACACAGAGTACAGAGAGGCACAAGGGGACTTTCTGGGGTGATGGAAATGTTCTTCAATTTGTTGTTGTTGGTGGTTATACAGCTGCACAATTAAGTTAGGTGTATTTGGTACATGTAAAATTATACCTCAATGAAGTTGATTTAAAAACAAGCTAGTTTACTATTTTTACAATGATCATTTGTTTTGATGATTCTTAATTACAATAGCGCTAATTGTGAAATTAGCTTTAGATCATACAAATGTATTTTAACAAATGTAGTCCAGGCAAAAAGTTATATGCAATTAAAACAAAAACTTTTTTTAAACCTCAGTTGAGATTTTTAAGAGTCACTTTAAAAAGTAAGACCTGGTAATATAAAAAATGGAAAAGAATATCTTAAAAGTAGAAACAACTATTTCCATTATGAGGACAAAATGGGATTTTCCACAGAGGACTAGAAGTAAGCTCTCGGGGACTTACTTCCCATTGGGGGATTTATTAGATCCATTCTGGAGAAAATAAACTTCTTTCTTCCCTGACCTATTCCCTCTGCTCATTTCTAGCTTATCAACAAAGTCCACCAATTTCAGTATCCTGAACAGTAAAGACACTTTTACAGCTGCATATTTGTTTCAGGAGAAGGCAGCAAAAGCCAACGGTTCTTGCCTGAGTGGTTACAGTTTTTAATTTTTAACTCATCAAAAACATTTGAGGAAAAAGCATTATTTCTCTCTCCTGTCTTGGCAGACTCTTCCAAAATGGTGAATCATAAAAGTGATTAAAGGGCTGGGGTTGTGGCTCAGTGGTAGAGCACTTGCCTAGCATGTGCAAGCCACCGGGTTTGATTCTCAGCACTACAAACAAATAAACAAAACAAAGGTCTATTGACAACTAAAAAAAAAAAATTAAAAAAGTGATTAAAAATAAAAAGATGGCATGCTCTAGGGATGTGGAAAATCAATCTAAGGAATGTGTGGTGGCAGTGAGGGACAAAGGCGATCAGAAGCAATGCAGAAGAAAAGAGATAAATGGGTAAAAATGCATTGTCTTGACAACTGTTACCACAGGACAAAAATGTGCCACCAAATCTCAAACATCAGGGAGGCAGGGAGGCAGGAAGTCAGCCACCCACTGCGGAACATGCTGTGCTGTTCTAAAGATATAAAGAGGACACAGATCATCTTGGAGGTGTGAGTTCTGTAAAAACTATTACAGAACATTTCCTAAGGGATCCTTTCCGGTGGCTGAATGAGAGAAGAAAAATATTCCTTCACAAATAGAATTTCGTGGACCAAAACCATCAGTGCTCAGCATCTGGACCACCCCTGCAAGTCATGGCCCTGCCTAGGAGAATACTTCCCTCTCTTTGTCTCTATAAGCTGACATGGAGACATAGGCGACCTGTGCAGTGCCAGGAATGAATCCTGGGATGTCAGGACTGGAAGGAACCATGGATTGGCTTTCTACTGCTATGTAACGATTACTACAAATCTGACTGCTTCAAACAAATTTATTATGTGACGTGTTCCATGGGTCAGGAGTTAAGGTATACTGTGAGTGGGTCCTGTGTTCAGGAGGCCATCAGGTTGCAAACATTCAGGTTGTTCACAGAATTCAGTTGTAGGACTGAGGTCCCTGTTTTCTTGCTGGCTAATGGCTGAAAGTGGCTCTCAGCTTCTAAAGGCACCCTTGAATTCCAATCACATGGTTCTTACTTCTTAAGGCCAGCAGGAGAATCTCTGTATGGTTTGCCACTAGGGAATCTTGTAATCAAGAGACACGATTGATCATGTATGTATTCACAACAGTGACTATCCCATTGCCACAGTCACAGAACATAACCTAATCAATGTGACTATTCTATCCTGTTCAGAGTCTTGCCTGTACTCAAGGGGGGGTGGGTGGATTATAAAGGTCATACACACCAAGGAATGAGAATATTGGGGGGCCATCTTAGAATTTCATGAACCAAAACTATCAACACTACCCAATGCAAACTTCTTACTTCACGGATGGGGAACACTGAGGCCCGTGGAAGATAAATGCTAAAATTATCCAAAAAGTCATAGAGTAGGAAAAAGAGAACCAGATCCTGATCTCCAAAATTCCTTTCTAGTGTCTGCCAATATCTCAAGCTTCCTTCTGCCTCTTAGTATGATGATAAGTGTTATGGTTTCGATGTGGTGTCCCCAAAAGCTCACATGTGAGACAATGCAAGGTTTGGAGGAGAAATGATTAGATCATAGCCTTAACCTAATCAGTGAATTCATTCCTGAGGGGATTAACTCAGTGGTAACTGGAAGCAGGTGCATGTGGCTGGAGAAAGTGGTTTATTTGGGTTTATTATTGGGCTACAGAGTATATATTTTATATCTCCAGAGTAGAGTCTTTCTCTCTGCTTCTTGATCACCATGATGTGAGCTGCTTCCCTCTGTCACACTCTTCCACCATGATGTCCTATGTCACCTGGAGCCCTGAGAAATGGAGCCAGCCTTCTATGGACTAAGACCTCTGAAACCATGAGCCCTCAAATAAACTCTTCCTCCTCTATAATTGTGCTAATCGGGTCCTTTAGTCACAGCAGCAAAAAAGCTTGACTAAAACAACAAGAAAGGTGATTTTTCAGGTAAGAAGAAGAAAAAAAAGATGACACTGATTGGCTAACCCAGTGACACTTGTAGAGATTCTCTCACTAACAGAAAACACTTACCTGCAGGGTGCTGGCATGGTGACTCAGGGTTCTTGAAGAGTCATAGCGAGCAGGATTGGCCAGCAAACGACTGGTATTTTCTATCCAAGCCTGTGTGTTCTTCAAAAGATCACTATACTCCTCCATCTTAATTGTGGCCTGAGAAAGAAATGTGGGACCACATTTAGTCAGATGCTGGTCACTGGGGTTGGACGGTTCCTGAATGGAGAGTCACTTGAGATTAGTCAGTGATGTGTTGGGCCTTTCAGGCCCCATGGCTGACAACACTGAAGACAGCACTCCAGGTGAAAACCCTCCCAACTTTTCAGACTGATTCTGACTATGGTGGAAAGAACTTAAGAAGTTCCACCCTGATGCTGTGGGCTTCAGCAAGGGTTCCAAGTCTGCCTTGCAGCTAGCCTGATTCCCATTTATTCTTCTTTCTGAAAACTGGCTAATACTTCCTCTTGTTCAGGGTCTTTCCCTATAATGCCCCATTAATTCTCATTTTGTCCCATTATATATATATATTTTGTATCAGGGAAGGAACTCAGGGGTGCTTAACCACCGAGCCACATCCCTAGTTCTTTTTTTTTTTTTTTTTTTTTTTCTTTTTTTTTTTTTTTTATTGTTGGTTGTTCAAAACATTACATAGTTCTTGATATATCATCTTTCACACTTTGCTTCAAGTGAGTTATGAACTCCCATTTTTAGCCCATATACAGATTGCAGAATCACATCAATTACACATCCATTGATTTACATATTGCCATACTAGTGTCTGTTGTGTTCTGCTGCCTTTCCTATCCTCTACTATCCCCCCTCCTCCCTCCCCTCCCCTCCCCACCCTTCTTCTCTCTCTACCCCCCCTATTGACCTTCATTTCTCCCCCTTGTATTATTTTTCCCTTTCCCCTCATTCCCTCTTGTATGTTCTTTTGTATAACCCTGAGGGTCTCCTTCCATTTCCATGCAATTTCCCTTTTCTCTCCCTTTCCCTCCCACCTCTCATCTCTGTTTAATGTTAATCTTCTTCTCATGCTCTTCGTCCTTTTGTATTTTATTTAGAAACAGGGTCTCACTGAGTTGCTTAGGGCCTTGCTAAATTGCTGAGGCTGGCTTTGAACTCGTGAGCCACTGGGATTACAGGCGTGTGCCACTGCACCAGCCCATTATATTCTTGTTAGACTAGGATCCTATCTTTGCCAGGCTACACTCACAACTCACCAAACCATGGCCACCATTTAGAATGGTGTAGAGAGCGATCTTGTTCCTAAATGGCAGTCCTTTCCATTGCTGGCTCCCTCCCTGGATTCTGGAGACTCTCTGCCCTGAATTTCCATCATTGGTCTTCCTCTACCTATTGGGCCCCAGCACTTCCTTGACTCCTGTGGTTGGCTAACTTTTGGATTCTTGGTTGTATCAGCCCAAGCCAACTTCAGCTGCCCCAGCCCACGGGAGCCTACCGTGTAGCTCTAGTTTCAGCTCCTATAAGTGGCAATTTGTGTTCAGCTGCCTCTGAACATTTTTTGTTTTGATTTGTTTTAAACCTATCTCAGGACTTCCACGTGCTGTAAGGCTAGCATGTGTTACACCCCCACCTTATTTAACTGTGAGGTTCTGGTTTCTGCTCTCTGTGAGACTTGCTGGTACTTCTGGAAAGGAATCATCAACTTATCCATCCATTCTTGAGCCTGTCCTGGGTTCTGTTCAACGATGTCCTGAACTTCAGAATCCAGCTCGTTTAGCTTGGAATGCCAGAGATCCAGCTTGTCCCACAGTTTCTGGAGAAGGACATTTTTAAGTCAGTTTGAATGAAGACTGCCATGTTAGATGGTAGTAAACCCTAGTGTTCACAGGCATTTGGAAATGCTATCAAAAAACATCCCAGGCCTACTTATTAACTTAGATTCACATTCACTGTCTTTCTGCACTAACCTAACTGTAACTTCATTCATTCTAGTACAAATTATCTGCAAGGGACAGAAAGACCTTGATATTTTCCAGGGATGAGTGACAGCAAATAAGGACAATAGAGCCCTAACCTTTCAAGAGTGATGAGGTAAGCATTATGTTTAAAAAGGGATATTTAAAATGGGTGTGGTGGTGTGTGCCACAGTCCCAGCCAACTGGGAGACTGAGGCAGGAGAACCATTTGAGCACAGGAGTTGAAGCCTAGCCCAGGTAATACAGAAAGACCTCATCATCTCAGCAATAAATAAAATAAATAAACAGGCTATTTAGACCAGAATATATGTGCAATACATTTAGAGACAATTTTATCAAGTGCCAAAATAAAATTAAAAACAAACAACAAAAACTGCCTCTTGAGGGGCTGGGGTTGTGGCTCAGTGGTAGAGTGCTCACCTAACATCTGTGAGGCACTGGGTTTGATCCTTAGCACCACATAAAAAATAAAAAAATAAAAAGGTATTATGTCCATCTGTAACTAAAAAAAAAAAATAATAATAATAATAATAATAATGATAATAAACGAAAACAAAAAACTGTCTCTTGACTTGGAATTAATGAAGTGAAAGGAAGTCCCAGCTGCGTGCAATAGTAGTAACTGCTTTTAACTCTAAAAAAACAATTTTGAGAAATGGGAAAATCTAACTTGTTAAATTAGGTTCCTCTGCTTAAGAGCCAAAATTGTACCTAATGACATACCTAATGAGCCACATTCTTACATAGTTTTTAAAGTCCAATTATATTAAAATATTTCCTAAAAATGTAGATTACAATAAGAATATACATATAGGCATTTACTTGGGAGTTCAGAGGTAGAATATTATGTCTGTTTTACTTAAGATTTTATTTCCTAAGATATTTTACAAGGGAAACAAATTCGGATTTTTTTTATTTTCCTTTCCCTCCCCAACTGGGCAATCTAAAGAAAAGCCATTAATATTTTTGATATCCTAGTTTTTTTACATCAATCTTCCCAAGATCCTTACTGCCATTCACTTGTGGAAATGATAGCACAGTCAGATTCTCCCAAGAGCTGAGATAGGTGCCCACCTTGGAAAAACCAAGAATAATTTCCTACCAACCCCCTAGGTGGTCTCTAATCAAGGATGCACCTCTGGATTTGGTGTAGGACCTTGGTGCTTCTAATTCATCCAAAGAATTCACCTTGGGATGGATTGAATTGGGGGTGGGGGTGGGGGGTGGGGTTATTTGTCAGAAATACCTAATGCTGAAGTGAGCTGAGGAGGATGTTACCTTTTGAATTTCTTGAGCTTTCTCAATGTTTTCGTTCTTCTGCTGCAACATATTTTCAACAAGCCGAAGCCCACTGTTAATTTCCTCTATTTTCCTGTTCATTGCAAATGATGGTGAGCTCTTCAAGACTTCATCACTAATCTGTTATAAGGGAGAAAGTTGAATTTGGCTTAGAGAGGGTTTCTGCTCTCTAATCCCAAGTTCACACAATAAAAGCAGTACTCACTCTTGTTGTTGTTTTTTTTTTTTTTAGTGGTGCTGGGGTTTGAACCCAGGGCCTTGTGCACGTGAGACAAGCACTCTACTGACTGAGCTATATTCCCAGCTTAAAGCAGCACTTACTCTATAAGGACTAGAAGAAAAAATTACAAACCAGACTGGCTAATGCATTAGTGAGACAGTAGTAGATTAGCCAACTGCTAAATGTCAGCTGTGTTCACCGGACCTTTTAAATATAATCTATAAGTAAATTAATGAGGGGGGATAGTAGAGGATAGGAAAGGCAGCAGAATACAACAGACACTAGTATGGCAATATGTAAATCAATGGATGTGTAACTGATGTGATTCTGCAATCTGTATATGGGGTAAAAATGGGAGCTCATAACCCACTTGAATCAAATTGTGAAATATGATATATCAAGAACTATGTAAGGTTTTGAACAGCCAACAATAAAAAATTAAAAAAAAAAAGTGAGAGGATCATCTTTTATGGAAGAATTTAAAAACAACTAATTCCTGATGAGGTGAAAAGTATAATTCTTTTTCCTGTTATACACATACTAATCCTTTCTTTTTCTTTTTAATCCTTTCTTGAGTGTATTTTGTCCTGTAACCATTTCTTGATTTTTTTTTTGCTCAATTTTCATCCTGATTTTTTAAACTGATAGAAAAAAGTTGCCCATTCCTTTCCAAAAATTTCAATATGAGAAAAATAATTGGCATAATTTTATCATACTGAGATAAACTGATTTATGGCATCTGCATCATTTGGGGATTTGGAAGAATAAAATAATATTTTAAAAACAAAAAAAAACAAAAAACAAAAAAAATAAGTAAATTAATTACTTTAAAAAAAATTCAAAATTGTGTTGGGCCACTGTACTGAGAGGACTCTTTGAAACATACCCCTATGGATCAAATGATATAAAAGAATTCCTGGGGGATATGTTATACAACCCCTCCATTTTAGAGAATATTCTCTGCACAGATCTGTTTTTATTAAAACAATTCCCAAGCCAATTTAAAAACAAAATGTAATTTCCACCTTAATATTCGTTTGGGTGGAAACAGTCTTCTAAAAGCAGCTATTTCCTGAGGATGCTGAGCTTAATTCTTCTATGTGTAACTGTTTCTAATGCCCACTTTCCCAGCAATCAGAAATCTAGCTGCTAAACCAGGCAGTCTTTTTTTTTTTAATCTGCATGTTAAAACAACTAGTGCCAAGAAAGATATTAAAAGAATGCTGAATGTATTATTTTTCCAAATACTTGATTAATTTGTGTTCTTGTTTTTTAAAGCTATATGGATAAGGTTTTCTTTAAGCAGCTACTAAATAACCAAATAATACTATATGCTTTTGTATAACTCTTTCAGTCGTCACTGTAGCTGTATGACCACGGAGAATAAAACAACCCCAAGCAGATAAGAGTACAGACACAGAAACAGAAAGACGCGCTAAATGACGTGTAAAGGTCACACATCAAGGTCGTGGCTGACTTCGTCCTAAGAAGCCCTCAAGTCCCCAGACTATCCTAGGCCCTACTTGCACGAAGCTGTCAAAGTGTTTATTCCATGTTTTTATTCCATGGACCATACCACAGTCATGATTATTATAAAAACAAGCCTCTCTTTGACCCTCTATTATTTTTCTTCTTGCTGGCTGTGTTACAAATTACCACAAAATGGAGGTTTCTGATTTTGGGGGCAGTTACTCTCTTGGTAGAAATGCTTACCATTTAGATACATTAGGAAAGATTATGATTTAGGAAAGTCAATAGCCATCTGAATTACACACAGAGATGTGTCTGTTGTCTGGGTCCTTGAACTTCCTTTAAACACTTCCCACAATAAAAATCAGTGGCTTTTTGTTACAAATAAACAAGTTCACAGTGGAAATTTTCAACCTTAAATGTGAAAGATTGTTTTTTATTACTAACTTACTTCATAGAGATTTTCACATAAAGGATTTATGACAATAACCCTTAGTTTCTACTAAAACATTTAGTAATCTTTTAAAGTAAAACCAATAGCACACAATTCTTGAGAATGTACCTAATAGGTTTTCTTGTATGTTAAATCAAAAAAGACTTATGTAACTATATATTAGGAGATTACATTCTTTTTTTTTTCTAGGTTAAATGTTTCTAGGAGAAGTATAGGACAGATTCTAGAAACTAAGTTTGAATCCCTTCTTCCTTTTATTTTTGGTGGAGTTGGGGGAGATTGAACCCAGAGGCACTTCACCATTAAGCTACATCCTCAGTCCTTTTTTTATTTTGAGACAGGTTGCTGAGACTAGTCTTGAACTTGTGATCCTCCAGTCCTAGTTTTTGAAATCTGACATTTTTGTACTTGAAGAGCTTTATTTATTTATTTATTTATTGGCACCAGGGATTCAGCCAAGGGACACTTAACCACTAAGTCACATCTCTAGCCCTTTAAAAAATTTATTTAGAGAGAGGGTCTCCCTAAGTTGCATAGGGCTCCACTAAATTGGTGAGGCTGGCTTTGAATTCATGATTCTCCTGCCTCAGCCTCCTAAGCCACTGGGATTATAGGCATATGTCACTGTGCTGAGCTTGAAGAGCTATTTTAGCTAACAAGTTATGGGTGCTTTAATCTTAAAAAAAAAAATCACATAAAAATCATTCTGTGAATGCTGGGCCAAATTTTTTTTTTTTGTTCTGATGGATTTGGGCTGTCTTTCTAATATCCAAGAAAATTGGCTTGCTCAGCTCAGCTCCTATGTCCCTGGTGTTATAAAATATTTCCTACCTTTGTTCAAATCTGGACTCTCAGGTATAATGATTTGCCCAGGTATGTTTTGTGAGAATTTTGTTAACATCATCATTAGACAATATTTGCTAAATACTGTTCCTAGTGCGACTTTTATTCTTCTTGGTTGTAATTTCAAAATGTTTCAGGGAATCCATCTTAAAGCAAAGTATTATTTGTGTCCAAAAATTTTAAGTGTCTGTACAATCAAAAATAATTATAAACCAAGGAAGAGATAATATGTAAGTATTTTTTTTTGAGAGAGAGAGAGAGAAAGAGAGAATTTTTAGTATTTATTTTTTAGTTTTCAGCAGACACAACATCTTTGTTTGTATGTGGTGCTGAGGATCGAACCCGGGCCGCATGCATGCCAGGCGAGCACGCTACCACTTGAGCCACATCCCCAGCCCAATATATAAGTATTTTAAGATGCAAGAGAAGAAAAACTAAGCATCTGGATGACTAAATATATACAGATTAATATTATGTTATTTAAGTCACTTATTTCAAGCCTATTAATCTCAGTGTTCAATACACAAAACTGCCATTTAACCAAGCTCAAACCAGTCAGAGCTAAAATCAGGGCAAATGAAAATGTGGCCTTAGAGAACATTTTCTTCTAGTCATTCAACCCCATAAAGGACAGTACAAGTAAGAACATTATTATTACCTTCTCATCTATGTCTTCTAAAGCTTTTCTGCATTCCTCCACCCGGGACTCCATCTCTGCAGGGACTATGGTGTACATTTCACAGTACTGGATTCGCAGTTTTTCCATGATACTCTTAAAAGTGAGCTTGCCTTTCTTAAGAATGCTCTGAAGCTCCTAAAAACGTCAAGAGAGTTTCCACACTGTGTGGGGAAAGTTCAGCTCTAAAAAGCAAAAGCTGCTTTCCAGCTCCTCCTGGTCCTCGTGATCCAAAGAAGCAAACTTTGCTGGACAAAACTCACTATTGTTAGGAGTTGACTGAACCCAGGAGATACTTGGTTTGGTCAGAGGATGCTTTCTAATTTATAAGAATTAAACCTGATCTCTCTTCAGAGTGTCAAACCATTGTGGCAAAAAGACATTACAAATGTCCCCTGCTTCCAAAGTACCTCTAGGATTAAACGGTATCTCAGTCGCAGCACGGATCTTAAAAGCTACAAGTAGCAAAAAAAGTTTCAAAGAAGTTTTTCTTTGGTGTTGTTATTAACTTGTTTCTATTTCTACTTCTTCCTACATTATCATCACAATGAGTCAAGGCCACTAAAAGCCCACGCTTGAAGCAAAAGTGTCCCTTTCTTGTAATTAGACAGCCCAGCAGAGCTCAGCTTTTTTCAAAAGGGAGGGTTCCAGTTCCTTACAAAGAATGCAGGTTTGGGGAGATAAAAGAAACCTGAACAAACAGTCCATTGGTTGTGGCCTAGAAATAAAATCTGATCTACTGTTCTCCTCTAGTAATTATAAAGGAGAAACTCATTTGTTTGGGAAAGTTTCCCAAAGATCAAGTGGAAAAATACTTCTTGACTTTACTGTGGCTTTTCTGTTGTTTGGTTTTTACAGTAGCTGTTCAAGCATTATTTGTTTTAATGGACTGAGTCACTGTGCTGACGCTGAGCGATTACAATTTTAAATGACTCTGGGATGTGTCACAGATTCTCCTTTATTAATCTAGAAGGAGAAAGTTAAAGAACAAAGCCATCCAGACACAGGTGGACTGGTGTGAGTGTCCTCCTGCTTTATCTAGACTCAGGGAGGACAGGATGTCATTCAGGGCTAAACAGAGCTGGTGCCTATGGGAGGGCTCCTGGACATCAACACCAAAGCTCTGGTTCACCGCAGCTTGCAACTTCTGAATCAGCTTCCAAACATAATTTTTGACTGTTACCATTGAACTGGAATGTGAGATCGCTCTGAAGAAATGAGCTCCCAAATGACTCTCGGTATGTGCATGCCCGTACCAGAGGCAAAACACCATGGCCTACTAAAATAGTTTAACATGCTACCCAAACGGGGTCTGTTCACCAAACACCCTTGAAACATGCTTGAAAAAGGGCTGTTTAGTCCACACTCAGCCTGCTCTCAATTTTGCTCATGGTCCCCTGGCTCTGCCCACAACATACCATAGGGCCTTTGCATGTGCTTCCCCCTCTCCTTGCATCTTTTCCTAATCACTCTTCCAACCCAAATCAAGGAGTTACCTCTGCCCCCAAGGACTTTGAATACAAGGCTATGGGCCAATATCAGCCACGTTCACTAGTTCATTCCTCACTTACCTCCAACTGCTTTGCCCTTTCTGGGTGGCCCTCTGATGCCATATTTTGGAAAGAAGTTGAAGCCTGTTGAAATACGTTCTTCAAAGCAATTATTTCCTTTGTGAAGGAATGTCTTCCCTGGAGTTCAGTCTGCAATGATTCCTTATTTTTCTGAGCTTTCTGAAGAAGCCTAAAACAGAACATCAAAATATAACCGATTTTCTGTCCTGCTCTTTTGTGAAACAGTTTAATTTCAACAATTAACAAAATATCTGAATAGTTCACAAAAAATGATTTTCCCCCAAGAAGAAAATATTATATATATATAACATATATATATAAATCTCATTAACCACTGAGGCACATTCTAGTCCTTTTTATATTTTATTTTGAGACAGGGTCTCACTAAGTTGCTGAGGGCCTCACTAAGTTGCCGAGGCTGGCTTTGACCTTGTGATCCTCCTGCCTCAGCCTCCCACTGGGACTACAGGTGTGCACCACTGTACCTGGCTCCATTTTTTCAATGATTTCAATACCACATAATCAAACACACCAAATCCTAGCACTCAATCAAAAACCTCTCCAAAACTTCCATCCCCAAATATCTTCTCTTTGAGCTTTCTGTTCTAGTTGCCACCTCTACCTTCTATTTTTCTGCATATACTCTTTGATCTCAAATAAAAATGATTTTTGAGTGTGACTGGAGTCATGGGCAGGCTCTTGGGGACCAACAATCCTACAGGACCTATTCTCTTCCACTGACTCCATTTGCTGTGGATGCTTCAAATATTGAAAGAGGCAACTGGGTGGAAAAAACCTTTCCTTAGAATTATTTGATAAGAATCTGTGATACTATGATGTAATAAATAAATGTTTGGTCTTTGCCCAGGTTCCTGAGACAAAGCTCATAATACCCTTATAGATAGAAGCACAAGCAGAACCTATTGTTCTAATGTTGAGTCAGTGACTCTGGTTCTTGACAGAGCTCTTAAGACTTTTGTCATTTCCTGAGTGACAAGAGCATCTTTTATGCTAATGAGGCAACTCTTGGTGGGTTCTCGAGGCGCCTCAGGATGGGAACTGCTTGCAAGGAGAGAGAACCATATGATTAAAGGGTACTAACATTCAGGACCACCCTCACCACCTCCATATCATCATTCCTAACCTCCAGAGTGGACGGGGACTGAAGCTGAGGTGATCACCAAAGGCCAATGATGTAATCTCTCATGATTACATAATGAACACCCACAAGAATAGGATTTGGGGAGCTTCCAGATTGCTGAACAGCAGAGATACCTGGAAGGTAGGGTGTGGTGTCTAAACACTCGGCCTAAGCAATTTCCATCTGGCTGTTCATCTATATCCCTTTTTTTGTCTTTTAATAACAAGCCAGCAAACCTGAATGTCTTCCTGAGTTCTGTGAGCTGTTTTGGCAAGTTAATTGGACCTGGGGAAGGTGTCAAAGGAATTCTTGATAGCCAGCCAGTCAGAAGCACAGTGTCACTGGGCACGGTGGTGCACACACACCTGTAATCCCAGCAGCCCAGGAGGCTGAGGCAGAAGGATTGCAAATTCAAAGCCAGACTCAACAACTTAACAAAGCCCTAAGCAACCTAGCAAGATCTTGTCTCAAAAAAAAAAAAGAAAAAAACAAAAACCAAAAACGGTTGGGTATGTGGCTCAGTGGTTAAGTGCCCCTGGGTTCAATCCCTGGTACCAAAACGAGGTTATTCTACTCAGAAATTTCAAGATGGCAAATGAGTGCTTGCTTTAATGATAGCTACTTTATCTTTTCCTTTCCTTTTTGTAGTATAGGATAACGCCAATTATCCTATACAACACAATCCCATAGTATCACTTGTCATTATCCTATACTATTTTTATATTTTATCAATTGGATACTTTTGAAAATTTGGAGCCAGAATTGCCAAGCACATTCTTTCTTCAGTCTTACCTGTCGCACCGTTCCCGCATGGACTGGATCTCTTGAAGAGCAGGGACAGCCTCTACAGCCCCTCGGCCTTCAGGAACATTCCGGATACTCTTTATGCGCTGAAGGAGCAGGGTCAGCAAGAGCTGCTGCATCTCCACACTCTCTTCGTATTGGTAGAAGGCGTCCAGCAGCTCTGAGAGCTCCTCCGTGGTGGCGGCCTCCTTTGTTTTGGAAATTTCTGGGAGTTCCTCTTGAAGATTGTCTAAAATGATTGTTTCTCGTTCCATCTAATTCAATAAACAACAACAACAATGAAAGAGAACTAAAATAAGTCAAGTACACTCTTACCACATTAGGACTTGAAATATTCTTGTGCAGCCATAATTTTTTAGTACTCTCTCTTCAAAGGGTATCTATAGGCCATCTCCTAATTCAAAAGAAATATTTGTTCTCCTACAGTTGGGAATATTGGTCCTCTATCAACAGAATCATATAGCTCCCAGCTATAGGATGATGAGAACAAAAGGTTGTGGTGGCTCACACCTGTATCCCCAGAAATTCAGGAGGCTGAGGCAGGAGGATCACAAGTTCAAGGCCAGCCTCAGCAATTTATCGAGACCCTGTCTCAAAATAAACTGAAAAAGGGCTGGGAATACATCTCAGTAGTAAAATGCCCCAGGCCAAATTCCCATTACCATGAAAATAAATAAGTAAGTAAGTAAATACATAAATAAAATGAAGTGTTACTGTTGTGGGAAAAAGAAATGTTGATGAATATTTAAAATAATTGATTTCCTATTCAGTTTTCTGTTGGATAAAGTGGTATTTCTCTTGAGATGCACAGGGGTTGTTAGAATGAGGCCCACAAGCAGCTCCCACTATAAGAAGCTAGGCACCTATTAGACATGGAAATTTTCCTGCAGGTCCCTTTTCTTTCACTTCTCACCTCCAAAAACTTCTTTCACTTCTAACTCCAAAAATAAGTCCAGTGGATTCTCATTACCCTCATGGTGCCCACCACAGAGAAACCATCTTGAAGTACCAAACCAACCATGTATTCATCAACCACTAGTATGTGCAGAACCCAAAATCATATCTTATTTTTAAAAATATGTTTAGTTAAAATTTATTTATTTACATGTGGTGCTGAGCATTGAACTCAGTGCCTCACACATGCCAGGCAAGTGCTCTACCACTGAGCCACAGACCAGCCCCCATATCTAATTTTAAATGCAGCTGGAAATCAAAAGCTCCATCAGACTTCAACAAAGACTTAGAAAAAAGTCTCAAAGTCTCTTGAATCCGATGGATCTTAAGTCCCTCCTCAACTCCAATGGTCTTCTCCTCCTTTAGACCCTCATTTATCTCATTCTGTGTTCATGTTACATCAATCCTATGTTCACACAGAGCCACACATCCATGCTGGCCATCTCGACACTGCAGAACATCACACCGGTCAACTCCACTTATGACATCATGAGTAACCGAAATGGTTAGCAAGGTCCTGGATGTCCAGTAAGATGTGCCACAAGGTGAGTAATAAAGCCTATGCAAACTCAAAAGCCCCAGCATCAATTAAGACTCCAGGGCCCAGTGGTCTGAGGTGCAGCAGGGCTTCTCTTCTTTCAGGTTGTTCAATCCTTGACCTCCACCACCGAGAAAGAGACGCAGCACCACATGGGCCTTTTTGGATTTTAGAGGTTGCATATATTGTAGCTGGGATTCTTACACAGCTCTGCTTATCATATCCATTATCAACAATGCTGTAAGGCTGAGGCACACATGGAGAAAATGAGGCACTGCAGCAGGAGTGGGCTATGGTATATGCTGCTCTGCCACTTGGGACATAGGATCCAGTTGGGTCCAGTGGTTATAATACCTGGAGAAGGTATAGACTGGACCCTCTCCAAGAGCCTGAGTTATGAAATTTGTGCTTCCCATCATCTCCAAACCAAATCTTGGTTCTCAGGCTGACCACTACACTTGCATCAGGGAGTTCCACTAGAACTGGGTTCCACTAGATCATATTGCTTGAGAACCACCATGCAAATAAAGGCACTGCCATATTGACAGGGCTAACAGCACATCTAGGTTTCCGATATGCACAGGCATTGGAAGAACTCTACCTGCAACCAAAGACCTACTGGAGCATCTCTTCCATTGTTATCCTAACCACAAATGGGCAAACGCAGCTACAAAGACACAGTCAGAGCCAAACAACTAAGGGCTCAGACTTTTCCTGCTTCAGTTCTATTAGTCTCCTACTTCTGTCCTCCCAGTGTCACTTTCCAAAATGAATCACCTGCTGGCAGTCCCTAAACACAGGTCCTGCTATCTCTTGTACAGCTGGTAAGTGTCTGAAGAAGGGAACTCAAGGGGGACAACATTTTTTTTTAACAGGTCCTGGGGATTCAACCTAGCTCTTGTGTATGCCAGGCAAATGATCTACCACGGAGTCTCACCCCCAGCCACTTAATAATTTTTTTATTAAAATGATAATTTTGCTCAAAAGCCCATGAATTCTTTATCTTATGAATGGATCAACTGTACTCCATCTACCAAGTAGAATACCACTCAGGAATAAAAAAAAAAATGAACTGCTGAGACAAGCAATTGCAAGAATGAACCCAAGCACGTGATACTTAGTGAAAAGAAGTCAAAGGCCACGCACTGTATGAATGCACTTATATGACGTTCTGCAAATGAAAAAGCTACAGGACAAGAAATAGATTAATGGTAGCCGGGGACTAGAGGTGAGGGAAGGCAAAGAGCATAAAGTGACACAGGGAATTTTCAGGGTGACAGAAATGTCCTACATCTTGATTTTAAGGTGATTAAGTGACTCTATATACTTGTTAAAACTCAACAAACTTTGTTAAATTTTACTGACTTGGGGGTAAGGACGACTCTCAAATCATAACAAGTTGCCATAACAAGTATACATACATTTGTCTACTTACAAGAGGCTTTGATGATCTTCCTTGGACACGGAATCCTAACAAAATTGGTTATAAAACTTCTAGGTTCAGCTAGGCATGGTAGCACATGCCTTAATCCTAGAAACTCAGAAGGCTGAGGCAGGAGGATTCCAAGCTCAAGGCCAGTCTCAGCAACTTAATGAGACCCTGTCTCAGACAAAAAAACTGAAAAAGGCTAGGATGTATCTCATGGTAAAGCACCCCTGGGTTCAATTCCCAATACCAAAACCAACTCTTAGGTTCATGGTAAATTATGAAGAAATCAAAGGGGAGAAGGCATGTAGATAGGAAAAAGAATTCTGTAGGTTATCAGAGGTGGAAGCTATCACCTTTGAGGTCAATGTCACCCTATCATTTGACAAATTGAAGAGTATACTTAGCCCAGAATGGAGAAATCTCAACTTAGTCCTTGTCACATAAAAAAGAAAATATGCATCTGAGCTGTAATTAAGAGCCTGATTATGGATTTTTAAGTCAAGGCCCATCTGAAAACACTATACTTTTCATTGTTAACATGGCAACCCAGTTTAGAGGTCAGAATAAATGTAGGACTACCCACTGGAGTCTGTGACCTCTACTACATGCCCAGAGCCTAAGTCACATTAACCTATTAAGGTTACATAACACTATTAAGGGCATGTATTATCCTAAGGTGCCTGCTCTGTGGAGACTGTACACACCCCAGAAGTCAAAACTCAAAATTTTCCTTTTTATAATAAAATACCCAGAACCGCAGAAATAGAAACCAACAAAGAAATTACTTTGACCCAGGGGAAGAAGTCAGCCTTAGCACTCCATTTGTCTTTGAAGACAAGACTTCATTCTAGAATATTATCATTATCAAAGTATAAAATATATGATTATTCTGGATAACCAGAAGTTAATAACCATAATGAGCTCATTCTGTTTAAGAAAATAGGGAGGTAAGATATAAGAGGGGAAAAGGTAAGTAAAAAATTAATTTTTTAACTTGTACACTTATAAACTGGGCATTTACATTTTCAAGAATTATACATGAACCATTTATTCCTTAAAGATACTAAATTATTGTATTACTGTAGACATTTTAAAAACAGAATTCACTTTGTCATGTTTATAAAGGCATCAACCACACTAACAAAATCTTACGTGTATAGGTCTTTAGATGATGTCATTTTACTGAATGGGTAAGGGCTACAGTATAATCATATATCAGGTTGGGGTATAGCTCAGGGGTAAGGTGCTTGCCTAGCATGCATGAGTCCTGGGCTTGAGCCAGGAAAAAATTGATTTGATGTATGCAAATATCATTTAATTTGGTGATTTAGTGATTGAGCACAGATTTTATGTTTGAAAAAAATTTATACATACATTTAAAAAAACCTCTTCAGGAGTCTCTTGAGGATGAAAGAGATGACACACGATGACATAAAACCTAATATGTGGAATTATGACTGGCACATATTAAGTGCTCTACTTAGTAGTTATTATTATTGTGCTATTCTTTGATAAATATATTTTGCTATCAGACTTTGTCAAATGTTTGTAAGAATAATTGCATGAATGAGGTCTGAATTCATAAGATATTATTGCAAATGGGTATAAAGCAACATGTGAGAAAATAAAAAGAACAAAAGGTTTGAATTAGCCAGAATCTGGATTTGAATAAGAGCTGTCCTTCCACGAATATTTACTAAGTGCCCACTAAATGCAAAGCTGTGGACAGGGTTGTAAGGTTGGAATGGTGAGCAAGACAGCCTCAGTCTCATCCCATAGGGGCTCACTGCTCAATCTCCAGCTGGGGCTGCTTGGCTGTTGCCTAATATCTCAGGTTTCAGTTTCCCCACCTACATAATGGTGACAATATTTACCTCCATAGACCAAGATTCAGTGAGATCATGTGTGCACTGCCTTCTCAGCCCAGTGCAGGAACTCAATAAATGGTACTATCGTGGACACGTGAGAACCAGTGCCAGCAGCCCCACCGACAGGATAATTTACAAAATTTCTTAGAGCTTGAACATTGAAGAGATTACTCACTGATCAAACCCTGCCAGAATGACTGAAATGATATTCATTTTCAAAAACATCAAGTTCTAAGCAGGTTACTATGATAGTGTTAAACATTTTGATCCCAAAGCATGTGATCTTCCTGCAATTAAGTATTGACTCATATTTCTATCTTAAAGTCAGCAAAAAGTTTGAAATGAATAAGAGAAGGGTTTTTTTCATGAGTGTTCTGAATTGTATGTCATTGATACCTGGCCCTTTGGAAAGATTAGAAAATATGCTAAGATCCTTTCATACGATTTTTAATTTTCTTTCTTAATACATGTGAATCCTAAGTCTGAAACTATGAATAAATTAACATCTGTGATTGGCATATATTATGGGGGTCTTCTTTGAGACTGTTTTCAGAAAGAACATCACACCTCATGTTTTTAGGTCTGCACTTAACAATTGTAGCTAATTTCCATAGCTAACAATGGTAGTTAATTTCAAAATTAGTTGGTTTTATGCATGTTGCCTAATTCTAACCTTTAGTAGAATGAATGTAGAGCCAGTTATTTTTGAGAGATTAATTTATCTTTATAAAAAAGATTTTAAAACTCAAGCTCAACAATTTATAAGAATTATCTTATACCCCCCACCAAAAAAAAAAAAAAAACTAAGCCACTATTATAAAAGAGCCTAAGTAGTTCTTGGGGACTATTCTAATAGAGCCTGACCTCTAGAAACATTTATGTGCCATGTATACATGATGTACACAGATGGTACTGTGGGGGGCTTTTTTTACATACAAAGTGAAGGTAATAAAGGAAATAACATTTGCTTGGAAACTTTAGAATTTGAATGTTGAAAATGAAACACTCACTTCCTCACTAACGAATTTCCACTCCTGTTTCAGTTCTTCACTCCACATCTCCCAGACTTTGGCAGCCTGTAGCAAACTGAGCCACTTCTCCCACAGGACCGACAGGCCTCTGAGCACACACATGCCATCCTTTTCTGTGCACCTGCGCCTCAAGTGTCGAAGGACCTGTCGCAGCTTCGTGAGCTCTTTTCTGGTTGATTTGAGATTTGACACCAAGGCCTTAAGAAAGAAAATGAATAAACAACAGGGATATAATGTCTATTTTTTTTGCCCTGAAACATAGAAACTGTCTTAAATCTTCAACAGTCAGTGATTGTAACCATCCACAAGTATTACGTGACCATTTTTTAATCCTTTTGCAAGTCAATTTGGGCCAGATAAGAATTATCCATAACTATATTCTGCATGAATTTGGGACTATGAGGACAAATAATGACCCTTAAATCTAAGAATGCACTTTCAAAGGTAAATATCTGAGAATTACATCTTGTTATTTTAACTCGAGTCTCATATTTTACTAGGTAATTTATCTGTACAATGTTTCCTATGTTAACCATCAAAAAATATTTAGGGGTGCTTATCCCCACTTTTTCTCCTTTGCTTTTTTGGTAGATATTATCAATTTAGAATGTTCTCATCCAAATCCAAGCAGCAATTATACTGTACATTCTAACAAATGCAAATAAGCAAAAATTAAAATTGCTTAGTAACAGGGTCTAAGAAGTGACCAGAATTCAGAGCTTAGGACAGGTGCCTGACTGCTCAGTGGGCGACAGGCTCTACCACTGATCCAGCAGCATCCCCTGAGATAATGAGAAAGTGAAGGTTTCAGAGGACAGAATGCTACTAGGGGAGGACTACACTGTGAATCCAATTAATTAAATATCTTAAAAACAACCGTTTCATTTTTCTCCCTCCTGACTTCTGGTTTGAGGAACTTTCTCAATTCAGCCTGAAGATTTCCATGGGTTGTGAGAACCACATTTCCTGATGCCTCCACGTGCATGATCTTCTGAGTTTTGTGCACAGACTTACGGAGACTCGCAAACGCGGTTACCTTGCTCTGTTCCAAGCGCTCTAAAGCTTCCTTGTAAGACACTGGTAACGGGGACATGGACTGCCTGAGAACTGTCTCCATTTTTCTGAGGTGAGTACAAATGTACTCCTTGATACTTCTGTAGCGTTTGTAATTCTCAAGACACCTGATGAGGCACAGTTAGAAAAAAGAGTGATATTACATTTTATGGAACACGATAAACTTTGAACTTCCCAGGAAGAATTCTCCACATTCAGTTTTATATAAAGTTTTTTTTTCTATTCAATGCATTTCAACAGGTTTTCATTGACTATGCAACCCCAAAGGGGCCCAGGGATGGCTTTAAATGCAAACTTTAACAGGCATTTAAGGCTGCCCTTAAAATATCTAAACTGAAGAGCTTTGTGGATTTTTTTTGACTCATTAATTTCACTTCTGCAATTTACCTCAAGGAATAAATCCTAAATATAAGAAATTTATCCTAAACAAGATAAAATCTTTTGCATAATAATACCTTTTCTCTCACCAGAGTATTAATTAAAATAGCAAAAATTAGGTCTAGGAAAAGGTATGATTAAGAAAATTAAATAAGAAAACATTATATAAAATTTTATATAGCAATTGTAATTATTTTTGTAAAGTGTTATAATAGAGAAATGACCTAGTGTTATAGGGTAAAAAAATCAAAGTAGGAAATTTTTTATTTTCTATTCAACATAATATTGCAAAATGTTAAAAATACTATAAAAATTTTTATGCAAAATAAATCCCAAATTCCCCACTGAGAACAATAAAGATTCTCTACCAAATTTACTTCTAAAAAGAAAAAAACTCCTAAAACACACTAATAAACTGGCAAGGAATCAAGGATACAAAAATCTATAAAATGAAAATATATAGAAATAAGAAAATCTGTAGGGCCAGGTTTTTGCTTTGAGAATATTTGTGAAAAGCATATCAAAAAAATTGTGCACCATGATCAAGTAGGATTCATCCCTGGGATGCAAGGTTGGTTCAATATACAGAAATCAATAAATGCTATTCACCACATCAATAGACTTAAAGATAAGAACCATATGATCGTCTCGATAGATGCAGAAAAAGCATTCAACAAAGTACAGCATCCCTTTATGTTCAAAACACTAGAAAAACTAGGGATAACAGGAACTTACCTCAACATTGTAAAAGCTACATATGCTAAGCCTCAGGCTAGCATCATTCTAAATGGAGAAAAACTGAAGGCATTCCCTCTAAAATCTGGAACAAGACAGGGATGCCCTCTCTCACCACTTCTATTTAATTTAGTCCTTGAAATACTAGCCAGAGCAATTAGACAGACAAAAGAAATTAAAGGCATAAAAATAGGAAAAGAAGAACTAAAAATATCACTATTTGCGGAAGACATGATCCTATACCTAGAAGACCCAAAAGGGTCTACAAAGAAACTACTAGAACTAATAAATGAATCCAGCAAAGTGGCAGGATATAAAATCAACATGCATAAATCAAAGGCATTCCTGTATATCAGCAACAAAACTTCTGAAATGGAAATGAGGAAAACCACTCCATTCACAATATCCTCAAAAAAAAAAATAAAATAAAATACTTGGGAATCAACCTAACAAAAGAGGTGAAAGATTTATACAATGAAAACTACAGAACCCTAAAGAGAGAAATAGAAGAAGATCTTAGAAGATGGAAAAATGTACCCTGTTCATGGATAGGCAGAACCAACATCATCAAAATGGCGATATTACCCAAAGTTCTCTACAGGTTTAACGCAATGCCAATCAAAATCCCAACGGCATTTCTTGTAGAAATAGATAAAGCTATCATGAAATTCATATGGAAAAACAAAAGACCCAGAATAGCAAAAGCAATTCTAAGCAGGAAGTGTGAATCTGGAGGTATGGCGATACCAGATTTCAAACTGTACTACAGAGCAATAGTAACAAAAACAGCATGGTACTGGTACCAAAACAGGCAGGTGGACCAATGGTACAGAATAGAGGACACAGAGACCAATCCACAAAATTACAACTTTCTTATATTTGATAAAGGGGCTAAAAGCATGCAATGGAGAAAGGATAGCATCTTCAACAAATGGTGCTGGGAAAACTGGAAATCCATATGCAACAAAATGAAGCTGAACCCCTTTCTCTCGCCATGCACAAAAGTTAATTCAAAATGGATCAAAGAGCTTGATATCAAATCAGAGACTCTGCGCCTGATAGAAGAAAAAGTTGGCTCCGATCTACATATTGTGGGGTCAGGCTCCAAATTCCTTAATAGGACACCCATAGCCCAAGAGTTAAATACAAGAATAAACAAATGGGACTTACTTAAACTAAAAAGTTTTTTCTCAGCAAGAGAAACAATAAGAGAGGTAAACAGGGAGCCTACATCATGGGAACAAATTTTTACTCCTCACACTTCAGATAGAGCCCTAATATCCAGAGTATACAAAGAACTCAAAAAATTAAACAATAAGAAAACAAATAACCCAATCAATAAATGGGCCAAGGACCTGAACAGACACTTCTCAGATGAGGACATACAATCAATCAACAAGTACATGAAAAAATGCTCACCATCTCTAGCAGTCAGAGAAATGCAAATCAAAACCACCCTAAGATACCATCTCACTCCAGTAAGATTGGCAGCCATTATGAAGTCAAACAACAACAAGTGCTGGCGAGGATGTGGGGAAAAGGGTACACTTGTACATTGCTGGTGGGACTGCAAATTGGTGCGGCCAATATGGAAAGCAGTATGGAGATTCCTGGGAAAGCTGGGAATGCAACCACCATTTGACCCAGCTATCGCCCTTCTCGGTCTATTCCCTGAGGACCTTAAAAAGTATACTATAGGGATACTGCCACATCAATGATCATAGCAGCACAATTCACAATAGCTAGACTGTGGAATCAACCTAGATGCCCTTCAATAGATGAATGGATAAAAAAAATGTGGCATTTACACACAATGGAGTATTACACAGCACTAAAAAACGACAAAATCATGGAATTTGCAGGGAAATGGATGGCATTAGAGCAGATTATGCTAAGTGAAGCTAGCCAATCCTTAAAAAACAAATGCCAAATGTCTTCTTTGATATAAAGAGAGCAACTAAGAACAGAACAGGAAGGAAGAGCACGAGGAAAAGATTAACATTAAACAGAGACGAGTGGGGGGAAAGAAAGGGAGAGAGAAGGGAAACTGTATGGAAATGGAAGGAGACCCTCATTGTTACACAAAATTACATATAAGAGTTTGTGAGGGGAAAAGGGAAAAAAAAAACAAGGGAGAGAATTGAATAACAGCAGATGGGGTAGAGAGGGAAGATGGGAGGGAAGGGGAGGGAGGATAGTAGAGGATAGGAAAGGTAGCAGAATACAACAGTCACTAATATGGCATTATGTAAAAATGTGGATGTGTAACCGATGTGATTCTGCAACTTGTATTTGGGGTAAAAATGGGAGTTCATAACCCACTTGAATCAAATGTATGAAAGATGATATGTCATGAGCTTTGTAATGTTTTGAACAACCAATAAAAAAAAGAGAATATTTGTGAGATTTTAATTTTCTTTGCCTGCTACTCAAATGTGGTTCTGGATAGATTGGATGGGTATTTAATAGGAACATAGAATAAATTCCTACAAATCAGTAAGAAAAAGACAATACAACAAAATATGAGTAAAGACTTGAATAGACATTCTACAGAAAAGGAAATATAAACAATTAATAAACATTCAACAAAAGAGCTCAAACTCATTAACAGTACTAGAAATGCAAATTTAAACTGTAATCAGGTAACACTTCTTACTCATTTGTGTTGGTAAGGATATGGGACACCTGTAATACCTATATGCTGCTGGTTTAAATGGAAATTAGGGAAACTATTTGGCATTAAAAATTTAAGATGTGACCCAGGCAATCCCACTCCTAGAGATATACACAGAAAACTCTTGCATTTTAAAATGTTTCTACTAGCAGTGTTTGAGAATACAAAACACCAGGAACGATCCAGATGTCCATCAATAGCTAAGTGCATGAATTTTTCTACAGAAAAGAACACTGAATAAATCTCAGGGTCATATGATGAATTTGAAAAAAATGAAGTGACAGAAGAATAGACACACTGGGTGTTGGTTTGACGATCATGAAAAAAACACATCAACACAGCAAAAATACAACAAAAAGCAAGGAAGTGACAAACATTGTATTTAAGATAAGAGATATTTATGAGAGAAGAAAGGAGCATAGGAGAAAATTAAAAGTAGGAGCTGGGGCTGTGGTTCGTTGAGAGAGTGCTTGCCTGGCATGTGTGAGGCATTGGGTTCGATTCTCAGCACTGTATATAAATAAATAAAGTAAATGTCCATTGACAACAAAAAGAAAAAGAATATTCAAATTAATGTCAATCTTTGAAACTTTGAGCATGAAGATATTTGTTTTATCATCATTCTTTATATACATCATATACATGCTTGTATCAATATTCTCTACGTACCCAAAGAAATTTTAATATAATAACATATTTACTAGGGTTTTCTTTAGTGAACTTTTAAAAAACTTTTACAATTGCCCATATTAGCTCTAATGCATATACGTTAATTATTAAAAAAAAAAAAAAGCCTTAATTTACGTTCCTAAAGTATTACCTTCAGGAAGAAGACTTACCTTTCTACCATAGCTGCCTTTACTGTGGCCGCCTCCTTCATGGCTGAGTTCTTAGAAATTAATTCCTGTAAGGTACACTGGAATTCCTGCTTGGCCTCGGGTGCTGATATAGTTCCCAGGTTCTCGATGAGGTCCTGGATGTCTGCAATTGTGGATTCCAATTCCTTTTGCTTCCAGCGAAACCTCTCTAGTGATTCTTGTGGATTATGAAGGTTTACTCTCGGGGATGCAATGATGGCTTCCAGGGAAGTGATGATCTCCATCGCCCTGGCGACTGCTTCGTTATAGAGGGTTATATTTTCATAAGCATTGTTCAAGGCATCCTGGAGAATAGGAGATTAAAAGCTGTGACAACACTGTCAAATGTTTTGTCATTATTGAATGTTTGTGTGCGTTCCTAACCTGTCTCTGCGTCTTATCAGAGCTGACTTCTTATACTTACGATTTAACAATATCACACTAGTATTAAAAAGGAATAACTTTTTGTTTGTATGAAGAAAAAATGGTTTCCAGATTTTCTAAGAAATCATCTAAATTCAGAATAATGTCTGATGAATCATGCCCACTACTATATGTTCCTGCTCTGGAATTCTTGTACCAGACTACAAATTAAATAAAACAGTAAAATATGTTTAATATGTATAACTTTAATCAGTATCTGTAAACAAATGAAAACAAAACAACAAACTCCAGATTACTTGTGTCTTGAAATCAATAGCTATGCTACTACCTTTAGTCTGAGCACATCACGGAATGTCTCTAGACTTCAGTCTTCTAATTAAAATAAGAAATAGCAGGGTATGGGCTGGGCATGGTGACGCATGCCTGTAATCCCAGCAGCTCAGAAGGCTAAGGCAGGAAGATCACAATGATAGAGCCCCCCAGGGTTTGATCTCCAGGATCACACACACATAAAAAAGTTAATACGTAACTGCATGACGAATGTGATTCTGCAACCTGTACACTCAGAAAAATGAGAAATTATACCCCATCTGATTCAAATGTATGATATGTCAAGATCATTGTACTGTCATGTGTAACTAAATAAAACAAATAAAAAATGGCAATTAAAAAAAGTACATGATTTAATTCTCAGTACTAGAGTCTTGTGTATGCTAGCTCTACTGCTGAGCTATATATCCCTAGCTCCAAAATAAATCACTTACCCTCCAGTTCTAATCATATTATTTTGGGTATTTATGTCAATTGTTTCCTGAAATCATTAAAACTAAGAGAGGTTCTCAGATTCCTCAACATCTGCTATGAACCTATTTAAACAACACATTAGGGTTCATCATTTGACTTTACATTTCTGTAGCACTTACATCTAACAAAATATTTCAAATACACTACCTAATAATAACTCTTCAAAATAAAGAAGTTAATTTCCCCATCTTATAAGTTGAATGTGACAGACTTGATAACAACATGTAAGGTATCATGTAGAGTACAATGTGAAAGATGTCTAAGACACCTGCCCTCTTATCAAAAGGAAAGGGGGAAGTGTGCTGGGGTCACTTTCCCACAGAGGTCAGCAAACATCAAGACTACTCCACTCTGCAGTTGGAGCATGAAAACAGCCATCATTAGCCCATAAACAAATGGGTGTGGTTGTGTTCCAATAAAACTTTAATTACAAATCAAGGACTATGGACAGGATTTGGCCCATGGTTCTTCCTTAACTTGATGACTCCTCATCTAGAATCAGATCTCAATTTTAATTCTGGTTCTGTTTTTGTCACAAGATCCTGAGAAAAATCTGAACTTCAATTTCCTTATTGTAATATCATCATCATCATCATCATCATCATCATCAACAACAACCCTGGGAATTGAACCTAGGGCCTTGAACATGCTACACAAGAGCTCTACCACTGAGCCACATTCTTAGCCCTCAATTTTTCTTAAATAGGCTAATAATAGCACCTGCCTCACAGAATCGCTGAGAAGATTAAACATAGAATGATTAGCACTGTGCCTAGCATATTGTAAATTCTAAATAAATATCAGTTATTATTTGGTGTTCTTCCCTTACACCACACTTCTTCCATCATCTTTTACTATCTCTAGAGACCAAAAAAAAAAAAAAAATATACACACACACACACACACGAAAAAATTTGTTGTGACTTCCATAAGGGCTATGAAGGAAGCAGATGTAGAGATATCAGATTAGTGCTTTTCCAAACTATAAGGTATTGAATTTAGATGTAGATTGAGTCAGGATTATAAAGTTGCACTTTTGCAAAGAGCTAACTTCCTGCAAAGAATTCTCCTGTAGAACCTGTAACTTCTTTAGACGTACAGATATTAACCACAGTGAAACAAATAAAAAATAAAACACCATTAATTGAAAATACGTAATTAAAAAAAAACTTACCATGCGTAAATCAATGCTTCTGCTAAGCTGTGTCTGAAGCGCTTCAACATCTTGCAATTTTGTCTCCATATCACCAGTTTCAGGAGAGTTTTCTTCTCTTTGCTTCTCGGTAACAGTCACAGCTTTAATACTACACATTTCCTCCTGAACTAGTTCTAGAAATGCTTCAAAATTATCCTTCTCATTTTCAATATGTTCAATTCCCAAATTTATAAGCAAAGGCTGCTGTACGTGAGATTTAATCTGATTTAAAACATGTAAGGAATTTTCTAGTAGGTCCTGAAAATTCTTTTCATCAATTTCTTTTGGTTGGAATTCTAGTACTATGTTTTTGACGACCTTCTGTAACTTATCATTTTCTTCTACATTCAGTGTTAGTTGTACTATTTCTTTCTCTTTGAATGAGTCATCCAAGGCCTTGTTTTCACTTAATTTCTTTAGTACCTCATTATATAAGCACTTCGCTTTCTCAATCTTCTGATTCAAAATTATTGCATTGAGCAAATTGCTCTCTGGTGAGGTATCAGGAGCTTTCTGTACTAATTCAGCCCTTTTCTTAATTTGCAAATCCATATCCCTTACTTTACACAGTAATGCTTGATATTTGCCATGTTCTGCCACAAACGTATCCAACTGTCTGATTTTTTCTTCAAGTTTCTTTTCTTTTTCAAATACTTGGGTTTTCAATTGGTTAAGTTGTGAACAGTCCCAGTTTATCCCTGTGTAGTCAAACAGTTCTTTAAGTTCTAATAGTTGTAAGATCTCACATCGAACACCAGTAAGTCTGTCTTTAAGATTATTGAACTCTTTCACATCTTGATTTATGTCTTGGTTAAGTAGTAGTTCCTTATGCTGTATACGATCAACCTCCCTCTGAAGACCAGATGTTTCTTCATGGAGTTCTCTATAAGAATTTATCTTATGTTCTACTTCATTGCACTTACTCTGAATGAATCTTTGTGTTCTGCTGGCTCTGGTCTTCAGATGTTTCAAATGGTCATCAAGAAATAATCTTTCAAAGACATTTAGATCCTTACAGGTGTTTGCTAGTTCCTGAAGATGTGTTGAGATCACACTCCCAATTTCTCGCAGCTCCTCCTGGGATGCCTTCAAAGTGAAGTGGACATGTGCTAGCTCAGTTTCTGTGGAGGCTGCTTCCATCTTGGGAATGATCAGTGCTTCCTTTCTTTGAAGAGTGAGTTGAGCCTTCCCAATCCCTGCAAAGAATTGGCTTCTTTCTTCCAATTTAAATTCCAACTGCTGTGATCTCTGAGTTGATTTTAAAACTAGCATTTGATATTGACTCTGTAAGTCCTCCAGGAGGCTATTTAAATCATCCCCCTCATCTGCTGTAAGGTTTGGAATGATATCTTTGACCTCCTTCACCAATGACTCCATGACCTGCTGCTTATCCAGAATACCATCATGAGCCATCTTGCATTTTCTGATCTGTGAAAGAATGTCATCTGGGAAAAGGCAAATGTAGGGAGTGAGTGTACCCTGCAGATTCTTGACCCACTGGATAGTCTCCTTCATCTTGTTCTTTATGTCACATTTCTTAATCCGATTTTCCACCTCCAGGTTTAATGGATCCAATGTTTCCAATTGCTTCTTCAAATTATTTATTGCATCTTCTAAAATCTTCTTTTCTTTTTCTCCCCAGAACCTCTTCATCTGAAGTTCAGCTTGTGTCTTTAAAATAGAAAACCCATGCTTGATGGCCTGGAGCTCAGTGGCCGAGGCAATGATGCTGTGGCTCCCCTCCTGTTCTTCTAGAGAGTTCAGCCTTAACAGTAGACACTGCTGCTGCTCTTGCAGAGAAGTCTCCATGTCTTGAAACTTATTCACAAGGGAGGTGAATTCACCATATTCCATTACCTGCTGCGAATGCTTCTTTTGAACCATGTGTTCCATTTGCTCCCAACCATGCTCAAGCTGCTGAATCTGGTTTTCCATCAGCTTCTTATCCATGTCAGTCACATGAGGTGATAAGCTCTCCCATTCAGCTTTCAACTTGCTTAAAGAAACTTTCTCTTTTTCTATTGATCTCAGGAATTTCTTAATTTTGTTCAGATAGATTTCACTGTCCATTGGTCCCCTAGGGGGGAAAAATAAAAATAGTGTTTTTTCACATTTACTATTTATTATGCACTAATATATGGTTAGATAATCATTAAAAGAAAATAATTCTGCTTTGAATTCACAGAAAAGAAGATTAGGATATCTACAAAAGTATTATATCCTTAAAATAGAAATAAAAATCTTATTTACTGTGGCTTTCAATTAATGGATGACAATGCAGAAAATACACCTTTAAAATGGTATCATTAATGGGCTGGGGATATAGCTCAGTTGGTACAGTGCTTGCCTCGCATGCACAAAGTCCTGGGCACCAGATACAAAAAAGGTATCACTAAAACAAAGAATCAAAGGAAAAGAGTGAAGAGTGAAAAAAAACAATGTATATAAAAACAGTCTGCAAACTGTAAAGTGCTATTACAAAGGTCAGTCTAGGACTGAGAGAAATTACCATACTATCAAACACCTCTGTTACCATCTTTCTAAAATCATGTTATAGATATTGACTAAGAAGTCAGAATTATTAAGCAAATGTTTTCAGTATAAAGTGTTTTCCTCAAGAGATAGTACTAAAAGTAAACCCATTTAGATATACATATAAAATAAACCTTTTTAATAAAAAAAAATTCACCTATTAAGACTATATCTGGGGCTGGGGCTGGGGCTGGGGCTCAGCAGTAGTGCACTTGCCTGGCACGTGTGAGGCACTGAGTTCGATTCTTAGCACAACATATAAATAAAGGTCTATCAACAACTAAAAAATAAAACTAAAAAAAATTTTTTAAAAAAGACTATATCTGAAAAAAAGACTATCTGCCACCATTTGTCATCATTTTAATGGCAAAAGGAGTGCATATATTTTAAAAGAAACAATTAATACACATGTGTGTAAATATATACATATATGTGTGTGTATATATACATATATATTCAATATGTACTAAACTATCTAAACCAATTATGTGAATGCCAAAAAAACTACACATATTTTTCTCCTTCCCACAGTTTAGAATAAACTCTTATCCAAAAGAACATTGAATTTCATAGAACTGAAATATACTTTGCAGATATTTATACTGTGAACTGTTTAATAACTTAGTTTGTAAAACATATCCAGTAATGTACATTTATTTTTCCAGCACAAAACCAACAAAGTTTTCTTAAATGGTTTCTGCTATTTAAGAATATTTGAGGGTTGGGGATATGAGTCAGTGGTAGAGCACTTGCCTAGCATGTTTGAGACCCAGGGCTCAATTCCCAGCAAAGCAAAAAAAAAGCAAAAACAAACAACAAAACAAACCAGAATGAGTCCCTCCCAAATTCCTATTTTATCAATAACTTAGGGGTATTAAGAAGTGGGGCCTGGAGGGTAATTACATCATAAGGCCAAAACTCTTATAAAATATGAGTGGGTTTAGGAGTCTTTGAATCAGAAATCTCTAGAGAACTGCCTTGTCCTTTCTACTCTGTGAGGACACAGCTAGAAGGTACCATCGATGCACTGGTGAGAGCTTTCACCAGACATCACATTTACCAGCATCTTCATCTTTACTTCCCAACCTCAGAACTGTGAGAAAGAAATTTTTGTTGTTTATAAACCCCACAGTCTATGGTATGTTGTTATAGCAGCCCGAACAGACTAAGCCAGTTCCACGTAGAATTCATTTCCCTAGAATAGTTTTACAATCATAGATCCTTTCACAGAATAAACTCTGAAAACTCTGAGCCCATCCAAGGAAGTGAGGGCTGTGCTTGAATGAAAAGCACACGAGTCCTATATTCCCACACTTACACTTTTAGACTTTCCTTTTCTGTCAACAAGGCTTTCATCAAGGATTCAACTGCGGTGACATGTTCTTGAAAATGTTTAAGGAGATAATACTGGCTTTCTTTATTTTTCTTCAAAGCAGTAAGCGCCTGAAGCAGATTGTCCAAGTGCTGTGCTGAATATCTTTTATTGTGGAGGGCCAAGGCACTTGCTTCTGTTTTGTTGAAACATTCAGATTGTTCTAGTGGTTCAATGGCTGTTTTCCTTGCTTCTAATCGGTTATATAATTCCTAAAAACAAGCCGCACAAACCAGTAAATCATACATGCATTAATTCATTCATCCATTTTTCCTCTCCTTTCCTCCAGATAACACACCCTATTCTCAAGGTGATATTTCAAATATTTCATCTGCACATGGAGAAACTAAAGTCATGACATCTAAAAGAACTTTTTTCTCTACAATCAGGTTAAATCTAGACTGAAGTTCACCTGGGTTCAGCATTTAGTATCAATTACATGATTCCACCATCTTAAAAGTTTCTGTAGTTTCTAAAGGAAAATTTATTTTAATTATTTACATACAGCAATAGATGGCATTATTATTACATCTCATATTGTTATTAATTACTACTAATAGTAATTAATAACAATAATAATAATTATTATTAGTTAATAATATCATATCTCATTCTTAGACACATATTTCCTATTATGTAAACTTGGCTAAAATTGTAGGGATCCTTTATAGTTTCATTTTTTAAAATACGTGGTCACGTATTGGATTTTTAGATTGCATAGCTAGAAGTACATAAATATGTTAACGCAGCCTATAAACCCAGCCGCCAAAACAAAGCAGGACCCATGGACTGATGATGAGGAAAAATAAAAAGAATCTGTCAGAATAAAAAAACTACACATGACCACGAAAAGGAAGGATGACAAGTCAGAAAAATCCAAAATTTTGTTACTGAATAAGTTTTGGGGAACTTTCTGAAAGAGAAAGAAGACGAATGTTCATTAAACCCTTCTACTTGTTAAATGCAAAAACTTATACAACTTACTGATGAGTACATAATTATACAGTTACCAAATTGATCATCAGGCAGAGGTTAAATAAGACTTTTCACTCTGTTGCAAGCAGGTTTTTGGTAATTAAAATGCATTGTGCTACCCTGGATGAGTGATGCAATCATGTGGTCAGTGTTTCCGCAGTTCCATACCTCTATCTCTTCTAATTGTTCATTTCTCAGCAGAACATCCAATTCCAAGGGCTGATTTTGCAGCTCGTTGACTTTGTGCTCATCTTCGGCGTTGTTCATGCTTTCTTGAACATGGAGAGGAAATTGTTTTGACAAAACCATTTCCACGTCTGAATTCTGAAAACATAAAAAGATTAATTGCTGAGTAGTCTACCTTCCAAATGAATCATTTTTATTTATCTTGACAAAAAAATTTGTGATTTTTTTCTACTGACTCAGATTAAAGACTTTAAGTATAGTTGGGTATTATCAAAGGTGATTTTTTTTTTCCCATACCATAATGAATACCTACTTGGTACTCCAAAAAGTGAAACTTTGTTACAAGATAGTACAGGATCTTGTGTTGCTCCATTATATACTGAGGCATCATATATAGAGTCTTTTTTTTGGATACTGGGGATTGAACCCAAGGGTACTTAACCACTGAGCAACATCCCAGCCCTTTTTATTTTTTATTTTGAGAAAGGGTACTAAATTACTTAGGACCTTCCTTAGTTGCTGAGGCTGGCTTTGAACTCGTTATCCTCCTGCCTCAACCTCCCAAGCTGCTGGGATTACAGGCATGCACCACCACTCCTGGCTCAGGGGTATAATATATAGTCTTAAAGAAACAAAACAGGATGGAAAAGTCAAAATTTCCCAAATTTATACTTGGTATTCACTATGATACAGAGGATAGGTCAAAAAATAGCCACTCACTGTCAGCCATCTGTACTTTAAAATAAGTGGTTAAGTGAAGGAAACACCATGATTTCATGATATTAAGAATAAATGAGAGGCTGGGTTTGTGGCTCAGTGGTAAAGCACTTGCCTAGCATGTGTGAGGCACTGGGTTCGATACTCCGCACCACATAAAAATAAACAAATAAAATAAAGGTATTGTGTCCATCTACAACTAAAAAAAAATAAAAAAGAATAAATGATACCTTAAATCAGATAGTAGTAAGAATTATAACCTAGATAAGGTGGAACTGCTTATATATGGGCTATATATGGGGACACACATACATACACATAGAGATTTTTTTTTTTAACTTAAAAAAATTGCAGATCTTAACAGGTCACAGACATCTCAGGGTACCCACATTCATTTATCCATTCTTTCAACAAGCATTTGTTGAGGACTTATGTGTACTAGGTCCCAGGACAGTAATTTTTAAAGATTTCCATTATTTTGCTAAGATATTAACTTTTATTTCCAGGTAACTTAATAAAAGAAAAAACTCTTGATTTTGCAATATACTTTGTCAGCAGAAACTTTGAACAATTTTCTCTTGGAACAAAATGTTTCCAAAACCCCCAAAAGGTAAAAACTGTTGTCTTAAAATGACTCCCTGGACAGTAATATGAGATGTTAGCAATAAGAAATTAGATGCCGGGATTTAAGGCAACTTTTTATATTACCTTTGTACTTTCCCACAACCATTCTAAAATTAAAAACCTATTTAAATAAGCCAAATATTGCCTGGAACTTCACCTGTTCTAACTGGTAAGAGGGTTCAGCCAGTTAGGGTTTTGAAGTAACACTTGGCACAGTCACTTCTTCAAAAAGGTTACAAATGATTGAAATGATTTGGCAAATTTCCTCCAACTCAATGATTTAATTCACATGAACCTGGGTGAAAGTCTATATTATGGGCAGCATCACAGCAGGAAAGATCCAGAAGGACTTGGGGGGACAGGAGAAAGGGGCCACATCACAGGTTTCACCGGGTGGGTTTGATCTGGGCCACAGTCATCTCAGGTACGCACCTGCCTCCTTCCCACCTGATGGTTACTGTTTCTCAGAGCCCCCTATAAACTCACCAGGCACAAGAGCCTGAGCTACAGGCCTAAGTACCAGGCAGTAGGAGAGCTTTATCAATTATTAGTCATCTAGTAAGAATTCAGAGCTCTTATCTCTTACCTGATAAACCAGTGCCTGAGGACTGCCGTTACACAGGAAAACACTAGTGACATTTGTAATGACTGCCTTCAGTGGTCAGAAAAAGTGTATTTAAACACCTGGAATCACCCCAAAATACCATTCCTTTACCAAACCCAAGAGCCATTTTCTACCCTGGCAGAAAAGCCAACAGAATCCCTCAAACGAACATTTCAAATTTAAAAGGCAACATTCCTTTGCTCATGACAGGGAGATTGGAATGCAGATGCCAGGCCCTGATTGGCTCCTGGAAAGTTCTTTCAAGACCAGTCATCCTTTGCTCAGTAAGTACCCTCTGCTATATCTTATTTGAAACATTTTATCTTAGGTTATGTTTCAAGCATATACAAAAGAACAAAAATAACAGATTCTCATTACTGAATACACAAAACAATATAATTTTCCATATTAGGAAAATAACCGAAAGCCCAACCCCAACCTTTTTTCCTCTTTTCCTCCCCAGAACCAACCCTACTCTAAAGTCCACATACACATCATTACACTGTTATTACATGCATCAGAACTGGCATAGTAGTGTTTTGTGTTTTTAATTCTTACAGAAATCAGAATCATATACCTACGATTTTATACTTGTTAGTTTCACTCAAGAGTATATTTTGAGATTTTATCCATGTTAACTGGTATAAATCTAATAGTCATTTTAGCTTTGTATCTGTTCCAATGAATGAATGAATGAATGAATGAATGTGACTTATTTATCTCTTAGAATACTCTGGACAATAACATGTCCCTCTCCTCCTGTCACACCTCATACTGTAATACACACTGTATACTCCTGTATGGTTCTTGCATGTACATGTAAATTTCTTTAGGATATTAGCCTAGAACTCAAATTAATAGCCACAAAACATGATCCATTTGATTACTGATTTGCTCTCTAAACTGAATTACGGTTTCATTTCCATCAATGGAAACAGCCAAGAAAGCAAGTCAGTAACAGCGTCACCATCCTCTCTCCTTCATAGGAATGGTCCCATAGTGTGTCGGCCAGGATCTAAAGTCCACCACTTGGAACCTGCCAACAGGGGGACAGCATGTCACACCAGCTCTAAGGGACATGTTTCTTCCTTCTCTAAAGCCTTCCAACATGAAGTAGTGAAAAACAATCTTAGCATAAATCTTATTGCCATCAGAGACAAAAAAAAAAAAGGCAGATCAACAGTCTCAGAGGCTGCTGATTACTCTTCTTTAACCCTCTCAGTATAATGTCTAACATGTCAAAGTGACCCACAAAGCACTAGTGACTCAGCCAGCCATGCTCCTCCCTCTCAGACTTCATCTTCATCTAAGGCTCTCCACTGCCCTCTACCCTCTGGCCAAGGAGCCATCAATCAGCTTCTGAAACTCCTGCTTTCTCCCACTATTTCCTCTGTCAAGAAAGCTTCCCACGCCCAGCCCAGAGCTCTGCTGCCTCCAGCTGACCCTTTCAGTCCCTGTTCAGGAGTTGCTTCCTGAGAGTAGCTGTCTCTACCTCTACTGTCCGGATCAGATTGCTTTGTTAAAAGCTAACCCCAAACTGGGTTCTTCCTTAAGCTCCTGTAGTTAGACTCTCGTTAGTGTAATTCATTAAGTAACATATGTCTCCCCCACAAGAACAGAAGCTCTATGAGGACAGACAGTGTCTGTGTCTGAATCTTCTCTGCCTGTTCAATGTACTTTTACTGAATGGACACAGAGACAAACTCAAGCCAGAGAAAAATAGAACATTTTACTTAGTCGTCTATTTTTCAAATTCATAATATGTGAGTTATGAAGTGGAATAGCAAGAAAATGAGGACCTGTCAATCTAGCAGTTCTTGGCCAAACATCTGTTAGGATTGAGGGAAAAGCAAGAAAGTAGAGGTTTGAAAGAAATACTAGAGTCATCACAGCACACACGACTCAGGAAGATCAACTCACATAATAAAGAAAATCTATTTAAATTTGTTTAACCTCACATTTCAGAACTTATTTAGACACCCAGTTTCCACCTGTATAACACATTTTGTGAAACAGTGGGTGGAGTTCTGAGCATCAGAGTGGGCATGCAGCATGCCTGGGTTCTACCCCAGCTCTGCTGGACTTCAAGCCCATTCTCTAAAATACAAAGGTTAGGGAAGAAAATTTCTAAGGTCTCTTCAGCCCAAGATTTTAGGGCCTTGGAGCACATTCTCAAGCACACACTGTTTGTAGACAGCAAGAACATGTACAGAGTGCAGGTCGCTCATCCTGTAAAGGAATAAATCTTGGACTGTGAAAAATACTCCTAGAGTAAGAAGCAAGACTCAAATGCTGGCCAAAAAGACCAAAGTAGGATACTTTGAAGATGGAGTAGACACATGGCCCAGCTAGGTGATCCATTATGTATAGTTACTGAGTTACCAGAAGAAACATCAGAAGTAGACACCAATTACCCCAGGACTGAAAAGTCTCCCTGGGTGGAGTGGTTTTCCTTCTCCTGGTAGACTCCACACCTGGCTTCTGCTCACTCACGCACTGGAAGCCCTGGAAGCCTTGCTTACTCAGGTGATCACCTATCTTCTAGGATTTATCTACAGATGCTTTCTTATACACCAAATCATTAATGATCAGAAGCTTTTGAAAAGGAGAAAAACAATTCACAAATAATGAAAAGCAATGACACCAATGATAAGGAAATTAAAGAAGTAATTATAGACCAAATGTTCTGGGTGTCTTTTTTTTTTTTTTTAAGCAATTATGTCATGTGGGTTGTCATTTAGGAAGACTGCAGCATAAAAGCTCACTGAATACAGTGAATCTGTAATATTGCTTTATGATATTTTTGAAAATAAAAAATAGAAAGAATATAGGACATAGGAGTTTCAATGCATTTACTCTTGATCACTTCCCTTTATGGATATCTAAAAGCCCAGGAGATTAGATAGTCCTCACTTTTTAGCATTTCCTAACATGTTACTTTACTTAAGTTATGTAGGAAGAAGGAAAAGGGAAGGTAGTTCTGCCTATTCATTCTTTAAGACTCTTAGAAAACTGGCTGAGTGCTTCGGCATCTGCCTGTAATCCCAGGTACTTGGGAGGCTGAGTCAGGAGGATCACAAATTCCAGGCTAGCCTCAGCAACTTAGTGAGATTCAAAATAAAAAAAATAAAAAGGGCTGACGATATATTTCAATGGTAGAGTGTAAGTGTTCCTGGGTTCAATTCGTAGTATGTGGGGAAAAGAACTCTCATAAACGCACATCTACAAAAAATATATTATGCTATTGCAACATCATCACCCATCCTTCAGAATAAATTTGTGATTTCTTTTGATTCTAGACAGTTTTAATATTTCCAACATTAAAGAAAAAGTCAACAAACGTTTTAAATTTAATGTGTCTAGAGTAAATTTCATCTAACTGAAATCATTAGCACTAAATTCAAATGCACAGGGCAATTTTTAAGAGGAAAATCATATATTCTACAAAAATTAATATTTAATAAAGAAAATAAAAACATCCTAAAAATTCTTCTAGTGACTTATTTAAAATTATCTGATGAAACATCCTAGATTTCAAAGTCACATGAGGTGAGCATAGATGGGATATTTGCTTCGTGTAAGACTGAAAGCTACTCTACCCCATATCCCAACAGAATGAGAGCAAAACAGGTCTGCATAAGTGCTTTTAATCAATTCAGTGCTTATTTTCACTATTATAATAGCTTATTTTAATCAGATTTAAAATTAAATAAGTTGTTCTTTTCTGTGCTTTTTGTATTCATGATATCGGGGTGTCTGAGTCCTGACACTGAATAATATTACACATGTATTTTATTTGTCATATTAAACCTGTATTTTATTTGCTGTGCACAACCCCAGCCCCATATTTGATCTTGAAACTGCTCTTGACCTTTCATAATCTAACATTAGACAACTTTACACACTATAATATTACATAGTACAAAGCGCAGCCTGCACTTATTGTAGAAAAAGTAAGCCCAGATTCAGAAAAAGATTCATGCTACAGAACAGTAAACACTGCTAGGGAATCAAAACTAATTTTCTGTAATCAAGACTTATGAAACATATTTGAAGACTTAAATTCCTTCCTCTGTCCTGAAAAAAATCTTAATAAACTCTCAAACTACAAAAGCTCTTATCATCTGAGATTAAGTAAACATCTTAATAAATTAAGAAAACATCATTAGATTATGATCTTTATATAGTTTTTAATGTACTTTATTGAAATCTGGGGTTCATGGTCAAAATGTGCCTGAGAAGTTAGTTTAGAAGTTATTGGGCAACTAACCCCTGTTGGCAAAGTCTTGTGTTAGGTTTGTGTCCTATCTTACAACTTTATCCTATAGAAAGCACTTGGGTATTTTTCCTTTTTTACATAATCTATTCCTCTTTTTTAAAAAATATTTATTTTTTTAGTTGTAGTTGGACACAATACCTATATTTTATTTATTTGTTTCATGTGGTGCTAAGGATCGAACCCAGGGGCTGACACGTGCTAGGCGAGCGCTCTATCGCTGAGCCACAACCCCAGCCCCATTCACCTATTCCTCTTTAAATATCATTAAGGAAGTATCTTTCACATATACAACCTCAAGTGTCTCACCCACAGAGGCGTCACTCTGTTAGACTTACTTCCTTAGGATTATCTAATACAGTGGGATTTATAAAAAGACTTTTATCATGGCCAAAGAGAAGGTCCATTGGTAATTAACCTTGCTTAACATATTTCTAAAAAATCCTATCTGGTTCCTTTAATCATCCATGACTTTTTGTTCCAGGAAGACAATCAAAAGGCGTGTTCTCTTCCTTCCTGTTGATTACATGTTCCATAAAAAGCTGATGAAAGCTCATGCCTGACTGACCTAACCTCTGGACCGTCCACTGTACCCTGGACGGTGAGAGGCTGCCTGCCAGGGGATCCGTTCAAACACAGTTGACTGGGTGACACTTCACTGCCTTTACCACATGGATCTGAAGCTACAGGAAAGTGCTTTAAGAACCACAGGAAAATGCACCTATTTGGTTTAGAATAAAAATTTTTTAAAAAAATCCTTCTTTTTTCTTTTTTTGGGGGGGCGGGGGTGGGCGGTACTGGGATTGAACTCGGGGGCACCTGACTACTGAGCCACATCTCCAGCTCTATTTTGTTATTTTATTTATTTTAGAGACAGGGTCTCACTGAGTCACTTGGTGCCTCGCTTTTGCTGAGGCTGGCTTTGAACTTGTGATCCTCCTGCATCGGCCTCTTGAGACACTGGGATTACAAGTGTGCACCATCACACCCAGCTCCTTCTTCCTCTTCCCTGAGAAAATTAGGAGTCTGAATGTAAATATTTTCACACTAAAAGATCTGACAACATTTAAGAGTATACTTGCAGTATAGGGTTAACAAAAGTAGAGAAATAAAATAACTGTCTCTGGTTTCATTTATAAAATCAACCCCAAAAAAAAGAAAGAAAGAAAGAAAATTTGAGCTGTTAGATTCCCGCCCCCTTAGGAAATTGGTAAAGCAAATTTTCTTTCTTTTGCCTTTTCTAATTTGCCTTTGTGCTCTTGACCCATGAAACTGTATCTGATTACCTATCTGTGAGGATAATATACCTAAATTGATGATTGACATTTTAACAGACTGAACAGTAATATTTCACCACTAAAATCTGGATAGTTTTCTAAGGGCTCTTTGTACAAGTGAGTTTCATAAATAACCAGTATGCTGAGGATTTAATTATGAAGTCAGAATGCTTGATTCGCGACCCTCTTTTCAGAGCCAAACACCTCTTCTTTCTTAGACTTATCCCAGAGAGTGTAATCACCAACACTTACCTTGTTTACTTCCCAGTCTTCCTCCAGCTCTTCCACTCCCACCAAGAGCCAAGTGGACTCCACCACCTCAGAAGTGGCCTGCCTCTGTCTGCCTGGCAGAGGAAACTTCTCATTCTTTTCTATTGAGCATTTTGATTTGAGAAGGCTGTTGAGATAATTTTCAGTCTCCTGTTTAGCAGATTCAATTCTGTTTTCCAAATCTTTTTGTTTACACGTAAGTGATTTTATATCATCTTTAATAATAATCTGTCCCACTGAAGATGTATTTTGCTTGATGGATTTTGCTAATGCTAAAATCTTCTTCAGTGTGCCATCTTGTAAACTGAGTCTACTTTCTAGTTCCTGTGAGTGGAGAAAAGATTATTGTCAAAAGCAACTCCATTGAACTGTCAGAAGAGCTGGCTTCTGTGAATTACAGTGCTAATATTAGTAGAAATCATGTATTAAAAACCCTATCAATGCATACCACAAAGAAGAAACTTTGGGTAAAATTTAAGCCAATATAGCATCAAAACAGATTTTATAAGGAGATTTGCAACAAGTAATACAGCAAATGTTTACAGCATAGGTTGTAAAACATAGGAGGTGGTCAACAGATATGTGTTGAATATTCATGTTTTGTTTAAGATACTCTTTCCACAAGTCAAAACACTAAAGAAAAGTGCCTGCTATGTGTAAAGTATTAAAAAGAAGAAAAGAACCATGTGCCCACATGAATCTAATTCTAATATTTAGAATTCAAAGATTTGGAGGTGATGAGAAATAAAACTATCAGGTATACTCTCTTAGATATAGTACAAATTCAATTAATAATTACAACATGCATGAACAAATGAGGCTAATTTGAAAACTCCAGACAGAAGAAGAATTTGAAGTACCATAGTAGCCACTGAAGAACTTTAAGTATTACAGTAGCCATTGATGTTACTGGTGAAATGGAATATGTCTTATAGTATTCTATGGACTATGTGGGATTTATTAGTCACTAACTTAAAGGGCAATAAGTATTCACTCATTCATTTAACTAACAGTTAAGTGCTAGGATAGGTTTTGAAGTTACATAAATGAATAAGAGTCCCTTCAAGTTCACATAGTTGAATGGTACAGACAGGTCACAGGTAGAATTATCTCCAAAGGCCACTGAGTCAGAGTACAGTTCAATTCAAATTACAAATGGATTTGGCCACTAAAGAACAATGTTCCCATTGTTTTGACTTTTCAGAACTTTTGCTATCTAAGTCATTTGAATAACACTTAAATTTCTGATCAAAACCACTGATTAGTCAAGTTCTAATGAATGTTGATTTTTTTCCAAAAATGTCTACCACATATGGACATTGTTTGATACCTGCAGTTTCTGCAATTTGTCCTCAATTGCTGTTTGATCCACGGGCAAATCAGAAAAACTAACTAATTCCATGGAGATATTGTCCAATGTGGTATTCAGCTCTTTGATGCAAACCTCGTATGAATGGTGTTCTTCAACATGATCCTCTAATTTTTGCACAGAATCCTAAAAATAGAAACGATTGACAATTACAAATTATTTCTTTCTGAATTTTTCACAAATAATTACACAATTTATAAATATTTGTTTTACAAGGTTCCACCTTTTGAGAGTGTGTTCTGCCAGGCACAGTGGCACATACCTATAATCCCACAAATTGAGAGGCTGAGGCAAGAGGATTATAAGTTCAAGTCTAGTGTGGTAACTTAGCAAGATTCTGTCTTAAAATAAAAAATAAAAAGGGCTGGAGATGTAGCTCAGTGATAGAGTGCCTCTGGGTTCAATCCCCAGTACCACAACAGAAAAGCCGAAATATGTCCACAACTGATCCAGAGTTCTGAAGTAAAGATCTCAGTGTCTGAGGTATTTCATTGCAAAATCTGCATCTTTCCCTAAAAAATGACTCAATAAAAACACTTGTTCTTCTTATGCTTTATTGCCCTCATTTCCTTCCAGAAGATAATTTTTTGGCAAGCAGTTTACAAAAAGAAATAACTATAAATTATATCCTTAAATCACAAACATCCATAATAAACCAGGTGCCTTAATTATCTTTTGCTTTAAAACCAAGAATTCACAGTTGGAGATGAGACTCTACAAGATCAACCTCACCCCATGTTCCTTTCCTAAGAATCAAACTCAAATCTTACATTAGTAAAAAGTAATCCTAACTCAAGAGCCAACTATTTTCAGGTTCCCTCTGTGGGGTAAGAAAATAAGATAACCACACCTGATCAGAAAAGCAGCTAGTATTAAACAAAGTGATATATAGCCACCTTAATCCCTTCCCAACTCCTAATATCTAGACAAGCAGGATTTCTTACCGAGGTAATCGTTACTTTGAACCCAGCTTTCAGTGTGCAAAGAATTATAAACAGTTCTATTAAAAGAATATAGTCCCTCTTAACAAGCTGACGATTTACCTCAATTCTTTCACTGCAAATAATGTCCTAAGATTTAAGAGAAGGGCACTTATAAGAAGGTAGGAACAAGATAAATGAAATATCACAATGTAGATGGATGAACAGGTGAGTGGATGGATGGGTGGATAATGCAAACACTGTCCTTTTCATAGAGATGCCTAGAATCTTAAGCCATTCAACCCCTAAAGAACCAAACTTCAATGAAAGGTAATAGCATTATCATCAAATAACCCACAGTGGATTCATCTAGCAAAACTGTTTGGATTCCTCGGTCCTTGAAAGTTGGCATTTTCATCTGTTTTGGTTTGGATGTGAGGAGTCCCCAAACATCACGTGTGAGACAATGCAAGAAGGTCCAGAGGAGATGTGATTGGATTGTGAAAAAGTCTTAACCCAACCAGTGGATTAATCACCTGATGGGATTAACTGAGTAGTAAATGAAGGCAGGTGGATATGGCTGGAGGAAATGGAGCGTTGGGGTCGTGGCTTTGAGGTATATATTTGTATCCGGCAAATATATTTGTATCTGCTTTGTGATCATCATGTGAGATGCTTTACTCTGCCACACTCTTCTGCTATGATGTTCTGCCTCACCTCGAGCCCTGAGGAATGGAGCCAACCTTCTATGGACTAAGTCCTCTGAAACTGTGAGCCTTCCTCTAAAGTTGTTCTGGTTGGGTCTTTTAGTCACAGCTGACTAAAACATCATGTAAAATGATAAATTAACTTTTAAAAGCTTTAGGTTTACCAAAAGAATGACAGACAAGCAATAGTTCTGAATATGAATCTTGCATCAATAGAATGACTGCAACAATCATTTAAAATTGTATTTATCAAAGAATAAACTTCACCTGCAGTTGTTGAAGAAGACTCTCATGTAGATGTTTTATTTCCAGCCAAGGCTCCTCACTGAAGCTGGGATTTTTAGTGCACTCCAAGAGGTAATTTCCTTGAGATTTTAACTCCTTTAGCAAGGATGTCAAATCTTGTGCTTTCTGGAGGAATTTCTTATAAATTTTTAACTGGGCTTTCTTCTCTGGCAGAGCATGTTGAAGGGCAAAGCCTGCTTCTTGCTTCTTCCTTAGTTCTATGAGCATTAATCTCAAGTCCTCCTTACTTTGCAAATACTTTTCCCCTTCTAGCAGAAGCTTTTCTTGATGGCTAAATTTCACCAAATATTTTATAAATGAAATAATAGCAAAATGGAAGGGCATTTTGCATGCTAGAGTTGAATGCACATTATAATTAACAGCATTACAATAATACTAATTCACATTATTTCCAGAGACTCTTCAGGCACTATAATATTCTAAAATGGCACTAAATTTAGCTCAGAAATCGAGGCATAAATTATTTGCATATCTAAAACATAATTATTTTTTGTTACATAGTTTGATCAGAGAATATTTAATACTTTAAATTTCAAACTAGTCCCAATGGTTTTGTTATACTCAAATGTAATTCTTACATTTCTTACAAAAGTAAAATAAGCATTCAATATATTAACCAATTAACTGGCTTATGCTTTCTGTATCTTCAATTTAGTTGTAATTTGGTGGTCTCTTTAGAAAAACATAAGCTTCACATTTCAAAACATGAAATGTACCATTTAAGACCAGATCGGAAATAAGTATGTTCTCCAGAAATATGTCTACAGAATTTGGCCAACATTTATCAATGTTTCCACTTTAAGAATTTCTTAAGAAAAATATTCCAAAGCATCAGTTACTCCACAGGGATGCCATGCAGGCTCTGAGGGCTGACTGAGGGGAGGGGGTTGGCACAGAAGCAGGGTCACATGAACGTGGAATGAGAGGTGACGTGACTTGGTTTGGAAGAACCCCACAGGATGATGCACCAGATACACTGCCTGAGCATGCAGCAGCCGTTTCATATCTGACCTGGACTATTTCTCTTGCCTTGGACACCACTGACTTTCTCTCCAGTAGATATTATACCAAAACCCAGACACCAGACAAAACATACTTGTTATGACTCCTCTGAGCAATGAGAAAAAAACACAAGCAGGGACAGCACTCCCACCCTCTACCTTAGGTATGTGCTGGCCAGATGCAGTGTGCTGTCCCACTGATTGGTGATATCAGCAAGGGTCTCCTGCACCAATGGGGCCTCACAGCTCTCGGCTTGTCTCGTAATGGTCTGTATTTTGGCGTCCCCTTCAGGCTTTAGTAAAATGATTTCCTGAAACACAAAATACAAAAGATCTTATAATTTCATTCATATTACTTAGAGATTTTACATAGCATAAAGCTTACAAATAAAAAGATATCCTAAGATTCTAACTGCAGAGCATATTTCAAAATAACCCTTTCATTTTCATATATGCTCCAAATATAAAGACATCCCCTTCACATTTATAAAGAGTTGGTTCTCAATAAACATCTGTCAGTTTGAGCTGATCAGGATCAGGAGGCGAGTTTCTATTCACTGCCTCATTTTCAATTGCCTTCTTAATTTCATATGCTAAAAAAAGCTGGGTAAATCCTCCTTCCTATTCTCTTCTATTATTTATAAATGGAGAATTAGGGTAGCAAACTAAATAAGACCTTCTTATACAACCCAGAATAGATTATGGCCTCCCATAGGAAAACACAGCTTTCCTCTCAGTGTCAACTCTTATTTCTCCACCCTGACAACAATTCTTATTCTCTGTTCTCATTCCCTCTTTTGCCCTGACAACTCAGTTCTCTCCCTCTTGTAAAATCTACTTGAGATTTGTCATCAAAGAAAACTTTCAGACATAATCCCAAATGATGCTGAATACTAAGTATCACCAACCTTTCCAGCTCACTCTTCTTGAGCATCTCTTCCTCTAAAAAATGCTTCAATTTATGTGAGTCCAATAAGTACATAGGCTTCTATGCCCTGCTTTTATTTTTTTGAGATTGGGGTTCAATAAGTTTCCCAGGCTGGCCTTGAACTTGTGATCCTGGTTCCTCAGTCCCAAGTCACTAGGATTACAGGCAGGCAGCATCATAGCTGGCTTGTGCCCTGTACTTTAAACTAGCAATATTCACTGAATGAATCTCCCCTTGGAGAGAAAGAGGACTCCAAGAAGCATGAGATTTCTTTTTCTTCACCTCCACTAAGCATCTAGTAAGCCTTCTGTGAGCATATAAACCCACCCCAAGAAATACTCTCCACCCTGCACTTGACCTTGCGAATGCCTCTACTATACAGACATATATTCACTTTTGTATCCCAGCACCTGCTGTGGCTCTGATCTATTGTCTTTATTTCAATTCTTCTGCATGCAGTGAAGATGGAAAATATTTGGGTACTGCCCTCTCAAAGACAGGATATTCTTTCTCTCTTTCATATGAATTAAAATAATTTTAGATCCATCATAACCCTTCTCTTTTGTAAGCTCAGTGATTTGAATTTCTTCAACCATTCCACAGTGATTCTATTAAGAAACAAATCTTTGCAGTTTTCCTCTAAATCTTTTCAAAATTAGAGTTCACTCTGACCTCTCAAATTCAGTTTCCAGTTATACCTTTATTTTTTGGATTCTTTCCTCGAGTGGCATTTTGCCTTCAGATGAGTTCAAAGCCATAAGAGACTCTTTAATCTCTTGTATCCAATGAATCACATCATGTGCAAGATCATTAAAGCTCTGGTCCTCAGCAGGTGGCAACTTAAATTCTTCTTCAATTTCATGTAATTGTCTCAATAATGTCTGGTATCTTTCAATCAAACATGTTGATTCGTTTATTATTTCATCTTCCTCAGTAAACCCATGGTCCTTCAAAGAGTCATTCAACTGGACCAGAGATTCAAAATGTTCCCTGTAATTTACAAATAACATTGAAAGTTTATAGGAGTCACTCCTACACAGTAGAAGAAATCATATTCCCAAGTAATATATTTCATATGAGATCATGATACCTCTTTTCAGCTAATGCTTGACAAAATAGCTCAGTTTTCTCTCCTGATTCTTCCATTTCTTTCCATTCCTCTTCTTGATTAGTCAACCACTTACTCAGGCTTCTGCAATCATCCTGCAGTCTAAAAGAATATTACAAAGATTAGGATATAAAATAAGCAAAAAATGTTTATACTCAAGAGGATAGCATGAACCTTGTCAGTCAACCAAGTTTTTACTATCAGTTTTATTTTTTGAGAAAACTTGTAACATATAAAACCTGAATAACTGCCTATATTATAATGAAATTCATTAAAGCAATGAACCACACAAAGTATCAAAAATAACAGGAAAAAAAAAAAACCCAAAATGTTTGGACTGTACCCTGAACCTTTGCCATTAGTTACTTTGTAGAAACTCCTAGCACCAAACATGAATTTAAAAGTCTAGCTAGGGCAGAGCACACTTGTAACTCCAGCTACTTCAGAGGCAGAGGCAGAAGCAGAATATCAAATATTGGAGGCCAGACTAGAAAACTTGGCAAGATCCTACCTCAAAATAAAAAATAAGAAGGGCTGAAGGTTGAAGCTCAGTGGTAGAGCACCCCTTGGTTCAATCTGCAATACTTAATTAATTAGTTAATTAATTTTTAAAATGAAGTACAGTCCAGGGCTAGGAGCATAACTCAGGGGTACAGCACTTGCCTAGCACACATGAGACCCCGAGTTCAATACCGAGTGCCCTCCCGCCAACACACATGCACACATGCATACACACATACACACACACACACACGGAAAAAAAAAAATCCAAACCACAAAGAGTGTAGTTGGCCCTCTGTATCCATGAGTTCCACATTCATGGAGTGAGCCAACCACAGATCAAAAATATTTGGAAAAATAGAAATTGCATCTATACTGAACATGTACAGACTTTTTTTTTTCTTTGTAATTCCCTAAACAATATGGTATAACAGCTACTTGCATAGCCTTTTAATTGTATTAGGTATTACAAGTAACCCGGAGATTTAAAATATATGAGATGCCCTTAAAGTATCAGGAACACAAATTCTGGTTTTTGTTTTTGCTACATATGAATGAAAAAAGTCACACAATTCCAAGAATTGCCATCTTGTGACCTTAAAAAGAAGCCCTACATAATGGTCCCAATGGTTAAAAAAAAAAAAAAAAAAAAGCAATCCTGAGAAATGGAAGATAGAGATATTAAGTCCTGATCATGTTGTTTGAACCAACTACTCAAGCCCCTGTTAAGCTATATGTAACACTCAATTTTTCAGTTCTATGAATTATTAAATTGCTTTTTTTTTTTTTTTTTTAAAAAAAAAGGCAGTTAGAGGGGGCTAGGGTTGTAGTTCAGAGGTAGAGCACTCGCCTTACACACGAGAGGCACTGGGTTCAATCCTCAGCACCACGTAAAAATAAATAAATAAAGATATTGTATCTATCTACAACTTAAAAAATATTTTTAAAAAGGCAGAGATAATGGATCTTATCGGAGTGAACACGGAGCGCGGGGCGGCCAAGTCCCGGCTCCCGGAACCGTCCTGGAACCGCTGCGGAGCCTGCGGAGGCTGCTTCTTGGACCCTGCTAATATCAGAGCAAACACGAAACACCAAGAAGCCGAATTCCAGCTCCCGGAACTGAGCCCGCGGGGACTGCTTCTTGGAGCTTACACTTATAGGAGCTTACACCGAGCACAGAGCGGCCGAGTTCCGGCTCCCGGAACCGTCCCGGAACCGCCCTGGCTCAGGGCTGCGGAGCCCGCGGAGGCTGCTTCTTGGACCCTGCTACTATCAGAGCATACACCAAACACTAAGCGGCCGAATTCCGGCTCCCGGAACTGAGCCCGCGGGGGCTGCTTCTTGGAGCCTACACTTATAGGAGCTTACACCGAGCACGGAGCGGCCGAGTTCCGGCTCCCGGAACTTCCCTGGACCGGGGCTAGGAGCCCGCGGAAACTGTGTCTCGGTCCGGGTCCTGCTGAGGGCAGGTCAGGACTCACCCATTGCTTGGGTTGCCTGGCAAGGGGAACGAAATGCTGCCATTCGCATAGGATACCAACATGGCAGAGATCTGATGTCAGCAGAAAGCGGTGGAGGAGAGATCTTCATCAATACCAGCGGTGACATAAGCAGTTGGTCTTCTGGTAAGGGGGGTGAGGCTCAGTCACCCGAGTCTCCTCAATTTGCCCTCGAGCCGGAGGGAAGGAGCCGGGCCGCCGCCAGCCCCCGGAGCAGGCCCAGCGGCTCGCCAGCGTGGTGACCGCGTGACCCCAATTGGAGAGGGGGCGGAGCGGAGCCGCCACCCACACCCGCCAGGTGGGCAGACCCACGACCCAGTAGTACATGGGCGTGGTAGGAGGGGCAGGGCAGAGCCGCCCTTCGCGCTTGCAAGGTAAACAGACCTGTGACAGCCTGGCGGGTCAGGCCCAGTGGCCTGCCAGTGTGGTACACACGTCACCCCAACTCGAGTAGGGGCAGAGCAGATCCTTATCCCACGCCCGGATCAGGCCCTGCCGGTGTGGTGGTCACGTGACCCCAATTGGAGTGGGGGTGGAGCGGAACCGCCACCCGTGCCCGCAGGGTGAGCAGACCAGTGATCAACCTGCAGATCAGGCCCAGGGGTCCGCAGGCGTGGTAGGAGGGGCAGGGCAGATCCGCCGCCCGCGCCTTCAAGGTAGGCAGACCTACAACAGACCGGCGGATCAGGCCCAGGAGCCTGCCGGCGGGGTACAAACACCACCCTAATTGGAGTAGTGACAGAGCAGAGTCGCCTCCCTTGCCAGGAACAGACCCAGCATCCTGCAGGCGGGGTAGTCACGACACCCCAATTGGAGTAGGGGCAAAGCAGAGCCTCCACTCGTGCCCGAAAGGTGGGCAGATCTGCGACTGACCAGCAGGACAGGCCCAGTGGCCTGCTGGTACGACAGACACGTCACCCCAATTGGAGTAGGGGCAGAACAGAGCCGCCACCAGCTCCCAGAACAGGCCCAGTGACCTGCCGGCGTGGTAGCCACGACACCCCAATTGGAATAAGGAGAGAGCAGAGCCACCGCCCGCACCTGCAGGAAAGATACGCAAGCAGTATGAAAAGACAAGGAAAGAAAGGACCACAAGCAATGCAGGTCAACGCAACTTTAGAAGAGGTAACAGCTGCAGCAGATGGAATGTCAGATAAAGAATTCAGGATATACATGCTTCAGATGATCTGGAGTATCAAGGAAGACATTAAACAGCAAAATCAGACAATGAAAGATCACTTCGACAACGAATTACGCAAACAAATCCAGGAAGCAAAGGATCAACTATACAGGGAGATAGAGGTTATAAAAAACAAGCAATCAGAAATCCTAGAAATGCAGGAAGCAATAAACCAACTTAAAAACTCAATGGAGAATACTACCAACAGAGTAGAACACTTAGAAGATAGAACATCAGACAATGAAGACAAAGTATTTCAACTGGAAAAGAACATAGACAGCTCAGCAAGACTGTTAAGAAACCATGAGCAGAACATCCAAGAAATATGGGATAACATTAAGAGACCAAACTTAAGAGTCATTGGGATACAGGAAGGTACAGAGCTCCAAACCAAAGGAATGAGCAGTCTATTCCATGAAATAATACAAGAAAACTTCCCAGACTTGAAGAATGAGACAGAATCCCAAATCCTAGAAGCCTACAGGACGCCGAATGTGCAAAATCATAAGAGATCCACACCTAGACACATTATAATGAAGATGCCCAACATACAGAATAAGGAGAGAATTTTAAAAGCTACAAGAGAAAGGAAGCAGATTACATTTAGGGGCAAGCCAATCAGGATAACAGCTGATCTTTCAACACAGACTCTGAAAGCTAGAAGCTCCTGGAATAACATATTTCAAACACTGAAAGATAATGGGTTCCAACCAAGAATTGTGTATCCAGCGAAATTAAGCTTCAGGATGGAGAATGAAATTAAAAACTTCCACGATAAACAAAAGTTTAAAGAATTCGCAGCTAGAAAACCATCTCTTCAAAACATCCTAGCCAAAGTATTACAGGAATAGGAAATGGAAAATAACAATGAAAACCAACAGTGGGAGGTAGGACAGTAAAGGGGGGGGGGAAACAATCAAAGAGGAAAACAAACAATGTTTAGTAACAGAAATAAACAAATATGGCTGGAAGAACAACCCATATCTCAATAATAACCCTAAATGTTAATGGCTTAAACTCACCAATTAAGAGACACAGGCTAGTAGAATGGATCACAAAACAAGACCCAACAATATGCTGCCTACAGGAGACGCATTTGATAGGAAAAGACATACATAGGCTGAAGGTGAAAGGTTGGGAAAAATCATATCACTCATATGGACTTCGGAAACAAGCAGGCGTGTCCATACTCATATCAAATAAAATAGATTTCAAGCCAAAGTTAATCAAAAGAGATAAAGAGGGACACTACATACTGCTTAAGGGAACCATACACCAACAAGACATAACAATCATAAATATTTATGCCCCAAACAATGGTGCAGCTATGTTCGTCAAACAAACTCTTCTCAAGTTCAAGAGTCTAATAGACCACCACACCATAATCATGGGAGACTTCAACACACCTCTCTCGCCACTGGACAGATCTTCCAAACAAAAGTTGAATAAGGAAACTATAGAACTCAATAACACTATTAATAACCTAGACCTAATTGACATATATAGAGTATACCACCCAACATCAAGCAGTTACACTTTTTTCTCAGCAGCACATGGATCCTTCTCAAAAATAGATCATATATTATGTCACAGGGCAACTCTTAGACAATATAAAGGAGTAGAGATATTACCATGCATCTTATCTGATCATAATGGAATGAAACTGAAAATCAACGATAAAAGAAGGAAGGAAAAAGCATACATCAATTGGAGAATGAACAATAGGTTACTGAATGATCAATGGGTTATAGAAGACATCAAGGAGGAAATTAAAAAATTCTTAGAGATAAATGAAAACACAGACACAACATATCGGAATCTATGGGACACATTGAAAGCAGTTCTAAGAGGAAAATTCATTGCTTGGAGTTCATTCCTTAAAAAAAGAAAAAACCAACAAATAAATGATCTCATACTTCATCTCAAAATCCTTGAAAAAGAAGAGCAAAACAACAGCAAAAGAAGTAGAAGGCAAGAAATAATTAAAATCAGAGCTGAAATTAATGAAATCGAAACAAAAGAAACAATTGAAAAAATTGACAAAACTAAAAGTTGGTTCTTTGAAAAAATAAACAAAATCGACAGACCCTTAGCGATGCTAGTGAAGAGAAGAAGAGAGAGAACTCAAATTACTAGCATACGGGATGAAAAAGGCAATATCACAACAGACACTTCAGAAATACAGAAGATAATCAAAAACTATTTTGAATCCTTATACTCCAATAAATTAGAAGATAGTGAAGGCATAGATAAATTTCTTAAGTCATATGATCTGCCCAGATTGAGTCAGGAGGATATAGAAAACCTAAACAGACCAATATCAATTGAGGAGATAGAAGAAACCATCAAAAGACTACCAACTAAGAAAAGCCCAGGTCCCGATGGGTATACAGCAGAATTTTACAAAACCTTTAAAGAAGAACTAATACCAATACTTTTCAAGCTACTTCAGGAAATAGAAAAGGAGGGAGAACTTCCAAATTCATTCTATGAGGCCAACATCACCCTGATACCTAAACCAGACAAAGACACTTCAAAGAAAGAAAACTACAGACCAATATCTCTAATGAACCTAGATGCAAAAATCCTCAATAAAATTCTGGCGAATCGGATACAAAAACATATAAAAAAAATTGTACACCATGATCAAGTAGGATTCATCCCTGGGATGCAAGGCTGGTTCAATATACGGAAATCAATAAATGTTATTCACCACATCAATAGACTTAAAAATAAGAACCATATGATCATCTCGATAGATGCGGAAAAAGCATTTGACAAAGTACAGCATCCCTTTATGTTCAAAACTCTAGAAAAACTAGGGATAACAGGAACATACCTCAATATTGTAAAAGCAATCTATGCTAAGCCTCAGGCTAGCATTATTCTGAATGGAGAAAAACTGAAGGCATTCCCTCTAAAATCTGGAACAAGACAGGGATGCCCTCTCTCTCCACTTCTCTTCAACATAGTTCTCGAAACACTGGCCAGAGCAATTAGACAGACGAAAGAAATTAAAGGCATAAAAATAGGAAAAGAAGAAATTAAATTATCACTATTTGCAGATGATATGATTCTATATCTAGCAGACCCAAAAGGCTCTACAAAGAAACTATTAGAGCTAATAAATGAATTCAGCAAAGTGGCAGGATTTAAAATCAACACGCATAAATCAAAGGCATTCCTGTATATCAGCGACAAATCCTCTGAAATGGAAATGAGGACAACCACTCCATTCAAAATATCTTCAAAAAAAATAAAATACTTGGGAATCAACCTAACAAAAGAGGTGAAAGACTTATACAATGAAAACTACAGAACCCTAAAGAGAGAAATAGAAGAAGATCTTAGAAGATGGAAAAATATACCCTGTTCATGGATAGGCAGAACTAACATCATCAAAATGGCGATATTACCAAAAGTTCTCTATAGGTTTAATGCAATGCCAATCAAAATCCCAATGGCATTTCTTGTAGAAATAGAGAAAGCAATCATGAAATTCATATGGAAAAATAAAAGACCCAGAATAGCAAAAACAATGCTAAGCAAGAAGTGTGAATCAGGCGGTATAGCGATACCAGACTTCAAACTATACTACAGAGCAATAGTAACAAAAACAGCATGGTACTGGTACCAAAACAGGCGTGTGGACCAATGGTACAGAATAGAGGACACAGAAACCAATCCACAAAACTACAACTATCTTATATTTGATAAAGGGGCTAAAAGCATGCAATGGAGGAAGGATAGCATCTTCAACAAATGGTGCTGGGAAAACTGGAAATCCATATGCAACAAAATGAAACTGAATCCCTTTCTCTCGCCATGCACAAAAGTGAATTCAAAATGGATCAAGGAACTTGATATCAAATCAGAGACGCGCCGTCTGATAGAAGAAAAAGTTGGCTACGATCTACAGTCGGTGGGGTCGGGCTCCAAATTCCTCAATAGGACACCCATAGCACAAAAGTTAATAACTAGAATCAACAAATGGGACTTACTCAAACTAAGAAGTTTTTTCTCAGCAAAAGAAACAATAAGAGAGGTAAATAGGGAGCCTACATCCTGGGAACAAATCTTTACTCCTCACACTTCAGATAGAGCCCTAATATCCAGAGTATACAAAGAACTCAAAAAATTAGACAATAAGAGAACAAACAACCCAATCAACAAATGGGCCAAGGACCTGAACAGACACTTCACAGAGGAGGACATACAGTCAATCAACAAGTACATGAAAAAATGCTCACCATCTCTAGCTGTCAGAGAAATGCAAATCAAAACCACCCTAAGATACCATCTCACTCCAGTAAGATTGGCAGCCATTAGGAAGTCAAACAACAACAAGTGCTGGCGAGGATGTGGGGAAAAGGGTACACTTGTACATTGCTGGTGGGACTGCAGATTGGTGCAGCCAATTTGGAAAGCAGTATGGAGATTTCTTGGAAAGCTGGGAATGGAGCCACCATTTGACCCAGCTATTCCCCTTCTTGGTCTATTCCCTAAAGACCTAAAAAGAGCATGCTACAGGGACACTGCTACATCGATGTTCATAGCAGCACAGTTCACAATAGCAAGACTGTGGAACCAACCTAGATGCCCTTCAATAGACGAATGGATAAAAAAAATGTGGCATTTATACACAATGGAGTATTACTCTGCATTAAAAAATGACAAAATCATAGAATTTACAGGGAAATGGATGGCATTAGAGCAGATTATGCTAAGTGAAGCTAGCCAATCCCTAAAAAACAAATGCCAAATGTCTTCTTTGATATAAGGAAAGTAACTAAGAACAGAGTAGGGACGAAGAACAGGAGAAGAAGATTAACATTTAACAGGGATGAGAGGTGGGAGGGAAAGGGAGAGAGAAGGTAAATTGCACGGTAATGGAAGGAGACCCTCAGGGTTATACAGTGGAGGGGGTAGAGAGAGAGGAGGGGAGGGGAGGGGAGAGGTGGGGAGGGGGGAGGGTGGATGATGGGAAAGGCAGCGGAGCACAACAGACACTAGTATGGCAATTTGTAAATCAATGGATGTGTAACTGATGTGAATCTGCAATCTGTGTATGGGGTGAAGGTGGGAGTTCATAACCCACTTGAATCAAAGTGTGGAATATGATATGTCAAGAAATTTGTAATGTTTTGAACAACCCACAACAAAAAATTAAAAAAAAAAAAAAAAAAAAAAAAAAAAAAAAAAAAAAAAAAAAAGGCAGAGATAAAGAGAAATATACTGTTGTTTATAACCAAAAGCATCTCCTCTAATATGTATCAATATTACTGTCTCATCAGAAGGTGAAAAGGGTTCTTAATAATAATTAAAATAAATCAAATAGGACTTCCTGAAATTTCATATTAATATACAAGGGTTATATGCAAATATTATACATTTTATATAAGCAACTTGAGCATCTGTGGATTTTGGATGCTTAGATACCAAGGAATAATTATATCTATTTTACCTATTAAATTTTTATGTACTGCATATCACAGCATACACTGTACTGAGGAAGAGCACACGAGAAATAACTCCAAAAACATCCCGTGAAAATGTTATTTAGATTTCACCTTTACTCCGTACCTCAGTAGCTGCTCCAGGTAGTTATTGAGTTCCTTTGCCTGGGCCTCACATATGGACACCATTTTTTCTAATTCAACTTCTTGACTCACAAGCCAACTGTTAAGCTCTTTAACATGGGCTTTAGGTAGGTGCTTCTTCACATGCTGCAATACAGTTTCTACCTGCTGTATTTTACTGCTTCTTCCTTCAAGAGTCAAGAAATCCTTAGGAAAGACAAAAAAATCAATTATGATCTAAAGGTAGTCACCTGCCACCCCCATGACACTTTTCCAAAGCAGTACACAGATGTTGCCAGTTCCCAGGTAACATTCTCACAGAAGGAAAGTAATGAAGGTGTGGCTAACTCCAAAGGTAGACGACCTATGGTAGTTCTGGATGTGTGTATCCATTTGCACTTGAATCTGACTTTCTGGATATCACATCTAGCATAGCAGTACAGAGCCACCATGAGGTCCCTCAGAGCAGGACCAGGAAAGCTACATTCTCCTCTCCTGGCTCTGCTCAACTCTTCCTAAATACTTGCTCTGACATCCTTATATAAAACTAAACACTATTTTCCATTTAACCTTTCCAACACCAGATTTTTTTTTTCCCAATGTTTGTGTTTCAAAGGTTTGGGTGTGAATTGCTGAGTCCCATGAAATGGGCAAATTAAAAGCAAGAGAAAAAAAAAAGTGGGGCTTTAAAGAAACAAGAAAGATGATTCCAGTAATAAAGCATAGTACCATTAAAACAATAAATTAAACAAAATATTTAGTGCTTTCAATAAGCTTGAGAACATGACTTGTCATCAAAATATTAATGTACTAGATAATCTACCCCAAAATGATCAATATTTAAGGGTGCCAAAGGTACCTTACAAGCTCTGTACACTCAGTGCTCTGTCTAGCAATACAATAAAGTTCAATTGCAATTTTTATCAGAAATATGACTGGGGGACTGGGGTTGTGGCTCAGTGGTAGAGCACTTGTCTGGCACGTGCAGAGCCCTGGGTTCGATCCTCAGCACCACATTAAAAAAAAAAATTAAAAGGTATTGTGTCCAACCACAAATTAAAAATAAAATATTAAAAAAAATTTTAAAAATATGACCGGGAAAATAATTAAATGAAGTAATCTTTTTCAAGGAAAAAAAAGAAATTTTATAGTCCAAATTAGGTGAAGTCTTCATCTTTGATCAAACATGATTTTAACACAATTGAATTAACTAAAACAGCATCTTAGAGTAGTATCAAAGTGGAACTTGTTTAAGCTACTTGCACACTTAACTCAGTAAAAACAGAGTTCCAAAATACTTAGGAAAAAAGCCTGGTTACTTGGGACTATCATCTGTTAAGTAAAAAAAAAAAATAGTCAAAGTAATTATTATTTTATCTACTTAAAATTAAGTTTCATGCTGCCAATATTTTAGTTATGATAGATTGATTAAAACGTACATATACATTTTAATATGTATACATGTGTATCTTACAGAAAGTATTTGCAGCTTTTGTTCCACACTCTTTTTTGTTTCTGATGAGTCGAAGCACTCTTCAAGCCTCACTTTAATCTTGCTGAACCAGTCATTGAAATTCTTGCATTGATCTACAGGAAGTAGGGGAGAAAAAAGCTCTATACATTCCAGCAGAATTCCATACACCTTATTATGTAAGAGATTTTATAACCTGCTTCCTACACCATCCTGGAAAGTGGTAATACATCCTGAAATCCAATTATGAGGCCTAATAAACTCTACAAAGTAATTTGGTATGTTTTACACCAAATCTCCCTCTTATTTATTTATTTTTTTTTTGGGAGGGGTGACGGGGACTGAGGATGTAACCCAAGGGCACTTTTCCAATGAGCTACATCCGTAGCCCTTTTTACTTTTTATTTTGAGACAAGGTCTTACTAAGTTTCTTAGGGCCTCACTAAGTTGCTGAGGCTGGCCTCAAACATGCAAACCTCTTATCTCAGCCTCCCGAGTCACTGGGACTACAGATGTGTGCCACCACACCTGGCTAAACCAAATCTCCTTTCAAAGACACTTGTAGAGACAGAACACAAGCAGCCTTCCTGACTCATTGAGCACAGTTGAGTAGTTCAAACTTAACTTTTAAATTAAGATTTGGGGCTTTAAAGAAAAACACATTATTTAATGCCAGGCATTAATCAGTAAGTATTTCCCCCCAAAGGTTTTATCCAAATATTATTCCTTTAAATACAGTCTGTGCAAACCATTTATAAGTCAGGCTTAGATTAGTTTTTGGGTTCACAGTACTATCTTCATACTTCAAGTAAGAGGAACATCACACTCACCATTCAATAATGAAGAAAAGTGATCTTGCAAAACACCTTTTTTGGTATTAAATAAATCGCTGACACTTTCATATTGCCTCTTCAATTCAGAGAGTTCAGGGGTGAGACAACCTATTTGATGCTCAAGTACTATCATGTTGTGCTTCTGCTGTAGAATTTCTTGTTGGATCTCCTACAGATGTAAACAAACAACCACCATTAAGTCACAGAAGACAGATATCTCAATTGTTTTGAAAAAGTCTACAAGATTTTGAATGAATGGATTTGCTTTCTCTTTGCTAGCAGGTATACAATCCATTGCAAATTTAATTTTAAAAAGTTACTGTAGACAAAGCAATTCAAACATCAAAGTGCTAAATACACAGAAACTGATTTTTCTGGGTATTCCCCCGCCCCCCGAACTTCCATTTCTTTCTGTTTTTATTAACGGAAAAAGGTCAAGACCATGAAAAATGTGAGAGTAAGCCTGAAGATCAGAAGATGAGTAACTGGGCAGCACCTCGAGTTTAGTGAAAATCTCCAAGCTGTCGGAAGGAGACAGGGCTTTCAAGAGGGACTCTGTCATCCCGATCTGGGTCTTGGCTTGGTCGAGATCCTCCCTGAGCTCAGCTGTGCTGCTACCAAGCTCGAAGCAATTGGACTCTCCTGATATATACTTTTTCACATGTTCCATCTTGTTCAAAATAGAGCGTTCCATGACCTGAAATCATGCAACATATAGTTCTGTGACGGATCTTTTTTTTTTTTTTTAATTTTTTTTTTTTAATTTTTTTATTGGTTGTTCAAAACATTATAAAGCTCTTGACATATCATATTTCATACATTAGATTCAAGTTGGTTATGAACTCCCAATTTTACCCCAAATACAGATTACAGAATCACATCTGTGACGGATCTTATTGAACTAGACTGCAAGGCAAAGGCATTGCTAAAAAGTTAACAAGACTGCTTCATTTCAATTTGAAAAAAAAAAAAAAATTCTTCTCATTGCTCTACATTACTCCATATCACCAGTACAATGATAGGAACATTGCCTTGGAAAAAAAAATAAAGAATAACATAGAAAAACTGAAATTAGCATTGTGACTTTTTTTCTAAGACATTAATTGGAATCCTTCCCCCAAAATAAGTTTTATCTAACATATCAACTGAAGTAATATCTCAAGGCACTTAGGAGATAAGACAGATAAGATTAAAACACACAGAAAAAAATTAGACAACAATGATTGCTTTTTATATATACAGAATCCAGGTAAGCACTTCCTGTGCAAAATACAGGCTTAAGAAGGTTGAATAACAGGACTGGGGTTGTAGCTCTGCAGTACAGAGCTTACCTACCATGTGGGAGGTGCTAGATTCGATCCTCAGCACCACATAAAAATGAATAAATAAAAGAAAGGTATTGTGTCCATCTACAACTAAAAACCATAAAAAAAAACCAACAACAAAAAAGAAAAAAAAAAAAAAACAAAGAAGGTTGAATAACTTGCCCAATACAAAGCTAGTAGGTGATACAGCCAGGATGTTACCTACAAAGTACCTCCAGAGTTCTTATTTAACCACTGTGCACCCTGATCCAAATAAAATTGAGACAATTATCTTCATACAACAGAAAAGTCACACTTGGAGCAAGCTCCCTTTTTCTCCACCTAGCAATTAATAAATCTTATAGAATATGACTTGAGTCATATTCTCTTTCCTGCACCCAAGACATTCACAAGAAATTATTGTTACTTTACATGGAAACACAGCCACATGTGACCCTTTACATAATACACCTGTAAATGTGTATTATTCATGCTAATCATGGGGAAAAAAACATCATTATCTATGCCAACTACAAAATTTGCTTGGATTTAACATAGAAATCAAATAAATAATGATCCTAATTTTATTATTAAGATTTAGAATGCTTGGTTTATGAATACTATTTAAGAGGCTTTAGAGAATCTTTAATTGAGGATTTTAAGTGGAAATTCTCTTACCTGCAATTCAAGTGGTTTTTCATTACTTTGAAGCAGAAACTGTATTTCAGTCACTCTTCTAGAAAATTCTGAAGTTTGTTGTTCATGGACTTGTAACTCTTCCTAAAACACATAATTTTAAAGGAAAATATCTTCTTATTTCATCGCCAATTTTCCAGTAGCCATGATTATTATTGCTGATAGAAACTGAGAGTGCCTTTGAATTTCCTCTAATCACTTGTTTTTTGACAGAGTCCTGGGAGTCAGAAACTGAAGTGCCTCTACAGGTCAGATAATTGCTATCACTGAGTGAGTGACGCATTCTAGTTTTAAGGCAATAGAGAGAGGAAAGGCCTATGCCGCAAAACTGCATGGTCTGCCTAAAAGTATTACAAACTTCTTAGATATGGTGTGTTTGGGCTGTGAATGATTTGTCCACACTTGCAGGTTTTGGCAGGTTTTGGCAGGTTTGGCCCATGGGCTGGCAGTTTATATTCCTTAACTTCAGATTTCTAAATAACCTATAGTTCAAGACAAATTTAAATGATTCTTAGAGATGATTCATTTATACTTAAGAGAATCATTGTTTTAATTCGTAACTACCATCACATCTCCAGGAAACCAAAAATCTTCACACATTTTAAAAATGGTTTCCATAAAAATGGATATATGAATTAAAAAGAGAATAAAATACAAAGAGGGATAAAATGATATTGAAGCATTTGCTTCATGCACACATACAGTTTTATATTACATAAATCCACAAAAAACTGCCAACCTTTGTTTTCTCACCCAGCAAGATGATGATTTTACATGATAAAAAACCCAATAATACATGAACAAACAAGTGGTTAGAAAGCATTCTTCTCAGAGTTAAGAGACAACATTAATTTTTTCCAAATAACAAAGTCTGAGATTACTATTAAAAAAAAAAACACAGCTTTTTTAAGTTCTATAAAGATACTGATTCTCATTCTTCTTTTTTTAAAAAATAATCTTTTTGAGGGACTGTTGAATTTAAATAAATGTTGTCTATATCAGGAGGCTCTAGATCAGGGGTTAACAAATTATAGCCTCAGAGCTGAGAGCTTCTTTGTGTAAATATTTATTGGAACCCAGCTACTTCCAAGGATTTTTTAACTGTTTATCAGTTTGACGCTATAACAGCAATGATGAGTAATATTTGCAGAGACAGAATGATCCATAAGCCTAAAATATTTACTATATGGCCCTATAAGAAAAGGTCTGCCTACCCCTGGGGTATACACTACCCTTATCTGGGGACAATAATACATTTTGTTAGAACTTCTGCAAAGAGTTCTTAACCTTTTTTTTTTAAAATACTATGTACCCCTTGGGCAATTTGTGAAATCTACGGGTCCTTTGCATAATAATAATTGAAAAATAAAACATAAGGAAAATTATATAATGTTACAAATGAAAATAATTACACTGGGTTATAGTTATCAAAATATTAAAAATAATGTGTGACATATATTGCTTCATGTTTCTCTATTAATACCTTAAATGACAAGATCCAACAGTGGGCCCACTACATCCCTTGCTTTCAAACTAGTAATAAGGATACAGGTATAAACAACCAAATAATGACCCCAAATATCTGTGATTTTCTTTCTTTTTTTTAAATTTTTTTAAATCTGTGATTCTCTTGATAATGAAGTCACATATGATGCTCATCCTACCATGTATGTTGCCTATATTCATAATTGAAACAAATGCTATATTAAACTAGATGTTTACGAAAATAAAGACACAATCTTTTGCCATCCAAGATCATTTTATCCATGAACTCCCTTGGTGTCTGTGAACCCCATGTTAACAGTATCCTCTATCACCTTCCTGGATATCACAAAGGAATGGATGGAGTTCAGGTCCCTCTCAAGGAATAAACAAAAGAGATAAAATATTTCTTTGTGATTTTTCTGTCCTGATCCAAGAGAGCAAACTCAGTATTACAGTGTCAACTGTGTGCAAACAAAACATCTATGTACAAATAAAAAAATAAAAATTTTAAATCTCATTTTGAATAAAATTTCAACTTATAAAAAAAAATCTATATTATCTCTGTTGAATCACCTTCAGCCTTTCTCTGTCCTCTTCAGTCAGCTGTGAATTCCTTTCTCGAAGGACATTTTCAGTCCACTCATCAACGACACTTTTCAAATTAAAAAGTTTGTCCCATAAAGCCAGAGCTCGACCAAGATTTTCATAGTAGTCTTCTGTCTTCTCATTTATCTACCATAATGTAAAAGCAGAAGTAACACATGTAGTGGTGAAAAGAAGTAGGAAAACCACTGTTCCGGTCAAATACTATTTCTAAAATAAAATTTGAGTTTGAATTTATTATTACTGGAGAAATAATCTGTTTTATGATCACCAAAAATATTATTTAATCTACCATGTAGTTCTTTCTCTTAAAAAAATGTAGTTCACTTGCTGTATCTTATATCAATTAAAAGCAATAGTCTTCCTAATGTCTAAACCACATTTTTTTAAAAAAATATGCTTTTTATTTATTTATTTTTTAATATTTATTTTTTTTTAGGTGTAGATGGATACAACACAATGCTTTTATTTTTATGTGGTGCTGAGGATCGAACCCGGGTCCTGCCCATGCTAGGCGAGCATTCTACTGCTGAGCCACAATCCAGCCCCCCAAAATATGCTTTTTAAAAGCAAATGAAATATAATACAGATAAATCCTTAGTTTGTAATTCATAAAAAAAGTTATTACTACTCAACCAAAAATATACAGTTAAATATCAATATCCTGCACAAATGCATAATAGATTAGCTAGTTTATGTACATAAGTTGAGTAACTATTTTTGTACCTAGAAGATTATAGACCCACTTATTAGTAGTGCCTAACTCTGGGGTGAAATTAATTCCTGAGTTATAAACTTCATATTATTTGAACATATTTATGACAAATATAGTTTAATTTTTCAATTAGGAATACTAAAGATATTCACCCATAAGATTAATTTGTTATAAAATAGAATTTGTAGTCAATAAAATAATCACGTACATCAAGCCATCGATCCACAATAACATTAGCCTCTTTTGCAAAAGGGGGCTCTTCAAAGGTTTTCATTTTATTTAGATAAAATTGTAGATTTTTACAGATCTGGTTTATCTTGTCAACTGATTCTAAATGTTCATTAAATTCTTCTTTGACAATTTCAATCTGTAAAAAAAGATATGAAAGATATTTTTGATATATTGACATAAGTAGTAAAAAAATCACAATTCTATTTTTGTGTTTTATAATCATAACAAAGAATAATTCTATCTCACATTGTTCTTTAAACAGTTTTTATTGTCCCATTTTCTCTACACTTTCTAGTATATAGAATCAATTAATTTAATGATAATCCTACACTCAAATTTCCTCCTACTCTGCATTATGAGAAAGTTATAATGGTCAAAAAAATTTCTAGCCATGAGAAATAAGATTCTGTCAAAAAAAAAAGCATATCCATTTAAATGGATAAAATGTATGATAGTCCCTATATTTCTTCACTAAAAATTGTATCTTTAATGTCAAAGAACTTAAGTGCTTATCAGAATAAATAAACAGAATTCAAAAGCTCTAATATGAAATTTTAATCTTCCTGAAGGTGAAATTCTTTTTTTTTTTTAAAGAGAGAGTGAGAGAGGAGAGAGAGAGAGAGAGAGAGAGAATTTTTTTTTTTAATATTTATTTTTTAGCTTTTGGCAGACACAACATCTTTGTTTGTATGTGGTGCTGAGGATCGAACCCGGGCCGCATGCATGCCAGGGGAGCGCGCTACCGCTTGAGCCACATCCCCAGCCCCTGAAGGTGAAATTCTACTTTATAAAAAAGAAAATCTCCTATATAAAGAACTCAAAAAACTTAACACCAAAAAAATCAAATAACCAATCAGTAAATGGGCAAAGGAACTGAGCAGATATTTCACAGAAGAAGAAATACAAATGATCAACAAATATATGAAAAAATTTTCACCATCACTAGCAATTAGAGAAATGCAAATTAAAACTACACTGAGATTTCATCTCATGTCAGTCAGAATGGCAATTATCAAGAATACAAGTAACAATAAATGTTGGCAAGGATGTGGAGAAAGAGGTGCACTCATATATTGCTGGTGGGACTACAAATTGGTGCAGCCACTCTGGAAAGCAGTATGGAAAACTTGGAATGGAACTACCTTTTGACACAGTTATCCCAGTCCTCGGCATTTACCCAAAGGACTTAAAATCAGTATACTGTAGTGACAGGGCCATAAACAATGTTCATAGCAGCTCAATTCACAATAGGTAAGCTATGGAACCAACAAAGGTGCTCTTCAATAGATGAATGGATAAAGAAAATGTGGTACATATACACAATGGAATATTACTCGGGCAAAAGAAGAATGAAATTATGGCATTTGTTGGTAAATGAATGGACATGGAGACTACCATGCTAAGTGACATAAGCCAATCCCCCAAAACCAAAGGCTGAATGTTGTCTCTGATATGTGGACGCTGACTCACAATGGAGTTCACTGGATTGAACAAGGGGACTTGGGGGAAGGAAGAGGGAGTGGGAATGTGAAAGACAGTAGAATTAATTGGACATAACTTTTCTATGTACACATATGAATACATAAATAGTGTAACTCCACATCATGTACAACCATAGAATGGGAAGTTATATCCCATGTGTGTATGTCAAAATACATTCCTATTCTCATGTAAAACTAAAAAGAATAAAGTAAAAAAGAAAGAAAGAGAGAGAGAGAAAGAAATCAATTCTCCAATCACTTAAAAACTAAACAACTTAGTCTTTCTTTGGTCAGTATCCATGTGCAGTTAGTTCCAGAACCCCCGAGTGCACAACAAAATCCACAGATGCTCAAGTACCCAATATAACATGGTAGAATATTTGCATATAATCTATGCACAGTCTCTTGTGTAAATCTGATCATCTCTAGAGTACATATACTTAAGCAGTTTTTATACTCTATAGTTTAAAAAATAATGATAAGAGAAAAAAAGATCTGTCCATGTTCAGTACCAACACAATTTTTAAAAACTACACTCTGCAGTTGGTTGGATTTGCACATGAAGAACCCATGGATATTTAGAAATACTAAATATTTCTAAATATGGGTCAAAGAGTAAGCCTCAAGGGAAAATCTTAAAATACATCAAGCAGAATGAAACTGAAAATAAAACATCAAAACGTGGGGGACGCACAGCACTGCTCAGAGGGAAGCTATAGCACTAAAAGCATGCTGAAGATATGAGGAAGAGTTTCCAATCAATGGCCTGTGCTACTGCTTCAGGAACTCAGGAAAAGGATAAAATAAACCCAGAGCAAATAAAAAGAATACAAAAAATAAAAGCAGAAACGAGTTAGGTTGAAAATAGAAGAACATTAGGGGAAAAATCAATAAAACAAAAGCTAGTTCTTAGAAAAGAGAGTAGAACTGACAAATCTCTAAAGACTGACAGGGAAAAAGAGAGAAGAAAGCAATACCAGGATGAGGAATGGAGCAAGGGATGTCACTGCAGACACCAGGCAGCAAAAGGTGACGGAGGAGTGCTACAAATAATCCACTGAATTAAGTTTGAGAACTGAGATGAAATGGAACAACACTTCGAAAAACACAAAGGACTACAACGCATCTATCTTTAAATATGTAACATGAACAGCTCCATTAATATAAAGGATGTTGAATGTATGACATGAAAACTTTCAAACAGACAAACAAACAAACAAACAAACAAACAAAAAGCCTACAGGTCCAGACAGTTTCACTAGAGAATTCTAGCAAACAGCCAAAGAGGAATAAGCATCAATTATATATAATCTCTTCTAAAAAACACAAGAAGCAGAAACATTCCCAATATCCTTTGTGAATATGCATACATCAACAAGTAGAATTCAGCAATATATAAGAAATATTAAATACCTGGTCATTTATTCCTGAAAAACAAAAATTTATATTTACCAAAGACCCTATAGCAGCTTTATTCATAATAGATAGAAATTGAAAAGAAGCCCAATGTCCTTCAGTGAGTGTTGTACATGTATACCAAACAGCACCATAGCCAGAAAAATGAACACACCATCAGTCTAGCAAGAATCTCAATCAATCTCCATGAGTTATGCTGAGCGAATACCTAATCCCAAAAGGTGACATGCCAGATGATTCTATTTATAGAACATTTTTGAAATGACAATATTATATAGATATATAAAGAATATATAACCAGTTGTCAGGAGTTAAGTAAGGTGTGGGAGCCAGAGGAAAGTGAATGGGGCCATACAATGGTAGTAAGAGGCATCCAGTAATAATGTAGACGTTCCTTATCGTGACTGCATCAGTGTCAATATCCTGATTGTGACATTGTATTTATAGTTTTACAAGATTTTACCATTGAAGAAACTCAGTGAAGGGTAAACAAGATCTCTTTTGATTGTTTCAATGTAAATCTATAATCATCTCAAAATTAAAACTTGAATTTAGGGACTGAGTGTGTAGCTCAGTGATAGAGCATTTGCCTAGTATGCACAAGGCCCTGGTTATGAACCCCTGCACAACACACACACACACACACACACACACGCACGCGCGCACACACGTTTAATTTTTAAAAAGCTGAAATTAAGTAAAATCTTTAAAATGGAAAAATAAGAAACTGCAGGTATAGCTTAGTGATGGAGTGTTTGCCGAGCATTTGTAAGACTGTGCATTCTATCCCCAGTAACACACACACAAATACATACACACACACACACACAAATAAAATGCAAAGTTCTTCGCACGTAGAATTTGTTACACTGGCATAATAACCACTGGGTGAAGAGGAAAGAAAGGGCAGGAGAGGTACTTTGAGCTATAACGGGACCTGTGGGTTTTGTTCTACTATAAATAAAAGGCATAAAGTAATGAGAAGTAGGCCCACTCTGACATTTCTCCAACGTTAATAGTGCCCTGGCATTTTCAGCCTTTCTGTTCTTGCTTTTGCTCTTTTGTCTTTAACTAAAGACAGTGGAAATGTGGCACCATATCCTAGACAAACATCCAGGTTTCTATGGTTTTGAAGGACAAAAGTTCCCAGCAGTATCCAGTTACTGGTGCAAAGCATCATGAAAATACTGTGATTGACAGTTTGTGAAGACAATTCCCAAGTCACCACCAAATTAACTGAAAGTTATATTAATAATCAGCACTAAAATTTCCTTCTCACAGACAGGTTTAAAATCTGAGAAAAGGGGCTGGTGATATAGCTCAATTGGTAGAGTGCTTGCCTCGCATGCACAGGCCCTGGGTTTGATCTCCAACCCCACAAAAAAAAAAAAAATCACCATTGTACTAAAATTTCTGTATTTTCCATATAAAATAACTTTTCAGCAAATATATAAGTTACCCTTATATTAAGACACAAGATACAGAATTTTCAATAAAACAAGAAAGTCCTGGACTATGACACATTTCTTAAGGGTTGATTAGTTATTTTATTAATTTTTAAAAAAAATTTTTAATATATATATATTTTTTAGTTTTTCGGCAGACACAACATCTTTGTTTGTATGTGGTGCTGAGGATCGAACCTGGGCCGCACGCACACCAGGCAAGCGCGCTACCGCTTGAGCCACATCCCCAGCCCTATTAATTTTATTATTTTATATACATATGTGTGTGTGTGTGTGTGTGTGTGTGTGTATGGGGGGGGGGCAATGCTGGAGCCTCACATGAGCTAGGCAAGTGCTGTATCACTGAACTACACTCCCAGCCCTTATTAATTTTTAAAATACCTTTTGTAATCAAGTCTTTCCAGTTAAATAAAGAGGTCAGGCAAAGCAAAGTTAACCAATTTTAACTTCTGTTATATATTAATTTCAAATATACTTTCAAATCATGCAATTCTATACAGTGTTTGAAACATGACACTGTGATCAGCTCTTCCTGGGTAATAATAAGGATTTTGCCTGTTATTAGCATGTGGTCTTGGGAAAGTTCCTATACTCTTATCCTCAATTTCTTTCTTCTTACACAAGCAAATTGCCAGTATGACTGTACAAATTCCAAAACAGAAATTGGACCACTCTTATCAATAAGTACAATCTGTGTTTAGGGGTGAGTTCTTTTTTCTGCTTCATGTTGCTTCCTTACTGTTCAACAGACCAGATGAGTAACAGCCCCATGGGATCAGTATTTAGCACCTATCTTCTCTCCTACTCACAGAGGCAGAAGGACCCAGCATACAATGGCCAAGCCATCAACACTAAAAGTTATCATTATCACCACCATCGTCACTATTAGTATCATTTTAGTAGTAGTAGCAATTACTTAAAACCTCAAGCCCACAAGATAATCCTATTCAGTCTCAATTTATATGGCTTCAGGGTTTTGGGCTTCTGAGGCAAGTAATAAACGGAGAGAAGAGGAGATGAACACGGTGAAGAATGGTGAGAAACACAGAAATGAGTGATTTGATAAAGTGCAGCAATGAACATCTTCCATATTAAGAGCTTTCCACATTTAAGATTATATCCTTATGATCTATTCCTACAAGCAAAATATTTGATCAAACGGTAGAAAGCTTTTCAAAGATCTTAAATAATATTGTCAAAGAGTTTCCTAAAAGAGCCATATAATACACTCTTTCACCAACAATGTAAAGATTGTTTTACTGACTATCAAAAAAGCTCAATTAATATGAAAGTAAAAAAAAAGAGATATTGTCAACTAGTTTGGATGTCCTTTTGATTCTTATTTTAATTAACAAGCTGAATTTACTAAGTATATACAAACAACCATTAGGATCACAGGGGTTTTTCTCACCAATTTCTATCAGTTCTGTACAGACTACTGCAAACCTTATGCTATCGTACTTATTGAAAGTATTTTTCACTCTACAGAATTATATAAAATAGTTCAAAAAATTTAAAATTTAGTATAATAATAATTTCTGTATATGGGGCATGTTTATGTGAACTACTATTGCTCAATAGTATAAATACTATATATAGGAATCATTTTATAAAAGCCCATATTCTTTGATTTATTCATGGTTAAAATTATTGTTGAAATGAGAAGGCACAAAGTCTTCATGTTATTTAATAAGGAACCATAGGGAGCTGGGGGTGTATCTCAGTGATAAGATTTAGAAAGCATGAGGCCCTATGTTCAATCCCCAGCACTGGTGGGGAGTGGGGGAAAAGCCATAATATGCTCTTATCACAGTGATTCCTCATCACAAGTGGCAAAGAACTGATAAGCCATTCCTTTTTGCTCAATACAAAGAAAATAAAAAGGTCAGCAAATATTAAAATGCCAATTTCCATATTTTTAAGTTAAATATTCTATATCCTATAACCATAAAGTTGGGTTTCTGTCTAAACCTGTTTAATCCAAAAATAAACGAATAAATAAACTTTTGTAATATTCAAGGATTTAATAGCTATCTTGCAAGAACTGTAGACTTATAACCATGAGACAATATATGTAACAAGTTTGTTATGAGAAATGACATGTTGCATGTAGTGAATTTTTTTTTTATAAAATCTGAAAAAAATGAGCCTAGAGGGGAGGGGGGTTGGGAGTAAAGTGAAGGGGAGAAGCCAGCCCACTTGTGCCGTAGAATTTTAAAAAAGGCTTGAAATTACCTCAAGGTACCAGGAAGGCAAGTACAAAAGTCACAAACAGGAAAAGAGGATGATATTTTTTTTTTTTTTAAGAGAAACACTTGACCCTCAGTGCCCTTCTCCTGTACCCTGGCAGAAGACGGAGGTTGACTTTCTGGAGAGGCTCTGGACTTAAGGCTGCCAAGTACAGCTAAGGATAGGGGTGGGCTCCTGTTGTAGCAGTCACAGAGAAGCTAGTGAAGCAGAAGGGTCAGAACTGGCCACTAGGGAGACTCACCCAGAGAGTGGCCAATGCCTAGAGATGATGGGAGGAAGTTTTATCCATTGGAAGTTTCATCATCCAGAAAGGACAGTTTATAGTTACAGGTTTACGCAGGTATGAGGTCATGGAAAGAGGGTTTGGGCACCTTAGAAGAGCTGCAGATCGGCCTCACACAGGGTGGGCCTGGTGGCTAATGCTCATCAAGACACTGTTTAATTACCAGGCTCTGAACCTAGGTGCTTGTGCTAGGTGCTCACCAGGCCAGGAAAGGGCTGCTTTCTTCTGGCAGGCAACAGGGTCACTTAGCAGGGCTAAGGCAGGGCTCCAGGACTGAGGAAGAGTCACATAAACAAAGAAAAGTGGCAAGTCAAGAGGGACTAGGTATCTGGTCATATACAAGGCAGGGACACAGGGTCTGTTGAATTAGGCAGAGACCTTGACCCTGAAACAAGAGGACAAGGTGGGAAATTGGTGTTGGGGACACAGAAGAAGGGTGGTTACATGAACTGGGACACAAGCTGGAGGGCATCTTAGAAGGCTGAACATGATTCTCTGAGAACAAAGAAACCAGAGTTCCTTAAATCCACTAAAATGAGGAGAGGATCCTCCTAGTTCCCAGGACCAGGAAAAAACCCAAAACTGCTTACACTGGATGGAACCAGACAGGCTGCATCTGAGCAATTCTAACCCTCTGCTCATGATCTTGGTGGCCTTCTTGGAGGAAGTCTGATAGGAAGACAGTTACACAGTCACCTCTTTTACAGTTGGTCTTCAAACAGGGCCCCTCCTGATGAGCAAGCTCTATGAAACTGAGTCCGAGAAGGGGCACCCCCCAATGAGGGCTATTCCTGACACTCTGGATGGCTCTTTGAGCTTCTTGGCTTATAGTTCTAGGTAAAGACCACTCTGCCTGTAAAAATCTGGTCCATTTAAGCTTCAAATGAGTTGCTCTTGGTGACCAGAAAGTTTAATGAAATTGCTAACACCCAGGTATATCAGGCTGACTATGTATCACACATGCTTGTGAGCCTTGACCGCACTTTAACTTAAAACTCATAAATCTGGTGGAGGGGCTGGGTTGTGGCTCAGCGGCAGAGTGTTCGGTCTAGCACGTGCAAGGCCCTGGGTTCGATACTCAGCACCACATAAAAATAAAACAAAGGTATTGTGTCCATCTACAACTAAAATAAAATATTTTTTACAATCTGGTGGAAAAAAACCGACTTTTTGATGTAAGGTAATGTAGTATAGTATGGTGTATTCTTTTCTAACTATTCCGTTCTTCTGCTACACTAATTGATGACTACTATACATAAAATCATAGAAAATAATGACATCTAGTGTCCAAAGATGTTATTCTTTTTACCATATGAAGTTTTGATTGATGAGGCCACAGACACAGTTGCAGTTACTTGGAGATTTAGCTCACACATCTTTACAGGGAATAAGTAAGTAAAAAATATAATTTTTCCCCTGTTCACTCAGAACAGAGGGGATTTTCCTGTTACCTCTGTTCTCTCAAAACTGCAGTGAAGTCTCAGCTTCCCTTCAGGAAGTAAGTGAAAGGGCTGTTACAGCCTTACAGAGAGCAGCAGACCACAGTCCCAGTATCAAAATCCAAACACAGGTAACCCAGTACCAATGTGTGAACTGATTGTTTGTTTTTTAAAGCGCTGGTGAAAAATTCAACATATTCTTAGATAGCTGGTAAAATAGAGTCACCTGTAACTTCTTTTAAATCTAGTTTCAAAAGTGACATTTATAGCTAGGCACAGTGGCACACGCCCATAATCCCAGAAGCTCAGGAAGTTAAAGCAGGAGGATTGCAAGTTCAAAGCCAGCCTCAGCAATTTAGTGAGGTCCTAAGCAACTTAGGAAGACTGTCTCCAAAAAAAAAAAAATGGGAGTTTGGGGACATGTCTCAGTGGTTAAGCATCCCTGGTACAAAAAAAGAAAAAAAAAAAGACATTTATAATACTCTCTTCCCTGACACTCCTAAGCGAATCACTTGGTAGATGTCTCTTTTGGAACAGTCTCACCTCTGCGATCCTTTTCTTCAGGTTCTCCTTTCCCATGTAGGAAGACTGCAGGGAGATGACATTCTCTTCTTTCTGAATCAAAGTTGTCAAGATACCTTTAAAATTCTGATATTGTTTTAAGAGCTCCAAAACTCTTCCACATTGATCAAGACTGAAGAGAAAAAAATGTAAGAAAAAATGTATGAAAATAACAAAACCAGTTTCTCTTTGTAAGTAAGTATCCTACTATAATGAGTAATAAGTTAAAAAATGACTTTCCCTCTCAATCTAGTTCATAACATTGTTTTACCAGTACAACTCAGGAATGATGACACATATATTAACCTGGCAAAACAGATGGTATAAAACCATCACTGTATTAGTATTGTCACAAGATCACTATGTAAAGGGTAATAAACTCCAGAGATAAATACATGATTTATAACCCTATAAAACCAGCATCTTAATTTCATCATTATTCTTGGAGATAAAAAAGTAAAGCTATACAGTTAGTTGCTTGGTATCTAGTATGGCTGATTTGTCATATGACTCTGGGAAAGTTACTTTAGTCTCTCTGGACCTCAGATCTTTCCTCTGTAAAGTCAGAGGGTGAACTAGACCAAACGCCATGAAGAGACTGTATCTTGACTCCTGTATACGTGGGTTCTGGTAGGACATGGGCGGGATCCTGAGAAGAGGGTGCAGAAAGGGCCACGGAGAGGCAGCAGAATTCAGGAGAGCCATCAGGGAGACTCAGGCATCCAGGCATTTCCCAAACCAAACCCGTCAGGCCGCATCCCCCAAGGAAAAAGAGCGGGAAGTGGCCACAGTCACAGAAGGCCACTGTTAGAAGTTGCCAGAACCACATCACAAACATGGTCCTGTGAGTTCTGTCTGCCCCTCTGTCAGGTCTACAGGGTGCGTTTTCAACATGACATTTCAAAACATTAATTGTTACAGATGCAGAAGGGATTTCTTTTCCCTTACCATTCAGCAATGGATGTTTTTGTATTTTCCCACAAGAGCAGGGTAGTTTGGCACTGTTGAATCAGAGGTTTTTCTCTGCCATCTTTGAATTGGGGGAGAGAATCAACCATTTCTTCCAAGTGTATCTTCTCTTCTTCATACCCATCTATATCTTTCTCCAGTTTAAGTAATAATTTTTTCCTTGATGATGGATGAGAAAAAAGTTTATTAGCCAATTGTTAACCCATCGGGTTCCACACAAATATGGTTAATGGGGGCAGAGGATACACTCTCTTTCCATTTCTCCTCATGAGATCAATGCCCAAACTACATATTCCTATTACAGACTACAGGCAACTCTTTGCATTTCCAGAATACTAATTTGGTGTTTTAAATAAATATAATAAATATACAAAATCATAAGTAGTAATATTCTTCTGTGATGAACACATATGCAAAAGGTATACTAATGCATATGAGAAAGAGTGTAGTGTGCGGGTGTGTGGGAAAGACGGCATGGTATGGCAAGAAGACATGGATGACTGAATACTGCATGGTTGATAAGAAGGGTGAGAGTGGCCAAAGACAAAGGAAAGGGTAAGGAAATCTTTCAGCTCTACTCTATGTACAAAAAAGCTCTTCCATATCAAATTGGAGACATTTAACTAAGGGTTTAAACTGTAAACTAATCCCAGAAGGATTTACTCCATTCATCTGAAGCTACTTCCTCTCCTCCAACACTCTCTTGAATCTACTCCCATAAGGCTTTCACCTCTTACTGCTCCATCAAAACTACTATGAAGAGCACCTCAAACTGGGAAATCTGAGCTCCTCAGCCCTCACCTTCCTTCTCTGGTCAGCAGCACTTTCCAGGATTGCCCACTCTCCTTGGTGAAATGCCTTCTTCAATGGCTCCCAGGACCCAGTTGGTTTTCCTCCCACTACACGGACTGCTCCGTCTCAGTATCTCCCCCAGTTCCTCCTCATTGCCCTGATCTCCTAACATGGGTGGCCTGAAGTATATACAACTTGGACCTCTTGTCTCTTCCTCAGCACCCTCATCCCATCTCATGGCTTTATTGATACATTATAAAATCCTGAAAACTTTCAAATGTTTGCTTCTAACTGCACCTTTTTCCTGACACCATCATTTTTTAAGAGCTATTTTTTAAGAGCCAAGTCGGGATTATCACTTGAATGTTGGATAAGGACTTTGAACCTATCATCTCTGAAACGGAGCACACCTGATCTTCCATTCAATACCTGATAAACATCAGTCTTTCTCATCTGTTAATGCCATTCTTCTAGCTGCTCAGGTCACACCTTGGAATCATTCTTGACTCTAATCTTTCTTTTAATGACCATGTCCAAATGTGTCAACACACCTTATGGACTCTGTCTTCAAAATATATACAGAATCTTACCCCTTTAGGACAGCTACCATCATCCCTTACTTGGATAATGTCTTCTCAACTGCTACAGTCTATTCTGAACATATCAACCAGAGAGAACCAGTTATGGTTCAAATAAAATCATTTCCCTCTGCCCAGAACGTTTCAATGCCATTTTATATCACTCAAAGAAAGAGCCAAAGTCACCACATGGCCCACAAGTCCCTACCTGAGCTAAGTCTCATCCACCCATGCCATCTCTGACCCCCTTTTCCTACCTCTTCCCCTCACTGCTGCACCTTTTCATCTCCTTGCCTCTCCTCAAACACATCTGACCTTTGTATCCACTGCTCCCTCAGCCTAGCAGGCTCTTCCTCCAGGTGGTCACATGACTTGCTTTTGCATCTCATTTGACTCAAAGATGGCCTTCTCAGTAAAGCCTTCTCCAATGATCCTAGTGAATTGCAAACTCCTTCCCCTTCCCTAGTTTTTCTCCATTGGTTTTATCACCACCAGACGTCGTAAACATCTTACTCCTCTCAGTAGATAATAAGTTTTACAAAGGGCAAGAATTTTTTTATTTTGTTAACTGCTGCATTCCCAATACCTAAAACAGTACCTGGCACACAGTACATATTTGCTCTATTAAGAGCTACATTAACAAAGTAATTTATTACTTATACACGTATGGTTTTTTATTTATACATTAATATTTATTACTAAAATCTATCATTATACTTTAAAAAAATAATAACTGTGTAATAATTAGTATAACACCTTCTTATGAACTGAGGTCCCCTAGAAAAATCTCATGGGACTGAAGGCCGGGAAAATTTTCAGAGTGAAGAGCACACTTAATTATACTGACTGATGTGGTTTGGATATGAGGTGTTCCCCAAAAGTTCATGAGTGAGCAATGCAGAAGTGTGATATGATTAGAACATGAGAGCTGTGACCTCATCATGGATTAAGCCATTTGGTGGATTAATAATTTGAAAGGATTACTATACTGCATGGTAAAAGGGAGGTCATGGCTAGAGAAAGCGGGTCCCTAGAAGGATGCCTGGGGGATTATCTATTTTGTTCCTTATTCCTCCTGCTCTCTTTCTGCTTCCTGCCTGTCATGAGCTGAGCATCCTTCTTTCCCCCTGTCCTCTGCTGTGTCGTTCCAGCATTACCTTGGGCCCAGTGCAATGGAGTCAGATGACCTTGGACTGAGCCTCTAAAACCATGAACCCCAAATAAACTTGTCCTCCTCTAAATTGTTCTTGTCAGGTATCTGAGTCACACAGATGGAAAACTAATACGGTGACAGGTCAGCTGACGACCTCCATGAGACCACTGACCTTGAGAAACTAGAGAGAGTGTGGGAGATTTAAAAAGAAGAGGAAAGTGCTACAGAAGGTGAGTCTTCCTAACATTTTAGCTTTCAGGACCTGGAGGACATCCTCTGAATGCCAGAATGAAAACAGCACATATGCAGAAGGCTGCAGCTACACCAGTTTTCTGCTCAGTCTCCACAATTAACACCAATATTAGCTTTCCTCTTAAAGGCCTCATGGCCTCCCTCTCAGTACCACCCTAATCCTACTGGGGGAAGAGGAGAAGACCAACTAGCCAAGGAAGGCATGTGCATCTTCCACCACTTCTCCCTTTCCTATCAGATGTGTGGGGTTTGCCAGTCTTCTGTCCTTAACAGAATTCCATAATAAGCACACAGAAGAGCAAGGGACTTTGAAGTAACGCAGTCCTTTACACTATATTTATTTTGCCACTCCTCTGTCCAGAAGACACACCTCAAAGAGAAGAAAATTATCTAACATTCTGTAAAGGCATTATACCAAGAAAATGAAAGCTTGCTCATATGAAAAGGACTGAAAAGAATACCGAACACTGAACAGAGAGAGCAGGATGGAATAAAAACAGAAAGAAACAGAAGTATTTGTTTCACATAATAGATATTTGAAAAGTATCACTGGATGGAAACAGCATAGCCCTTACCGATGTTTTACAGCTGGAACAGTAGGATCCTTAAGACCAATTTTACCGATCTGATTTTGCATGTCTTGAATATTTTTAAAGAGTTCCGCATTTTTGGAAGTACAAGTCTCTACTAAATTGATTTCCTCAGCAAATGCTTCCTGTGTGTCACAGATACGTGTCTCGAATAACTTCATTGTTAGGGCATCAAGAAGTTTTTTACAGGAAGTGTCTTCACCTAGGTCTGCATCTTCAAAGCTTATATCAAGCATCTTCAATCGTTCATCCAAATGCCTAGCCTTGTCTCTCATCAGACGAATTTCTCTCTTGATATTTTTCACTGTCAAAGTATTTTCTGGGGCTACCGGTGCATCTGAAGCTGAAAGGTCGGTAACAAGATCAACAGAGAGCTTAACTGTTCTTACAGAATCTATAAACTCTCCCAGAGCTTTCAGGACCTCTTCACTCATCTGCAGCTTGTGGTTCATTTCTTCAAGCTGTGTTTTGCATTTCAGTATAATATTCTGGGTTGCATGTAGATCAAGTGGGTGTAAATCCTTTAATACAATGTTGCCAGGCTCTTCTAAACTGGTACATACTTTAATCTGTTTGACTATGGAATCTTGGATGTTCTAAAATAAAAAATTAAAAGCTAAGAAGACTGAGGCAGGAAAAAGAAAACTGCATGTCAGAAACTAATCCTAATCACATGACTAGATTGGATCTAGAAAAAATACTTCTGAGTTTAACCAAAGATGACAGTTTTATCATAAGGAAACATTTGAATTACAGTTGACCCAGCTGTTTCTTCTGCTGATACCCTTTCAGATTTTCCAAACCTCAAAAGAAAATAAGTAGACTAATCTATTGTGTCAAAGCAAGGAACTAGAGATTAAGAATTGAGATATATATATATATATATATATATATATATATATATATATATTACAATCTGAAAAACAAAACAAATATCTTTGATTTAAGACAGGATCTGGAATAAGTAAACTGCCAATTGATTTAAATCTGTGAGGCTAGTACAATATTTGGGAGATTCAGTCACTGAAGAAGGCATTCATAAAGAAGGCTTATTTTGAATTCAAAGAAAATGTCCTATTATTTAGTCCATGATACCTACCTCCAAATGTGCAAGAAATTGGAAGTTTGAGAAATAAAGAACAAGTTCAAATCATTGACTTATATTCTATCATAGCTTATTCCAAATCTATACTAGGATAAACAATTAAAAATTCATACGTATCTATAAATCTCTGAAGAATTGATTATTTGATAAATATACTGTATGAAATTATGTACCCTCAAGTTTTGATAAATGCCATCAGTGTCCACGAGATGAAATTCCTGGATGGCCACTTGACAGGGAAATAGGTCTGAGCCACACAGGAAGAGTGACTCTTTCTCCACTGGTAATAAGACCTGCAGTGCCATCTCCAAAGACTCCACTCTGGATGAAAAAATAAACCAGACATGAAGGAAAGAGCTGACAGCTATCCTATGAAAACACATTAACTCCATTATTTAACCAAGAACAGGAAATAGTTACCCTCCAAAATATAGTTAATTATATGTACAAATCATCATATGAAAACCCAAACCCACAGATCCAAAATGTAAAAAAAAAAAAAAGAGTCATTTGCTATATTCAAGTATTCTTTTTTCCCCACTATGCATTCATCCATTGATTCATTCATTCCCCAAACCTTCATTTAGTAAGGGACACCAGACCTAGGTTAACTATGCCCCATTGGCTGAGAGCAACTCCAGCTCACTTCTGCTATTTTGATATCATTATTAATGACTTCTCTGTGTCCTGATATCCAAGCATTCTAAATGGTTTAATAGATACCACACAGATGGAAATTTGTTAAACATACTACGCATTTCCTTCTCTTTGGAAATGCAAAAACTTGAATATACTTTGACTTGATGACTAAGAAAGCTCCTCATTACTTAATCATACTTATAGATGATTTATTATAAATCCATATTAAAAATATTATCCATACTAAAAATAGAGGAATATAATGATGTTCAACAAATAGGCTCTTTTGATAAAGAACTGAAATGTGACTATGGATAAATAACAGACTCTGAGCCTCAGTTGCTTCCTATGAAAAATGGGAATATGTACTGGGAACACAAATCCTATGTATATTGGATAATAAAGCACTTTCATTTTAGAAAGGAAAATGTCACTGGGCCTCAGAGGTTATGTGACCTAGCCAAATTCATGCCCAAGGAAAAACAGTGGGAAGAGCATGGCCTTTGGAACTACAAAGACGTAAGTGCTATCTTAAGTCTCTGGCTAGTGGTATGACTTGGTTACATTATTGAACCTCTTCAAGTATGTTTCCTTATCTGTAAATGTCAATCCTAACTGCCATAGTTTGGATCTGAAAATTTCCCCACAGGCCCATGAATTAATGCTTGATTCTCATCCTGGTGCTACTGGGAAGTGGTGGAACCTTTAGGACGACCTAGTGAAAATGAGTTTCATTAGGGGTGAGCCCTTGAGGGGATATTGAGGCCCCAACCCCTTTGTGTCTCTTGTTTCTTGGCCACCAAGAAGTAAATAGCCCTCCTCTGCCCCATACTCCTACCATGATGTACTGTGCTTCCACAGGCCCAAAGCAATAGGGCTGAATAACCATGGACTGAAACCTTTTCCCTTCTTAAGCTAATTTATCTCGGGAATTTGTCACAGCAATAGAAAGCTTTCTGACACAACAATGCTAATCTCTCTTTTGGTTGTGATGACCAAATAAGATAACATTTTTAGCATAGTAATAGTCTTGCTTAACATTACTTTTAAAAGCTTTGGACTTATTAAATTCATGTTTAGTAGATCTCAGAATTATACCTGGTATTAAGAGACATTTGAAGCTCATTTTCTTTTTCCTTTAACCTGTCTCTCTCCTTAACTATAAGAGGCTTCTCCGTGTCATTCATGAGACTTTCTAACTCCAATGAAGTGCTTTCAAACTCTTTCCAGCAAGCATTAGTTTCATTTTTTAAGACCTAGATAAAATACATAAGTTAACTTATCAATGAAAGGTTTATAGGCACAATTATAATATTCTTACAAAATGAGATATTTACCAACAGTGGGAGCAAGCACAATGTTTCACATCAAAATGTGCCTTAAAATATTTTCCAACCAACTACAAATGAACTGTCCTGTGGGGAAGAGATATTAACTGTGCTCTCAGAAGACCCAGTCAATGAAGTGAAAGGAATAGACAATATGGATTTCAAAGGTGTCTCCCCTCCCCTAAGACAGATACACAGAACACAATTCAGAAAGACATATGTAGATGTAATAACAGATATACTATCTCCTCTAGCTACTAAATCTCTGTTACCTTCTAAACTGGAAGAAAATTGGAATTAACCACAAATGTTTCTGCACACATAAGTGAATAAAATTAATTTATGGTTTATGATTAAACATTTATAAGTCTACACTATTCTTGTTTGCTCTCTCTGTTCTTCCCCACCAACAAAGGCAATACTTAAGAATCCTACTGAGGGACCAACAAAGTGACTGAGAGCTGGCATAATAAGAGGAAGAGAACTAGAAAATGGAGGTCAACCTTGTAGGGCCCACCTGTGAACCTTTCTTCACCTGTTGCAGGGGTTCCACCAGCTGGTGTACAAGATTACACTACAATACACAGATGATCTCCAAAATAATTAAGATATTTATTTGCAGGGGTTACAATTTGTGTGAATACCTCTAACAGACTGTGTTTTCTGCCACATCTGAGTCAACTGCAACACCTTCTCTGAAGCCTTTCTAGGAATATGATTCATAATTTAAAGTGAAAATTCCCTCTACTGCCTGTCCCTCACTGCACAACATCCCACAGTCAACAATTGGTTTACACTGCAGCAATTTTAGACAATGTGACAATTTGGTTGAGAAGATGAACAACTTAAATGAATATTTAGTTGCTAGTTCACTAATTTTGGAACAGCACGTAAGTAGGTTGAAATTGCCCTTAAACACACTGTTTTTGACCAATTCATTGAAAGCTCCAACTACAGTCAAAAATTTTATGAGCCATAATATCTGGAGTATAAGATTAAAGCAGAAGCAATAAATCAAGACCCTGAACAAAGTCTTTCCTAATATAATTCCTGAAAACAAATCATTTTACAGAATAGGGTGACATTGAAAATGCAATCCAACAAACAGGTCTTTGGAAACACCTTGCTTATGTGACCTCAACAAAAATAGTGCCATCCATACTCATGGTGGTATTGTTTGTATTAAAAGACATAACCAGAGAAATCATATTTGTGGGTGTTACCTGTAAATCTGTTAGTTTATTCTGCAGATTAGCACTACTCATTTCCTTTTCACTAGAGAAATCAGAAGTAATCCTGAATTTGTTGTTTTGCAGATGTAGTTCAAGAATCTCTTTGTGTGTATCATACCTGGGGGAAAAAATTAAATGCAACATTACTTAATTTTATTTTATTATTATTATTAGTAGTAGTAGTACCACTGGGGATTGAACTCAAGGGCACTCAACCACTGAGCCACATCCCCAGCCCTATTTCATATTTATTTAGAGACAGGGTCTCACTGAGTTGCTTAGAACCTCACCTTTGCTGAGGCTGGTTTTAAACTCGCCATCCTTCTGCCTCAACCTCCCAAGCCACTGGGATAACAGGTGTACACCACCATGCCTGGCAATATTACTTAACTTTTAAAAATTGAACCAAAAATTTTTTAAGTTACTGTCATTTGTGCATGAGGAAATTCTAAGGAAGTCCTGTTTAAGTTAGTGGACCATATGCAAAAATTACAACTAAAGAATCATTTTTTTTTTTTACATGTTCTCAATGAAAGATTTTTGGTGGACTTTCCAGTTGTTTAAAAAGAGGTTACCTCTTTTGTAATCTATTTTTAGATGCACTGTGATCTTCTTCCAGCTGCTCCATAATGCTTTCTTGTTGTTGGAGTTTTAACTCCGATGTCAGGCTAAAATTCTCAACAGGTTCCACTACCTAAGCAAATATGTAAAACATGAGTAATGAGTAACACAATATCTTAAACACACTTAAGTATCTGGAAAGCTAAATGTTTTATGCTCAAAGAAGTATCATTGATTTTTTAATATCCCAAATCAGGAAATAATACAATTTCTCTGAGATTTCTCAGCTCAGAAAAAAGTCCTCCCATAGGATGGAGAAGAGGTATTAGCCTTCTAATCGTTTCTTATCATTGAATGAATGCTACCAGCCTCTAAATGTTGTTTCTGACTGAGACCACATGGCCACAGTCAAAAGCAAACAGAAGCCTGAGATACAGAAGCAGACTTTTCAAAACAAATGTTACCTTGTTTTTTCCCTACATCTTCCATATGATCTTCCCTATGATCTTCCATACATGCCAACTTATCTAACTTGAAGAATTCAGAAAATTCAATTCTCAAGGAAAATGAAACAAATTACAATGAGAAGACAAATGATAAATGAACTACTTCATTTCAATGAAATAGAAGCATCTGTGCAGACCAAGCTCACTCTCTTCCTCAACAGCAATGGACCAATGGACACAGATGACCTCGCTTCACAGTGACTCAAAGTGGCCTCTGCTAGGAACAATTGGTTGCATCCTCACAGCTAGATTAAGTTGTGCTCACTACAGCTTTGGTGCACTGCATGCTAATTCTTGAAAAGCAGTCTTCCTTGCATTTGGGTAAGTGGGGATTCGTAATTGATGAAAACAATCAGATCATTAAACCAAAGCTTAATTAATGAGAAGTGGATTGTTTTACATTTTGCTTTTTACAATGAGTTTACTTCTACAACAGATTATCCACATTTAACACCTTTTCAGTCGACAGCTGATTATCTGGTTTGGCAAATGGCACCTCACTGTGGAAACCCTTTCCGCCATTCTCAGCTGTGGTCACAGTTTCCCTAGGAAGGAATCGAGACTGGGTATTACAACAGAGTGAGAAAAATGGAACCCAAAAGAGAATGAATAACTCTCGGTGCCATCTGATTATGCAAAAGGCTTCGTTCAATTTTACCCCAAAGCCTGGCTACTCTTCGGAAGTTCTAACTCGTCTTTTGATGTGCCCCCCACAGGGGCCAGCAGAGTCACATGGATCTCAGAAGCACATTTCAGAAGTCTTTCTATCTTTTGCTCATAATCTTTGAGCACTCTCTGCACTTCTTGCTGATGCTCCTGCGAAGTCAGCTCTTCACACAGCGCCTTCAAGACATCCACATGGTGATGGAGCTGACACACAATGACTTCCTTAGAAAAGCAGGCCTAACGGATGGAATGAGAGAGAGAGATGGGTATGCACAATCATTCCACAAGGATCAGAAACTCACAGATGTGTGTGACTTTAACAACGTGTTCTTTCACAGTCCAGCTACTGTGGGCTCTGTATGATAACAGGCACTGGGAAAAAGATAAGAAAGTCAGCCCTACAGGAATCTGCAACTCAGAAACAAGACATTAATTAGCACATAGTGTCAAGTACTGTGAGAGAGACACTCCCTGCCTTAAGAAGTCATGGAAAAGCCAATTGGGAGGCTGAGGCAGGAGGATCTCGAGTTCAAACCCAGCTCAGCAACTCAGTGAGGCCCTAAGCAACTCAGTAAGATGCTGCCTCTAATAAGATATTTTTAAAGGGGTGGGGGCTGGGGTTGTGGCTCAGTGGTTAAGCGACCCTGGGTTCCAGCCCTGGTACCAATAAAAAAGGAGTTATGGGAAGTCTGCCTCACAACCATGTGAGCTGGATGAGGAAGGAATAAAGACACACTAAGTACAAGGGGAGGGCACAGGAGGAGGGACACTACGGGGGTGTTCTGGGGCCAGAGGGTACAAAACTGAGTGGGCTTCGAAGGAGTCTGGAGTTGTCCTGGGGATCACAGGGAGCCAGCAAAATATGATCTGTGGCTCAAAAGGCTAATTCTGGTGGTGCTTATAAAAGGTGATGCAGTCATGTTACTGAGAAAATACCCTGAGACCATGGCAACCCTGACGGGAAGGAAGGGAAGGAGAGGCTTTTCTGAAGGGGACCACGTGGAATTTGACCACTGACAAAGACATGAGTGGGAAGAAGGGGGACAGCAGAGGAAGAGCGCTCTGGGACAGCAACACCTTTTATAACCAAGATGCAGAACAGAGGAGGAGGAGCAAAAGTTGGAGAGTACTGGGTCAGTAGTGGACACGCTGATTTGAGGCCCCTGAAGAGCACTAGTGATACCTTCTAGTCAGAAATACAGTATTGTATGAAACTGTCACAGTGACAGCCATTAATTTAAATTATAAAAATGAGTTAGTATTTATGATTAAAAAAAGAAAAAAAAATGTCTAGCATGGAGCTCAGAGGAAAGGATTCCACTGGAGATAAAGACTTAGGCATTGTCATTGCAAAGAAGGCAGTTATAACCCCTGAATGCATGAAATCGCCCAGAAGGATGAAATTAGCCAAAAAATGGAGGGCCTCCAACATATCCTGTAAAAACCCAAAATAGGAATAGAAGAAAAAAGGGAAATTTCTAAAGAGCACTAAAAAGGACTCCCCACCCCCGCCTAAAGTCCAGTCTGTGCAACAGAGACTGATATTGGGAGAACCGCAACAGCAAACTGTTAAAAAAGAAATGAAAAGAGGGGGTCAGTACTATCAAATTCATAAAAGCAACCCAACAGGACAGAAACCAAAAAGATCACCAGATCTGCCTCGATTTGCTTTATATTGTGATATGCCCATTTTCACAAAAGCTGTACTTCTGGGGACACCATGTCCTGACAAAAGCATCTGCAGGGACTTCAGACACAGTTGTGACCAGAGTCTCAGGACAGGGGACATGGAGGCATATCAAGGGAAATCATGAAATAAGAACTCAATGCTGGAAAAATAATACAAGGGGGACAAATGAATGTCAGTAGAGGGGGCAGAGAGAGAAGAGGGGAGGGGAGGGGAGGGGAGGGGGGATAGTAGAGGATAGGAAAGGCAGCAGAACACAACAGACACTAGTATGGCAATATGTAAATCAATGGATGTGTAACTGATGTGATTCTGCAATCTGTATATGGGGTAAAAATGGGAGCTCATAACCCACTTGAATCAAAGTGTGAAATATGATATATCAAGAACTATGTGATGTTTTGAACAGCCAACAATAAAAAATTAAAAAAATATATATAGTTATTTTGTTGCTTTGTTTTGCCATAAAATATTATTTATATTTATTTTTTTCTTTCCATGGAGTTTAATTGATAAATGATATTGCAAAGAAAAACTTGGAACAGAAGAATAAAAATGTCACATATTTCACAAAAAAAAAAAAAGAACTCAATGCTGGATTTTTTCACTTCTAAAAACTAAAAAGTACAGGCTGCAGTTAGCACTTGAGTCATGTAAGTGGCACCCCCAGGGGACATAAGGGCTGAAGTTATTTGCAGAGCAGATTTAATCCTGGCCACATACAATGATGTAGGATAAACCACAAAAGGATGACAAGATTTCAACGGAAATAGGTAGTTTTACCTCATGTTCTTTGATGAGACCCTTAGTCTTTCCTCTACGAATAAGTTTCTTTTCTTTATTTATTTGCTTTTCAAGCTTGGAAATGTTGTCGTTAAGTTTTCCTTTTTCGATATCTATTTTTAGTTGCTGAATATACAAAGAAATTTCTTGATGAAGAGACTGAAAAAGACAAAAGAACATATTAATCATGGGAACAGAATACTTGAAAACTATTTGTAGTGACAAAAATATTTATAGTAACAAAAAGAGATAGAACTTAAACTACATTCTGACTCATCTGTGTATCTTTGGGAGAATGTTTTAAAAACCCATAAACATATTTTTTTCTTCCTGACAACTAAAATTGTTTTTCTATTTTTTTTCCCTAACAACTGAAAATGTGTTTTAGCTGTGAAAGACGCTGTTAAAAGAAAGAAAGACAAGCTACAGACTGGGAGAAAATATATGCAAAACACATATCTAAGCCTAAGGAGACATAACAAAAAATGATATGTGTATACTGGATGGAATCCTGAAACAGACAAAACAAACATTAGGCAGAAACTGTGGAAATCTGAATAAAGTACAAACTTTAGTCAATCATAATGTATCAATAATAACCCATTAATTAAAACCTCACATACTGTAATAATATGTTAATAAGAAAGGAACCCCTGTGTGGAGCCTACCGGAACTCTCTGAACCATGTCTGCAATAATTCTTTTTTGGTTTTTCTTAGTTGTAGGTGGACACAATATCTTTAATTCATTTTTATGTGGTGCTGAGGATCGAACCCAATGTCTTACGCATACTAGGCAATCACTCTACCTCTGAGCCACAACCCCAGCACCGTGCAATAATTCTTCAAATCTAAAACCATTCTAAGCTGGATGTAGTGGCCCACGCCTGTAATCCTAGTGGCTCAGGAGGCTGAGACAGGAGGATCGCATGTTCAAAACCAGCCTCAGCAAAAAGTGAGGCGCTAAGCAACTCAGTGAGACACTGTCTCTAAATAAAATACTAAATAGGGATGGGGATGTGACTCAGTGGTTGAGTCCCTTTGAGTTCAATCCCTGTACCAAAAAAAAAAATCTAAAACTATTCTAAAATAAAAGTTTATTTTAAAATATGCTGTAGAAGCTGGGTGTGGTCTATAATCCCAGTTACTTGCAAAGCTGAGGGAGGAAGATTGTGAGTTCAAGGAAAGCCTGGGCAACATAGCAAGAACCTGGCTCAAAAAGAAATAAATCAAATCAAATGTGTTTTAGGAAAACCTTTCACAGTAGCTATTCAATTCAGTTATCCACATGGGACTGATTCCATCCCTTCCTCCATCATGGATATCAAAATCTAAGGATGCTTAATTCCCTTATAAAAATGATGTCATATCTGCATGCAATCTATGCACATCCTCCCATGTGCTGTAAGTCATTTCTAGATTACTTATGATGCCTAATAAAATGTAAATGCTATGTAAATAGTCGTTATGCTGTTATTACCTAGGGAATAATGAAAAAAAAAAAAAAGGCTGTACATGTTTGGTGTAGGTGCAGTTGTTTTTCTCAAAAATTTCTGACCCATGGTTGGTTGAATCCAGAAGTGAAGAGTCAACTGCACAGATTAAATATACACACATACATTTGTAACATTAATCACTATTTATTGGACACAATCTCTGTGGCAGATTCTTTATATAAATCTTGGCAATAATCCTGCCAAGTAGATCATGTTTTTTTCATTTTTTCAGCAAAGTTCCTAAGAGTTGAGAAACTTATCCAGGGTCATATCTTCTGAATCCAAGTTTGTCTGCCACTGACATCTATGCCTATTTCACTATGAAACTCTGTCCAAGGACATGTTAATGCACCGTCTCAGTCAGGATCCAACTAGGAAACCAGAAAACACTCTAAATATTTAACTCTGGGAATACGAATGCCGGAAATTGATTACACTAAAGCTCAAATGGGACAGTCAGGCAATTCAGAGATGAGCAACTGCAGGAAGCTGCTACCTCTGCAGGTTACAGGCTTCTGTGGTACCCAGGGAGGAGAGACATCCATCAGATGCTGGAGCCACAGGGTCCAGAGTGGAAAAAGACATTGCTGCTGCCAGAGGCCATGCCCAAGAGAAGGACAGGAAGAACTCCTTCACACTCTCCCTCTCCTCCCCCTCTAGGTGCTCTCTAATCTTTTAACAGTGTGGTCACTGGCAAAGGCAGACAAGAATAGAAGGCAGCAGATGCAGAGCCCAGGACCAGCACCTGTCGGAGCCAGTCCATTTGCAATATGCAGTAGATAGGGGAACCCCAGGAATGACCAATGACACAGAGACCCAGGACCAGACCAGAAGCCTATGTGGGTCCTCACCTCCCATCTGGCACAGGCCTCCCTCCTCTTCTCTTCCAAAGACAGCTTTACATCCTCAGGAACGTTAAGTTTCAGTTCTTCAACTGCTTTCAAATACTTAGCCAGACTATTAGTATTAAAAATTTTCAGTGCTTCCTAAAAAAAGAAAGTGTAAACAAGAACATGTAAGCCTCCTTATACTGCCAAATTCTGAAGCAATTTTTTTGTAGATTTTTAACAGATAGAACCAGAAGAGACTCTTGATGACTATTTGAAGATTTATAGGAGACCCCCTTTGGTAGATACACCCTTTTGGATCTCTTGAATTCTCTTGAAAAGAAACAAAAATATTTATCATTCAAATGTAGTTAGATGTTCAAGATCCAGACGTTTTGCATTTCTTGAAACTTTTTTGAAAAGAATAAAACAATTTATTATGCAAATGTAGTTCCACACTTGATACCTTCAGGATATTCCAAATGAATTCTGCTGCTCCTTTGAAAAATAACTCAAAGACTTGTTGGACAAAATAATGAGGCAATACTGGTATGGTGGTGCACATCTGTAATCCCAGCAGCTCAGGAGGCTGAGGCAGGAGGATCATGAGTTCAAAGCCAGCCTCAGCAAAGGTGAGGTGTTAAGCAACTCAGTGAGACCCTGTCTCTAAATAAAATACACAATAGGGCTGGGGATGTGGCTCAGTGGTTGAGTGCCCTGAGTTTAATCCCTGGTACCTCCCACCCCCCCCCCAAAAAATAAGGCCTTGGCATTGTTTTCTCTGAAGTTTTAATGTATTGAGTAGACAACCTTACTTCATAAGTAATACAGGAGGAAGAATATAACAGTATTAAGAGAGATTAACATTGCAGTAAGACAAAATTTATAGTAGGATTTATATGGCAATTATTTAATATTGAGCATAAATATTATTATGCTGAAAGAAGCCAACATTACCTTGTCATCAGGTCAAACTTTTGCCTGGGGCCTACCACATGGGCAGTCCTGCCCCAGGGAAGGAGTGGCAGTCAACAAGGATGAGGACAGCCTTGCCTGAAATGTACCTGCTCCTTTCCTGACATACTATCTAGGACACCAGAAACCTGGCCTGCAGAACTAGTGAACGATAGAACAAAAAATGGGTTGAGACCTATTGCAGAAAACCCACAGGAGTGAGAAGCTGGAGAAATTCTGAAGTAGAAGGTAATTAGGCATGGTAGGAATTTGCTTATTTATTCACTACACTTTGTTAAGAGCCTGCTGTAGACATGGCACAACACTGACTCCAGGACCCTTCTCCAAGGCTTGTTTGATTATTACTCCATTTAGAACCTGGGCAATACTCCTAAATGCTAGCAGAAACCTCATTGCACTGCCAGGGCAGTGGGAGCAACCACGAGTCTCAGGACAAAACTTGGCAGAGGACAGATTTTTTTTTTTAAGAGAATGTTTGTTTATTTTTCCTCCTATATTTTAGTATTAAACAATATATGTTATGTCTTGTGGATACATATTCTGAAACAAGATCTCTCTTGGCACATAAATATATAAGCATTTAAAAAATTTGTCCTTCTTAGCTTTATATGACAGTAGAGTGTATTTGTACATATTATACATACATGGAGTATAACTTCCCATTTTTGTGGTTGTACATGACATGGAGCTACACTGGTCATGTATTTATATATGAACATAGGAAAGTTATGTCCTACTGTCTTTCCTTCCCTCTCCCTTCCTTTCATTCCCCTTTATCTAATCCAGTGAACTTTATTCTCACTGCCCCTCACCACTTACCCCAGGCCTTAATCATGTGTTAGAATCCACATATCAGAGAGAACGTTCGACCTTTGGTTTGCGGGGACTGGCTTATTTCACTAGCATGCTATTTTCCAGTTCCACTCATTTACCAGCAAAGGATGGATGTTGTTTCTGGTAAGAACAAGTATCCACTTTACTAAATGCCAGAGGCAAAAAAGGGCAAAACCTTGGCCTCAAATTCTGAAAGGAAGATGGTAAGGGAGAAGAAAATGGTATAAGAACTGACACTTCCAATTCTTCTCCCTGGTAGAGAAGGGGTATAGAAAACTCTTCTTTTATTCTTCTCTATTTGCTTGGTAGACCATATCTGCCCTCCCTCTTTGGAGGAGGAAAAGAAATCCTCACACTCTTTCTCCTCCCCACCCCCAGTCCCTCTCTAATCTCTTAACAGTGTGGTTCTGTCTGGCTGAAGGCAGACAGAAGGTGGCTGATACAGAGCCCAAGACTAACACCTGCAGGAGTCAGCCCATCAGCAATTTCAGTGGACAGGAGAACCCCAGGAATGACTTATAAAAGCACTGATTCATAAGCAGTCTAGTAGGTGGCTGGCTGGTGGCTGGCCAAGTGCACAGAGTACAAGATCAAGCAAGAGAAGGCTTTCAAGGTGGGGGAGAAAACTGAGAGCAAAGTCCAGTATGGTTAGCAATACAGGAGGCCAAAATAAGGTTAAGGCCCAGAAGAGAGATGGAGGCCAGGATGAGAATGAAGAGAGGCTCCTGTGAGGGCATCTTTTCCAACAAAGAGTGGGAACAATAGGACTGGGGTTATTGCCTGACTGTATCTTCATCTCCCCCACAATGCCAGTATCCAATTTTTAGTATTCAAAAAGTGTGTTCACTGCTGAATAAATGAATGAACAAAAAACCATGTATTCCCCCACCTCCTTAGTGTATCCAAAGGTAGGGGCCTTGTTTTTCCTTGCACCCCCACAAACACCTCCACGGCATTAAGAATAGCAAGTTTCTGGTTTGGTTACATCTTTAGATGTCACCATTACCTGCAAAACCTGGGAGAAAAAATCAAACTGGAAAAAGCAGCATTATGGGGTCTTTAACTTATATGTAAGTATGTATCCATGAATAACTTCTAATGAAGCCTTTTAATAATATTAGTATTCACAGAATTGTAACTGTGCAAAATACCTTTATATGTCTTATTTTCATTAAAAGCCTCCCAATGAGTCTAGGGCTAAAATTTTTATGCCCATTTTACAAATTTAAAAGAACAAAACAAAACAGAAATTAAAGTCTTGCTCAACATCAGAATCAGCTGTGCTCTTTACACTAGATCACCTGGTACATCCAAAGACTCTTGGATAAAATTTGAATTAAAATATTCTTCATTTGAATGCTTCTTTTTATTAGCCTTAGGGGAACAACATGTAATACTGGGAAATTTAAAAATTACAATAGCTTTAGGCTGGGGATGTAGCTCAGTTGGTACAGTACTTGCCTCGAATGCACAAGGCCCTGGGTTCAATCCCCAGCACCACAAAAAAAAAAATAGTAAAATTAAAATAGCTTTACTTTTTACAAGCAAGGGAACATCCTGACTTCAAATGAGATAGGTAGCTAATGATCTAATGATAAATATCCTACTAATGATGGTTGAGAAGATTCCTACCTTATATTTTGAAATGAGTCCACGGGGGCTCTGTCTTTGCCCAAGTAACTGTTCAGCTCTCACAATGTAAGATTCCAATTCCATCTGGGACTCTTTTACCTTCTGCTTGGCATCCAATTCTTGTGAAATATCCGTTGAATTCTTCAACATTGAAATTAATTTTACCACAGTGATCTGTAAAGGCAAAAAAACAACAACAAAAAAAAATCAAATGAACACTTGGCCCAACTTCTTGGTAAATTTGTAAGTTAATAAATATTTTCTTTGATTAGCAATTTACATTTTCCTACTAGATATAGGAATATCTAATTTTTTATATTTCTACTTTGCAGTACACTTTAAATTATAAAGAAAAGAAAGTATAAAAGTGATATTTTACAAGATATTTACAAATTTCAGGGCCAGCCCGCCCTTTACCCACTGACCACCTGGTTTTAAAGAATAAATTCACTAATCAGGGAATATTAAGAGAGACCTGGACTTTCTCATTCGCTTCTTGAATCTTTGCCTGAAGTCCAGTTGTGAGAATGTGCTGGAGGGACTCCTGGCTTGAAATATTCTGAACATCCATTTGTAAAGTATCTTCAGTTCTGGCCAGAAGCTCTTCATACATTGAGCCTCTGGCAATAAGATGCTATTAAAACAAATTGAAGAAAGCTTCACATTGCATGTTACATATTAACCATTAACAATCACATCAGGAAACTGTGAAATGTATAAAAGAACAATTAATCCGCAGAATCACAAATTTAGTAAATATAATGAAAGATAATTAAATCTTACATGTCAATAAAGAACTAGAAAATAAAATAATCAGAAACCACTTTCAGCTCTCCCAAGTTAACAAAACTTAAGAATTTTCAATTACAACTCAAGGATGGTGTAGGGTATGACAAAATAGAAATTATGTTGCACAATATCAACTATGTAAATGCTGATCTTCTTGATCTTAAGGTAGTGAACAGAACAGAAGGATAAAGCAAATTTCCTGTCTCTCTATCCCCTCCCTTAGCTGTCATTTAATTAATCATTCAGATATTTGTTTTTTAAGATATTTCTCTTATGTTCATTATGTCCCAGAAACTGCTCGGTTTGATGCAGGTTGAAGACAAAAGAGTTATTTTTTAAATCCTATGGATATTTTTCTATGAATATAAAACCATAAAATATAAAAATGCAACTTTGCTTTAAAAACACAAATAGGTCTGGGAATGTGGCTTAGTGGTAGAATGTTTGCCTAGCATGCATGAAACCCTGGCTTCAATCCCCCAGCATCACAATTAAAAAAAAAAAAAAAGTTTAAAATAAAATCCCATTATTCACATGGTTTGGCAAGTTCATTTCTCACTTTAGAATATATTTTGATCAAACAGCCAGGTGCAGTGGCACATGCCTGTAATACCAGCGACTCGAGAGGCCGAGGCAGGAAGATCACAAGTTCAAAGCCAGCCTCAGCAAAAACGCAGCACTAAGCAATTTAGTGAGACCCTATCTCTAAAGAAAATACAAAATAGGGCTGGAGATGTGGCTCAGTGGTTGCGAGCCCCTGAGTTCAATCCCTGGTAACCCACCTTAAAAAAAGAAATATTTTGATCCCATATTTACTTAATTCTTTATGCACGTAAGTATATTTCAGTGTGATTATATTTTCACTGTTTTTAAGAGGGATCATTGTTACGCTTTGAAAATATTTTAAAACTAATTTTTGAAATAAAAGTTATTTTAAATATTTTATTTCATAGAATATTTATTTTATTTAAAATATTAAATATTTTATTTAAGTATGTATTTTAAATATTTAATTTCTACCTCTTTTCTTTCACTTGAATAAATTTCAGATGACTAAATAAGTAAGAATAAAAAATAAAATTAGAAAAGCACTGGCAGAGGAAATAAGTTTTTTGGTTTTGGGGTTTTTTTGTTTTGTTTTGTTTTGTTTTTTGGTACTGGGGATTGAATCCAGGGGATTTTTACCACCGAGCCACATTGTCAGCCCTTTTCATTTTTTATTTTGAGATAGGGTCTCAATAAATTGCTGAAGCTGTCCTTTAACTGGAAATCCCCCTGCCTCAGCCTCCCAAGTCACTGCGATTATAGGCATGGGCCACTATGGCCAGCTGAAATAAGTTCTTTTAATTTTTATTTTTTTTTAATATATAGTATTTTCAAAGCAACAAAAGCTATCACCCTTACGAACAATAAAACACCAGATGTTGAAATATATCCCTTTCATAAATGTAGATTTAGAATATAATATAAATGCTCCTTTACTCCAGGAACTACCTATCTTATACCAACTTGTGACATGCTTCATGAATTTTATAGCTGAGCTAGAACTCAATAAACTTCAATTATAACTTCTTTTCCAGGAGAACTAAGTAATATTGAAACATACTCTTGCTTCATTGCTTTTCAATGACTCAAAAGCTTTAGAATCAGGATGGAATGGAGTTCTACCATCCGTCACGCTTCCCACGTCAAGTCATGAGGGGAAAGTGGCTTTTTCAGTGGAGAATTGAGTATATAGCCTTACATTCCTACTGCACTGAGCTGCATGCAAGAATGAATGCACTCATCTCCTCACTGTCCTCTGATGCGAAAGAATACAGATACTTAAGTATTATAATGTAATCGATATGTAATATTATATTTACACAGACACACACACACATACACACACACACACACACCAATGACTGAACCCAGGGCCACCCAACCACTGATACACATCTCCAGCCCTTTTGAGACAGGGCCTCCATAAGTTGCTTAGGGCCTTACTAAATTGCTGAGGCTGGCTTGGAACTCACGAACCTCCTGCCTCAGCCTCCTGAGCTGCTGAGATTACAGGTGTGTGCCACCACACCCAGGGCAAAAGAATATTTTCATCTCATTGTATACCTAGAAAAACTAGTCTAAGAACCAAAGCTCAGAGGTATTTCAAGCAAAATCAGAGCAGATGATCCAGGGATTAAAATTCATGCATTGTTAAAAACCCAATAAAGAAAAATAAAACTTTTGAAAGCTCATTATTATTTACTTTGAAACTTTTCATTTCATATAAAACGTAAGTCCATATAAATCTCCAACCATGAAAACACCCTCTTAATACTTTTACACTCATACCTGCAAAGATTTTTCTATGGTACTATCCATAATATCTTGATGTTTCGGAAGATCCAAAATGGATTTGGTTTCTGCCTCCCACACCTCCACTTGTCCAATGAGTTTTTCAACCTCTTCAGCCACTTTTAGGTGTTCTGTGGATTCCTCATGGTCTTTTTCATGTTCTTCCACAGCCTACAATATTCAAAATTATCACTGAGAAAATGTCATTATAAATGCATTATAAAACCACCTTCCACTTAAGAGTTACACCCATTTCTGGAAGAGTGCTAATTCAATGAACAGTCATGGGTCACTTAACAATGGGGACACATGCTGGGAAATGCAGCAGTGGGTGATGTTGTCATCGTGTGAACATCATAGAGTGAACATACTTAGGCAAACCTAGTATAGCTCCTACACGCCTAGGCCTCAGAGTATGGCCAGTGTCGTGTATTTGGTCTGTCAGTGACTGATATGTCACTTATTATGTAACATCTGATTGTATTTTAATGATATAAGGACTGGTTTAGACAATGATAATAGTACTTTATGAAAGTATATATCATTTTACAAATTAAAGGTTTCTTCACCTACATTATTATAAGTATAATATCATTCCTATTAAATAGTATTATCTCTATTTTACAGATAGTTAAAGTTTAGAAAATTAGGCTTCAAAAACACATTTCTAAAACTCATAAACAATTTAATTATTAAACACAGCTATTATTAACAGTAGTTGTGAAATGCCAGAGACTAAGAATCAAATTTTTAACAATCAAATCTTTTTCTTATTTATATTCTCTCAGTATGCGATAGGTTGATATGTTACAGTTTTATAAGACAAATCCAATGCAAAGTTGATTTTAATCAGGTTACATTTTAAATGCTCCGAAGACTATGGTATTTTAAAGCATATTGGACAAAAATCAGATCTTTCCAGATTTCCTCTCATTACACATTCTTTTTTTGTTTGTTTTATTTTTTTACAGTGCTGAGGATCAAACTCAGGACTTTCCACATGCTAGGCCTGATCTGGCATTCTTATTTATTTATTTATTTATTTACATTTTTTGGTGGAGCTAGGGGTTGAGCCCAGGGCCTCGTGCATGCTGAAGGCTCTATCACTGAACCACACCCCCAGTCCCTGATTAGGCATTCTCATGGTTGGAAACCCCAAACATCCACCATGGCAACTGGCCAAAGCCAACTGAAATTCTTAGGTAAAGCCGTATAAAGCTCTTTTGCAGGAGGCACATGTCTAAAACCACAGGTATTTCATCTTCCATGTGTACGATTTTTAATATATTTACTTGTTCTTTTTCTATATTCTTACCTATAATCTGCAGTCCTCCAGATTATCCACAAAACAAGATCCATTATGCTTTCTCTCATTTTACAGAAAGGAAGCAAGATTACAAGGCGATTGGGGGATGCCCTGGAGTTAAACCATTTTTGAGTACTAGTCAGAAGTCATCGAAGGAGATTTTTCAACTCAAGTTTTACACCACTTAGAAGCCACATGTGGGGCTGGGGTTGTAGCTCAGCGGTAGAGCGCTTGCCTAGCATATGGGAGGCACTAGTTTTAATCCTAAGCACCGAATAAAATTAAATAAATAAATAGAGGTACTGTGTCCATCTACATCTAAAAAATACTTCTAAAAATAAAAAAAAAAAAGAAGCCCTGTGTGCTTCTGCATGACTGTGGAAATGCACGAGGATTAAGAGACCTGCATTCCTCGCATGCTAGCAACTGCTTCATGACGAAAACAACCTCCCTGATTTTCTAGAAAATGATCACATGGTAACTACTATCTAGTAATCCATACATTTACCACTGTTTCAACAATATGGTGTCATTAAAAGAAAAACAGCAAAGTTAAACTATTCCTATCTGCAAAATGAAATATACAAAGTATATAATCTTGTTACCTTTATATTCCGATTATAATTTTCAGGAAGTCCTACTGACATATTCTTTGAAAAATCAACAGTCGATTTTTCTTCTTCTTTAGGTAATACAATATTTCTAGAATTGTCAAGAGTGGGCTGATCCTGTTTTTTTGAAAGTGGCAATTTCATTTCCTATAAAAGATTAATTTTGTGAAAAAATTTTAATGTTATTGTATTTTTTATACATTTATTTTATTTATTTTTATGTGGTGCTGAGGATTGACTCCAGTACCTCACACATGCTAGGCAAAAGCTCTACTACTGAGCTACAACCGCAGCCCATAATTTTGTGAAATTTAGTGCACATATTTTTATTTGTATGCTGACATATGCTGTAAACAATAGGTGGGGATAATATAGTCAAATATATCCTTAGGATTTATCAATCAGCAACAATGTTATAAAATGAGAATTCCTCAGGGGAAAAAAAGGAAAAAAGAAAACCACCCACATGTCATATAAAAATAAGAGAAAGAATAATTTAAATTAAAATCATTTATTGTAACTTTGCTTTTATGAGACACTGTAACCAAATATAAACAAAGCCCAGAGTATGTTCTTGAGGAACTTGAAATCTAACAGGCAACATAATGCTTACACTATTCTTTAATGGTAAATGAATTTCCACTAGAAAGCAATATCTTAGGAATGGTTAAAGATAAAGTTCTCTTAGGTGTACACCCAAGAGAAATGAAAACAGGTGTCCACACAAGCATGTGCAAATGTTCACAGCTACACTATATCGAACAGTTCACAAAGTAGAAAGAATTCAAATGTACATCAACTGATGAGTGCCTAAATAAAATGTGATGCATCCACATAATAGACTGGTGTTTGCCAATAAAAAGAAATTAAGTGCATATAGATATATCACATTATAAAGTGATGATCCCTGAAAACACCATACCAAGAAATAAGCTTGTCACAAGAGACCACGTACCATATGATTCCATTTATGTGAAATGTCCACAACAATAGAAGAAAAGTAGTGTCGTGGGTACCAAAGGCTGGGAGGGTTAGCTGGCAGTGAGGAGTGACTGCTAATGGGCACAGGGTTTCTTTATGAAACTGATCATGGTTATGGCTGCACAGTCCTGTGAACACGCTGAACAATACTGAGTGACACACTTTAAATGAGTGATTTGTATGTGGTGTGAATTATATCTCAATAAAAAGTTTATCAAAAAAGGAAAGAACTTACAAGTGGAGTTTTTGTAATAAACTTTCTCCATCTTTTATTCAGCCTTCTCAGTTCTTTAGAAACAGATGATCCAACTTCATCATTGCTGACTTCAATTAAGAAACTTCCCACTTCGTTTAAAGTGGTGTGTTCTACATTCCACTGGGCAAGTGTTTCAAAGGGAACCTACAATAATATATAAGCCACATACATATCCAATGGTACAACACTTGTCTTTCTATCATCTATAATAAATCTTTACCAAGGCTTATGTGAAGCAGAAGTCAGTCTGGAGGTCTCTGCAGAGACCAGGACTCTCCCCACAGGGAATTCACTCAGTCCTGTTGCTCCAGCTCTTTGTGTTTAATTGCTATTTGGCAGGTACAGGCATCTGTTTTCCCTCCTGGTCCTGGGTCTTTAGGAAGCATCTGCTCTAATTTTCTGAGTGGCTGATGAGCTTACAGCAGAGGTTACCAAACTCATTCAATTCATGAAGCCCTCTAGGTTTCAGTGATTTTTTCTCATAGAATCTCTAGGCCAAGGAATTACTTAATAGTTCCCATTTTTAAGTTGTCAGGTCCAACAACTTAGAAGTAGCATGGTGTCCAAGAGATAGATGCTGTTAAATCTCCCTCAAAATGTAAAGTGTCCTGTAAGATCTCTTTAGCAGCCCAGGGCATCTCATCAGAGCTTAGGAATTTCGGGCTCATGAGTGCTATTTTTCTCAGAGTTATGTACATTTTTAATAGAGGATCTTTAAAAACAGAGCAACTGTTAGAAGTCAAAGATCCAAACTTCTAGTACCAATGTGAGTGACAGGGAGTGGTGGCTCACAAACCCCTAGAGTGCTCTTTTTTTGCACTCACACTTAACACAAATTTTAACTCCAAACAAATAGCCTATTTCCCATTAAGTATTTCGGTTTCCAATTGGAAAATGTTTCATCTGAATGGCTATCTAGTTCCATTTACAACAGAGGAGCACAAATTAAAGAAAGAAAAACTACCTCAGATAGTCATAAAGGAAATCATTACAGGATTAGCAAGTGAAAGCAGTAATAAATTACATTCACATTTCTTCCACACCTCTCCCCATCAGCCTTTTGATTGTTCTCCTCTAGAAACTTGGAAAAATTTTAGAGGTAAAGCTTTCAACCAAATCAAAAAGTATAACTTTAAAAACCACATTTTAGTTTAAATGTGTCTATAAGCCATCTGGTATTGCAAGCATTTTCTTCCTTATATAAATGCTTAGTAATGTCTCCTAAAAGCATACCATGTATATAAGTTATACCCTAATAAAGCTGTGCATTTGTGTGCACATGTGTATAAAACCTATAATGTGTATAAAGCATCCTTTTGATCATTATATTAGGAATAAACTAAATTCTTTCCAAGACCTTAGAGAATTTTCCAAAAGATAAAGAAGAGGTGTTTACTCTTCTCTAGATTCTCATTGTTGGATTAAAAACAAAAGTCTCTAAATAAAACTTAAAAAGTAAAGAAGGTGTCATTAGACTGCAAATACCTCTTTAACTTGTTTCTTTGTCTCCTCAAAACCAGCCTTCAGTAAGCGAAGGTTCTCCTCATAAGTAGCCCAACAGGCCAGAACTTTTTCTAGAGTAGACTTCACATTATATATATTTTTTCTGTACACAGAAATATTACTTTCCATCACCATATATTGTTCATTAATATTTTCACGTTCTCCAGCTACAATATTACCAAAACAAGAAAATAATCTTAGAAAACAACATTTTTGTTAATAATACTCTTCAGAAAACTATCTACACATCAACTGAGAGTATTGTTCTCCAACAATACTAAAAGTGAAAGCAAGAATCATGCATTTAAAACTAATTTCCAACTCATTAAAGAATAAAGAAAGCAAATATAAAATGTGATATATTTAAGTGGTGATCATTTCATTAAAAAGTAACTGAACTACTTTACCTAAATTTTTATAAATTTCTTCACATTTTTGAAAAGCAGTATCAAGTTGAGCTATGAACTCTTTTTCTTCAATAAAATTCTGGGGGAAAAAACACATATTGACAGTTTTCACTTTTAAAAATTTGCTAAGAAATTGATAATGTTGACAGAACACATAGTTGTTAAGATTTCTATCGTACTTTAATACTACATATTGCAATTGAAGATGAAGGGCAGTTCATGAAGAAGGACAGGTGAGATCTAGGAGGCCTAAGTATGACCCGTAAGTATGACAATATGACCCCTGAGGACATTTATCTTAACTGGGGTGATATGTTCTACAATGGTTTTCCTCCTATGGGAAAAGGCAAGCTAATTATTTATAGTAATTCCAAAGTCTCCCACTTCTAATACTTTATTAATACTGCATAATTGCAACAATTGCTCTTATTTCATATGTTTTATTAATGTTGAGTAAGTTTTTATTAGATATATTAGCTTTTGTTACAGATATATTCTCATCCAACACACAAGAAACATTTGAGAAATGATCATTAACTAAATTCTGCCTTGGAAAAATACTGAGTATTTATTGTATACTTATTATATGCCAGTGAAGTACTATGACTACTTAAATAGAAAAAATGAAAATTTGAAGAAGGCTAAAAAGGTACGATATTAAAAATCTAGTCTAATTGAGAATGAGGCTTCTTGTTTGGGAACAAAGTGTTTCAATTAACATTTTTAAATAAATTTCTCATCAATTTTTGCATTGAAATTTATAATCTTGGATTTTTCTTTTCTTCCTGCCTCCTTTCCAAAAATGGAAACAGAAGGAAGGATAAGGACCAACTGTAGAGGTAACAGTTCTATGATGCTTCATGGACATACTAATGTTTAAATTACTTGAAACAGTTTCCCCTATAAACTGGAAGAGCTAAAGCCACAAGAAAAGTATCCCAAGACAAAACTGAAAATGTATCGTTTTTTTCTACTATTAGAACTTGAAATGCTAAGACTAAAATATTCTAAGGAAAATTTAATTGTTGAATGGCATCATGAATTGGGAAAGAAAAAACATAAAACGAAATTTCAAGTCAGTGAATGAAGGAGTTTTGAGTGGAAAAAAACACTGAAACCTGGTAGGTTAATTGTCCTGGTTAACTCAATCTTATAAATGATGCTGTTTTCTGTTTCTTACCCTTTCTGTGCCTGTTATTTGACTACCTACAATTCTTTTCTCTAGGCGATATCAAAGCTAACATGAGCAACCAACAGAACCTTGTCCCAAATCTTCAGTTAATGGGAAATTAAGCCAACGAAAAATGCAAACTCAGCACCCATCCAAGGAAAACAGTTGCCCAAGACAGAATAAAGCAGCTTACATGCCAGTCTTCCAGCAATAATTCCACAGATTCTTTCTTTCCAAATTTTATGTTCCAAAAATCCAATTTTGGTTTCACTTCATCTAGCAAGCCAAGAACTGAGCATTTAAAGTAGTGAAATTCTAGAAGTAGAGTGAAATTGTTCCCTAAAGTGTTGTTCACTCTGAAAAAAAATTGCACATTTTTGAACTTAATATTATTGACAAAATGTGAGAAGCCCATATTGGCATTTTAAAAAACACTAAGGACTTAACCTTCTTTTATTTATTTATTTATTTATTTATTTATTTATTTATTTATTTATTGGTACCGGGGATTGAACTCAGGGGCACTCGACCACTGAGCCACATCCCCAACCCTATTTCGTATTTTATTTAGAGACAGGGTCTCCCTGAGTTGCTTAGTGCCTCACTTTTGCACAGGCTGGCTTTGAACTCTCAATCCTCCTACCTCAGCCTCCTGAGCTGGGATCATAGGCATGTACCTCCATGCTGGGCAAACCTTATCTTTTATAAACACATGGAACTCACATGTATTCTAAAGTTTTTATTTTTTATTTTTATTTTTTAATGTAAAACAAATATTATAGCAAAATATGAAATAAACCTTTTTGAGCTATAAATAAATAAATACATACATACAACTACTAGAACATTTTCTGAAGAGATTATTCTTCACTGAGAAATCCTGTAATGAAATATTGATCTACAAAAAAATCTTACTAAATTTGAGAACTTCTTTATAATTTAACACAACTACAATTTAAAAGTTTACATATTAAAACAGCTTTCATTACCAAGGCTAACACCCTCTCGTTCTAATAAATTGCTTATGAGTAATGAGAAAAGAGAAGATGATGGATACAACCACCCACTAAATAATCTCCATATCAACAGGGTTGTACAGTTTATAAAGTGCTTTCCTATACTTCTTCCCTCAATCCATATCCTCATGAGACATGGACAGGGAGATTATCATTATCCTGTATTTACGAAGCAGAAGGCAAGCTCCAAAAACACACAGCTTACACCGGAGTATTCTACCATTCAATAAAAAGGATGTTAGCGTGATAGAATGTAACTATTATAAAAAATTGAAGGCACTGTTATCAAGATTTAAAGAGAGGGGCTTGGGTTGTGGCTCAGCGGTAGAGCGCTCGCCTAGCACGTGTGAGGCCCTGGATTCGATCCTCAGCACCACATAAAAATAAATTAATTAATTAAAGGTATTGTGTCCAACTACAACTAAAAAATAAATATTAAAAAAAAAAGATTTAAAGAGAACACTTGTAAAAATTATCTAAATATCTACATTCCTGTGGTCCCATGGCATCATGCTATGTCTCCCCTGTGAACAGTCCCAGCAGTTATGCAATGGTAGTGCTACGAACCGTCTCTTCATCTCCTCCAGGGTGTTAAGGGGCACCAATGGCAAATGCTCTTCGTCTTTATTTTCAAAAGCCATGAGAATACTCGAATGATAGTCAGATCTGTCCATCAGACTCTGAAAAGAGATTTAGCATGACATAAACTAGACTTACTGCCAAACCCTGCAATGGGTGTGTTCCTCTCACTCACGGTATGTCTTTTTTCAAAAAGGTCATAAAGCCCCTCTCATTTTATCCAAGACTTTATGAGTACATATTTTTAACATAAAAGTTTTAAATTGCAACATTTCGCAAGAGAAGCAGACTGCCATTTTTTTGGTAAAACCATGATCAATTTTTTTTTTCTTGTCTGGTGTGTTTTCCATTCCTTCGGGACCTCAAATGCAATTATTAATCTCACACATCAAATTTCATGCCATTTTAGTAACAACCTAATCTTCCTCATTTTAAATAAGTCATCTTCTGTCCATAGCCTTCTCCCCCCCGAGACCTTACAGTTGCTTTAGAACTCCTTATACTGAATTCTTATTGAACAAGCACATGGTCATGAACATAAAAGCATCTTCTGGATCCCTGAAATCCTGAAATCCTAGGGAATCACTCCACACGGTGCTCAATCATCCATTGGCTGCTCTTGGACAGAATCTTCTAGGACAGAATCTTCCTCAAGAACCTAACATAGTCCTGATTTTTCTGTATTTTTCTTTTGCTTTTCTAACCTTGAATAAAGTCATTTTCTCTTCTGTCTGAGCCATGGCTTCGGAGTAATTCTGCGAGGTCGGTAACTCCTCCTCCATGAGTTCCTTGACCTCCTGAAGCCACGCTTCAATTTCACAGAGGGGCCAGGGCAAGGCATCGTTCAGGTTTGTTTTCCATGCGTTAATCTGAAAATAAAGGAAGATGTCCTTCAGCAGAACTTTTCTAATGTATTTCTTTACCTAGAGTACGTTTAATTCTTCAAAGTGCCTGTGAAAGCCAAGACTGATAAATGTCATTTGTTAGTCAAGACAATATGGGAGGGGCTAGGGTTGTGGCTCAGTGGTAGAGCGCTTGCCTAGCATATGTGAGGCCCTGGGTTCAATCCTCAGTACCACATAAAAGTAAATAAATAAAATAAAGGTGTTGTGTCCAACTACAACTAAAAAATAAATATAAAAAAAAAGACAATCTTTATCAATGGGTAAACATCTTAGTCCTAAATATCATTAGCTACTTGCTGATGAGGAATATAATTCATTCAAAGGCTGTAGGAAAAGAAGGCACAAGAAGCAGAAAGGTTTAGATAAATCTATATTAAGTTATATGGGAAAATACTGAAATATTAAAAGCCCTCCTCTAAGCAGGGATGGTCATAATCAAGGACTACCATTTGGAATGTTGTATGGCCTTGTGTTTCTCTGATATTACAATCACACTTTTCATAGATTCATAGATGATTTTTCTCCCTAGCCCTAGCCACATGTTCACACTAAAATACCATATCTCCTGATATCTGCCCTTCGTCACACCCTTCACAATCCAGGCACACCTCTTCCTTCCTCAGCCTTCCCACCACTCCCTGCATGCACACATGAGTCACACAAACTCTGACAGCTTGTTTCTCTAAACACGCAAAGTGGTGGCTTTCTCTGCCCCTTCTGCCTGGGTTTTCTTCCCTTCTAAGTATTATCAAAACCCATTCACTCACACAGTTACTTATTCACTCATCAGCAAACATTTATAAACAACCCATTAGGAAAGAGTAGGGTATAAAACTATAGAAGGCTTCTAGAGTGCAGAGGGGACATGTGGTGGCCACATCCCATGGAGTGCTGGGCAGCAGTTAGGAACAAATCAGATGCCTATATGGTGACCTGGGGGTGCCTTAAATACGCTGTATTCAAAAATAAAAGAAATTATGTACAACCTCAGATTACACAATTTAAAAATACACGCTTACGTAAAAATCAATGTGTATGCTGCAAAAACATCTAAAACAAAATGATATACACTAAATACCTCAAAATGATGACCCAGGGAGAAATAGGAATGGAAAGAAAGTGTGGGTATAAAAGGAAATAAGCACATAATAAAACACACACACACACACACAAAAAAAAAAAAAAAAAACAAGAGCAGGGCCTTGCCCAGACTGGTACCATGCACAAATGGAAGGGTAGAGCAGAACACAGCCCTCGCACCACATCAGAGTCAATCCGACAAATAAAACCACAGCTCTTGACTCAACCAGCTATCACAGGAAGCAGATAGGTACATGGTTACAATGAAAAGTGGCAGGTGGGGCCGGGGATGTGGCTCAAGCGGTAGTGCACGCGCCTGGCATTCGTGCGTCCCGGGTTCGATCCTCAGCACCACATACAAACAAAGATGTTGTGTCCGCCGATAACTAAGAAAAAAAATAAATATTAAAATTCTCTCTCTCTTTAAAAAAAAAAAAGGGGCCCTAATGATATCATTTGAGTTCCTGGATTCAGGCATACTTAAGCCATTCATATGACTGCTTTGACTGAAACAATAAAGCCTTAAAAAAAAAAGAAAAGAAAAGTGGCAGGTGATGTGACCAAGCCAGCTAGAGGAGCTAAAGGTGGGGGGTGTGGAAGAATACTGGACTGATGACTGGACTTTTTATTTTATTTTATTTTTTTATAGTACTGAGAATCAAACCCACAGCTTTGTACAGGCAAGTCCAGCACTCCACCACTGAGCTACCCTCCAGCCATGACCACTGGAATTCTCGAGCACAATAAAAATCCATCTCCAAGGCCATCTCCTTTCCTGACTGTGGCTTTTTACCCATATCCTTCATTATTGCTTTTTAGGGGCTTTCCCCTCTCAAACACACCACTCTCAAGATCAAGCACAAGTCAAACTTTGTTTCACTCAAAGTAACTGCCACTAATGAAAATGTGAGTGTTAAGTCTGTATTTTATCTTTCTGTGATCTAGTTCTACTGAACTATTCTCAGAGTTAAGTTGTTTTTACTTAGAGGGGAAAGTGGGCAAAGTCCACATATTATATGATATTCACTTCATTATTAATTTATTCAAAAACATTTGTTGGGTGTTCATTATTTGCGAAGCAAATATGTAAAAGACTTTTCACCAACTATTCAGGTATACAAAATGAGGACAGGTGGGGATGTAGTTCAATGGTAGAGTGATTGCCTAGCATGTACAAGGCCCTGAATTCCATGCCCAATACAGGAAAAAAAAGACAAAGTTAGGCTCCTCGACTGAGGCAGCACGCAATGAAAGCACTGAATTTTACAGGAGTTTTCACTTTGTCTTTTTTATTTTTTGCCTTCCAAGTTTATTGTCTGAAAAAGCATACAGCAAAGGCAATTCTACAGTGTTAAATCACTGAGTATATGCCATTAAATCTCCAGTTGGAAATGAAGAATCAAAATTTTAATATAAATAAATCAGCTAGGAATGGAAACCAGGGCCTCACACCTACTAGGCAAAGGCTCTACCGCTGAGCTACATCCTCAGCCCCAGCATGTTTTTCTATTGTATCTAATTATTTGTGCATTTTCTAAGAAATAAAAACAAACTAGGAAATTGAAAAATCTTTGAGTTAGAGGCTAAGAAGGATAGGTCTAATTCAATTGTAATTCTTTGCATAACTAAAAGAAAACTGCATATATATATATATATATATATATATATATATTTTTTTTTTTTTTTTAAATGAAACCAAACTTGTGCTTTTTACTTAGGGTCACATTGAAAATATTTATATAGTAGTCAAAAGAAGAAAAACAGAGGCAGGCAATGTTTATTTTTTCATTCCTTTCCTTTCTCACTTAACATAGAAAACAGGTTCCACACTTCCTTTCTCAGACAATTACTTTTGAATTTGGTTGAAAATTTATATAAGATCTTATCAGATCAAAAATAAAACATTTTTTCCCTACAGCAGGCTTAAAATGAAACCATTACTAGGAAGCTTTAAGATAACCCTGTTCTCAAACTACTGAATCAAAAAACTGGATGATACTAAGTTTTATACACCTGATGGCTTCAAAATCAGCACATCTCATTTTGCCACATTGAGAAATAAACTGCAGTCTGCTTGAATAAGAATAGAATTTTCGGATACTATCAATTTGTAGCACTTAATCTTGCAAAATAATCCTTTTTGTGATTTTGCTCATTATCTCAGATATTTTTTTTTTCCAAATCATATTCTGAGTACTTAGGCCAGGTCTCTGTGTCCTGGAACAGGCTGAACTGTACAAACACTCTCTTCTTCATTGACTTTTATTAAGAACCTGTCACAGGCAGCTCTTGTCCCTTCACAAGAGTCAGGTTCAAAGTTGAGATCAGCAGGTGCAGACAGTACAATGAGCCTACCCCTTGACGGTAGGATTCCTGGAAGTGCACTTCTTTTCAAATTTAGATCCTCAGAAAGGATGGCTCTTTTAAGCCAGGGGACAACTATTTAAGTAGACATATGGTGTGGAAAACATATTCAGAAAACAGGCCGACCCTTCTGATAGCTAAGCAGAAATCAGCAAACATCTGCTATTCAAAGCCAGAGTAATAAGTTTGACTTTGTGGGCCATATAGTCTTTCCGCAAATTCATTAAAAATCATTTCATTATCAATTTAAAATAAGTGGATTTTATAATATGTAAATTATACCTCAATACAATTGTTTTGTAAAAATGAAGGCAAAATAAAGACATTTAGAGATCAAAGAAATCTGTCACTGCACTACAAGATTAAATTAAAGATTTTAGGCATAAGGAAAATGGCCTCAATGGAAACTAAAATCTGTAGAAGGAATTAGAAAGAGTAGACATCAAGATAAATATGAAAGATTAATTCCTCTTAAAATAATATTATTTAAAACATATGGTTGTTTGAGGCAAGGAAAATATAACATGGCATTGGGAGCTTTAAAATATGTTTATGCCACATATATGATATATACATGTCAAACATGCATTTATATATAGAACAACTAACTATAAGATAAAGAATAGGAGGCAAGTGAATCAGTTTGATGGCAAGAATTTTATGTGTTAAAAGAAGTTGTATAGAGTAACTAAGAACAGAGTAGGGACGAAGAGCAGGAGAAGAAGATTAACATTAAACAGGGATGAGAGGTGGGAGGGAAAGGGAGAGAGAAGGGAAATTGCATGGAAATGGAAGGAGACCCTCAGGGTTATACAAAAGTACATACAAGAGGAAGTGAGGGGAAAGGGAAAAATAATACAAGGGGGAGAAATGAATGACAGTAGAGGGGGTAGAGAGAGAAGAGGGGAGGCGAGGCGAGGGGAGGGGAGGGAAGGGGGGATAGTAGAGGATAGGAAAGGCAGCAGAACACAACAGACACTAGTATGGCAATATGTAAATCAATGGATGTGTAACTGATGTAATTCTGCAATCTGTATATGGGGTAAAAATGGGACTTCATAACCCACTTGAATCAAAGTGTGAAATATGATATATCAAGAAATTTGTAATGTTTTGAACAACCAACAATAAAAAATTTTAAAAAAAAGAAGTTGTATAATAACTAAGGAATTATACAATTCTACCAGACTGCAAAAAGTGTGGAATGTATAAGGTGATCCTTAGAACAATTACTAAAAACGTGATGGAAAGAGGTAGAATGAAAAAGTCATGGACAAATTAAAATAGAGATGGAAAGAGGTAGAATGAAAAAGTCATGGACAAATTAAAATAGAATTCTACAACAACAATAACCCTAACAATTCAAAAGAAGACAAGAAGGAAGAAACGGAGATACAATCAAACAAGGAATAAACAAAAGTCAAATGGTGTACCTAATTTGAACCATAGCAACAATAACATTAAGAGTAAATGGACTAGACACTCTAATTAAAAGGCAGGTTTTCAGAGTGGATAAGAAAGTGAGATCCAATTCTGTGCTAACAGAATTGGAGATGCTCTGTCAATACAAAAACTCAAAGAGATTAAAAGTAAATGAAGAAAAGAGATGTGCCATATAAACAGTTGGCATCAGAAGACTAGAATGATCCCATTCATATTAGAATAAGTAGACTGCAAAAAAAAAATACAATGGTATTACTAAAGATAAACAGAGGTATTTCATAATGGTAAAAGTATCAATTAGTTAGGAAGCCACAACAATCATAAATGTGTATATACCTAACAAAGTTTTTAAATGCATAAAACAAAATTTGGCAGAATTAAAAAGAGATTTCTAGGGGCTGCAATTGTGGCTCAGTGGTAGAGTACTTGCCTAGCATGTATGAGGTACTTAATTTGATCCTCAGTATCACATAAAAATAAATAAATAAAATAAAGGTATTGTGTCCTTCTAATATATATATATATATATATATATATATATATATATATATATTTTTTTTTTTTTTTTTTTTTTTTAAGAGAGAGAGTTCTACAAATTTTAATCTCTTTGCAGTTGGGATAACAACTGAACAAACTGCCAGTCTGAATAACACTAGTAACTACAGTTGATATTTATAGACTTACATGCAATAATTGCAGAATACACATTCTTTTCAAATGCATATAAACCATAATCAGGGCCAGAAATCAAGTCTTAATAAATTTACAAGGATGAAAATCATACAGATAGATTCAGACTTAACACACATATATCTATCCTTACACATAATTTCTGGGTTTGTCCCTAACCCTTTCAAGCATCTACCGATACTGACACATGATCGTGTAGAAGCTACAGGTCAACCAAATCATCTACTGTGTGGCAAAATAGGTATAATCTACCATGGTAAACCAAGAATAGTAAGAATATAACATTGGATAAGTTTGTATTTAAGCACAATGCCACAAATTCTTATTTAAATCCAACTACTCTCCAAATGATGCTATGGGAAAAAATATAATATTATCCCATTTACTGATGAAGCATCTATCCTGTGTTTTATAGAATTCTTCATGAAAGTCTACAGTAAAGTCTTCATTCAACAAAACAAAGATGCCCATGAAAATGTTCTTCAGACCAACATAACAGTAACCTTTTGGTTGATGCCATCCCAGGCTTCTCTCAACTGTAATTCATCTTCATTCAGCTCCTGCTGATCCCTTTTTGGTGACAGTACTTCCAGAAAGCGTACTTTTTCTTCATTGAATAACTCCATATAGGACGTCAGGCTCTATAATTAGAAGAATATTTTAAAGGCTGAAACAGTTAATTCACTTTATAAAATGTAATATGCTCTTTGAAGACCTGTACCTAAAGATTATATTTAAATTTTGACTTAGATAAAGGTAAAATCCCTGACCCCAGGAGCTGCTCTCTGATCTGGTTTCTTTCTTCAGTGCATCCTGATAATTTGGGTACCAGCCAAATGAGTCTTGGCTTGTGACCTGTGTGGACAATGTTGGATGCCTGCTGGAATAGAACATCCAGTTTTATAGGACAGATCATGATGCCACATGCAAAATGTGAATTGGTTTGTCCTCCCAAATATGGGTTCACAACAAAATAAGAATAAGTACATGTGAGAATTATATCACAGTGGTTGTCATGCACAAATGATTTTCAAAGTGTTTGTAATTAACTCAACCTGAACCAATTCTTCCAAATTCATTTTACGTAGACCAAAAAAAAAAAAAAAAAAAAAAAAACCACTTTCTCCCTGCCACCCCACATTCAATTAACAAAGCTTTTCTTGGTTCACATTTGTGTGAAGAGTGTTTAACAGTTATCCATTCTGTCAGATGCAGTGGCACACCCCTGTAATCCCAGTGACTCAGGAAGCTGAGGCAAAAGGATCACAAGTTCAAGGCCAACATGAGCAAGTTAGCAAGACCCTATCTCAAAATAAAAAAAATAAAAAGGGCTGATGATGTAGTTCAGTGGTAGAGTACTCCTGTGTTTAATTCCCAGCACTGAAGAAAAAAAGAGTTATTAATTCTATAAATATTATTTATATAATTACTGATTATTTCTAATTGAATTTTATATGAGATGGGACTGGTGGCACATTCTTTTAGTCCAGCTGCTCAGGAGGCTGAGATGGGAGGATTGCTTGAGCCCAAGAGTTCAACATAGTGAGACTCTGCATCAGGAAAGAAAAAAAAAAAAACTATGCACAAACCAAGGGATAATTAATTTATTTAACTTCTTTCTGGTAATTAGTAACTCCATGAAGCCCTTTTATTTAGGAAACATGAATCTATTATACATTCCTAAATCAAAGATGTGTGCCTGAACGATACACTTCCATTGAACACTGAGCATTTGGTCAACAAGAAGAATCTTAGACCAGAGCTAAGAAGCACAAGACTTCTATACTGCTTCAACCAAAGGAAGATGAGAAAGTCTTGTCTCTTCTTTCCCGGATGGCTTCAAATGAAAACGATGGTATGGTCACAAATCACACACCTGTTGAGTATTAGAGTTGCTGAGGCTGGATTCACCCATCTCCCTCACCTCACAGATAGGGCCGTGGTGGCCTCCAGTGCTAGTGGCTGTGAGGACACATGGATAGCACTCCAGCTTATCCAAAACAGAGAGATGGTAGGAAACGCAGAACTGCATAGACAAGGGACTCTAAGAAATGGGACTCAGACACCTTCACCTTGGCTCCTTCAAGATTCTATAATGAGAACAAACGCTTCTAATCATAGTGACCAGGAGCCCTGAGGAGGCCGAGTCAGAAGGATGGAAAGTTCCAGGCTAAGTCTGGCGGGGCAACTCTGGAGGGTAAGGGAGAAGGATAAGTCATTCAAAGCCAGCCTCAGCAATTTCACAAGTCCCTCAGCAATTTGGTGAGAACTTGTCTCAAAATAAAATGGCTTAGCCAGGAATGGTGGTATACACTAGGAATCCCAGCTACTCGGGAGGCTGAAGAAAGAGGATCACTAGTTCAAAGCCCACTATCTCACTGTAAAAATTAATGGGGGTGGGGCTGGGGATATAGCTCCATTGGTAGAGTGCTTGCCTGGAATGCACAAGGCCATGGAATGCACAAAAAACATAAAGAAAGAAAAATAATGAGGACTCAGAAGTGGCTTAGTGGTAAAGCACCCCTGGGTTAAATCCCTAGTACCACAAACAGAAAAAAATAAATAAAAAAGGGTGGGATGTTGCTCAATGGTAGAGCCCCTCTGGGTTCAATCCCAGTACTGAAAAAAAAAAAAAAATCTACAATGAATACCCACTTACCCTGGAACAGCAACAGGATATAAAAAGAGCAAGAAGTTTAAAGCTACACTCTAATAAAACCCTACTCCTGCACTTTAGTAGCTACATAACCTTAGATAAGTCATTTACTGTCTCCCAACCTTATTATCTTCATCTATCAAACTTAAATAACAACACCAAACTCAGCAAGATGTCTTAACCTGTAAAGTACTTATCAGCAAGGTGCCTGGCACATAGCAATATTCAATATATGGTGATAATGATGAAAATTATCATTAGGACTGGGGATATAGCCCTGTGGCAAAGCACTGTAGCACACACAAGGCCCTAGATTTAATCCTTAGCACCAAAAAGAAACAATAATAATAATAGTTGTCATTATTTCCCAAAGGACTCCTTGGTTGAGGCCCCAAAAGAAATAATAATAATAGTTGTCATTATTTCCCAAAGAACTCCTTGGTTGAGGCCGTATTAGAATTCTGGGATGCCCCATTGCTCATTTCCTGATTTTTCCTTTCATTCAATATTCATAATAAAAAAGCATGTTCTGGGGCTGGGGTTGTGGCTCAGCGGTGGAGCCCTCCTCTAGCACATGCAAGGCACTGGGTTCGATCCTCAGCACCACATAAAAATAAATAAATAAAACAAAGGTATTATGTCTAACTACAGCTAAGAAAAAAATTTTTTTTTTTTTTCAAAAAAAGCATGTTCTGCTATAAACCAGGGATTGGAGAACTTTCATTGTAAGGGGCAAGACAGTAAAGATGGCTTTATGGGCCAGATGGTCTCTTTTGCAGCCACTCAACTCGTGTTGTAGTAGAACCTTGCTGCGAAGTACTCCAAGTACCAGCGCCATCGACAACAGCAGGGACTTTGCTGGAAATTCAAAATTCCTGCCCCAGAACTACTGAATCTAAAAATGCATTTAAACAAGATTGCACTGTGATTCATATGCACATTAAAGTTTCAGAAGCACTATCCTATTATTCAGCCCTGAAACCTGGAGTTGATTTAGTATTTAAATATTTAACTTAGAGTTTTCTAAAAAGGTATTTACTATTCTTCCCTAAAAGAGTAAACTACATACAAATAGGTATTCAAAGTCACACTTACATGGTACTTTTTAAAGTAGGTCTTGCCTTCTGACTCCTTCAGTGCCTCCTGTAGCTTTTTCTCTTGCAGAGCTAGCCAGGCCATAGCGTCTTTTACCTTGCTCTGTAATTCACACACACACACATACACATTTAAACTCTCCCCTAAATAGACTTGACGACCTTTTTTGTTAACAATAAAATTAACACCTTGAAACATCAGTGAAATAATGTCATCATAACATTCCAATGACTCAGTGTCAAAGAGTAATTTTGCTTATTCATACAACACCTTAAATTTTAAAATAGACTGAAACTAACATCTAAACATCAGAGTGTACTTAAAAAAAAAGTGGGGGGAAGCAAGCAATGCCCTCTGTTTTTGGCCCATGCATTTCTATTATTCAATTTCAGAGAACATTATCCCAAATCACTGCTTTATAGTAGGCATTTTAGAAGAGTGCTTTCCAATTAATCTAAATAGGGAAGAACTCAAGAGATGTTCACTTCCTGAGAAAAGCACTGGCATCAAAAATATCTTGAACGTTTTAAAGGTCCTAAAATAACACTACTAAAAGTTTTGATGGTGCTATCACATGGAAGTGAGCAAAAATTATTCTTTTCTTAGATTCAATTCTTGCTTAGGTGGTAGCTTGCTTATATTTGGTAGCAGACTTTAATGCTAGAGGATAAAGCAGAAGTTACACCTTATTTCTAATTTTTTTTTAAACTTCATTTGAGTTTTATCTAGTAGGCAAGTGTGTGTTTTTTTTTTTTGCATTCAATTTCATGGACAGTTGAATTTTTCATTTTATTTTTTAATATGAAAATGAATTAGGAAAGAGTAGCTCCTCAGCAGGTCAGAAACAAGTGAACTGAGTTAGAAGCCGAGCCTCAGCTTGAGCTTCCAGAGTCAGCAACAATCTGGCTTCTTGCCTCAAACACCACAGCTGGAAAAACAGAGGCAAACAGTTTGTCAAATAAAATGTATGTAAACACATCTGAGAAAGGAATTTAAAATAAATTTGAAAATAATGTTCATAAACATTTCACTGACTTCCCAGCACTCGTGTATCTTCATAAAATCAGAATAAGAATCAGAATAAGGGCTTCTTTTCAGCTCAGTGATTTTTATGAAATTTCTACCTACACTGTGTAACAGACTGAAAGTAAAAGGGAAATACTGAATAATCAAATGGTACTCTACTAGTATTTCAAGAATATCTCAACAAACAAGGATCAAAGGTAGAACACAATGCTTCCATTTATACAAATTTCACAGTTCCATTTACATGAAGCTAAAACAGAGGCAAAATGGAAATGTGCTAAAATTAGATGATGATAATGGTTGCATTATCATGTAAATACTCCAAAAACACATAGTACCATACACTTTAAATAATTGTATTTTATGGTGTATGAATTATATATCAATAAAGTGAATAAAAGTTATAATACACAAAAATTCAAATAACTCCAAGATTGTTTAAAACCTAGCTTCATTTAATGTGTCCCAATAAAGAAATAAATAAAATGCATTGTAGATTAACAATTAATTTCTTTATTTAGGTGCCAAGGACTAAATCCAGGGGCATTTAAACACTGGGCAACATCCCCAGCCCTTTTTATGTTTTTATTTTGTGACAAGGTCTCACTAAGTTACTTAAGGCTTGCTAAATTGCTGATGAGGCTGGCCTCAAACTTGGGAACTTCTGCCTCAGCCTCCCAAGTTGCTGGGATTACAGGCATGTGCCACCACACCTGGCTAAAATTCATTTTTAGGTAATTCAGTAAAGCTTAAGAAGTTATCACTTTTACCTTAGGAAAAAAAGGGGTAGGAAAAACGAACTACAGTGAAAGAAATTAGAATACTGGCTGTCTGGGTTGAATAAGACAAGAGGCACAATGGAATGTTGTAGGTAACATTGTTTCACATCATAATGGTTTACAAGGGTATATGCATTTGTCAAAACTAACTGATCTAAACCAGGCATGGTGGCGCACACATGTAATCCCAGCAGCCTGGGAGGCTGAGGCAGGAGGACTGCAAGTTCATGTCAGCCTCAGCAATTTATAGAGGCCCTAAACAACTTGGCGAGACCCTGTCCCAAAATGAAAAAAAAAAATTTTTTTTTTTTTTTTTGCTTTAAATTAAAGGGCTGGGATGTGACTCAGTGGTTGAGCACCCTGGGTGAATGGGTGAATCCCTGATACCAAAAAAAAAAAAAAAAAAAAAAAAAAAAAAAAAAAAATCACTGATCTATTTAATTAAATTCTGTATGAAAATCATAACCCAGTTTTTAAAAATTAAACCAGTAGTCATATACAACAAAATGACTTCATTTATACTGATAAAGACATACCTGAGTCACATCTCCAGTCCGAGAAGCATCCTTGGAATATTGCAGAAACTGTGCCACATAGGTCATGATTGACTTTTCATCGGGGTTAACAACATCCACGTCTGCAAGATATACCACACTATCAATTAGCTGTAGATGTTAATTTACTATAATGAATACTCAAGTACAAGCTATGCCACAGCCTATGCCACTGGGTTCACAGGCTCTTGAACCAAAGTAGCTGAGTAACCATGCAATCTCGCTCATTCAACCTTGCTCCAACATTGTACAGAGGGCTTATATCTAGGGCCACATGTGTGCAATCCTGGCATGGGTATGTACACAGCCTCACTTTCCTAGTTACAAAGTTTCTATGATGCTATATGTGTGAGGCCATAAGTATTCAAGAAGGTAGAGAGAAGAAAATTAAAGCATTTCCCTTTCTAGAGACATGGTGCAGAAATTCCCCCATGTTGCATTAAAGAAGTCCCTTGCAAAATAAGTTCGAAAAACAGGGACTTCCCAGAGAGTCAAAATGGTTTTAAATTGTTTAAGTGCAGGACTTCTCCAGGCATATAATAAATCAAGTGAATCATAAAATCACAAAGAAAGAGATTCAATATGCCATAGACAAAACACTTCATTTGGGGATGTGTCTTTGTTGCCAAAACAATTAATATGTCATACTGAAAAGGAAATCTTCTCTACTTATTAATTCACTTAAATTCAATGCAACACATACTTATAGAGAGCTAACAAAGGCTGGTAAAAAGCAGGAGCTACAAAGGTGTATCAGGTACAGTCCTTGCCCTCAGGGACCTTATGATTCATCCCTTTGTTCATTCAACAAGTAGATGCTAGATGCTCTCAGGCACTGTCTGCCCCTCAAGGTGTTGATGGCTAGGAGAAAAATAAATGACAGATATAACACACTAGGATGTTTTAGTGAGCCTGTTCACTAGGCCCAAAGAGTGCTATAAGTCAGCTAAAGGAGAAAGTAAATTTAATCCATGAACAAATAACATCATTCAAGGCAGTAAGCATATAAAAGCTATCAATAAAAAGCTGGGGCTGAGGTTTCAATATAGGAAGGATTCCTAAGAATCGAGTTATTCTGTTTTCAATGGAAGAGGTGTAAAAATCAAGAGATGCATAAAATAATGATACTGGCTAGACTAAATATCCCTTTTTAGACTTCTCATTTTATATGAAGCCATGATGCATGAGGATTAAATAGTTTAACAAAATTGTGTCGGAGGACAGGTCCCTTAATCAAACATGACTATGATATTTGGTTTGCATAAATAGTCATAATGCATCTCACATTTTTGAGCTATTATTTAAACTACAATAAGTTGTGGGCAATCATTCCTACAGAGGAAATTTGTTTCTTTTTTTAATATTTATCTTTTTAGTTGTAGTTGGACACAATACCTTTATTTTATTTATTTATTTTTATGTGGTGCTGAGGATCGAACCTAGGGCCTCGCACATGCTAGGCGAGTACTCTACCACTGAGCCACAACCCCAGCCCAGGAAATTTTTATTATATTGTCTTTTCCATTAACTGCCTAATTATTTGCACATATTAAAATAGAAAAAAATTACAGCCATTAAGGAGGATACGACAGGAGGAACACTCAAGCCCAGAAGTTCAAGGACAGGTGCCCAACAAACACAGAAAGACCCCAACTTAAAAAGAGAAAGAGAGAGAGAGAGAGAAATTTTCATCCCAAGAGTGAAGATTTAGAGAATCACAATGTAAGCTTTTTTAAAGGACAATAATCAGAAATAAGAAATTAGAACAAAGTATGAGAAAAATAAAGAAAAAATATCTAACAAAAAGGAAAATAAAAAGATGGGGAGGAAATTTTAAAAGGGTAAAAAGAGAGGGAAGGCAAAAAAAAACAACAGGAATAAAAGTCAACAAGAATTAATCAAGAACTACATTGGGAAAAGAAAAAAAAAAAAAAAGAACAACAACAACATGAAACCAGATGCACTAGGCTCTGGGTTCAATCCCAAGGATCAAAAAAAGAAAGAATGAAATATTATCTCAATAAATATTGAACTCTAGTGAAAATCAAACAGACAAACCCCAGGTAGGTGGGGATACATCCAAGGAACACAGGAGCCAACTGAAAGAGCTCCCAATAGTCAATGCTTTTATCTTAAAACAAACTTTTCTAAAAAAAAAAAAAAGAATCGAGCATTAAAATAAACAAAATAGTATTGGAGTACAATTGCCAAGTATAAAATAAAATATCAACAAGCACATAGTCTTATAAATAAATGCTTGAATAAAAAAATAATAATAAATGGAAAACAGACAAATCTCCTGTGCAGAAGACCTGTTAATAACCTTCCATCAAGGAGGGCCAGCCTCGTTCACCTAAGTATGGGCTACGCAGTGATTTCCCTGCAAAGAGTACAATATGAAGGAGAGGGGGAAACTTCACAGCAGACAAACCTGAGGGACATTATTAGCTCAGCCAGGTGGTCAAGGTCAGCATCAACAGTAACAAGCCATGCTGATAGCACGTACCCTTGAACCTATGTGATAAGAATAGCACCTTGGTTTGGGGATTTAGCTTATTTCTCTTCACATGATATTCTCCAGCTCCATCCATTTACTTGCAAATGCCATAATTTCATTCTTCTTTAAGGCTCAGTAATATTCTGCAATCCATTGTCTTGTATAATTAATTAGAATAAATTAAAAAAAAAAAGAACAGCATCTTGCCTCTAGGCCTTCTTCCCAAGAACCCACGAATACACTGATTATGAGGGGAAAAAATAAGAAATCAATTATAATAAAGGGACCTTCTGCAAATGCCTGACCAGCAATCTACAAAACTGTCAAGGTCATAAAAAACAAAAAAGTGTAAGAAACAGTCCAGTCAAGAGTTGCCATGATAACTAAATGTAATATGGTCCCAGGGAGCATTCTGAAAGGGAAAAAGGTCATTAAGTAAAAACTAAAGAAATTCAAAGAAAGCATGGCTTTTAATTGTAATGATATGTCACTATTGGTTCTTTAGTTACAACAAAATGTACCATATAATGAAAAATTTTAAGAATGAGGAAACTGGTGTGGGGTATGTGGAAACTTACTGTACTATATTTTCAACTTTTTTAAAGTCTAAAACTGTTATAAAAAAAAAGAAGCCTGTTTAAAAATAAATGAAGCCAGGCATGGTAGCACACACCTATAATCCTAGTAGCTGTGGGGCTGAGACAGGAGGATCTCAAGTTCAAGGACCAGCCTCAGCAACTTATCAAGGCCCTAAACACCTTAGTGAGACCCTGTCTCAAAATAAAAAATTTAAAAAGGGCTGTGGATAAAGCTCCATGGTAAATTGCCCCTGGGTTAAATCCCTATACCAAAATAAATAAATATCCAATTAAAAAATAAATGGAGGGCTTTATATACAGAGATATGAAAAACTGTGTTCTATATGTGTAATAAGAATTGTAATGCATTCCACTGCTGTCATGTATTTGAAAAAAATAAAATCAATAAAAAATATAAATAAATAAATAAATAAATAAATAAATAAAACTAAAAAAAATGGAGGAATGAAGTATCAATACTTACTATAGCATGGAGGAATCTTGGAAACATTATGCAAATTTAAAGCAGACAGTCACAAAAGACCACATATTTTATGATTTCATGTATATGAAATGTTCAGAATTGGCATGGGGAGGTTGGAAGATGGAGAGTGACTGCTAATGGTCTCAGAGTTTCCTTCTAAGGTGATGAAAATGCTCTACAATTGATAATGGTGATGGTCGAACAATATTGTGAATATATTACCTTAAGTTGTACCCTTAAATGGATAAATTATATGCTATGTGAATTATATCTCAATAAAACTGCTTAAAACCAAAAATATTGGGCTGAGGATAAAGCTCAATGGTAGAGAGAAAGCTTAGCATGCAAGATGTTGTGAATTCAATCCTTAGCACCAAAAACAAAAAATTACTTTTAATAATATATATATGTAAGTGACAAATCCCCAGTCACCTGGCCACTGGTGTACAGGAGCCAGCTGGCTCACACTAATTAAAGAGAGCTTAATATTAAATGTTCAGTAGTTTTGTAAGCTGTTTTTTAAAAATAGTCATCATTAAAAATTAAACTATGAAGAGAGGGAGGGAAAGGGTGGGGGTATGGGGGGCAGGAAAGATGGTGGAATGAGATGAACATCATTACCCTAGGTACATGTGTGACTGCACATGTGGTGCAACTCTACATTATGTACAACCAGAGAAATGTGTACAATAAATCAAAATGCATTCTGCTATCATGTATAACTAATTAGAACAAATAAAAAAATTTAAATTTTTTTTTAAATTAAACTATGTAAATATACAATTAAATGCTATTAAAAGCAAGGGTGACAAATACTCAAAACTTATCATTCCCTAATTACTATATTTGCATTTTACTAGCATTTATGGATAGGGTTATTTATGTCCATTGCATTTGTATGATGGACATAACATAATGGTGTGCTGCTCCACATTTTTTCCCAAATCTATACTCAGTGACTTCATGACAGCAACTTGAAATCAGCCATATCAGTCATATTTGCACCAAAAAAAAAAAAAAATAAGCAAATGAGAGCTTGATTGTTCTTTTGTTGAATGCTAAAAAAATGGATGGAGAAATTGTTAAGGATATACATAAATCCTAAAAGTATGTCCTATCTATAGCTCTTACACTGTGGTATTTGCACCATATCAGTCGTATTTGCACCAAAAAAAAAAAAAAAAAAAAAAATAAGCAAATGAGAGCTTGATTGTTCTTTTGTTGAATGCTAAAAAATGGATGGAGAAATTGTTAAGGATATACATAAATCCTAAAAGTATGTCCTATCTGTAGTTCTTACACTGTGGTATTTGCACCATATCAGTCGTATTTGCACCAAAAAAAATAAGCAAATGAGAGCTTGATTGTTCTTTGGTTGAATGCTAAAAAATGGATGGAGAAATTGTTAAGGATATACATAAATCCTAAAAGTATGTCCTATCTGTAGCTCTTACACTGTGAGAGTATAAAAAATTCAAGAAATATTTTTCCAGTATTTGACTTAGCAAAGCAATAACTCATGTCACACTGAAGAACAAGTGAAATTTTGACATTCCTCGTTGCTATTCCACTTAATCATTAACATAAAGGAAATTATCAACCAAAGTGTAGTTCATGTAAGAACTACACATGCTCAGCAAACTGCAGCCCCACGTTGCCTACAGATGGATTGTAAGAGCTTGACAAAAACCAACTAGCACTTTGGGGCTATTTGAAATTTATAATGCATATCATATATTATTATTGACAAACTATGTCCTACATATCTTTTACCTCAGTAAAATGTATGACATGTTTAGATGTGTGTGTTTCACATTGTTCTGGAGAGCCAGCCACTGAACATTTACAATATATGCCCTGGTGATAAAGCTGAGACTAGAATTTTTATCTCTTGATCTGTTGGTTCATTATAACTTTCACTAACTCTGTATACCTCTTTTTATTACTTTAATTCTTTTTTCTTTTGGGGCTGAGGACTTAACCAGGGTTTTGTGCATGCTAAACACAAGCTCTACCACTGAGCTATATACCTCCAGCACTGACTTTTGTTTTTAATGTCGTTTTGTTTATGAAACAACAGAATTCAAAGTAAAGTGCTTTTCAGAAAGAAATCATTTTAATCTTGCTTTTAGAGTCTTGATTTAATGACGTTAAAATAAATTATGATTTGATAGTAATCTCTGCAAACATAACTGGCACAATATTTAGGGCTTTCTAGTGAGGACAGCAGAGAGAGCAGCAGTTTCTGTTCCTAGAAGTTCTGTTTTAATAGGAGGAGGGAATGGAAAGGGGAGATACATAACAACCATAATTAAAGACTCAAAGAAACATCTCATGAGGGATTTACAACAGAAATAACAGGATCAAGAAGAACACAATAGAAGGAAATTAAGACCAAGGCTCAAATTATTCCAATAAAGTCACTGTCTGCTTCCAGCTGTGGCTCCACCCCTAATATTACTGAAGTTATTAACTAATTGGTAGGAATTCCTCATTTCATGAAATTCAATGAAGAGTTTAAGCTAAACCCTCTAGGACTAAAATATAATGTTGCTGTATTTGCTTATATAGAGATATTAGTTTCAAATCAACTTTATGCTGAACCTTTACAAAAATTGTTTTAAAAAGAAAGAAGCTTCTTTACCTTCTGGATCCAGCAATTTGGGGATTTTTAATTCTCGTTCTGCAATTCCAAAGGCCTCTTTCAGATTGTCCTTGTTGGATCGATGCTTCATACTCTTCATGTCAATTAGGTCTGGTCGCAAGGCATGAATGACAGCCAGAAAAGCCATCCCATTTCTCCAGCTTGACTTAAAATCTGTCACACTGACAGACTCATATCTATCGCAGAACGACATGATACACGCAGTTAAAAATAATAGATCAAAACACTCCCACTATATTCAATAGTAATTAAAACGTTTCAGTGAACCAAATAACCAATATAAACCATTCTACGAAAAATTTTATCTTCTAGTCAAATTAAAGCATAAGTTAAACTGCACCTCTGCTGTAGTGCTAGAAATGCAAATTCTCAAGCCATTCTCCACAACCTAATGAATCACTCTAGAAGTGGGCCTGAAATCCACATCTTTAAAAGCCCCCAAGATGATAATGATACTCATTCAAGTTCAATACTCTTCATGCACAAGCTGTTGGCTCAAGACTGACTCTAGACTTTCACCTTCAGTTACGATCCTTCACTTGAGAAAACAATTTTTCTTCTCACTGGAGCAATTAAGTGACAAATTGGGCCTCATCAATAGCTAGTAGTCCACAGGATAGATGGACTTGGCCATTCCTTGGTTTAGAAGTCTGTCATTGTGAATAAATGGGCAAACGAAATATGGTCTATACAGTGGAAGATTGGCCTAAGGAAGGCAGGAAATGCTGAGATGAGCTGTGACATGGATGAATCCAAATGAATTAAGCCAGCTATAAAGGACACATACTGTATGATTCCACTCACACACGGCAGCCACAGTAGACAAGTACATAGAGACAGAAAGGAGGATGGTGGCTGGGCAGGGTAGCACATGCCTGTAATCCTAGCAGCTCAGGAGGCTGAGGCAGAGGATCACAAGTTCAATGCCAGCCTCAGCAACTTAGCAAGGCCCTAAACAACTTAGCAGGACCCTGTCTCAAAATAAAAAATAAAAAGGGCTGGGGATGTGGCTCAGTGGTTAAGTGCCTCTGGGTTCAATCCCCAGTACTCACAAAAATTAAAATAAGAAGAAAAAAAAAGTAGAATGGTAGATGCCAGGGACTGGAGGGGGAAGAAAGGATGAATAGTTGTTGTTTAACAGGTAAAAAATTTCAGTTGTGCAAGATGAAAGAAGTTCTGATGTGGCTGGCGGTCAAGGCTGCACAGCAACGTACTGAACGCCACTGAACTGTACGCTTAAAAACGGTGAAAATGGTAAATCTCATGTTATGCATAATAACCTCTCAGGCCCTCAAGGGCCCTCTACCTCTCCCATCTCTGCATGTCCCCTGGCCTCCCTCCTGATGTCAAAGCCACACTCCTCACACTGGAATGCTTTCTCACAGACTTTCACACTTCCACCAAAGCCTTCCCTTCTGGGTCTCAGTTCCAAGGCCCCTCCCCAGAGAGGCCCTGCCTGGCCATCCTCTCTCTAACCATCAACAATTCTGACCACAGCATAAATCCTGCCTCATCTTGTTGCCAACTCTCATCACAGTTCTTTATCTGTTTCCCTCATCAGGATGCAGGTCCCTGAGAGGCAAGGCCTTGCCGTTCTTGTTTACCATGGCAGACTCACTTGCCAAACTCTGCTCGGCACATAATGGGGGCTTACTATATGTATCTATATATTTTGAATCACTCATTCAACACATTTCTATATTATATTTCTCTATATTTTACAAAAGGAAGTCTTGTACAAGTACGGATGCCAACAAAATTTGAGAAATATTCCAGAACAACTATAATTTCCTTTACTCTCTCATTTAAAAAAAAAAAAAAACATAAAGATATTCACTAGACAAAAGCTACTCAGTAGGGCTGGGGGTGTAGCTCAGAGGTATAGCGCTTGCCTAGCATGCATGAGGCCCTGGGTTCCATCAGAGCCCTGGAAAAGGAGTGGAGAAGGCGGGGCGGGGAAGGGGAGGCAGGAGAGGAAGAGAGGGAGGGAGAAAGAAAATGAGAGCGAGAGAGATTAGGTACCCCGGATTACCAGTTAGAAAGTACTGGGAGCTAGGACTTCAAACCCAGGAATTCTGGCTTCAGCCTGTGCTCCAAGACAGTAAGTTAAACTAATGGCTAAAGGAATGTAGTTCAGAGCTGAGGACAGGCCCAGACCCTTTCCATGGGACTGAGAGGGCCAGAACCAGCTCATCACTGAGCAGCAGGCACTGTATCAACAGAGCACCAGGCCCTGAGGTTAGTTCTGCATTGATGAGCTGAAGCCAGTACCACAAAGATGTCACTGCCAGGTCTTCAGAGAGTGCACGGTTAGGCTGGGGACTGATTGGCAGGATCTAAGCTCACTTAGAAATAGAGAAGGCAGCCAGATTCATGTGTTTCACTAAGAAGAAAGCACAACATACTACAATATAGTCTTATATCTGAGTCCCAGAAAAACTACAGAATATCGAAATACAAGTCACCTAAAAAATATTACCAATGATGGCCAAAAAGAATAAATCAAGACAAATCACTCAAGAAGTGCTGCACCTTAAGTTTAGCATCAGCTGTAGAGTTGAAAAGTCATGAGGGACAGACACGGAGAAAAGAAACACTGTGGTAAAAATACGAGGCTTTGAAAGGATATAAAGGTTATTTATTCATAAATCAAATATGATATAATAATGCTTTTTGTACATGCAGTTTTAGGTAAAAACTAAAATTTTCTCCGTAGAAAGTTCATTTAACGTATCTAAGACCTGTAAGTTGCGCATGTTTGTGAGTGAATGACAACTAAATAAAGGTGAGGCTGAAGGCAGAAAGGAACCTCTATCTCCCAGCCTTTCATTAGGAAGAACTTACTCAGAAGTCCCCATCTGAAAGGTCTCTGAAGCCTATTTATGATTCTACTTACCTGGACAATGCTACCACATGATGAGCAATGCCTCTGGCACCCTGCTGTTCTTCTAGTGGGGAGATCTCCTACATATTAATCCCTCATCCTTCCTAAACTCCAATGGCTAGAATAACCATTGGTGAAAACAGAAAGAAAATGTTTCCCAAAAGCAGAAATACATTTCTTTAACAATAAATTATGACCACTACCTTCCCTTTATCATCCCCACTTTTTAAAAACACATTGTCTCTAGTTTCTTTGTTTCCCAACTGAGTTGAGTAATAACTAATAAAGTCTTTACTTCTAAGTAATAAAGACTGTGGTTTCTTCATATAATCATGACAGAATCAAGAGAAAACTTTACGTATTGGTTACTTCCTCACTTATTGGTTAATTGATACATTCAACACACATTAATGGAACACCTAGCATGAACTCTCATTTCCTAAGTCCTGGGGATACATAGACACTTAAGACATGGTTTAACTTTCAAAGATCTCATAGTGTGGTAAAATCCCTTAAATCTAAACCCATCCTGCAGATGCACAGAAGAATAGTGCCTGAAGAAGAAAATTTCCACACAACAGCAGACCACCTAAACACAGCAATGGGAGTAAGTTTACCCAGATATTTCACTTTCTGGCCTTCAAAACCAAAACTGGCCAAGCTCATGAACTTCCATATTTGGAACACTCACTAAACAATGAAGGGAGATAGAATTTTCTCTTTAGGTGTAGGAGGCCTTGGGGTAGCTGTTAAACCCAGTCAGGCCTGATCTTCAGGCCTGGAAGTCACTGTGTTACTGGAAACAACTGCCCTGTGTCTCTCCGGATCCCAGCAAAGAACTTACCTGGCACATTTGTCTTGAGCCCACAAGAGAAGAACTTTCTTTGCAGACAACTGCCATCGCTCTTGGACTTTGAGGCATCTCTTTGCTGGAGGACTTGAGGTAGGAGATGAATCAGCCACACTCATATCATCCGGGGAAGCTTGATTGTAATTGCAAGAATCAGACTGGGCAAGATCCTCAATCTAAGGAAAGCATGATTGTCATCATGTATAAAACACGTTACCAGGACTGAACAAAAATCCTCAGCCAAAAGAAGATCAAAAAGTATTCTGTAATAGTGACAGCTAACTCTTGGTAAAGGAGCTCTGGACAAATCCTTCAGTAACAGCATTTATCATCTAGGTCATACTTTGGCTTTCCATACTTTCATCTAGACTTGGGTCATTCCTGGCCTTACCCAGGTATGGCATCCCACATAGAAGGCAAAAATCCATTCATTCCCTGACCTGGTTACAGAGCACTTCCCTGAAGCCCAACATTTGCCAAACTAAACCAAACTAAACTAAACTTAGCTCCTGGGCTGCAATATCTTTAGAGACTGAACCAATCAAAATGCACCTGAATCATTAAACATCAAGAACAAATGTACAGGGCTAGGGTTGTGGCTCAGTTGTGGAGTGCTTGCCTAGCATGTGTGAGGCACTGGGTTTGATCCTCAGCATCACATATAAATAAATAAAATAAAGGTACTGTGTCCATCTACCACTAAAAATACTTTAAAAACAGTGGGTGGAGTTGTAGCTCAGTGGTACAGGACTGGCCTAGCATGTGTGAAGCCCTGGATGTGATTCTCAGCAATTCATATAAATAAGTAAAATAAAGGTCCATTGACAACTAAATATATATATATATGTTTTTTAAATATATTAAAATAAATACGTACATTTATTTTAATATATTTTAAATGCATATTTTATAAATTTTATTTTAAATATATGTATATATTTAAAATATATTAAAATAAAGGTCCACTGACAACTAAATATATATATATATATATATATATATATATATATTTTTTTTTTTTTTTTAAAGAATGTACATGCAGGAAAGAAAAACAATTAACCATATGGAAAACAAGTCCCAAGAAAAAAAATAAAATTGCCATTAAGTACATTCCAGTAGTAATTTAAGAAAGCTAGCCTGGCATGGTGGCGCACACCTATAATCCCAGTGGCTTGAGAGGCTGAGGCAGGAGGATCGCAAGTTCAAAGCCAGCTTCAGCAAGTTAGTGAGGGCCTAAGCAACTCAGTGAGACCCTGTCTCTAAATAAAATACATAAAAGGGCTGGAGATGTTTTACTCAGTTTTACTCTTAATGCTTTACTCTTAATGTTTTACTCATTAAGCACCTTGAGTTCAATCCCTGGTACCAAAAATATAATAATAAGTAATTTAAGAACGCTAAATGTATTCAATGAAAGGATAGTTTTTTCTTTATAACACAGGTTAAAAAAAAATCATATCCAGTGATGGTAAAAATAAGAGAAACTACTTTTTTTTTTTTAAGTACTAGAATCAAACCCAGAATTTTGAGCATTTTATGCAACCACTATCTACCACTGAGCTGTATCTATAGTCTTTTTTAAAATTTTGAGACAAGGTCTTTCTAAGTTGACCAGGCTAGCTTGGAACTTGTGATTCTCCTGCCTCAGCCTCCAGAGTAGCTGGGATTATAGGCATGTGGCACCACACCCAGCTATGAGAAACTGGAAATTCATATCATTAGTAAACACAGCAATTGGTTCAAATAAACATGCTAATGTTTATGCAAAACTTAAAAAGATAAATCCACAAACATAGAAGTATTTAATATATTTTTATCAAAAATCGACACAATAACCATATAATCAATAGTAATACATGAGCCAGGTACATGGCATATGCCTATAGTCCCTATACTCTGAAGGCTGAGGCAGGAGGATTCCTTGATCCCAGGAGTTTGAACCCAATCTGGGCAACACAGCAAGACCCCATCTCAAAAATGAACTAATTAGAGGCTGGGGATGTGGCTCAAGTGGTAGTGCGCTCGCCTAGCATACATGAGGCACTGGGTTCGATTCTCAGGACCACATAAAAATAAAATAAAGATATTGTGACCACCTAAAACACTAAAAAATAAATATTTTTTAAAAATAAACTAATTATAATTATAGATGTGACCAACAAAATTAACAAACTTCATCTGATTGGCATTGATGATAGGCACTGTAATTAAAATGGCAAAACCAATATTCTTTTTTTTTTTTTTTTGGTGGACACAATATCTTTATTTTTATGTGGTGCTGAGAATTGAACCCAATGCCTCATGCATGCTAGGTGAGTGCGCTACCACTTGAGCCACATCCCCAGCCCCAAAACCACTATTCTTTTAAAATATAAACTAAAATTGACCATGCTAAGCCATTAAAGTAAGCCTCAGCTTTTTTTTTTTTTTTTTTTTTTTTGGTTGCTGGGGGGGGTGGGGCAGAGGGGTAGGGGAACTTTACCCCTGAACTAAATCTCCAGCCCTTTTTATTTTGAGAAAGAATCTTTCTAAGTTCCCTAGGTCCTCCCTAAATTGCTGAGGCTGGCCTTGAACTTGCCATCCTTCTGCCTCAGCCTCCTGAGTTACAGGGATTACAGGATGCACCCCCACACCCAGCTAAGTCTTGGCAATTTTGTAAAACTGAAATCATTCAGATGATATTCTCTGACCACACTAAAATTCTATTTCATAATGAAGATGAAACAAACAAAAATCACCAAATACTTGGCAATTAAGCAATAAATTCTTATAAATGTATGGGCCAAATAGAGAAATCAGAGTATATTCTAAATAGAACAATAATTAAATTATATTAATTAGAAGAAGCAATATTTTAAAGACACCAATTTCTTCAAAAACATTCCATATATTCAATCCTAATCAAAATCACAGCAAATTGTGTGTGTGCATGAGGAAATTGAAAAAGTTATTTATAAACTCTGGGTGGAAATGCAAAGAGCAAAGAATAGCCAAGATAATTCTGAAGAACATGATGGACAAGATACACCATCAGATATCAAGACTTACTATATATCTATAGGAATTAATGTAGTATAGTACTGGTACAAAGATAAATTAATGGAACAGAATAGGTAATCTAAAAAGGGAGTCACCCATTTATGGTTACTTGATTTATGAAGGTGCTACTATAGTAGAGAAGGAAAATGACGACCCTTTCAATAAATAGTTTTGAATCAACTGGGTAGCCATATGGGAAAAAATAATTTTTGATTGCTTCAATAAAATATACTAAAAAAGGGGCTGGGGTTGTGGCTCAGTGGTGGAGTGCTTGCCTAGCATGCGCAAGGCGCTGGGTTTGATCCTCAGCATCATATAAATGTAAAATAAAGATATTGTGTCCACCTAAAACTTTTTTAGTATATATGCATATATATACTAAAAAAATCAACCCCATTGTTGAAAGATTGTATATATAAATATGAGACAATTAAGTTTTTTGAACTATAATATCCAATAGGATCATCATTAGACACATGTGAGATCTAAATTAATGAATTAAAATTTAAAATTCAGTTCCTCAGTCATACCTGCCACATTTCAAGAGTTCAGTAGCCATGGAGATATGGTTACTGTTTTATACAGTGTGGCTATGGAACATTTCCATCATTATGAAAAGTTCTATTGAAGGCTGAGGATGTGGCTCACTGGTACAGTGCTCCCCTAGCAGGCTCTGAGTTCAATCCCCAGCACAACAACCAAAAAGGGAGAGAGGAAAAATCCTACTGGATGGAACTGTTCTAGAAAATTATGTAAGAGAATATCTTCAACATACTGGCAACAGGAAAAACACTGTTTTAAAGATGTGAAAACTAATGGCCATAAAAGAAGTTGATAAATTCAAACTATGTTAAAATGATAAATGTCTGTTCATTAAAAAATTAAAAGGGCAAGCCACAGAGTCAGAGAACTTATTTGCAATTTATGTGTGTCCAACAGAACTTTTATCTAGAATATATTTTAAAGCTTCTACAAATCATTACACAAAACATCAGAACTAAAATAAAAAATTTTAAATGCCAAGTGTTAGCAAGGATTGAATTAGAAATCTCAGTTCCAGTGGGAATGTAAATCAAATGATCCCATTAATAAACCATGGTTTGCAAGTGTCCCCAAAGCTCAAGTGTTAGAAACCTAGAAGAATTAGGAGGCAAGACATTTAAGAAGGGATTAGATTTGAGGGTTTTGCCCTCATGAATGGATTCATGCCATTATAGTGGGAGTGGACTTGTTATAAGAGCTGAAAACTAGCAACAAAAAAAAAATGCACATCAACAGTGAATAATAAAGAAGTTGTGATACATTCATACAACTGTATGTTCACAACAGCAATGGAAATGAAAGATGTATTGACACATGTTACAACAAGATGAACCCTGCAAAGGATGTGAAGTGAAATAACAGACACAACAGAATGTATAGTGTGTTTAAGAGAACACACTTAGAATTCGCTTTCTGTGGAATTAAAGATGCTAAACTGCCAGACACAGTGGCACATGCCTGTTATCCCAGTGACTCAGGAAACAGAGGCACTAGGATAGCAAGTTCAAAGTCAGCTTCAGCAAGTTAGTGAGACCCTAAGCAACTTAGTGAGACCCTGTCTCAAAATAAAACATAAAAAGGGTTGGGGATATGGCTCAGTGGTTAAAGACCCCTGAATTCAAATCCCCCAAAAAATTTGCTAAACAAATCAATAATAAGGATCAAAGGGTTGGCTATATTTAGGAAAGAAAGAGACTTTGAGAGAAGACCTGGGGTGCTGGAAAAGTTCTGCAATTTCATTTTTGATCACAGTTATGTGGGTGTGCTTTTTTAAAAAATTGATTTAACTCTTCTATTTTTTTGCAGTGCTGGGGATTGAATCCAGAGCCTTGTATATACTAAGCAAGTGCTCTGCCACTGAGCTATACCCCCAACCCACATGGGTGTGTTTATAATTTATGAAAATTCATCAAGCTCTATACATAAGACTTCTTTGTGCTTCTCTATGTGTATTAGTCACCAACAAAAGTTAATGTAAAATGTTAAAACAAAGGTTCAAGTTTGTAAATCCTATGGCACAATTCCATTTTGTGGAATTTGGCTCACAGAAACAGTTAAGGTTGTATACAAAGGTTTTATCTTAAGGGTATTCTTTTTTTAAATGACTTATAACACAAATAATTGTGAACATTCTGATAGTTCATTAATGAAATATTTTATATATATCTCCATTAAAATATATATAAATTTGGAAAGGTATTGATTAGAATGGGTTTTCAAACAGTATGGATAACAGGATCCCATTTGTTTAAGATACACAGTTGTCCCTAGTTATCTATGGGGGATTGGCTCCAGGATCTCTCCAGGTACCAAATGTTCAAATTCCTTATATAAAGTGGCAAAGTATATGCATATAACTATGTACATCCTCTGTATACTTTATATCATCTCAATTACTTATAATACTTAACACAATGTAAATGTTATATGAATGATTTTTCTACCATATTATTTTAAAAATAATGAAAAGAAAAAAAATCTGTGAATTTTGTCTCTGAATATCTTATAGCCTCAATTGGTTGAATCTATTGATGTGGGATACATGGATACAGAGGAAAGACTGTACATGTATGAATATATATATTAATTCTTGCTCAGCATGAAGATTGTACATCAAATTGTTTATCATAGTTATCTATGGTGGATTATAAATGATTTTCTTATTATCCATGAAAATTTTGAATTATATTTTACATGCCTTCAAAAGATAATTCATAAATATACCCATGAATTATAAAATTTTAATATTTTACCATATTTGGTTTTGTTGCTTTTTCTAATTCCATTTCCCTCTTTTCCAAGAGGAAAGAAACCACAATCCTAAATTTAGTCTTCATCATCTTTATGCATATTAGTTTATCATAAATACAAATGCATGTATCCAAAAGTAGTATGTAGTCTGGGTTTGTATGTGTTACATTTTATATAAATTAGTTATGCTATATTCTAGTTTTTCTAAAATAAGCATTGGCTTCCCCACATATTTTTTTAAATTATTTTTAAAGTAATTATGAATGTACATAAAAATGCAATCTTTTAGGTAGTACAGAAAAATTGACACTAAGTCAACATCCCAGGCCCAAAAGAACAATATTTATCAGTCATAAGTTTCATAAAGTCAGGACTAAACTGTCAGTATATCTTGATGTGCCCTAGTACAATAGCCAGATTATCATAAGAGCTCAAAAATCTCTGTGGAAGCCAGTCTCAGTGGCACATGCCTATTATCCCAGCAGCTCGGGAGGCTGAGACATGAGAATCATGACTTCAAAGCCAGCCTCAGCAAATGCAAGGCACTAAGAAACTCAGTGAGACCGTCTCTAAATAAAACACAAAATAGGGCTGGGGATGTAGTTCAGTGGTTAAGCGCCCCCTGAGTTCAATCCCCGTACCAAAAAATAAAAAAAATAAAAGAAATGCAAGAACAACAACAACAAAAAAAAAAAACTGGCAAAAGACTTGCTGCATATTTTCTGCCTATTTAAGATTTCCAGAGCATCCTCTTTGTGGAAAAGCTTAAGATTGAATCAGGCATTGAGTGACAGTTATGGCATTCCACTCAGTTCAAACTGTGGGAATTAGAGAAGTAACTTTCCTATCATCACACTACTTACATGGAAGTGCAGTATAATTGTCCAAATTAGTCCAAGAATAATGGATGGGTTTCCTTCTATAATATCAGCAACGTGGACATTTATTAGCTTGACCTGGAAATGAAGAAGTGCAGATTAAAAGAAAAAAAAATATCCCAAAGCAATATAATCACTCCTGCAAATTTTCAGGTGAAATTTATACTCACTGATTGGTTTTCCAGGAACTTCAGAGCATGTTCTATATTGAGTCTACACTGGTGTGTATTAGATCCTCTATCACGAGGCTATGAAGTTCAAACAGATATATTACTCAGAAATATGAAATGCATTTTTTAAATCAACAAAAAGTTTCTTTGTGTCACATAAAATCTTACCAACTGCTGTCCTGAGAGTACTTCTAGCAGATCCAAGAGGACATGCCCCTTTCTAATGTCTGCGAATAAGTCTGATATAACTGAGGGAGAGGTGTGCTGAAAAAGGACACAAGAAAAATAATCAAACTCAGATAATTTGAAAGATCATCAAATCAAAAATGCAGGACCTTCAGAATCTCATAAATGCACTTTGTATCTTCAAAAAAGCTAAGATTCAGCAGCAATTTTCTTCTTTTTTGAATTTACTTTTTATTTTATTTTTTAGATACATGACAGTAGAGTGTATTGTGACATATTATACATACATGGAGTATGTATAATCTTAAAAAAAGCTAAGATTCAGCAGCAATTTTCTTCTTAATTAATAAAATGACAAAGCCCCTGCAAAGTTCCACATCAAGCCACAGTAAGAAAGGTAGTGGGCTTAATTTATTTCATGGCAAATTTCCAGTAACACAATACTTTTCTGTGTGGAGCTTTCCCTGAGAACTTAAAACCTGTCTGTAAAAGTGACACGAAAGACATTCAAAATCAGCCAGTAGTGGTCCATTTAGAAAGCAGGTTACATTTCTGTAGTAACCTGCTTATGTATTTACCCTTTGTTCAAACTACAACCATTGTATTGGGAAAGGGAACGGTGTTAGTAAGGGACTCATTCATCCTGCATTTAGGTTATTCGAGGTGCTCAGCATCACAGAGAGGTAGGATGGCACACAGATTATGATCAAGGCCTCTGAGTCCAGACTCCCTGGGCTTGTATCCCAGCACTATCACTTACAGGCTGTGTCACTATAGGCAAGTCGCATAACTTCTCTGTGCTTTAGTTTCCTTGACCTTTATCGGGAATAATACTGCCTACCTCACAGAAATGCTGTGAAGTCATTTAAATGTCATAAGTCCTCATAATCGTTACATGTAGAGATTCCAGATAGTGCCTACCATATAACACTCAGTATAAACAAATCATTATTTTTATTTCATCTGATGAAAGAGACATTGCTACTTTTTACTGCAGTGTCCCCTACACATAACAAAAGTACCCCTTATGTGTATTGAGAAAGAATACCAAATACACCACAGCAGAGGTGACTGTCAGCACATTCTCTCATGAAAAGACATTCTGCGACCTTTCACAGGTCACAGGTGCCATCTTTTTAATGGCCTCCTTGGAGTCAAAACTGAGGGAATGAGAAGAGTAGCAAATGTCTTCATAACTTAATTTGCTCTTTTTTCCTCACCTTGGCCAACTGTGAATTTATCCAGCAGGTGAAGGTTTTCTTCTGAGTGTCTTCCTGTTTGGCTACCAGAGGAGAAAAAAAAAACAATAGTTGCAAAATGAGAAGCCTCAGGAACCTGGGGAATATAGCAAACTTCTAAGGCCTATCACAGCACAAGCTTACCAACGCTCCAGTTCTTAGACTAAATTTTGAACATTCATCCAAACGGTGTTTTACAAATAGCATGTTGACATGAGATTTAAAAAAAAAAAAAACACTGGTTAATTGCAAAGGGACAATGGTATTTAATACTTTTTACTGAGAAAACAGTTAACTTCATAGACAGGCTTGATAGTACTGTACAAGAAAAAGTGAGGAGTCTCCAACCCCAAACAAAGTCTTTAAGTAAATGTAACCCTGGAACATGTGAAGATTTTTATGCTTTTTTTTTTTTTTTGAGGTATTAGGGCTCAAACCTAGGGCCTTGCCCATGTTACACAAGCACTCTACCACTAAGCTACACCCTAGACCCTGAAGTTATTTTAAAAGGTTCATAGGGTCATTGCAGTTCAGCCTTGACATCTGTGATGAAAATCTGTCCTAGAGAATACACTGAGGCTGAATTAACTGTAAATGAGCTGTAATTCGTCAGAGACCTGGGTTTGAATCCTATGTCTGTGAGACCTCATTTCAGGGAGGGATGAGCCCTCACCTCTAAAGACCATCACGAGAACTGAATGATCCCCCTAAGCACTTGCCATAGGCTCTGGCACACAGTAAACAAAGGAAGTACCAGCTATTTCTCTCATTGATTCTTTTCTCAGTAAAAAGTATTAAATACCATTGTCCCTTGGTGCACACAAGAGATGGGCTTCTTTCCCCAGTCCTCCATCCTGACAGACAGGCAGAAGCAGGAATCCAGATGGCCACCCATCCCTGCACCCAGTGTTCTCAGCCTCATCACTATCATCAACCTTGAGTTCATCTCACATAACCCTTTATCCCTGCTTATGTCAGTCAACACAAACACAGTCACACACACACACACACACACACACACACAAACACAGTCACACACACACACACTTGGGTCCCACCCACATCCTCTCTCACATTGAGGCTTTGCCTCCTGTTGCAGTTAAAACCCAGCTCTCCCTCCAGGAACTTCCCCAGCAGCCCTCCCACTTTCTCTGATATCATCAGACTATCTGCCTGTTAAAAGCCATCTACCATGCCTGTCATTTCCCATTATTTCTGCATGATTTTGGGGGGGGGGCAGGTACTGGGGATTGAACTCAGGGGCACTGGACCACGGAGCCATACCCCCAGCCCTATTTTGTATTTTATTTAGAAACAGGGTCTCACTGAGTTGCTTAGTGCCTCGCTCTTGCTGAGGCTGGCTTTGAACTTCTGCCTCAGCCTCCAGAGCCGCTGGGATTACAGATGTGCACCACCATGCCCGGCTTTCAGCATGAATTTAGCTTCTTCCCTACTGTCACTCTCCAGTACAGTCCCTGTCTCATGGTTGGCAATTTCAATACTCAACAGTGATGGAAGTTCCAACCTCCCAGCCTCACTATTTCTTGAATTTCTCTTCAATAAATGTGTCTTCTGCCCTGCCTCCCTCACTGTCCTGGTCACACACAATATTTTTCATTACTAATAACTACAACTCCTCCATAATCTCAATTTGGCGCACCTGCTTTTAACATCACTCCCTGTCTATGGGATTGCCCCTACTAGTGGCCCAATTCCAACAATCCTTTAAGCCCTCTGGCAATTCCAAGTCACTGGTTCTTCTTGCTTTTCACTGTCCTTCATCCCCTTGAGATCCTTCCTTCCATCCTTTTCCATTTTAAATTCCATGCTCAATTTTTACGGCACCTCACCCATCTCGTATTTGCTTGGCGCTTCATCCTACAGGCATGCTGAATGTGGCTGGGGAAGCCCCCAAGAGTGCTGACCACCTCGATGCTGTCCAGTGGTCACCTTATCCTGGCCCCTCCCATCCCCAAATGGCAATTTCACAACTTCTCCTTCTTCCTCAAACATCCAGTATTTGCCCCCATCCTTACTGTCAGCCAAGACCCTGCTTTTCCAAGTCACTTAGTGATCATCCCACCCCTCAACTAAGAACATACCAAAATGGTCTACCACCAAACCACAAGCTCAGATGAACTAGCCTTGCTCATGGCTAAAGCCAGTCTCTTCCCTCACATGCTAGATCCTATCCCTTAGCACCTGCAAGGACATTTTGTTCCTTTCTTTTCTGTATCATTTTGGACCATTCCTATCACAATAGACTCATTTCACTCATATGTGAGCACAGGAAAGTGATGCCCAATTCATTCTACTGTCTTTCCTATTCCCATCCCCCCCTTCCCTTCATTCACCTTTGTCTAATCCACTGAACTTCTCTTCTTTCGAAATGGGGTACCTTAAGAATCTTATAAATGCACTTTGTAATTCTCCCATTTAAAACCAAAAACCAACCTTGACCTCAGTTCCCCATAATCATATCCCCTTTGTGGCAAAAAGCCTCAAAAACAATTTATTTTCACTGTCCAAATCCCCTCCTCATTTTCTTAATTGATCTCACATCAATCGGGTCCTCTTCATTCCACTGAACCTGCTCCCTCACCCAGGTCTCCATGAATCAAGGTTATTAATGACTTCTTCTCACTAAAACCAATGGCTGATTCTGTCTTCATCTTACCAGACCCATCAGCAGCACCCAATGCAGAGGACGTTTCTCTCTCTCCCCCTGATTCTAGGACCCATCCTCTCAATTTTCCCTCCTACATCATTGGGTGTCTCCTCTCTTTCTCTCACAATTCACAGCTAATGCCTTTGGAAACCTTCACAGGTCCACTTTCCAAATATATTCAGGATATAACCGCTTCTCATTATCTCCATTACCATCACCAAGAACCAAGTCACCATTACCGCCACCTGAATTACTGCCAGCAAGCCATGGTACCGCTAAAACGTTAGCTCAGATGAGGGAAGTCCTCTGCTCAAAACCTTTGTGGGGGCTTCTCGCCTCACTGCCCAACACCATCCGGCCCCCAGCTCTTTCCCACTTGTTCATTCCGCGCCAACACACCAGCCTCCTATTTCCCCCCCGTCTCTCCAGACCCATTAGGTACTAGCTGTCCTCTTCCAGAAACGCTCCTGTCACAGATTTCCACAAAGATAACCTTCTCCTCTCTATCAAATCTTTGCTTGAGATGACACCCCATCCCTAATGACTCCCCTACCCACCCTATTTTAAACTGGAACACCCCAACTCCTGTTCCCTCTTGTCCTGCTCTACTTTTTTTTTACTTCCGCACTGGTCACCTTTTAACATTCTATGTAAGTTATTTATATGCTGTATTTATTATTTAACATCTCACTCATCTCCCAATGGAACGTCAGCACCATTCAGCCAAAGACGTTTTACCTGTGACACGTCTCCAGTACCCAAAAGAGCCTGGTCCAGGACAGACACCAAACAAATATATACTGAAATAACAATTTGATCATGTGAAAAGTATTACCGTTATCCTTCTTTGCTTGCTATATTGGGAGGCAAATGAACCTTTATGAGTTTATATTCCTTTCTGTTAAAGTTATCTGCTCTACTTTACAAGGCACTGTTTTTATTTCACTGTTCCCATCTCCCCCTATGAATCTCATCAATTCCATCACAATGGACTGAAATTGTTGGTATGTAGCCTGTCACATGAGTAGGAGCATGACATCGAATTCAAGTTTTCAAATAATGTTTATTTTAGTGAGAGTTCTGATTGAGAAACCGAAAAAAAGGGCTAAGCTGAGCAAATGGGAATGTAGGGTGTTACAATTGTTTACAAGTATTGTGACCAGTTAAAGGTGGCACACACCTATAATCCCAGTGGCTCGGGAGGCTGAGGCAGGAGGGTCGCAAGTTCAAAGACAGCCTCAGCAAAAATGAGGCGCTAAGCAAATCAGTGAGACCCTGTCCCTAAATAAAACACAAAATAGGGCTGGGGATATGGCTCAATGGTCCAGTGCCCCTGAGTTCAATCCCTGGTCCAAAAAAAAAAAAAAAAAGATGCACTTAGTCTCAATGTAATTTTTTTCCTTTTTAAATCCATGTCATTTTTCATGCATTATCAGTTTAAGTCAGTCATAGCACAGTGACTTACCCTTTCTAGTATGCTCCCTAATGGTGAGCTACACAAACTAACAGGACACTCTGGGCTTTTGAGAGTTATTGCTATTTTATATTAAGCCCATGTTGCAGAAGAATTACAAAGAACCGTTAATTTTGCCCTAGTAACTCAAAATGTTACTAAGTCTCCTGGAATTTTGAAATATGATTGTCCCTAGTTTCAGCAGGTGATAGAACAATAAATTTTAGACATTTAGACACTGAAGGCTAATTTTGTTTCTCAATAGAAAAAAAGATGGAGAACAAGTTTTTATGATTCCAAGATCAAGTTACATGCATACAATAACATTAAACAAGTAAGGAAGGACCTAGCCATTCCCAACAATAAAGCAGAAGTTCAAAATAAAGACAAAATTAACAACAATAAAAGAAAACAAAGGTGATTCTTTTTTCTTATCCTGAAGGAACTGGGGAGGATTTTTCGTCTAAAATCTAATGGGGGCGGGGGGGGGGACTAATCAGGTCCAGGAGACAGAGTCTGCACCATCTTTAGGGTTGGGAGGGCAGGGAAGACAGCAAAATGCACCACAAAACTGGGTGCAGAACAGCATCAGGTGCCTAAGGTGTATTCCATGTCCTCTATCTGGAAATCTCAGTCAAGACAAACTACTTTCCAATAGGATAAGTGATCATTTCATGTCTATGCAATACTGGACAAAGAGGGTCTTGACGCTGAACAAACTAGGAACTATGCACTTTCCCAGACTAAGAAAACAGGCAGCAGCTAGGCTGTCACAGTGACTCGGGACACTGAGGCAGGACGATCGCAAGTTCAAAGCCAGCCTCAGCAACTTAGTGAAGGCCTGAGCAACTGGGTGAGACCCTGTCTTTAAATAAAAAAATAAAAAGGGCTGGGGATATAGCTCAGTGGTTAAGAGCCTCGAA